GCTTCGTCTAAAACATGAAATTCTTTAATGATCTCCTGCACGAATTTTTCGAAATGTTTACGAGGAAGATCGAAAATGCTCCCGTTTGAAACATTCGTCTTATGGGTTTCTTAAAACGAAGTTCTTGAAAGTAGAAAGTTTATGTATGGAAATGGAAAACTAAAATATTTCAAACCTGCTTGAAATATGTATAAGCAATTATCTCTCACCTTTTAAGCTGAGTTTCAGCTCGAAAGCCGACTTTGACGCATTTGCGGGAAGCCTCCCTTAAATCGCTCACCTGGTCGGTCATATACGAGGCGGCCGACACTATCGGACAACGTAACAAATTCGCTAATGATCACATTACAAGCGCTAACTCCAAGTTGATAGTTTTTTTTGCAGCAAGGATTTGATCAAAGTTATTACAAGTCAACAAGACTTTTGGCCAAGTGATTAACCATTCTCGCATTCCCAAAAAGCAACAACCAGAGCGATTTAATTTAATTTTAATTTCACTGAACTAACGCAGAAATTGTTCGATTAATTAAACACGAGTATCTTTGAATAAGAAGTGTCCTAAGAAAGTCATGCTTTGCTGAAACATGGTCTCGACCATGCAGTGAATGCAAATCAACAGTCAGTTAAAAAAACTGTTTACGAACTTCGATTTGCATCGAAGCGACATATTTAAATTTCTTTTGGCAATTTCTTTTGAGATAAGACTGGAGGCGCATGCATGATTACACGGAAATGTAAAGATAGTCAAGAACTGACGAAATACTGTCTAATTTTCCGCATCTAGCTCAGTCGTACATCAAGAACAAGCCCTCAAAAGAGTAAACTTAAACACTCAGCAGCCTGATAGATACTTGATTTCACGGCGCGCTCATCTCTGAAATTAAGGACTTACAACTCGCAGATTTTGTGTTTTTGAAACTCACCAAAATGAATGGACTAAACCACCGAACTGCTCAGCTTACAAATACAAGAATCGAGTCTGGCATAAAACATACTCTTTGTCTAAAGAAAAAGAAATTCCTGCACATGTTTACGAAGAAAATCGATAACTACTTCCGACAAAACTTTTGAGGAGGTTTTAGAAACCATTTCTGTTTGTGTACAACCCATGCAAGTAACTCTATGACTCTGTCATTTCATACTTGTGTAATATAAATATTAAAAACCTTTCCTATATCTCACCTATGGAAGCTGAGCTCAAACTCTGTGTCTTCTGGTCGAATTCAGCCCTAACACACTAGTGAATATATGCACCTCAAAAGCCCAAGAAAGAGCGTTTGGTTTAAAATCGTTCACGTGGTCGACAACATTTGCGTGACTTTTACTATTGACAAGACTCACGACTGAAGTGCATATATAATGACATGATGAAATCACCATGACTAATTATCTGACTACGCGCACATGAGTTTCTGCAACATGGATTTCATCACAATAATTTACACAAAATGGATTTCATAAGATGCAGTGCACATGAATAAGTTGCTGATTTTAACATCCTTTTACGTGCTTAAGTCGTCTCTACGTTTTCGGACGATATTTTTTTCTGCTCTCTCTCTCTCGATACACGGCTCCAAGCGTACGATGACACAGCCGGTATTATGCCTGACCAGCCATTATACCATGAATAAAATTGGTCACAATACTGATGAAAGGAAAGTTCAAGAACTTACCAAACTCTCAGTCAAAGCTTAGATCCATGAAGAAAAGAAAGTTAGAAGTGGACAAACCATTGTCTAATTTTCCGCGTCTATTACAATGGTTCATCCAGAACAAGCCCGCAAAAGGGTTCTAAACACTCAACCGCAGAGTTGATATTTGGCTTAATTTTACGGTACTCATTGGAAATTACAGCTGTAAAACCTCGCAAATTTTGTGGTTGAAACTGAGCAAAATGATCTGGCTAAATCGACGTGCTTAGCTTACAAATACAAGAGCCTAGTTTGGTATAGAACATACTCTTTGTTTAATGAACGAAATTTCTATACAGGTCTGAGAGGAAAATTTATTAATACTTCCGTCCTAAAGCTCTTCCTGTTTGCGTACAAACCATGCAAGTAAATCTGTCACTTAGTGCGGTATTTCATACTTGCTTGATGTAAGAACAAAAAAGCTTCCTGCTCCTCACCTTTTAAAAGCTGAGCTAAAACTCTACAGCCTCCGGTGGAATTCAATCCAAACACAGGGGTGAAGAATACATTCACCCTTGAAAAAGGCCCCTGGGGGGTTTTTGTCTAAAATCGCTCACGTGGTCAGTCCAATTTGAACAGATATAACAGTTGAGTGACTATTTCTATTGGCGCGACAGGCGGCTGGTATTTTAACAGATTCACCAAGCCTACTAAGAATGACGACATTACTAACCTAGGACCACTGCGGATGACTTTCAACAGCTTGGAATTGATCAGAATTATTTGACTTAGCGAGCTCACCGACCAAGTGATTAACCACTTTTGCAACATAAGTACCATGAAAAAAATTGAGCGCCATACACTCAGTTATTTAAAAAAATACATTTTCCGAACTGAATTATCTAGTACACTAAGGTATGAAGAGCCAACATAACATTCCCGTATTACATTCACTATTCGAGTGACTTTGATCTGCCTCAAGGGGTACCTCAAGGATCATGTCTTGGTCCCTTGCTCTTCACGTTGTACGCAAGTAAGCTCTTCGATGTTGTTGAATCCCATCTCCCTAACGTTCACGCATACGCTGATGATACGCAGCTCTATATTTCATTTAAGCCGGATGGTTCTGCTAATGAGACGGATGCTGTTGACGCTCTACAAGCTTGCATCAGGGACATAAGAACCTGGATGGTCCAAGACAAACTTCGGCTGAACGATGCTAAGACCGAGTTTCTTATTATAGGTACACGCGCACAATTAAATAAGGTTATGATAAGTGACTTGCAAGTAGGTAAGGTAAAGGTTTCTGCGGTTTACTCTGTTACACATATTAACAGCATATGTCAGAATATTTATTACCATCTACATAACATCCGGCGTATTAGAAAGTATTTATCATATGATAATAGGAAGTCCATTGTAGAGACTATTATAATGTCACGATTAGACTATTGTAACGGTCTATTATATGGTACGCCCGCTGGTCATCTTGGTAAGCTGCAACGCCTGCAGAACGCGGGTGCTCGGCTGGTATGTACTATATCTAGGTATGATCCTATCACACCATCCCTGATCAACCTGCACTGGCTTCCGGTTACCCACAGAATAGAATTCAAGATAGCAATGCTAGTTCACAAATGTATCTACTGTGTCGCACCACAATATCTTTCAGACTTGATAAAAATCAAAGAGAGCTCGCGGTATCAGTTGAGATCATACCGGGGCATACTCCTAATGGACAATACCTATAAAACAAAAAAGACACTCGGGGATAGGGCGTTTGAAAATGCTGCGCCCAAAGTATGGAATCGACTCCCTCTAGAAATTAGACAATGTCAATCATTGAACATTTTTAAAGTTTTACTAAAGACACATCTTTTTAAATTAGCTTTTTACTAGTTCTTTTATTAACTCATATTTTACTTTTACTGTTTTCCGAAAATTGTAAATTATTATTATTATTATCATTATCTGGACTAGCCATTTATTACTTTAAGATTTTAGTGTTGTAATGCGCACTCGATCATATCTTTATCGCATGCTAGACTGCGCAATATAAGAAATAAACATTATTATTATTATTATTCCCGTACCTCAAAGGATAAGTGTTCGGAAAGGTTATACAAGGATGCACGACGACCCTCCTGGAGAAAGACATTTTTAAATAGCACGCAGAGTTCTGCTTTCAGACAGTGACTAAATCTTTATTCTCCCGCAAATCTTTGAGAAGGCGTGGAAATGGAACAGAAAAATCTACGCCAGCTTCAAACTTTAAAGAAACCCGGCTTCGATAGTGTCACAGGGAAAAGCTGTATAGCGCGTCGTGCGACAATAAAGAATTGGTTTTATCGAGTGATATATCCACGCAGGAAGTTTGGAGAGCACGAGAGAAGGGAAAAAGCTGCCCAAGGCGGAGCTAAGAGCAACTCTAGCTTTTTAAGTGCTCTCCAAACTTCCCAGGTGCATCCATAACTCGATATACCTACAGCTAAGCATGTAGACACAAATCGTGCGAGACTTTATTACATAAACTTATAAATATAAATAGATTAATATGATCATACTTTAACGATAAGAATAAATACGTTTGAGAACCACTCCAGACAGGTAATATTAACAACATCTCATTTTGAGTATCCCCGTACCCAAATCACTATTTTTATCTTTAGAACCAACATGGAGTGGACTGAACATGACAGTTGTCTTTGACAGGAGATTCCCGTTCTTGAACCTTTCGAGGCAAAGAGAGGAAGCATCGTAAGGAGCCAAATTTGGGATAAAATAGCGAACAATCCGAACAGCCTTCAGCATCCCTAATTCAGAGTGACGAAGCGATCTGTAGGAGAACGATATAGACTTTTGAGCGGAATAGATACAGATTTGGGTGACGTTGAAAAAGCACTTGAGGAGATAGCAAAATGACAGAAAGAAACTCGATAGTGCCAAAGCAGCGGAAATGATATACAGAGCTCTTGAGAACCTTGGCAGGACACAGAAAAGACAAAGGAAAGATGAGGTGGAGAATGAAACAGCAGGAAGAGCAAAACGTCGAGGAGGTGCTAGGGACACGGTGGCATATTTGCGAGAAAAGAACGACCTCATGCAGAGACGGAAAATGGAAGAAATGCAGCTGCAGAAGCGGCGACTAGAGGCTGAGAGTAAGAAGGAAGAGCAATCCAAAAAGCAACATCAGGATTTGATGCAGGTCATTCTGCCGCAAACTAAACAGTAACAAGAACAGATGCAAAATTTTCAGCAGATGTTCACCTTGATGCAGCAGCAGCAGCCTCAAATTATCATAAAACTTCGAGAAAAAAAAAATTTAAGTCATGGCCTGATTTTGTACTGTGCGAGATGAATGTAGTTTTCAGCAATTTCAGGCATATGTTTCTTGATTTTGAACACTTGTTTTTATTTTATTGTTAGGTTTTCCATGTTCTAATAGCTTCATGTTTAGACTTTTTGATTCAAATAAACTTGGTTTAAGACTTAATGTTACAGACACTGGACGTTTTGTGTTCCTGATCAAGCCTTTAGATCGTGATAGATCAGGACGTAATCCTTGGAACGTTTTTTTTTTTCATTTGATCGGCAGAAATATGTAAACCAACGTTTATGTACTTCTTTAAAGCCAACCACTTGTTTGATCCTTCTTTCATTTAAACTGCGAACATAACGAAATCACACTGATAAAAATAGATGAATGTAAGTGACTCTGATGATGATCGATATAAGGATGAAAAATGCGAACGAAAACTAAATCACACATAAACTGTGACAGAAAAATAGCCAGGACTAAGTAACTGCCGATGGAACTTAATAAATACCAAAGTTGAGTTTTCTGGAGTCAGCATAATTAACTTGAAAAACATCTTAAGAACATCTGCATTTCATATCCATAATTTATCGTTCGAAAAGGAGGCTATGATTATAAAGAATAAGGAAAGCGAGTTTGCTTATTATTAGATACTTAAAAAAATTTATTATATTGTACCAAAGTTTCTAGGGCAACATGCAATTTTATTTTGTCAATGTACTTTATTTTATAGATATGATGCTTTATTTATTTTTGATCAATTGTATATTTCAATATAATAGGGTAAATTTTTTTATTTGCCATATTATATTTTATTGGTTAATTGTAGATCCGCGTCAGCCTCATTACCTGCTAATTTTCTTAACGTGATTTTTTTGCCGCTTTTTCTTCGAAGAAGTGGGAGTACCCAAATTCCACCAAAACTAACGCTTTTTTATGCTCTCTGGTCTGTTAAAGGTAAACCCTAACTTTTTTTTTTCTTTTTAGTCTGTGCTACAAATGACACGCTCTATCCACGATAAAAACTTTCAATTTTTTTACGGCGTTGTAAATGGATTTCTATGATTGCTAGACTTAGGGCTTCACGGGTTAGTTAGGTTCTTAAAATAATATAAATTCCAGTTTGTAGATATACAATATGAAATAAACTGTGATAATGATTATTGAAGGAAGGAAAGATGAACGAAAACTGAATCACTCAAATGTACCTAAACTGTGAAAAAAAAGCGCGTGTTGTTAATGACCGCTCAGAAACCCAGATTCGCTGCCAGGCTAATTTTTCGTTCCTCTATTTTTTTTTCGCTTTTTCTTAAACGAAGAGGGAATGTTTACAGTCTTCTAAAGGCAGACTATACCTTTTTTCAAATGTGCCGAAAATAACCTGTTGCGCACAAGATAAAAACTCTCATTGATCCTGGTGTTTTTACTCTTTTCTTTTTTGTCATTTTCTCGTTATTTTTTTTGCTTTTATTTATTTCTTTATTTATTTACTTTTTGCTGCTTGGTGCATACTGTCAACCATACAATGTTAGGGATTCTAAGTTTGCAGTTACAGAAGCATATGGGTTTAAATTATTAATTTTTCAACTTGCAGTATTCTTTTTCTCTTTCTTTCTTTCTTCCCTCCATTCTTCTTTTCTTTCTTCCTTCCTTTCTGTCTTTCTTCCTTCCCTCCTTCCTTCCTTCCTTCCCTTTTTTTCTTTCTTTCTTTTTTTCTTAAAAACAAGCCTCGGGTGAAGAAACGAGCCTCGATCAAAGAAACGAGGCTCGATTGTGTAATCGAGCCTCGTATGTCGCAGAGTGGCAAAACGAGGTATCGTGGTCGTTTTAGATCGAGAGTTTTTGGTCTGGTTTACCAGAAACCTTGAGTGATCCCAAGCGAGTCTCGTTGAAAATCGTTTATCGAGTGACTCATAAATCGTGACGATTAAAAATCGAGTGGTTTCCCAGAAACCGTATGTGATCCGATACTTGTGGCCCTCGAAATATAAAATAAGCAGTTGGGTAATAAATAACTTATAAGACGCTTTAGGTGGGTAGTGTACCTGAGTATTTTTACGAGTTGTTCTGGCACTACTTGTATGTAAAAATAGCTTGTGATACTACACACCAAAACGTCTGAAAATAAAGTACATACCAAACCATTACTACCATCGCGGAGTAATTGGCTAAATGTAACATTTCTACCCTTACCCTCGATCATGATGTTAATATGTGTTCCACAGTGATTTGCTTCCACACCTGAGTGTTACAGCAGTCAACCTACAAAGGACGCTATCTTGTTGATGCAGCCTCTTTCCTGGGTTCCTCTCTATTGTTTCCAAAAAAGAGGAAGAGACGACACTGGGAGCGAGGTTTGCAAATTGAGCAACTTTTGGCTTTTAGAGCAACCTTTTGAGCAACATATAACTTCAAGATACATATCAAGCAAGAAAAAGTCAACGATTTCATAGAAAACTTAAGTTTATTCAAATTTTTTTAATTAATGACTGTTTATATGTAAAATCATATATGTGAACTGCGGTTTAAGAAATGAGTATGAAGGCGATCTTCGCAGTAATGAACACTACTGAGTATCATTCAGACCGTAGGAGAGATTTATACTTCCATAAAGATAAAAACCCTTTAAACCTTAGTGATCTTGGCATGCAGCAAGTTTTATCTGGCTTGGCTGAATAAAAAATGTATTTCTTTCTGAAACCAGGTAATTCACCTATTCAATGAGTGTCAAAGCAATTAGATAGTAGAATTATCACAAGCTTTGGCGGAAATCTGTTAATAATTTATTTATACATTTTTAAATAGGAAGAAGACAATTTATCATGATATGGCTATCTCAGCTGATGGGAAACATTGAAATCAAGGTTAAAATTCAGAAAAGGAGTATTTATGCACCCCATCCTCAACACCTACGAGTTATGAAAGGCAAGTAAAGCAGACAGAATCAACTTATTGAAATAGTTTCCATTTGATTAAAGTTCAAGGTGATATTTAAAAAATTCTACAGCACTCAAAGGTTCCTTTTCACTCTCTTACAGATTTTTTCATGTTTCATTGGTAACAGTGATTTGGCTAACATATTTGTTCTTTTGCAGAAATTCAGACCATTCCCCTGGAGCTTGATTGCAAAGGTTAGTAAGTTTGTCCAGTAATTTGTGTCTAGAATTAAACTTGCTCATGATACTAAGACTCATAGGGTGTATAGGAATTAAATTTGCTGCAAATTCAAGGCTATCACTTGCAGAGGATTCTAGACTTTGACTCGCTGAAGATGCTTGCTCTTTGACTCGCTGAAGATACTGGTCTTGGACTCGCTGAGGACACCAGGCTTTGACTTGCTGAGGATGCTGGACTTTGACTTGCTGAGGATACTGGTCTTTGACTCGCTGAGTCATCACGTACTAGTCGGAATAATAATAATGAGAAGCGAAACGCACGAATGACAGAGCACCAAATCGACCAATGACGACAAACAAAGGTGAAGTACGCATGTTCGAATACAGCGGTTGATAGTCTGTTATCGCGCTTCTTGGCTGATTGATTTTGTTATTTCGTGTACAACATGGATCTCCACTATTTCAGTAATTTAAAGCGAGCGAACCTTACAAGGATAATCCGATGACTTCAAAACCGGGGATTATTGGCCAAGCCATTGCACAACGGTGGGTGCAACCAAGACATGATAATGGTTCAGCGAACCGATGCCTACGTGGACGGATTTCGATGGTAGGGAGGAGAATTTGTCTACTAGATTTCCCACGAAAGTAATTATAGATCAAGTTTTGAGGCCTCAAATATTTTAGTCTTCGTTTTGTGGTATTCCGATAAAACATTAATTTTGACGAAGTCGATGGAGACTTTCACGCGAGAGAACGTTATCCTCTAAAATGCGACTAAGAAGCTCAGCAATATAACCATAATTATGGTTAGTTAAAATCAATCTAATTTAATATCCAACTTGATATGTTTGATTTAGGAAAATAAAGCAAAAAAAAATGAAGCAAAACAAAAAAAAAAAACCAAAACAGTCTCAACATAAGCGCTTTAGTGATCGTCTGCTCGTAGTTTATTCCTCGTGAACGACAGGCACCGCGAAGAAGGTGGGCCACGGTTGACGCCCAGTTTTCACTTGATAAAATTGTAAATCAAGTGTAGTTCGAAAGGATGTATGATTCCCTTGTCATTTCTTCATTTTCGTTTTCGTTTTCCTTTTTTTTTTTCCGAGACGGTTCGGATATCAACGACTCCCAGCAAATGTATAAAACGGTCGTCTCATCTAGTCTCACCCTTTGTTTAGGAGATGCTGTACTTGCAAGATGAAACGAAGCATTAGGACAAATTCTTTCTTAGCCAAGTTTCCGAAGCTATCTCTAGGACAGCTTATTATGCTAATATACTTCTGGTCGGTGGACCTAAGCCGCAAGAAGACGACGCAAATGTTGGCCGTCGCCAACAACCTGGTTTGTTAAGTATTTCGTGCCTTGGAGGATATTTGTTCCGTGGACCTGGCGACAAATCCATTTCTCCCGTTTCCGGTCGGAGGAGCGGCGGTTGTGAAATGTAACGAGAGTAAATTTAACCAAAAAGCAAAGGTAAATTCAAAGCTTGCTAAGTTTAAGTAGCAGCATTTAATCAAACAAATTCCACCCGAGCTGATATGGTCTTATTAAAAAAAACTCTTTAAAATATTACTCAAAGTACACGATTAGCAACAAGATCTAAAAAAAACTTACTTGAAAGCTGGTCTTACCAAAATTGATAGTCTAAAATATTTGAGAGAGGATGTCAGCATCCATCGAACAAATTTTAAATACTGTGGCAAGTCGCCCAAAATTCGTTTTCTCTCCTACTTTCATATTTTTAGCCCAATATGTCCTAATAATTGTGATGTAGTTTTTTTGTGAAAATATATTTTATTTTTCGAGAAATGATATTTTTCATTCAGCCGCTCAAATATGCAAATTTTTACCCTGAATATTACCCGAGTTGTGTGACCTCATGTAACGAATTTACCTGACCTCCGGTATTTCTGTCGGCATAATCCTTTGTTTTATCATCTTAACTTAATCCCTTGTCATTATTGAAGCTGGCAAAGAAATATTTAACATCAAAACAAAGACAGTTTTAACAATGACCGATATGACAGAATCTACTGAGCTTCTAGCTTTTAAAGACAAAAGGATGGTTATAAAGTTACTATAAAAATTTCCTTGTGTATTTGTGTTGTTCTATCGTGAGACGAACTCAAAGTTCGGCAAAATTTTCTTGCTAGCGACTATGAAATATACATGGTGTGTCTACTTGTCGCCACCGTTTACTAGCATAATTCACTATAGTTTGTAAAGAAATCTAACATAACCTCTTACCTTATTTATTTATTTATGATTTTATTAGCTGTTTCGGTGATCAAGTTATGCTCTACCATATTTTAGCCAGATTTAATTTACAGTTTGTAAATCTTCTTCACATTATTATATTAGTTGCATGACAAGCGTGACACATATTAATTCAAAGATGAATCAACCTCCGAATTGCCGAGAGATGGGTTTTTTCCCTCTCTTTTCATATCTATAAAAACCTTCCAAGAATTACTGTATTCAGAAAACTAAAATGTCCAGATCCATCAACGATTCCTTTGCCGGCAGAAGTCAAAGAATGTTTACAAAAGTCAATTCGATTGACAAGCTACATACCGTTTAACCAATTGATCAAAAATGGCACCTCGCTTCGATAGGAATCATTTTGTTGTTGCTTCTTACCTCTTGAAATTCGCTCGGTAATATAAAAAAAAGAACAATGCGGGTGGCTATATGGCCTTACCTCCATCCTAGCATCAGCACTGCACTGATGAGGCCCAGAAGGCCGAAACAGTACTGTCTGCAGTTAGTTATATATATAACGATTTTGATCCAATACTGTTGTTTGATGGCCGAGGGAAATTCTTAGGACATCGTAGTCAAATGCCGACCACATTCTAATCAACGCAAGAGGAAGAAAAACTGGCAAAATATCATGAAAGTCTACCCCGAAGCCAAGGTAGAGAGAAAACACAACGATATAGAGTTGACGTTGCCAGTCGTAACGGAAAATCTTGAGGTTGCTGCTTTTAGGCTTCCAGAAAAAAAAAATGACCAGAAACGAATGCAATGGCGATCTTTGGAAAAGATCCCACACAGGGCTGCAACTGAAGGATTCGGGCTTACTTGATTGATGATTCAAAAAAGGCGTTCGAGGTAAAAAAAGCACATAGCTATAAAAATGATGATAAAAGTAATTATGATTATAGTAAAGCATTGAAATAAGGAAAACTCAAATTGCAGTTAGCAAGAAGGCTCAATGAAACGGTGGTCGGTTTTAATTCAAGAACTCAGCAGATGGAGTCAGCCTCTAAACTGATGTAACAAGGTACAATTTACCGAATGGCGCTCCTCTGAAGCTATTTTCTTTTCAGTTGACTGCAGATCACAGTCCTCCTAATTCACTACTTATTTGATGAGGAACCGTCTGTGATCTCTGTATAACTGTGGTGCAACAATTAAAGCATTTTGTTTTTTTTCGTTTATCATTTTTCGTATAATCGTCAACTTTTTGTATATTTTGTTTATATTGTTTGGTTTTTGTTGTTGTTTTTTCTTCGCTTTTTAATTTATTGTATTATTTGATGTCAGGTTGTTCGCGACAAGAAGCAGAAAAAGGAAACAGAATGTTGACAACTCTCTGAGGCCTATTTGTGTCCAACAGCAAGGAAAACATCAGAATTGAGTTTACTGATCTAGATCCAGGATGGCAAATAAAAGGGGACAACGTGAAGGTGAAATGACATCATTCTCTGACAGTACGGATGAGTTCTCAGCTGCTCTACAATAAGTCTAGAACTTTCCGTGTAAAAGATCATTATAGAAAGTAAGACATAACAAGGAGAAAACAAATTGAGATTGCATGAAACATAAAACTGCTATAAAAAGCTAATCAGACAATCATTACTTCACTTAATGAGTAGTTCCAGGATTACTTTTTCTGTGCCATGTAGATTTGCGACATCTTTAAAGAGGAATAACGTCGCCCGTTTATGTCTCTATTTAGATAATATATATATATACATATATATATATATATATATATATATATATATGTATGTATATATAAGATGCGTGGAATTCGCCTGAAGACTCAGCAAATTTCCCTCTGTGTTTTTTAAGTAAGTTACGTTGATCGAACCAAGCAGAGTTCTTTTGCGGAATAACAGTTTCTCATGACGATGACAGCGCTAATACCGAGTTGGTGGCTTTCTTCAAGCAGGTAAACCAACAGCAGGTTATTAAAAAATTCAAGAGGATAATGACTATTTATGATAATAGTTAAGTAATGATACTACTAATAATAATGATAATATGATGACAAAGATAAAATAGATACAAATTCAAATCCTAAGTACATATGCTTGAAGAAAAAAGAAAGCTTTTGTATAATACTATGCAGTGTGTCAATTCAACAATGACTGTTTCTTGACTAGTTCCGGCTCTAATCAGGTTCCTCCAGCTTGTTCTGTCATTATCATTACTTTTCTTCGTAAATGTTTCTCTTCGTAATGACAATGATGATGACAATAATGTTGATAATGGTGATGGCAATAATAGTGATGGCAATAATAGTGATGGCAATAATAGTGATAATGGTGATTACGGTAATAGTGATAAAAATATTAATTATAATGATAACTGCAATAGTGATAATGATAATAATTATTATTGTTATTATCATCATAATAATAACAGGAGCAAAAGTGACAATGCTAGTTGCTTAAATAGGGATCTAATGTTAGTCAAGCTTTGTATATTTACGTATCAAAAACACACTCAAAGTACGCACAAATTGGAGTTGAAATTTACTGTTCAAATGGAATTTCTTAGAAAAGAGGCGGAAGGGTCAAGCTGCCACAGAAAAGTAAGAATGCTCCGATGAAACCTCGACACGGTAAGTTATATTTGTTCGTCAACAGAGGGAGGAAATGACTCTTAATTTTAAACTAGAAACTATTGAAGTTTTTTCCTGGGGATTTTGCAACGAATAGACGATTTTACATGCGATACCGTAGTAACCAGTGTGAGTAGCTGGTGGTTTTGTTGGGGAGCATCCAAGCAAGTTGCAAGGCCGTACGAGGAATGGAAAACAACAAACAAACAAACAAAAAGAAAAAGGTATCCTAAGTAGGTTAAACAAATACAACATCATGCGCAGCTCAAACCAACATTTACGACCGCCTGTACAATAATAAAGACTGAAGTAGTGATTATGTCAGAAATATCAAAACAGCTTTTGGTGAGGGTATGAAGGACGTGCAGATAATAATGAAACTTTATTTCTAATACTGTTATGTTGGTTCCTCGAGACACTTTTTTCGCTTGTAGAATTTGGGGCCACCTGCTATGGAATTAAGCATGAGTTTTCAGGTTTTACACTCAATTTGCAGGCTTGTTTTATATACTAGATAATGAAAACACCCCTAAAAGTATTCGCCTTCCCCCTTTCTAAAATTATTACAATAACTATGACGATGGTAGTACACATTGATATCTGATTTTAGACACCATTGTCCGATTTGAGATGCTCATGTCCAATTTGAGATAGTAGTCTTATTTAAGACACCGGTACCGATTTTAGAAACTAGTGTTCGTATTTAGACACTGGTGTCCGATTTAAGACATTTGTTTCCGATTTCAGACACTAGTACCGAGTTTAAAAACTTGGTTCCCTTTTCAGAAAGTAGTATCCGTCTTTATTTCCTGATATATGAATGACTAACTCTTGAAACGTCTGCATTTTTATATTTATTGATTTCTTTATTTTTTACGGTGGCTTTTCTTTTCACGTTAGCTCCGTTAACGTGAAAAAATGAACTTTACTCTTATCCAAAACCTTAAAACTCCTCTTATCCTGGAGTTTTCAGTCATATCCGAGCTTCGAAGGGAAAGGAAAACGTTTTAAGTTTTGTTTATTATTAAAATGACATAAAATATGTCAAAATATTTAGTACTTTCTATCTCACGGATAAATATTTCAGCAAGTACAAAACTAGTAAACGTATCCTGAAAGTATTGATAAATATAAAAATAGATTTAAAAAAAATCTACTTTTCAATATGGAAAACGCTAATTGGATTCAGGTGGGATTCGACGCCGTCTCATTTAGGGACGGTATAAATTAGCGAGAACCAATAAGAAAGATTGAATTAAGTCTTCAGTACAGACATGAATTAAAGACATATAAATAAGAGTAGGCAGGTAAATGAATACCTTGCAAAAAAACCCTAATAGTTATCAAGGAAAAAAGGCTAGGGGCTTATTTTCAGTAAACACTACTCGTAAGGTTTCATAAGATACCATAGATGTTTGTTTTGGTTTTTATTTTTTTACCTTCTTTCTTTTCTTCTTATCCCAGTTTGCTTTGCACACCCCACTGCATAGATGAATACACTAAAACATATATTCGTGAGAGGTATGATGTCTATTAAGGATACTATGCTATTTGCATCTACTTATTAATACGGCGAAATAGCGCTTGTCATTGCAAAGACTTGCTGAAAAATTAATATTGAGCAAGTTATTACATTCATAGTCAAGCTAGCATGAAGCACAAATTCTCAAGCAAGTCTCCCTTCTGATTTATTATTTGTTTTATTAACTTCAACTTCGCGAGTTAATTCCCCTTTAATCGTGTATTTGATGTTGTCATCTTTTTGGAGTGCGATTTTGTGTTGGCAACACGTGACAGCAGCCACACATTGTATTATCAGTTCGATACCTCGACGAGATTTACTAAAATTAAACGCAGTGGTTGTTTAAAGATGACAAACGCCAAAAATAGGAATTATACCATCGAAGCTAAGTTAAAGCGTTTTAAATGTAAGGTTTAATACTGATATCATGAGCATTTTACATCAGTATGAATACCTAACTGATACTAGTTAAAAGAAAATACTTGTACGTAAGATATTTAACTGCTTTCGCCTTTATCTATGCGATACACCCATTCTCAACTAACACGGTCCATTGAGGATTTGTTTTTGTGCCAGTACCAATTCACATTTGCGACAAAACGATCTATCACATTCAATAGCTCTGAAATTTTGTCTCAAAGCCATTTCAAAGGAGATCATAGTTTTCCCTCTGGAATCCGAGTAATATATTTCTGTTCTTCTTCCTTCTTTTCTTCTTTTTTTTCGGTTTTCTTGTTTTTTGTTTTTATTTTTGTTATTTTTGCTTTTATTGTTTTTTGTTTTTGTTATTTTTGCTTTTCTTGTTTTTTGTTTTGGTTTTTGCTTTTTTATTTCCTGTCTCATTATTAATCTGCTCCTACCATACTACTTTGTGGCCTAGTTGGTAAAAATACGCTACTAGTATTTGAAGGCGTTCAAGCGCCTCTCAAATTTAGTTTACCAGCGACGATATATTCGTCATCACCCACTTTTTAAAATATGATATCCCCCCCTTGCATTTTTGGCCAAACTCAAACCTTTAGAGCCAGATAACCCATGATATAGTTTTGCAGTTTAACGGGTCCAAGGGAGAACTTTCAAAATTTGATTCACGCCAATTGCGTTCGTTGCAATTTTCAAAGGAACATCGACTCGTGCCTTGGGTGATTACCTAGTATAATCATATTTCCTCGAATCGAGCAATCAAGCTCTGCACAACGACACATAGCATATTTTTGCTTAATACTCATCACAAGGTTCATGTTTAACCCTGCAAGCCAAAGGTTTTCATTTGGTCAGCCAAACTTACCAATTCCAAGTCGGAACGGAAATGTACCAGTGTTTCAACCCTGATGAAGGGTAAACGCTCGAAACGTCAGTTTTATAAACTCTTTACGGTGGCCGATTTACATAATCAACTTAGTTCGTAAAACCAAATTATCTTGTAATACCTCCTCTGAAGCAGCACCACAGTTTCTCTAAAACTTACACTCTTTATGGATATGATTGGTTCGTCATGCCCTGCCTCTTTAAATAAACCAACACGCGCCTTGGCAGGATCCTTTGATATTTCTCGATTGAACCTTGGTGTTTAATTCTAGCGAATTAAATGTCTGCAACTTTCAACCTTAGCCTAATAATAAATTCAGTCCTTTCAGGTCTACCTTGACCAGGACGATCACACTGCAAGATCATATCCACTTGCAATTTTGAATATAAGTAACATGATATTTTGTTTCCATGAACTTCTACTAGGTAAATCGTTATGTTCCTTTAACAATGATAGGTTATGAAATTGATGCAAATTTGCTGCGAATTTGAATATTGCCAATGTAACATCATGAAGATAACTTTTTTCTCCCAAATCTAATAACATCGTGTAAAACTCAATTGTTATCTGAACAACATCCTCCATTCCGAGGGTGAAATCTTATTGTGCTTGTAGTTTTACGCATTTGTTTTCCTCAGAAAAATTGTAACATGGCACCTTTTCTAGTTACGTAGTAAAAGTAATTTTTTAAAAGCCATAGCACAGCTGTACCACAAACAACTCTGACGCGACTTGTAAATCCACGGTTGTTCCTTTCTATTCCAAACAAAACAAAAAATTAATCAGAACCCAATATTATACCACAAAAAGAAGAATTCCTTAACGCTACATACCTGTGACGCCTTCAACCCTAATTAGATTAGATACAAGCACAATATATAACCTAGCAGTGAGAAAAATAAATGTCTCTCTAGCTATAGATCCTTTCATTAACCCTTTTTATAGCTCACTGCCCTACCGACTCAGAGATCCTTAAATTTCGTTTCACAGCAATGTTCAAACTAAATATGCACCGTTTTCCTTTCACAGAACGCCAGATAAATCATGTCAATTTGGTAGTCATTCGTTGACATTTTTATCATAGCTTTTAAAAAAAACTAATTACATTAAAACAAGCTGTTTGCATACCAGACACTTTCTCTTTCACCTCCAACCTGTACTCAAGATTCTTAACATACAGATAGCAGCCCCCAAAAAAACAAGCAAAAAAACTGTGAGACTTAGTAATTATGGTGAGAAGAAAGTTAAAGTGAAAAGAAAAATATAATAAAATGACAGCATAACAAAATAACACAACATTAGAAGGAGTTCTCTCGTAAAAAAATGCAGTGTCTGAAGTTTCCCTTTAGGCGGCACAAAGATAAAATGAAATAAAATACTCTATTTACGCCACTTTACAAAATTAAAAGAAAAAAAAGGAAACTTACTATAAACTGGTTAAACCTGAATTCCGATTGCTATATCTTGCTCAACTAGCTCGTGCTCAACACCACATCGTGTTTCCCCGCCTCTCATCTAAAGCAAAGTAAATTTCAAATAATTTACTTTTTGCGTTGTTGGCAGGACTAGAAATTACACACAGTCACAACACCTAGTGAAAAGCCTCAGTAACAAATGAGATTTATTTTATTTTTTATTTTATTTAAAATCGTACACACTCATTTACAAGGAGTACATTGATAGTCATCTAGAGGTTTTTTTTTTAAAAAAATGCACGATTACGTTAATTGTTGAGTCTCAATCCTCTAGCCTTGCTTCACTCTATATTCCTGGAACATCTGCTACTTTATTGATGTCTTCATGCGGGTATTCTTAAGAAATATTTTACCATTAAAATTTACCAGACAGCATCTTGATAACGAGCGGAGGTGAAAAGTAAAATTGGACTTTCTGAGGTTAACATACATTAACATACATAAGGGTTGTTATCTGAGAAATTCTCGAAAAAAATCGATTTCAATAATGGTAACTCACTGTTAAAAGGTCTACGTCTAACTCTCTCATCTCCAGGATCATATCTCCATTTTCACTCAACAGTTTTCCTTCAATTTTCACGATAGAGGCGTCACAAATTGGTAGGATGCACGTGACTTTCTCTGCCAGCCTCATCTGGTCAATCTTCCTCCTTTCGACCTAGAAAATAACGCATGGTGGACTACTTTACACTTTGATGATCTAATATAAAGCTAACTAGCAAAATCGTCGTTCTCTCTTAGGTTTGTTTCAACCAATGTAGAATTCCTTTTTTAGCAGACAATTGCCAAAGCGAAAAATCCAAACTGTCTTTAAGGCTTAAATTTTTAGATGAGGCCATCAAGCAATTCAGTTGGTGGAACTAGTTATAGATCTGCATCCTATTCTTTACCTGCTTGGAAAATTCAAAATCTCCAATGATGAACAGTGCAATGAGTATCTTTCCTTTTCCCCTCTCCCATCGGAAACTGTTTGTGTATAGCTCCTTCGTATTTTGACCACGGTGCACCTCCTATGCAAAGTTCATAATCATTTCAGAGTTGTACACGACGTCTATTATAAACACAGACAAATACTTTTTTCGTGATCTTCATTACTACAAGTTAACACTTTATCTTCACATATATTAAGGCTTCTTGAGTATTAAGAACCAAGCATACTTCTCAAATATGATTGTACCATCTGACTACTGGTTAGATCAGGTTTGACTGATTTTATAACTGACTGTCTGACGTAGTAACTAATTTCCGTAATTACCAGCGACTGTCTAAATGATAGTTAACAACTGTTCACCAAAGTGGAGGTGGCTCGTGGTGAATATTGACCGAGCCACGAGGTGGTGAGGTAAATATCTACGTTAGCTACCGACACTGAGGTGAATAGCATTTTCAGCATGTAATAAAAAAATGGGATAACATGTCCAAAATTTTGGTTTTAACTCATTTACTCCTGCAGCGATTACAATATTTTTTTCGGGTGCAAATCTTGCGTGAGTTGCTCGAAGATAAATTATAAAGGATATTCGGTGTTTCTGTAACCAATTAGAGGGTGACTTCTACGCTATCCACTGTTTTAGTATATAATAACATATACTAAAACAGTGCTAGTAAGACTGACTGAACGGCCGACTGGCCGACCGACACATACCCGGAGAATATTTAACCGACCAGAATCCTCCGAAGCCCTGGTGACGTACATGACCAGTTGGTGCCGTAATCTTGATCCCACCTTTTTCGCTTCTCGCACACAGCTGAAAATATCTACCATGTAATAATCGACGCATGACTCTTGGATGCGTAAAGGAACGTTATCAGACATGGTAGGGCCGATAGAGCACAACACGGTTACTTTACTTTCTTTTTTGGTGTAAATTGCAGCCTTATAAAAAAAAAAAAAAAAAAAAAAAGGTAAGAAGTTCACAAAATATATTCAATAGCGGACATAACATAACAATAAATATCACATCAGTGTTTTCCTGTCGTAAAGCTATTGTCCAATATTACAATTCACTAACTGTTAGGCACCCCTGTTTAGCATAGACAATTCTTGATTCAAGGAAAGTTAGTTTCTAAACAAAACGTGGTGCTGCGTATGTGTGGGTACCGAGTGCTCACAAGCCAAACATGTGATGAATTAAGGGATTCCCCTTGGCACTTTCGACTTCAAAAATGCTTGCACATCAAAAATCAACAACCTTTATTGAGACGCCGTCAAAAAAATTAAAGAAAACTTTTTGCTCAGACTTAGTTATTGTAAAGGATTTCCCTGTTTTCTTCTCAGATATTCAATAGCCTAGAGACTGGGGCTTCAGCGAAAGAGCTTATCTTGGAAACCCGATGGCCGCTTTCCTAAGTGTTTCTGGATTTTTGTTTATCTGGTCTCGTGAAAGTGTTTTAATCAGGGTTGAATGATTTTCTATGCGACAAAAATGTGCTTCATTGCAAATTTTTGTTTTCGACGAGGGAAAAACCCCGGCCTTGTTTTTTTTTGTTTTGTTTTGTTTTCGATTAATTACTGTACGACTTGTTTCAAATCATATACCTTATTTTGGTGCTTTCGCCAGATTCGCTATTTGCAGCAGAACATAGGAGAAAAATTTAGTAAGGGAATATAAAATCTTATGAAAACTTCAGTTTTGTCTTTTGATTATTTTTTTAACCTCTACAGACGGCGACTGCATGGCGGTTGATGACGTGCTTTTATTATGTTTAACAAGTGGTCTCAGTTTTCATTTGTTATGAAGACATTTGCCTTTATTTCTATTTTAATGTAACTTCACAGCTCAAATGGAAATCGAAGGCGACTTCAATAAGCAATCTTGGCAGCGTTAAATGCCCATCTATTCTAGTTTCCATCATTGGCTTAGCTAAAACATACTTTGTGTATTAAATGTTTTACTAATTAGGGAAAAAGCCCCTTTACGCTTTCACTTTCCTGTTTGGGTTACATATTGGCGACAAGTACCGGTCAAAATCCACCCAGTTGGCACGAATCAAGCAGCGCAAAGGGAGAAAGAGATGTTCGTGGTGTTGAAATCATGTAAAGCCCAAGAGAAAGCAAAAATCCAGCCCAGCAGCAAGAATGCGTCCAGGTAAGACAATGCACATATTATCAACTGATTCATTAATCTACAGACACCGACTCCTACAAAAATCAGATCGTACCTTGCAAATAACAGAAAATGCTGCACACATCAAAAGGTACCGATGTATCGCCCGAAATTCAAATTAGTATACATTTTCATCTTCGGTATCTTCATCGCGGCTGCTCTTATATGCTAACACATTGAAATTATATTGAAAATATAGAAGGAGTTATTTGCAATTTATCTGTAGCTCTTAACACATGAAATGATTTTAACCTTTCCTCTGACGCAGTACAAGGCGTTTTTTTGTTGTTTTTTTCGTTCGCTCATTTGTTTGATTTTTTTTCCAACTTTTTTCCAACTTTTCCAAGAATGCTGGATGAGCTCGAATTTACTTTGGTTCATTAGTGACATTTCTGTCACTGGAGTGTCATTCTATGTGAGGACTGATCTGAAGCACATTTGTAGACTCATCATCATTCTCATTATAGCCTCAACCGTCACCATCTTCATCGTTATCACTATCACTGCCATCATTACTATTATCGTCACGGTCATCATCGTTATCGTTATCGTTATCATCATTTATTTGTATCGGTATCGCAGAGGTCATGGGTTTAGAGCTCGTGCGGACCTGAACATTTTTCAGGCCTTATTTTCACCACTAGTTTAGTAGTATTCATAACTGCAAGGATCGATTCTATATCCGTTTATTCAACCGCAGTGCACATATATGATTTTCATATATTTGCAGTCGTTGTTATCATCATTGTCACCATCGTTATCATTATCACTGCCATCATTACTATCATCGTCACTGTCATCATCGTTATCATTATCATCAAGCAAACAATCTATCTATATATCTATCCATCTTATCAACCATCAATCCATCAATCTACCTATAGATTCATCTCTTTACTTGTTCATCTGGCCATTTTAAAATCTAGTTTATCATGCATCTCCTTCTTTTTTTCTCTAAGGTTGTTTTAGTTGTTTTTTTTAAACTGATATTATATCTTAATCTCTAACAGCTGTGATGGTCACTAGCCGTTACGTGATATATCAAAATGGGCCCGTTCCTCCGAAGCCCATTTTGCTGGAACACTGCTGTTTGATGGTGAAGGGAAACACCTGGGTTACTTCTGTTGAATGCTGGCCACATTCAAATCAAAGTAAGAAAAAGAAAAAGTGGCAAAATATTCAAGAAGTGTATCCTGATGCTAAGGTGGAGACAAAACATAACGACATCCGGCTGACGTTGCCAGTGCTAAGAGAAAGTCTCGAAGTGGCAGCCTTTGGAACTCCAGGAAAAGATGACCAGAAGTGAATGCAAATGGCGATCTTTGGGAAGGAGCCAACCAAAGCCTGTGAGTGGCGTATCAGAGTTTATCTGATAGATGATTCCGTTCAAGGTAACACATTTACTCCTGATCTGTATTCCACCAATTTTTTTTCTATAGGAATAAAGGTTAAGTCAAAAGAAAAAAAGAAGAAAAACTAAAGAAGAAAAGAAAGATTATTGCCTCAATGATCCTACTGAAATATTTCATCCTCTTCTTGAATCACTCTTTTGAATTTTTCTGTCATTTTTCTCCTAAGTTAGTTTGCTCTTTGCTCGAATAAGTTGTTTTAATTTTTTTTGTACATCTTTGTTTGACTTGTTTGTTTGTTTTTTTGTTTACGTTGTCGGTAAAGTCTGTTCACCTTTTCCCTTTTATTCAATTTTACAGCAGATTTGCAAGGAAAGAGAAGATGCAGAAATGAAATTTTTGACAACACTGTCCAGCTTGTTTGTATCCAACAGTGAGCAGGATATCAGCATAGAAGTTTCTGCCGTGGCATCGGGGTGGCACATCTCAGGGGAAAATATGAAAGTAAGTTACTCTAGAGAGGGAGGGTGTGTTGTTAGATAGTATGACTTTTAGGGATAACTGACACTAGAAAGATTTAGTTTTGATGGTAAAACACGTATTTAAGCAGTAGATAGAGCCTGCCAACGCAATAATTTTAGGGTTTTGATCCCAAGATTTTCAACTTTCATATAATTCCGTAGGCGATAGCTTCAAGAAGTGCCTGGAATTACCAAGAAAATGCGACAGATTTTCCCTGTTGTGAGTTTTCTGTGAGTCACGTTGATATAAAAAAACAGCAGTTCTTCTGTAAAATGACAGCAACACACGAAAACGACACTGCTGGCAACGAGATTGTGGCCTTTTTCCAACAGGTAAATAAACTCATCATAATCTTTACTTAATCTATGTTGTATCCTCACGGCTATCGTAATGCTATCGACTTTACGAAGCAATTTACAAAGAAGTAGCCAAAGTAGAAATTACTAGCTAGATAACGGCAGCATGAGAAGACCTGAGAAATTGCTGAAAGATCGATCTCAAAAAGTGAGATTAAGTTATCTACTAGTTTACTTGCAATCGAAAACAACTCGTTTGGAAGAACGGTGATTAGAAAACAAAACAAAAACAAAGACAAAACAAGGAAAAAAATAATTAAAAAATAGGGAGAAAAACTGATAAGGAATAAGTTTTACAACAACAAATGTCAGCTAATATAATAGCTAATATTAGGATAGGCGATTTATCAAATCTCCTTACTTCATTTTACAGAAAAGTGATGCCAAGATCAACAACCCAACTGAGAAGAAGTTCAAGAACACTCTGAAGATGAACTGTTCGAAAGGTTAGACATATTTATGTTTTTTTTTTATAATTGGACAAAATTGTATCATTATGCTTTCCAAGTCAAATTTACCTTAGGTCCCCCAATCATATTTAATCAATGTCTTTTAGATATCCTTAGGGTTAAGGAGAGAAAGGGGATTTATTCAAATTGAATAGCTCTCGCCAAACTTTATGAGAGCCGAGCCAACATTGAGAGTATAGGATGTATAAAGATGAACACTAAAATATTTCTGTCATTTAACCGACGGGTTGTTTGGCTACAAATCCCTCAGCAGTTGACTGATGAGATGAAATGAGCATCATTTCGTTTTTTTTTCTAAAGACAACAGGTGGGCTGTCCCAAGATAGGCTGCCCTAATTCAAGCAGCTTCGTTAGTCAGAAGTGAAAATTATGAAGCTGATAAACCTTTTGGTTGGGAATTTTCGATTAAATAATCGATGCATTAATTAATTCATTCATTCCCTCATTTATTTGTCCATTCATTAATTTATATCATCAGAATCTAATGCTACTGGATGAAGTCTCTGGGACGGATTGTTGTTGTACAACTTCTTACCAAGCCTTGCGGCTTTGTATTAACATAATGATTTCCACCGTCCACTGTATTGGCACGCTCACAAATCTCCAAAGATAACATAAAAAGGCCTCCGATCGAATGACAAAAATGATGGATCTAAATTGCTTCCAATGGATCTTTGCTAGGCTGCAAAGAAAGCTAAAAAACTTAAATAGTAGAATACATCGAGTCAAATTAAAATGTAGGAATGTAAGGGCTGAGTTTCTTTTGTCTTTTTGTTTTGGCCAATTTTATGGACCAAGCCTAATGCCACATTGAAATCTGTCAGCATTTTATGGGCAGTCAATTAAAAGCAAAAAATGTCCAGCTGTTGAAAGTTTTCTTGTTTGACCTTTGTTTGACAACTCTCTTCTATGTTTTTCTTCCTTTTTTTTTTTTTGCTTGTTTGTTTTTTTGTTATTATTTAATTTCTATTTAATTTACTCTTTCATGTTATCTATACGAATTAGTTACGGCTAAACCCAGTACCTCGAATTGCCATGAGAAATTGAAATTACTTCGAGTTATACGGGCTTTGAACAAAAAGACCAGAAACACTTGATTAAAGAGGTTTTATGCTTATACAAGTTTCACTGGAAGATTTCTAGAAATGTAAGAGAATAATAACGACAAAACAAAACAAAAAAAAGCATGAAAACCACAAAAAAGTACATGCTCTTCAGAATGTTTATAGCGCTTAATCTCATTTTAACATTTTTTGAAAAATCTATTCACATGATTTATTTGAAGAATAGTTTTCCGTTGCAAAATGTTATTTCTCATTAGTCTGCAAAAATTAAAATCTACTTCGAGTTATCGAGGGTAAATTTTCAAAGAAAAGTACCTGAAGGAAAGTAAAAATCGCTACGAGTAAGCGGGGTTTTAAGTTGACGGGGTTTTGAGTTATAGGGGTTAAAATTACATTAAATGTATGAAGCAAATCTAAGGGAAATCAGTTTTGCTTCGAGTTAGTATGGAAATCGAGTTACCGAGGACTCGAGTTATCGGGGTTCAACTTATCTTAATTTTTATTCAAACCAATTTTTATTTTTCTATCTTTGACTGAGTACATGTTTTCGAAAGGTGTTGAGGCAAGAAGATGTGGACTCGCCCTCGTGACGTGAGCATCTTCTTTAATGACCACCCTAAGGATATATGGTTGAATCTGCTTTAAAGAAGAAATTTAAACTCTTACCCTCAGACTCTGACTTTACTCTTTATAACATATATAACTTAACTTCTAACGTACCTGTTCCTCTTCGTTGACATCAGCTCCGTTTTCTATGAGCAACCTTACAATATCAGTGTGACCATTCGTTGTAGCCTCAGAGAGTGGAGTGTCCTTCAAAATATAGAAAAGAAAAACAATGAGAAAGTATAGAAATATATAAACCGCATTTTCTCTTCTTTAATGACCACCCTAAGGATATATGGTTGAATCTGCTTTTAAGACGACTACATTCTGCGACAAATTTAAATGAAATTTAAACTTTTACTCTCAGACTCTGACTTTACTCTTTATAACATATAAAATTTATCCTTCTAAAGTACCCATACTTTGTTGACATCAGCTCCGTTTTCTATGAGCACCCTTACAATATCAGTCTGACCATTTCTTGCAGCCCCAGAGAGTGGAGTGCCCTTCAAAACATAGAAAAGAAACACACAGAATAAGTGTAGTAATATATAAACCACATTTTCTCTTCTTTAATGACCACTCTAAGGAGATATGGTTAAATCTGCTTTTAATACGACTACATTGTGCTACAAATTTAAATGAAATTTAAACTCTTACTCTCAGACTCTGACTTTACTCTTTATAAAATATACAATTTATCCTTCTAACATACCCTTCTTCCCTTGTTGACATCAGCTCCGTTCTCTATGAGCAACCTTACAATATCAGTGTGACCATTTCTTGTAGCCTCAGAGAGTGGAGTGTCCTTTAAAATATAGAAAGGAAAAACAATGAGAAAGTATAGTAATATATAAACCGCATTTTCTCTTCTTTAATGACCAACCTAAGGATATATGGTTGAATCTGCTTTAAAGACGACTACATTCTGCTACAAATTTAAATGAAATTTAAACTCCTACTCTCAGACTCTGACTTTACTCGCTATAACATATAGAATTTATCCTTCTAAAGTACCCATACTTTGTTGACATCAGCTCCGTTTTCTATGAGCACCCTTACAATATCAGTCTGACCATTTCTTGCAGCCGTAAAAAGTGAAGTGTCCTTCAAAATATAGAAAAGAAAAACAGTGAGAAAGTACTGTAGTAAATATCGGTGCAGCGCTCTCCCAACTCTACGCTGCACCGGTATCGCAGAGGTCATGGGTTCAAATCCCCTACGAACCTGAATTTTTTTCAGGTCCTATTTTCAACTACTAGTTCAGTAGTGTTCTTAGCTGCGAGGATCCTTTAAATTCGTTCTGTAGTAAATGGTTGAGTCTGCTTTTCTGACGACTATACTCTTCAAATGTGTTTTAAGCATAAGTTCCGAAGTAGTATTACCTTGTACAACAGTTAAGCATATGATAATAATTCAATTTAATGGTAAGAAGGGGCACTAAGAATGGAACAACACAGTGACCCCCCCCCACCACAGACATGGCTTCTGTCCCTTCCTGCTTAACCACGAGTTTCAAACCTTTTAAGACAGTTTTCAGTTCCGGTCCGATCGAGAGACGTTGTTAGAGCTTTTAAATTTAAAGGAAAACTATATAACTTAAATAATATTCGTTTCGGAAATAATACGCATCTAACTTTTCAAGCGACAAAATTAGTTTTGGAATCAACGATAGTTTGATTATTAAACGTGATAAGAATAATGGCTGGAAAATGAAACCTGAATTGGGAACAATTTTCAACGGTAAATATCATTCGAAATATAAGTGTTCTTTTCCTGAAAGTACTGTTGAATAGAAGAATTTGTTACAGATCCTTCTCTTTCACAATTTTTTTAACACATTACTACGTAATTATCTGACAGTAAAGTCCAGTAAGCAACGATTTAATCGTGGTAAATTTGTTGCACGCATCTAAAAATCAAGGAATTCACAAGTTATGCACTTCTTAACAAATTTAGCCCTTCTCTGAACAAAGCTATGGTCTTCAAATATTTTCTGATCAGGTTTGCCTGTCTTTTTATCCATCCCGTCCAGTTAGGCCGCGAGTTTTTTATTTCTGTCCAGTTGAAGTACACCATTTGGCGCTTAAAATATGTACATAAAAACTAAATAACCTATGTAATACTCGATTCGTATAAAAACAAACATATTACTTTTAAGCGACAAAATTAGCTTTAGAGTTAACGATACCTCCATTCCCAAATTTTAAACGTGATAGGAATTAGAGCTGAAAAATAAAAACTGAACTCAAAGTAGTTTTTGCAATGCTAAATCTAAGTGTTCATTCACAGTTCAGATTTTTTTTTAACTCGTGAGACGGACTTCGGCAAAAAGTTGGGACTGCTTGCAGTCAGAAAAAAACTAAAATTGTGTTTTACCCATGAGGAATGAAATCTCAGGCATTACGGTATCGTGGTCAACTGACTCTCTGCCACTCTACTACAGAGAACGCATTGGTGAACTTATCCTGTATAAACTAAGGTCATACAGTGAATGCGTGTCAATAAAAACTGCTTAGATCAGCAACGTAGTGTGTGTGTAAATAGATTGAGAAAGATTTGGGCTCGACTTTTCTTTTATTCAACAATTAAGATTAAAACTAGCAATGTGAATGTGGCTGCCATTTTGATGAACTTTGTTGCTATTCGTGTTCAGGCACTGTTTTCAAGATTGCCATCTTGCATGAAAAACATCAGCTAAAATGTTTTGAAATAAATTAGTACCAAGGATTTTTGACCATACAGGTTATATTACCCAAAGGTAAAAAATCTCAAAAGAAAGGAAACATGTTTTCGCTTAGAAGCTAATGGTACAATAATGAAAGAAGACTGACCTCTCGCAAAGATTAAAGTTCACAGTTTGAAATCCTTCCTAACTGATTAAAAAATCACCTGTATACAGTCGTTAGCTAGTTTATACATGCATTCACCTCACGTTGTGAAACATTGTGTAAAGTTCTGCAAATGAACAATTAAGAGTTGCCCTCAAGGATCTAACTTCCAAATTCTGGGAAAAAACTATACATAACAAACACACCTGGCTCTTTTCATTCTCTACTTCAGGACGACGACTCTGAACAGAGGCATCATCTGGTAATGATAGGTGAATATGCGAGTTCCCTTGTTCAGAAAAGAGCCTCTGTCCTTGGCTTAAACCTTCCTCTGAATCAAAGACATCTCTCTCCACACCTCCATCAGTCTTATTTGGTTCCATAGATGACATTTCCCATCTTGAATGCTCATCCTTTCCAGCATCTTCATTCCCACAAAGATCAAACCAACTGGCGAGACCTTCCACTTCAATAATTGCTGGCAAAATACCATGGCTCACGTAAGTTTCCTTGTTAATGACATTATGCAGATACTGAGTTGGTTTTAATTACGGAACAGGTTCTCAAGATTTTCCAGCTTTAGAATAATCCTAGTCTTAGATCCAACTTTCTGGGAAGTTAAGGGATGGCTTATAAATGGAGGGGATTGTATTTGGAGGACATGGAAGCTGCACTGACTAGGTTTGAAAGTGAGCCAATAAAAAATACACCACTTTTCTCAATTATTGCACTTCTTTGATTTAATGCCACAGCTCTTACTACTGGTATTTCTTCAAACAAGTTTCTGATAACTTAAAATAGAGTTTAAAACCAAATCTCTACCAATATAACCCCAGATTGATATCAATTAGAAATAAATGTACAATTGACTATGAACACATAATTCCTAACCATAATCTGTAGTTCCATAACACTCTGCTATTTTTGTGTAACCAATTCTTGAAATGAATGTGAAAAAATTCGGTTTAAGGCCTACAAAAGGAATTTTTCAACACTGAATAATTATTTTTATCTGCATATAAACGAATTTTTTCCGGCAAGGAGAGATAAAAATAACTGTACTCTCATTTGCATCAGAATATTTACCTGATTCTTCCCATTCCTGACCTGAGTGTATTTCCTCATCACTACACTGTAGAGGGGCCATGTTTAATTTCCTGTCTCTATTCCACATAGGGTTGCTTAGGGGAGATTGAGCTGCCTCTTTAGTAATTGGTCCAGGATGTGTTGTTGATTGCTGGTTTGAAGTTACAGAAAGGATTGATTCTGAAGGTTTTGGTATAGCATTTGTGTAAGGTGGTTTAAAAAGTGCATCATCCTGGTACTGACTTTCTCCATTCTCTACATTTAGGGCAGGGACATCACGACAAGGCACTGGGGTATCATCACGTGATGCTGACAGAGTATGGGAGGTTCTTTCTTCAGAATAGAGAACCCAGGAAGACCTTGAAGTCACTGCTGGTAAACCACTTGCACTGACACCATCGGAGTTTAGACTAGGATCTGTTTCAATCTTTAACACTGAGCCATTTTTTTTCTCTTCATCCATACCATATGCATCAGATGGAATGACTTGATGAAATTGGCCCGCAGTTTCTAGGCGACTTGCATCAAGTAATGATGTTGAAAACCCAGCACAAGACAAACTCCTGTTTTCCAAGACGTTCTGCCCATCTCGATACACAACATTGGCTTGACCAGCTATTGGGTTGTTTGGATGAAATTGATGCCCTCTAACCATACTTTCTGCAGCTTTAACAACTTCTGGACATAGACCCTCTTCTTTATTATCTTTCACTTCCCCGGTAGTGTCACTTGGTTTATCTTCCAGAGGAGGTGAAAAACTCTTTTCTGGGCAATCGTCTGGGGCAGTGCTTGTCTTCCAAGTTTCCTCTACATCATCTCCTGACTTGGATGGCAATTCTAACAGATAAGAAGGAAAACAGTAAGAACACTTGGATACTCGCTTCTTAGAGGGAAATGGTGTTCTCTCACTTTACCATTTCACCACAAATGCTCAAAAACAGACTCAATATTGTGGTGCTATATCTCTACCTCTATCTCTCTTTAGAGAGGAATAAGAGTTCAGGCAACGCTGCAACACTTTACATGATAAATGAAAGATCAAATTTTCCTCTCACAATTTAGGGTCAATATCAACTGAAGTTTCAAGCTATAAACTCAAGAACACAACTTCATTACCTATTAATACACGATGTTAAACACTGCAATGCGCGCTATTACCTTGTTACCTGATTATTACACATTGCAAATCGTTGCCATGTGCATTTTCTGCGCTTACTTAATTACCCAATGAAAAACTCTGCAATGTACGTTTTCATACAATACTTTTAACGCTTTATTACATGATTAATCAAAACTATAACAAAATTCTCGAATGTCATTGGTTATCACCACCCAAATAGAGCACTATGTAGGACAGTGTACACGTCATGCTTCTAGTTGAACAGTGTAATAGGACAGCTAAAGGGACAGTTGACACTTCATGCCTGTGTAAGTGGACAAAACGCGTCATGTGCGCATGCTTTTTTCTCGCATTTCGCCGAGTTAATTGTTGTTGTTGTTGTTGTTCTGAAAACGTATGGCCAATGTCTAGTTTTTTCTTCAAATTTTGTCAAAATTTTGATTTATTTTGGAGTTTGTGTCGTCCAATTCTGTCCGTAATCATACAAGTGACTAACAAAATGGGACGACCGCGAAGCCGGAGTCCGATTTGTTCATCACCAGTGATTAAAAAATCGTGATTAACAAATTGGACTCCCGCTTCACGGTCGTCCAATTTTATTAATTACTCGTATGATTACATACCGAATTGGACTCCACTCCGTCCTATTATTATTATGTAAAACACTATCATGTGCTTCTGCCAAAGTTATATTGTTACGCTAACAAAAAACCCTGATCTGCTTTTAAATAAAACCAGCAGGGAACACCTTATTTCAGCTAATAGGCTGAAATTATGGAGATCAACAATCCTAACAAAGGCAGCATATGTCTTTCAAACAATAATTTGTCTCTAACCATCAAAGCTGAAATGAAATGTTTGTTTGAAAACGTTTACGGATTACATTTTAACAAAGTGTTTATATAAACCCTCATAGTGACACATATCCCTTTTCCGGGTCTCAAGAGCAATTTTTTTTCTTTAAGACAACTGGATAAATTATTAAACGGGGGAATCTATCAAATGAAAACAAAAATCACCAACCATTGGGAGTTTCACTCCAGTTACCTGGATCAGACAGTGAAATGCTATCATCTTCAGACAGCCTACATGGAGAATTCTCAGTATCAGCGAAGTAGTTTTCTTCCCCTTCTTGAGGGCATGTCTGTTGATTGCCCTTAAAATTCTCAAAGCAAGCTGTAATAAAGAATAAATAACATCAATGAGTGGGCTTAGTGAGCCCTTAAGTCCCACAAAATAGCAAAAGCGTTACTCGTTTTGAAATTATCATGAAGAGGTAACAGGAATAAGGTGTAGAAAAATTCAGATCAAATCAACTTCATAATTATCAATAACTAAGAAATAGTGTTGCATCCAAGGAAGGACAGGCATTGAGTAACCACAAAAGATCACAAATAGGTAGAGTTCTTGGACTACAAAAAGAGCATCAACTGTTCATTTAAAATCATTTCAACTAACCCAATTTTCTGCACAGCCCATCAACAACATTTGAAAGTTTCAACCACGTATCTGTATTGGAATGAACTGGGTGGAAGCTTTGCTCTGACAACCTGTAAATACCTCAATATTAGCAAATATACAATGTATGTAATCAAACATGAAGCTTGCATGGCGCTGGAGTGGAATGTGGTGCTGATTAGGGAAATCCAGGGCTATTTTAAGTTATTTATCCTCACCACTGTGTAACTGTCTGTCTGTATGTCTAGCTTTCTTTTTAAAAGCAGAACTTTCAAATTTTGTAACATACTTGCTGGGCGTGAAATTTTTTTTTTCTGATAGCCATGTGGCTCCTGAATTTTTTAAAGTGGTAGCCAATTCAAAAAAAATTGGTCGCCATTTTTTAAGACAAACAAAACCTTTTTTTACGCTGTCAGCGTACTAGATAGACCCTCCAAAATTAAGTTAGATGTAGGAAAGAGACAGTTAAAGTGCTATAAAGTGGACACTAGTATGGATGATATACAACTTTCAAGCTCACCTAAATCCAAGGTGGCGTCTAGTTATCGACCAATATGCATGTGCTGCGTTTTGGAAACAAACTTAACGAGGAAGTTTGCCGCGGATTTATCTTTTCAAATCTTTTTTCAGGATTTGGTCGCCAAAGTGAAAAATTTAGTTGCATTAGCGCCTGTATTAGGCGCAATTTCGCGCCCTGACTTGTGTATCAATAGGCAAAGGTAAAAAAAACTATGCTTTTCTATAGAGACCAAAGTAATGTTGACTCTGAAACACTGATCTCTGAATACAATTTAATGGATCTACCATTTCACTATATCTTGGAAGTGTTGCGCCAGGTCTTCATACTCGTCATCCATGACAGTATTCTCCCCTGGTAAAGATCTGTCTTGACAACCATCATTCAGAGCACCTGTTGCTTGCCCTATCAATTCATATCGAGAGTACAGAACATTGAGGCACACTACTACAATGTATATGACCTCTCTTTACTATTCTCATCCTAAATAAACAAAACTTAAACAATCACTTAAACTGTAAGTACAAGAGATGACTGTTGAAAAGCCAAAATGAATTTAAGGGCCAAGCTACATTATCAACCACATTTTAGCCAACACGGCTGTATTAAACTCAACTTGCAATGTGAAGAGTTTACTGCCGTACTTTAGTACTGCTGATAGGCTCAGAAAGGAGCCATCTTTGTTGTCTTGTTGATATGAACATGCTCGTGGAAAATTGTTTGCGTAAATTTTCGTGTAATGTTTTTTACAATTGTAGCCCGCTACTAGGAAATTGCTCAGGCTTTGCCTGCTAATTTAGTCCATTAGAGCTAAAAATAATTGTATCTGTGTATTGTTTGTAGGACTCCTTCATTGCTTAAGATCAGTAAACAAATCAAAACAAGGAGGTTGTTTCTTAACTATGGAAATGATAGCCTTCAAAGTACCTATGTTAATAATGAGTGTAACATAATTTAGTCAGATTCACCTGAATTTTTCTTGGCGGATGAGCTCTGATTGCACACTTCTTCTGCCATCTTAGCAAACAGCTTAGACACCTCATATGGGCCATGCTGCATTGCTTCGGAGACAATTTTTTTTATCATGTCTTCATACTTAAACTTAGTTTCACCCAAAAGTTCATAAGTGTTTGAAAACACACGCACATCGACCACACCTGGTTCTTGGGCAGCTAAATTTTAGAGATTGAAGACAACTGTTTCAATAGTTACAGCAGCTTTAACCTTGTATGACATCAAATATGTGACAAATACCTGATCCTGACCAGTACACCACGATTCATAATATCAATTGATAGAAGTTTGAACAAATTTATAAGCCTGAAAAAAAGATTTCACACCTAGATAAAGCTCATAGATATTTTCCAGGCTCCACTTTTGACTAATCCCTTAATAACAATTCACGTAAATGTGCAAGGATCAGTTGATCACTCATATAAACCATAGATCATCTAATCTGAATTTGATATTCATAATTTATCTGAAAGCTTACAAAAACTTCTTCACAAAGAAAAAGGAACGTTTTCCCCTTTCACAAACCGACACTCATTTTATTTGGATCATACAAGAGAGGGGAAGTCAAGGTAAAAATGTGATGTGCAAATAAACAATTTGTGTCATATTCATAACTTAACATTACAGATGGTTACCTGGAATTATCCCTTTCAAGGTTGACTTGTTAAACTTTGTTAAAACTACCACCTTCTTTCCAAAATAGGCATATCCAGATTGAATGTGCTCTAGAATTTCTTTTTCCCAAGATATCCGGAAATCCTCTCCACCCTGCACACAAAAAATTATAAATGGTTAAGAATATATGAAAGTCATATATTTGAACTGCGGATAAAGACGTGAATGAAAGTGACCCTCGCAGTAATGTGCACTACTTAGGCAGTAGTGAAAAAAAAAATTGTGTTACATAACATCAGAGAGCTGTTTCAAATTCATTGTATGATGCCAATGTACCACAAACAATCCTTTCCAGCTCCCAGAGTGCATTCTATAAAGCTCAGATTACTTTTTAATACCATAGAAACAAGAGGGAGATAAAACAATCAAAACTAACCTCTAAAGGACCTGATGAAGGACAGATATCACAAATCCCTAGAAAAAGTAGAAACCATTACAAAGTATCATTTTCAATGTCAAAAGAATAATACTATCACTTGTAATGATAACTATTAACCATTACTTAAATCACAGGGTTACATGTCTCAAGAAAAATTATTTCACAGCCAACCATGTCTGTAAACAAGCACCTGAATGCCTGGTTCATATAATCAAAAAAAATCTATATTCTTTCTTCTGAGCCTTAAATGTATGTTTAACTTCATTGATTATGAAACTTTTAGAATGGAAACTGTGATATAGAAATTACATAACATTGTTAATACCCTGGATAGATGCTGTACTTAGTTCTTTGCAGAAAAAAATATAGGAACTTAAAATGCAAACTTACACTGTTTTTGTTCAACATTCTGGTTAGGTTCCTCAACATCCATCTGGGAATGAACTATAAATTGTAACAATGAGACTGGTAAGTGACATGAATGCAAAATGTAATTCATATCTCATGGCATGTGATATTTCATTAATACCATAATGGTGCACCCATAAAGGTACTAACCCACTAAGGAGAAAACATTTGTGAACAGAGCTGACCAGTGGAATAAACGTGCATGAAAAATTGTTTAAGGGAAGTTTTAAAAAATTAGGATTTCATCTGAACATTGTTTAGTCCACTCATAGTTACTGCAAAACAAATTGACCTGCAAAGTTTCAATAAAATCACTGCCCTTTACTAAAGTTCTTAGAAGCGCTAAGAAATACAATTATGTTGAATAATAATTATGAACATGGGGTCAAATTCATCTTTTTTCTAAAAGGACACTGGTAAAATTTTCATTTGCAAATATCAGGAAAATGGCTAAATTTAAAGCAAATATCAATCAAAATAGGTTGTTCCTTCCAGACAAATTACACCATCATGAAGGATCAGTTTTCATATTATGTTATTCAGAAGATGATTGATATGGCAGAGATATACTCAAAAATCCAGGACCTACAAAGATTAAAACCCTAAAGCATCCTTGCAATGAATGCAGAGAGACTGTTCACACAAATCAAAAGTCTTTGTTGTGTGCTGAGTGTTAAGTCTGGTCGCATGCTTCATGCCACGGACCTAAAGTGGGATATTACTCAGACTACTTGAATGTAAACTGGACCTGTGCCTGGTGCTTGCTTCCATTCAGGTACACTAATTTGTTTCTGAATTCCTCGCTTAAGGCACACGTGCGAGTCATGTCTGAGACTGAAATTGATGAGTCTTATCCTAGTAGCAAATTTAACCTCCCTGGATATCACATTTACAGGAAATATAGGGAAAAAGGTGGTTGTTGACTGATAGCATACTTCTCAACAATGTTGGCCTCCAGAAAACTGGCACTACTACATTCCTACAAGACCCTAGAGGCTATCGTGGTCAAATCTAAAATAGGAAGGAACAATGTGCTATTTCTTTCAATCTACAGGCTACCCGAGCAAAAACCAGGGAACGAAAATAATTCATGTATAGGAAGAGTCGAGGAGAAAATGAACAACATCTGTCAGTGGGTGAGTTTTCAAAAGCAAACTACTGTAATCATAGGTGATCTAAATATGAATCGACTGAAGCCAAATTATGGGGGAGGAAAGATCTTTACCAGACGTAATCTTTATAGCCGCAAACGCTAATCACTCGTATCTCAAACTTTACTAGAACAAACTTGACACATTGTTGAATACGGTAACTGAAAATGACAAAATTACAAACACGCGAATGAGCATAAAATAACTTACATCGTATGAGTGAAAGTACTGGAAAACGACAAAGCGAGATAAACAAGGATACTTACAAGACGAATGTGACCAACCCAAAGACGAAAACATGAAACCCAGAGCTAGATATGTAACGGTAATTTTCACAAACTAGACAACTAACCAAATAAATTACGCGCAACCAATATATATACGATATGCAAATAAATATAACAAGTACAAAACTGGTAACTGACAAAGGACACTAATGGAAGACGAGAAAATAAACACCTAACACGAAACTATGAAACACCAACACTAACAAAAAATAATAGTACAAATTCTTGCGCCTACATTCCGGCCCCTTAAATACGAAGATCTAAATCCAAGTATTTACCAGCAAAACACTAAAAGGCGCAAACTTTACAGAGCTAATTGAACTTAGACGATTTTTACTTAATGTTCAGACGCCTAACAGAGTCAACAAAGTACTATAAAGTGTCAATTTAAATCTTTCTCCTCAAAGAAAAGTCACGCAATCTTGGTAATCATACGATTAAGGAAAGTCAATGAATTTTTCCTTCCACTTGTTCAATTGATTCCAGAAGACATAGTTTACTGATAGGGCGCTCCAAAGTTGATGTCTTGGTTTTAACCTTGACACGGCGGACAAATCCATATTTGTCAGGAAAAACCTCTGTAATCCGACCAATTGCCCACGCATTCCTTGGCAAAGTTTCGTCAACCACGATAACAGTGTCCCCCACGGCAAAGTTTTTCTTTGGTCGAAACCATTTCTGACGTGACTGTAGCAGAGGGAGATATTCTCTCTTCCAGCGACCCCAGAAAACATCAGCCAAATATTGTACTTGCCGCCATCTTCTCCTGGAGTATGTGTCGCTCTTTAAAAACAAGCCTGGAGGAAGAGGTATCTCGCTGCGAAGCAGGAGAAGGTGGTTCGGTGATAGTGGTTCCAAATCCTTTGGATCGTCAGAAACTGTGGTCAGAGGTCTTCCATTGATAATGCTCTCACATTCACACAACAAGGTCTGAAGACTCTCATCATCGAGACTTTGTTCTTTAACCAGGGCACCCAGAACCTTGCGTGTAGATCTAATTAGCCTCTCCCAGACACCACCATGATGCGAGGCTCCGGGTGGGTTAAAAACCCATTTGATGCTTTTCTGCAGAAGGGCGTCATGAATTTTAGCTTGATTCCAGCTGTCAATCATGGCACGAAGCTCCCTTTCACCTCCTACGAAATTTGAACCATTGTCGGAGCGAATTTCTTTAACTTGACCTCTACGAGTGATAAAACGTCTGAGTGCGTGAATAAAAGAGTCAGTGTCCAGTGAGTGACACACCTCCAGATGAACAGCTCGCAGTGCCAAACAAGTGAAGATTGCACCATAACGTTTGACCATGCTCCTCTTTTGACGAACAAGAAAGGGACCAAAATAATCTATCCCCACGCACGTGAAGGGGGGTTGATCTGGTGTAACTCGAGGCCGAGGCAGATTTGCCATCTTTTGTTCTCCAACGGGACTTTGTCGTCGTTTGCAATCGAAGCAGGATGAAAGCACACTTCTAACAGTAGAGTTGGCACGAATCAACCAGAAACGTTCGCGCAACAGAGCCAGGACATATTCTCTACCAGAATGGCCGCTTTTCTGGTGAAAGTGGTTCACAAGCAGACGAGCTAGATGAGAATCTTTAGGAATGATAATCTGATGCTTAGAGTCGTCTGATAGGGTAGCCCTGCTAAGGCGCCCGCCAACACGAAGAAGACCATCGGTCAAGATCGGATCTAATCTTGCAAGTGCACTTGACCCCTTGACGCATTTACCTCCCTTAACGGCTTCTAATTCTTCTGCAAAGGTGAGATTCTGCTCGAACTTGATAATCTCTTTTCCGGCTTCTTCCAGCTCTGCTTTTGTCACCAATTTCGCTCCAGATGCGTCAGCAGTATCCAAACAATTCTCCTTTGACACTTTTCTCCTCATCACAAATCTTCTCTGGCAGCGAAGACACAGCGCGATAAACTTCAACAATTTGAACCATGAAGAAAACCGTTGGATGATAGAAACGATACTCGAATCTTTACTCGCGTGAACAACAAAAGATTTCGTCAGACCATTTAGCCACACACGCCAACGAGATAGATAGTCGCTGGGAATCTCATAATCCCAACCCAAACTCTTTCTACACAGATCCTGAAGGAGCAGTTTTGCCGGAAGGATGAAAGGCGCTGCCATACCGAGAGGATCGTAAACTGAACTCACCACGGAAAGGATACCACGCCTGGTACAAGGTTTCTCCTTAATGTTCACTTTGAAACCAAATGAATCTATCTCGACAAACCAGGATACACCTAGGGCTCTCTCTGCAGGAAGCGCGTCGTTATCAAGATCCAGATCTTTAACATCCTTTGCTCTAGCTTCTACAGGAATGGATTCCAAGACTTCGCGGTCATTGCTGATCCATTTAGTCAAATTGAAACCTCCCCTCAGCATTAGCCGACGAAGTTCTTCCACATGCTTTATTGCAACAGCCGCTGAAGGTAAGGACTTCAGGCAGTCGTCAACGTAGAAATTCTTCAAGACAGTACTAACCACGTCAGGGGAAAACTCGTGCCTATGATCTTCGGCATTCCGTCGCATGGCAAAGTTAGCACAACTGGGAGACGAAACCGCACCGAACAGATGTACGGTCATCCGATACTCTTCCAATTCCTTGGAGAAGTCACCACGGGGCCACCAAAGGAACCGTAGGAGGTCTCTATCTACTTCTGGGACACGCACCTGATGGAACATAGATTGAACGTCACCCATGACTGCGACTGGCTCCTGACGGAAACGGATCAGCACGCCAACCAGATTATTGGTTAAGTCAGGACCTTGAAACAGCTCATCATTCAGGGAAGTTCCTTGAGAATGGGCTGAGCAATCGAAAACGACACGTATCTTATCCGGTTTCTTATGATGATAAACGCCGTGGTGCGGGATAAACCACACCTTACCATCTGATCTCTCCAGGACATCCAGGGGAACCTTTTCTGCAAAACCGTCACCGATCACCTTCTCAAGACAAGCAACATAGTCCTCGCGAAACTTCACATCTTTGGAGAATTTACGTTTAAGATAGAGAGCACGGCGTTCTGCTTGACTCCGGTTTGCTGGCATCTGCAAGTTGAGGTCCCTTAACGGTAGAGAAACCTGATAATGACCATCTTCACACTGCATAACTGAATCCTCTACAATGTTCATGAACTTTAAGTCATCCCTTGACATGCTTAAACCATCGGAAAGAGTGGCATCTGCAAAATCAGCACATGCTATACACATAGGATGAGTCTCCTTACAGTTAACGAAGAAACTAGAAGATGGGACAAACTTTTGCTTTCTTCCAGTTGGGCCATTGATAACCCAGCCAAGATCAACTCTAGTTGCATATGGACCCCCATCAGAGGCAGGGACAACTTCTCTCGGTTGTAGGGCTTCAGGTACGTTTGCACCAATCAATAGATCCACCTCGGAATTCAATTCTGCTAGGTATACATAGCCTTGGAGGTGCGGCCATCGCTCCACATCCTCCTGTTTCGGGATCTCGTCTTTCACTACAGGCATAGAAGGTCGGGAAAGAACTTCTGGCAAGGAAATGACAACGTTCTCGTCTAGATCAGCCACTTCCAGGTTCGTAACAACGAGACTGTCCACATCGTTGCAGCTATCCATGGTGGTTAGCTTGAGTCTCATTTCCTTGCCGCAGACTCTCAGACGTCTCAACAGATTAGCCGAGCAAAAAGGTGGTGTTAGATCCATTATCCAGCAACGCATAGGTCTCCACGGACCGAGGACTTCCTTTGACTTTGACCTTCACAGCAACAATGGGCAATGCAGTCACGGAACCCTCCATTGTGGTTAGGCCACAAAAGTGATCAGCTCTGTTCTTCTCAGTACTGGACTGGTTGTTCTCGCTCTGAGGTCCATCCTTACCACGGTCGGACGCAACAATAGCTTCTGGTGCACCTACATGCATTACAGTAGCGTGTCTCTTATTACAGTGAATACAGGGCTTCCTTTTGTGACAACTTCTAGACTGATGGCCTCCACCTAAGCACGAAAAGCATAGCCTCTGCTTCATGACAAACTCCTGACGATCTGTAGGAGGTACTTTGGCGAAACTGGAACATTCGGTGAGATTATGATCTGCATTACAAAACAGACAGTTCTTCTTAGAAGAATGAACTGCACTCAACACATCAGCAGATGAATTGAGAGCAGATTTCGTCTCGGAAATCGTGACGAGGCTTAGCTGTTTTCCAGCGGGTCTCTCAGACTTCGATCTCGAACCCCTATCCTTGCAGTTCTTCTTCTCCTTTTCCAAACAAGGAAGCTTGCCAAAAACTGGATTGGACAAGGTGCGAGCTTTCTGTTCAACGAAGAGTGAAATATCATCAATGCAGACATCTCTCGCTTCCGAGTTGAGGATCCGATCAGCGTTGTCCCGCCAACTGGCTTGCAACTTCGGGGGAAGCCTCTCAATAATCTTCCGCATGCTATCCGGACTTTCGAACTTGCTGGAATGGCCGATAGCCTTAAGAGTGTTTGTACAGCTAGAGAGCAAAACGGCAAAGCCTTCTAGGGCGTCTGCATCTTCAGCTTTGATGACTGGACCATTAGTGACTTTATCCACATATGCCATAGCGATTTTGTGCTTCTGTCCAAATTTGCTCTCTAAGAGTTTCTTTGCCTTTACGTACCCATCTTCGGCTTTCATGTAGAGGCAACTTTGTACCAACTCTTGAGCTCTGCCAGCTGTGTGCTGTTCGAGGTAATAGAGTCTCCCAGCGTAATCTAGTTCTCTAGTTTCGATTACGGTCTCGAACGCGCGAATGAAAGCACAGTAATGTAAAGGGTCTCCACTGAACACAGGTACACGTCTCCTGGGCAATAAGTTCCTTTGCTGCTGTTTCACGAACTCTTCCATTACTCGGTTCTGCTGGACGAGAATGCCATAGGCCTGGTCGCTCAGACCTGAGTTGCCAGAGCTTGAACTTGAATCACTCACAGCACCCTTATGATCTTTAACCGGGTTACTTGACTTCACAGACAATTTCTCTTTCTTATGGGCAGGTACAAATGACTCACGTTTTGAACCACCAGTCCTTGACTTTTCAGTGATGGAGGATACGACTGAAACGGGACAACGAGGATTCCTAGAGGCCACGTTGCTAGGCGCGAAATTACCCGCTTCAGCTTGAGCGTAAGCTTCTTCTCTAGCCACCGCTTTAGCGTACTCAGTTTTGAGGTTTAATTCATCTTTCTTCAACTGCAGGTCGTACTCTTGCCTCTTGAGGCGTAGCTCCGATTCCTGAAGCGAATGGCGGTGTTTCAAAGCGTGTGCCTCCGCTCGAAGTTCCGCGATGCGAGCTGCCTCTTTGGCTCTTGCAGCAGATATGGAGCTCGTTTTAGAAAAGTGACTCGTTCTCGATCCACACATGGATGGTCTAGACTTGCTACGAACCTCGGACCCAATTTGAGAAGCGCTGTCGTCAGGCGTTATCAGGTTATCTTGAAGCCTGGCTTCCGTGACACGTAACCAATCATTGACCGTACGGCAGAAAAAATCTAAACTGCTTTCAATGTCGGCGAAATAGAGGTCTGATTCTTGTCTCTGACTTTCCTCAACCAGAGCTACATTATACGCGTCATGAGCCTCGGTAAATCTTCGAAATAGCGACGTGATTTCCGACAGCTTTACTTTCACCGTCACCAAATTATTTTCATCCGTTAAAAGACTATCGATCTCTCGACGCTTGGACGTTAACGAAGACAACACTCCTCCTCTTCGCTTTCTGAGTTCACGGATGCGTTCAAGAGAGATTCCTTCTTGATCCAAAGAGGTATTCGGTTTACGAGGACGTGGACCGTTTTCGGCAGGTTGGCCGTTCTTCCCGGCCGAATAAGACAGGTAGACATCAGAACCGTTGCGAGACATCGACATAAACTTCCAATAAACCAGATTCGTCTTTTACAAAATATAGCCGCAAACGCTAATCACTCGTATCTCAAACTTTACTAGAACAAACTTGACACATTGTTGAATACGGTAACTGAAAATGACAAAATTACAAACACGCGAATGAGCATAAAATAACTTACATCGTATGAGTGAAAGTACTGGAAAACGACAAAGCGAGATAAACAAGGATACTTACAAGACGAATGTGACCAACCCAAAGACGAAAACATGAAACCCAGAGCTAGATATGTAACGGTAATTTTCACAAACTAGACAACTAACCAAATAAATTACGCGCAACCAATATATATACGATATGCAAATAAATATAACAAGTACAAAACTGGTAACTGACAAAGGACACTAATGGAAGACGAGAAAATAAACACCTAACACGAAACTATAAAACACCAACACTAACAAAAAATAATAGTACAAATTCTTGCGCCTACAATCTTAACAAATGCTCCTGAAATGTTCAAGAAATATGGAACTTGCAAACTAGAAATCAGTGATCATAGAATGATCTATGAAGAGCAGACGGAGAAAGTTCGGAAGAGCAAGACCAAAATGATTACTTTCAGACAGACAAAGTATACAGATTTTGAGGAGCTCAATAGGGACCTGAGTGACACTCCGTGGCCTGTAGGAGATATATTTGGTAACAGCAGTGAGAAGTATGACTACCAGATGGCATTATTTGAATCAATTGTGGACAAACACGCACCCACAAGAAAGAAATTAAACAATGAGAGAAAAGGATGTTCCATTTATAACAGCTGAGTGGAAGCAAGAAAAAATATTACAATTTACAAGAAAACATGATATCCAAATGCTGTGATATGATTGGCGCGAGATACATACCCTGATGCGGCAATCCAATAGGTGTGAGATACATGCTGCAGTCTGATTGGTGTGAGATAAACACCCTAATGTAGCATTCTGATTGGTGCGAGCAACATACCACTCTACACGCTAACATAGAGTTTTTTTTTTAATAAAAAAAAGGAACTCAACAGTAAATGTAGTTGATTTTTTTACTTTTATCGTAAAGGTGATGCATAGTGGTTGTATCTTTTTGATCAACAGCAGATTAAAGATTGAATTTCATAATTCCAATGAACCTTTAGTTTTCTTAATGGAATAACTATCATTGAAAATGCAAACTTACATTGTTCTTGTTCAATAATTTTGTTGGGTTCATCAACTTCCACATGGGAATGAGGTATAAATTTTGTAAACAATTAGATTGGTAAGGGACATGAGAGCAAATTTTAATTTACAGAAAAGTTCTAGAAATGGAATTTCAGATGCATATGCTGAAAATAACCCTGAAAACCTAATGATAAAAGTACACGAAATGCAGTCTATTGCATTTATGCTCAATAATTTTTTAGTTGTTATGCCAAAGTTATGCTCAATGCTTGGAGTACAGCATCAAAATTATACTGGCATAATTTATCGAAGCTTATGGTATCCAGTCAAGTCACCGACAGTTTAATTAACTCGCCAACGTCAACCACAGGCGGCCCAAGCTCCAGCTGTGAGATGATCATCTTACGCAATAACGGTCATGGCGGAATTATAAGAGTTTGTATAGGAATATTTACGAGCGCTCTAAGGAATAAAAAAATACGTCAAATTCTCAAAAAAAATACCTCACCTCGCTTCCACAGCGTATTGCTTGTTATCTGACCGCTTACTTCGATGAAAAGAGCCCATTTGAGCGAGTTGTTCATTTCGAGGTTTTTAACGTACATAAGAAAAGGCTTTTCTTATGTACGTTGAAAACCTCGAAATGAAAAACTCACTCAAATGGGCTCTTTTCATCAAAGTAAGCGGTCAGATAACAAGCAATACGCTGTGGAAGCGAGGTGAGGTATTTTTTTTGAGAATTTGACGTATTTTTTTTATTCCTGAGGGCGGTCGTAAATATGCCCATACAAACTCTTATAATTCCGCCATGACCGTTGTTGCGTAAGATGATCATCTCACAGCTGGAGCTTGGGCCGCCTGTGCGTCAACTTGCCGACGAATAAAATCAAGTAGAAACGTCGGCGAGTTGGTCTTCAATCCAGTACAACTTATTAGAAGTTAAACATGTTGAAAAGTAAAAGGTCTTTACTATAAAACAATTTTTTTTCTTCCAACAAAGTTTCTAAGGATCTTATCGCGAATAAAGCAAGGTAAACATCGCCAATGACTATTGAAGCTTCAGACGCGAATGAGATATTATTGTGTGACAACACAGGCGGCCCAAGCTCACGTCTCGAGAAAAAGCCAACGATGAATTCATGAACGCGTCACGCGTTGTGTGACTCGGTGTTAAGTTACGGGAGGAACCATTGAAAATTTGCTTTTTGACATGGATAACAGTGATGGTAAAGCAAGCTTAAAACAGCAGAAATCGCCAGAAACTACGACGGATACACAGGGCATGAGTAAGTTTTATTGATTTTACGTGTAAAATATTCATATTTCGAAATATTTATCGTTGTAAATCGACCATATTTCGTTCCCCATACTATTCCTTATAACGTGTTCAAATTTTCAACGGTTCCTCCCGTAACTTAACACCGAGTCACATAACGCGTGACGCGTTCATGAATTCATCGTTGGCTTTTTCTCGAGACGTGAGCTTGGGCCGCCTGTGGTGACGGTATCTGGTGATTTCGCCAACGAGTGATTTCGCCAACGTCACGTTCGCCAACGTCTTTGATCGCTTGGCCAACGCGATGAGTCGCTTGGCCAACGTCCTACTGGTCACTTCGCCAATGTATTAGTTTACTCTAAATAAAAATTTACCATTACTTCTTCTTGCTTCTGTGTGTTGTTTACTTGACTGAGCTGACTTGATTTCCCCGTTCGAACTTAGTTTCCTTCCGTTATTTTGTTTAGACTTAGTTTCCTTCTCTTGTACGCGCAACTTAAAACACAGTGGGCCCACATAAATGCACGGCACGCCACGCGTCACCGGCGCTGTATGTTGCTGAATTTAACTTAGAGCAATAAAGTCGCGTGTGTGCAACCTTTTCCTTAAGTTCTTCTATAAGGTTTATTTGTCAATAACAGAGATTTATATAATTACCTTTGAGACTTCTAGAACAGAGATTTATATAAATACATTGTAGACTACTACTACTACTAATTCTATAACTCCAGCGCATATTATAACTTCGATCAAGAGTATATAAGTATTACAAGAAACACACGCTTGTATATTACCATATGAATAGACGCGTAAACTCATTGTGTTAATACTTGTTAATTTTACCCTATTGTTCTAAATAAACCAATCCAATTGCTTGAAACTAACTGGTATGATATTTCGATCCTTCGAAGTGTATAAAACACATTGGCATGCGAAGAATGTTCATTTCAATCATACGATTACGACACTCTACGACTCATAACGAATTATCTCGGAAACCTTTATCTCGGAATACTATAAATATCAGGATGACTACTGCGCAGATTTAAACTGTATTGTTTGTCACGAACTGGTACGGCCTCGGCAGCAAGCGGTTCAGTGCGATGGATGTTTTCGCTGGAACCATCGAATGTGTAACACCGGTAAGTTATATTTACTTATATATACTCTGATACTCTAAAAAGTAGAGACCTGGGTCAGGATTATAAGTTGATGGAGGATCTAATTTCTCTTTTTTACAACTGTTGTTGCTTATCTTATACCTAACAGAAGACATCTCCTAAAAGTAAAAAAAACTCATTACACTGACCAAAACTGAACCGTGACCAATGTTATTTAGTTTCTTATATCATCTGACAGTGAACTTGCTTAAATGAACTTACTTAAAATCCATTATCGTCTAAAATGCGGGTCGCGGGTTTTTACTGTACTTTATTTACACCTTTTTTACCATTTTTTACTTTAAGGTACAAGAGCTTGGCCTCCAAAGGGCGTACATGGACGACGATTCCGTTTACAAGTACATCAGGAAGCTAATGGCCCTCCCGTTCCTCCCGTATCCGGAAATCCAACCGATGTTCGACCTACTCGAGGAGCAGGCCCAAACCGACCAGCTGGGGAGACTTGTCCAGTACATCCGACGACAGTGGATTGAGAGTGAAGTATTCACCCCAAGAAACTGGTGCGTGTACCAAAAAATCAGAAAATCAGAAGGTTTTGTAAATAGGTTTTGACTAAAGCATTTTTTTTTAATCAGAAGGTTTTGTAAATAAGTTTTGCATTGAAAATATTTTGTGAATCAGAAGGTTTTGTAAATAGGTTTTGACTAAAACATTTTTTTGAATCAGAAGGTTTTGTAAATAAGTTTTGCATTGAAAATATTTTGTGAATCAGAAGGTTTTGTAAATAGGTTTTCCACTAAAATATTTTGCACTTGTAAATATTTATAAAAGTACGTATTGTAATTAAAATGTTGTTGATATTATACTTGTTATATTTTATTTCTGACTCGTTTTGAAGGCTGGAAAACAGACTCTGATTGTTTCTGAAAAATGTTAACTCGTTAATTCACATCGTAACGCATTTTTCAAGTAAAATTTTGAGTTATACATTTTTGGAACACATTTGGAAATCATCGGAGTTTGTTATTCAACAGTTTTAAATTACCGCTAATCTAGTTATTACTAGATATTTGGCGTTGGCGAAGTGACCAGTAGGACGTTGGCCAAGCGACTCATCGCGTTGGCGAAGCGACCAAAGACGTTGGCGAACATGACGTTGGCGAAATCACTCGTTGGCGAAATCACCGCAATTCGTGGTGACAACAACACTCAGACTCATTATGTCAATCGGTCAGATTTTTTTTAAAGAAAACTTGGCTCTCTAGACAAGACCTTTAGTAAAAAACAATTCTTTTTATTTCCAACAAAGTTTATAAGGCGAATAAAGCGAGGTGAACATCGCCAATGATCAAAGACGCGAACGAGTTCTTGTGTGACAACCAGCGTTATTCTTGATTAACGCTTCGGTAGCACACTTTTGAAGGTGTTTACGTTTGGTCTGTCTTAATACCGGGCTATGCAAGTGAAAGGCAAACATTTTTTGCAATACAAATACGATTAGTATCTAACCAGAAGCTGACCAGAGTCCAAAGAAGGGCTAATAGCAATTGCAGAGTAAGGTGTTTGGATTTTGGGAGAAATACGAGAATGGTGAAAAAACAGCGGCTCAATTATTGAAATCGATGTCGAGATTAAATGGACCTTCAAGAGCAGAATAATTGCATGATATGCATAGCTTTCACATGTTCACTTGATCTTTATAATATATCAAATTTTATCGTAAATCAAACGTTCTCGATCATGAATATACCATTCTTTAAAGTTAGAAAAACATGTGGTTCCGCGTGGTTGTTATGGTTGTCACACAAGAACTCGTTCGCGTCTAAAGCTTTTTTACATACATACTTTATTTGTCACGTAGGTCGATAAATGGCAGCTAAAAAGCTGATGTGGACCTACAAAATTAAAGAGTGTCTACAAAATTTAAATAATAACAATAACAAGTTGCGAAATTATGATAAGTAAGAAAGGATGTAAGACCTAGTAATATAATATACAGTTGATTTACAGTAGTAATAAAAAGTAATAAAATAAATAAAAGTAGTAAAATAGCTTTAATATATGTAATTTACAACGTCTTTATTTAGTCCCTGTAAACCATTAAATGTTATTTTATCTAAAATGTCGGATTTTGCTTTGAGAGCAGATTTGAAAGAAACAATGTTCGGTTTGCTCTTCAAGTACACGGGTAAGTTGTTCCATAGAACAGACGCATGGTGAGAAAAAGAAGATCGACGGAAGTCACTTTTAGGGCGTTGCACGAATAGCTTCAGATTGTCCCTTAGATTTCTCAACGGAGAGTGTTTAGTAAACAAAGAGCTTATAGCAGCCGGAGCTCTATTGTAAAATGCCTGATAGGATATAGTGGCAATCCTCTTTTTATAGAAATATGATAAGGACTTCCATTTTGTCGCTGCCAGAACTTCAGTATTGGGGTAGATTCCTTTAGGTTAAAAAATAAATCTCGCGGCTCCAATGTGAATGTCTTCCAGTGTCTGAAGTGTCTTAGAAGATCCCCATAATGCAATAGAATACGCAATACTTGGAATGATACCTTTGAAATAAATTGACTCTAAGAGGCGATTATCGAGTCCTTTTAGGTGTTTGAGTTTCTTCACTCTTGCCGAAAAACGTTTGCTCAAAGATTTTATATGTGGCGACCAAGAGAGTTTATTATCGATAAGAATCCCTAAACATGTAGCTTTGGAAACAAATGACAACTCATTTTGCCCTAAACAAATTTTCTGTAGGGGTCCGATGAATCTTGATTTTGATAACAACATTAGTTCACTTTTTGCGGGATGAATAGTCATGAAGTTATCCTTAGCCCATTTGTTTAAGTCAACGATCGCTTTCTGTATCTTAAATAAAACTTCATCAACAGTATTTCCAATGCAAAAAACAGTAGTATCATCTGCAAACATTTCAACGGAAGCGTTCGTTGTGGCTCCGGGCAGATCATTTGAGTAAATGCTGTAAAGTCTAGGACCAAGTAAAGACCCTTGGGGTACACCCGTATCTATTTCCAACAATTCTGAGTTTGAACCATTTACGGTGACAAATTGTTTACGATTATCAAGATAATTTAAGAGCCAATCGTAAAAAAGAGCCACTAATACCTATAGAGTGTAATTTATCCATAAGAACTGTGTGGTTGACGCAATCAAACGCTTTCCGAAAATCAATAAAGACTACGCCAATAATATTGCTTTCATCCAAGGCTAAACGCCATCGTTCTGTAACGGAAAGTAAGAGCAGCTCGGGTGAGCTTCCTTTTCTGAAGCCCCATTGATTTAAGGAGATCAGATTGTTGCTATATAAGAAGTTATCAAGTTGTTGGCTTACAACATTCTCCAATAGCTTGCCCGGAATGCTAAGAAGGGAAATAGGCCTGTAGTTTTCACAGTCGAGAGTATTCCCCTTCTTGTGAAGACATTTTACCTGTGCCTGTTTCCACTGGCTGGGGAGTTTGCATTCCAAAATACTTCTTTGAGCCAGTGGCATAAAGCAATCCAAAAATGCGTCTCCAATAAGGTACAGCTCTTTGCTGGATATGTCATCAGGTCCACTCGCCTTGCCAGGTTTCAAACACCTTAGAGAAGATTTTAAAAGATCTCTGTTAAGGGCTATGTTATAAAGAGAGGCACTGTTTTTTCTTGCGGACTGACAAGGAGAGTTTACTGAAGAATCTTGTGTTGATTTCGAGAGGGATTTTCCAACATTGACAAAAAAGGAATTTAAAGTGTTGGCCTTTGATGTATCGTCTGCGTGAATAACTCCGGAACTATCTTTAATCGGTCCGATATTTGTAGCTGTTTGTTTTCCCTCGAAAGATCTTACTGTCTTCCAAAAATCTCGAGCAGAGGTTGTCTCATTAAATTTTGTTAGCCAATAACTTGATTCCGCTAATCTAAGGAGTTTGGTGCATTTATTTCTTGCCTTCTTGTAATCTATCCAGGCTTGTGAGCCCTTCGGTGTTTTCTGTGCTTTAAGGAGTAATTTGTAGCGTTTGTTCAGCTCTTTACGTATGGAAGAGTTCATCCAGGGTAGGCCCCCTCTTCTTATCTTTACTCGTCGAGCATGAAGGTGAGATTTCATAATGTCCTTGTATAAATACTCCCAAGCCCAAGTAGCATCGTCCAGATTGTGAAAGACATTGCAGATACTCCATGGGGCTGCAGCAAAGTCCGTTCTTAATGAGTCTAGATCTACTTTTTTATAATCGTAGACTGTTTTGAGCGTTGGTTTCTGACGTTTTCTTTTGAGATTTACGATTGCATATATTAAGTGGTGATCTGAGATTCCTAAATCACAAACACCCTGGTGAGAAATTTTTGAGGTGTCAGAGCAAATCACCAAATCAATCAGCGTTGTGGAGGTGTCAGTGATCCTTGTTGCCTTGTTGATGACATTCTTTAGATTAAATCTATTCAAAAGTTGACGGAATTTCCAGGTTGAAGAATCTGTGTCCCTGGATTTAGGCAAAAGATTAAAATTGAAGTCCCCCAATAAAATTATATTCGTTCGTTTCATCCATATGCGATCCAAAGTAGAAGAAAATTTATTTAAAAACGTAGTGTCATCGGGTGGGCGATACATTGAAGCAACTAGAAGTTTCTGAGACGCCACCGTAACGTCAATCCACGCAGCTTCTAGAGAGTTGTTTACATTTATGTCTCGACGCTCATATGCATCTAAGTATTCAGCAAAGTAGATGACCGTGCCACCGCCTTTTCGACCATCGTTTCGATCGCATCGAGCAGTTTTGTATCCAGTAATGGCGATTTCGTCGTCAGTAATATCCTTACCTAGATGGGATTCAGTTATGGCTAAAATGTCAAAATTCATCGAAAGTAAAAAGAGCTTTAATTTCCAATAACTTGTTAGGAAGACCATTTACATTGATGTGTGAGATCTTCAAACCTGGTAGTTGCAAGTCCGCTTTGAGTGATGGATAAAGATGCGAATCAGATGAGCAACCTAGTGTTGGTAGTTGCAGGTCCACTTCGAAAGATGGATAAAGATGCGAGTCAGATGAGCAATCTAGGTTTGTCTCATTGTCGAATGGTAAAGACGACCAAAGGCAAATCGGACACCACCAGGAAAATGAAGGAAGTCTTTGATAGTTCTTATATTCGCTTGGCCTGATCGAGGCACATTTTATGTGACACCACATGTTGCAGTTATCGCAATTTACCGCTCGATGATTTCGGGCAACACGCTTGTTACACACTGAACATTCATCTGGACCAGGATTTATGTCGATGTCCCCACTTGTGTAGAGTCGCATTTGATGGAATGTTGAGTGCGAGTTCGCATAGTAACATATCCTGGTCGCATGAAAACCTCGCACATGCCACAACAGGCCAAGATGGCGGATCGTTTTCGTCTTCCGTTGATTGCAGAGGCTTGCGTATACTGATATGAGAAAACGCCTCGACCACGAGAAATTCTTCGTGATGGAGATTTTGCTATTTTCTTGAAGAGAAGGCTGTCTTTCGGCGAATTTGGTGAGCGATAAGAATAGTATTGACGCGTAAAAGCAGGAGAAAATCAGAGCACGTCCTCGCGCCATTTCGCTAACCCTGTTTTGCCTTTGTTTTAGTCATTGGCGATGTTCACCTTGCTTTATTCGCCTTGAGATCCTTATAAACTTTGTTTGAAACAAAAAGAATGGTATTTTACCAAAGATCATGTCTAGAAAGCCAAGTTTTTCTTTTCAAAATCTGATTGATTGATGTGATGAGTCTTTACAGTGTTGTTGTCACACAATAACTTGTTCGCGTCTAAAGCTTTTTTGGTCATTGGCGATGTTCACCTTGCTTTATTCGCCTTGAGATCCCTAAAAACTTTGTTGGAAATAAAATGAATTGTTTTTTTTACTAAAGATCTTATCCATAAAGCCAAGTTTTCTTAAAATAATCTGACCGATTGATGTCATGAGTCGTTACAGTGTTGTTGTCACACAATAACTCGTTCGTGTTTGAAGCTTTTATAGTCATTGGCGATGTTTACCTTGCTTTATTCTCAATGAGATCCATATAAAATTTGTTGGAAGAAAAAAAATTGTTTTTTCCCTAAAGATCCTTTACTTTTCTATATGTTTAACTTCTAATAAGTTGTACTGGATTGAAGACCAACTCGCCGACGTTTCTACTCGATTTTACACGTCGGCAAGTTGGCATTGGCGAGTTGAACCGTCGGCAACTTGACCTTAATTCAAGCCTATTTTCAAAAACAGTCCATCAAAGGTCAACTCTCACCTGGATGATCAAAGAAGACAATCAAATATTACTCCTAGATTCAAACCAATACTGTAAAACTACTAATAATTATTGATAATAGCTTACAGTTTCTTGAAAGAGTGTCTTGCACAGTTTCTTCACTCCCTGAATTGTGCTCAACTGATGAAATTAGAGTGAAACACATTATCAGCATGACAGCTTGTAAATTTAAAGATTTTAGGATGTTCTTCAGTATAAGTTCAGTAAATTCAGATTTGAAGAAAAACTTTTGATAATTTCAAGTTTTTTGTCAAGTCCTAGTTAAATACCGATTACACTATATATACATGTAGTCATGCAAGGTCATTTGAATTAAACCATACTGAGACAACATACAAGTTGTGGTCCAATTTTTATCTGGGGTTCACGAATTATTTTCCTTCATTTCAAACTAATAACAAAACAAATATTTCTAAACCCAAAACACAGTGGATTACAAAATATTTAACTAAACTAGAGTTATTGATCCACATGTATAACATACCTCATAATAATTTCTGTTCTGTTAATTACACTTACAAGGTGGAAGCTCAAGAGGATTAATAGCCCCAATTGATCTTTCAGTCTCTGAATGGTAACTTAAAGTCTCTTCGACTTCTTCACTGACAGAGTGAGACTGCTGAAACCATGCAGCTTGATTTGAGTTTGAGTCCTGCTTAGAATGAAAATATTTGCATACATGCTAGAGGCTTCTGTGTCATGCAGCCGTGTGTCAAGTGCTTTGTCTTTGGCCATTGTTTTTCTTGCGAGAGTTAAATTATTTCTCTGAAACTGCACCAAAACAGACCCAAGATCACAGCAAAGTCCCTTACCAAGCCCCCTATATTACAAACTACAAATACAACCAACCCACAGCCACAGTGATCTAGCCCACAGGCGGAGCTGTGGCAGGGCATGAGCCTGACTGGGACTGATAAGCCCAAAATCTAACTCCCCCCCCCCCCCTCCATGAGCTGCCAGTCTGCAAGCTGGCTTGAAGGCAGGTGAAGCCCCTCTTCATGTAAAAACCTAGCCATCAGGTGTTTGCAAAGTCAATTGAGCCCTCTTCCCAGACCCATGCTTTCGACACTTATTCACCTTCCAACCATGGAGTCTAAGCCCAATGGCTGAGGTGTGGAAAGACCCAAGCTGGTACCAGCCTTCAAATATAATTGGCCATGCTGACTTGAAGGCAGGCAATGCATGCCTTAAACCAGAAAATGTAGTAGACAGGTGTTTGCAAAATCCCCCTTCCAACTCTAATGCTTCTGACACTTGACCAACCTCCAGCTATTTAGTCTATTAGCCCACTGACTGAGCAGTGGCAGGGCATAAACCTCACAATAAGTCAGACAAAACAGCACATTGTCAAAGTAAGCTAAGAAGCCTCTTTCAATTGACAGGCAAACTAGTTCAAACCCCAGCCTGCCCACCCCTGTGCTTTAGAGAAACAGCTCCCTTCATTTTCATTCATAAGGCTGATACATGTATATTTTACACTGAAGGATTACAACCTTTGTCCCTATTATTTATTCTGTCAACACCTTTTTAATGGAAAAACGAAAGGTACATGTACTTTGTATCCATTTTCAAATTGCAACATTTTTGAAAATGGGTATATTTATATATATGTATTATGAATATATATTTACATAGTAAGAATGCAATACTCACACTGAGCTTTCTATAATTTGATGCAAAATAACACAGCTATTGCATGTAGATGGTAATAAATTTTCAACATACCTCAAAAATACCATTTGGTCTGTATTCATCATGTTCCAGAGATCTGGTCATATTAATATTACTGAGTGAATCTCTATTTCTTGAAGTGTCTTAAAAAGAAAAAGGTAAATAGGCATTTCCAACTATGTACACATGTTTGTAGGCAAGTGAACCTTTCAACATTTAGGATCAATTGAGACATGATGAGAAATGCAACTAATTCCAAGATCAGAGTGTCTGTGAGCCACTTAACTCAGAAAATGTGTAATTGTTAGAGAGTGATGAGGTGGGCAACTGATAGTTCATTGAAATCAATTGGTCACTGGGTTCAAAGCTGGGGAATTATATTTTTAGTTCTTTCTGGAACTGTAGTGCAAATGGGGAGTTCAGGCACAAACTCAGCATTGTTAATTGCTTCAATTGTTTATGATCTGATGTGAAACAAGAACCATGGGAACAGTTAGAGTTTTTGGCTGATTGATTAAATTCAGTTCTCTTAGGTAAACATTGGTGGCTAGATTGGTCAGTAACACTTCTACAGACGAAAATAATCTAGTGCTTTTCTGAGATAAAAGAAAATTCATTGAATTCGCTGCATCATTTCTTAGAATGCAATCAGTTAAAAACACTTGTGTTCACACAAACTGTTTTCTTTTTGTTCCAAGGCAGAAAACTGATAGGGATTTGTTATCATGTTATCAGATGTAAGCAAAAGAGGGCCCTGCAAACTTACAATTAAATATTATAGAGTGACTTTGAGTCAAAACATGACCTAGAAAGATTTGGATGGCAGCATCTGTATTTGAAGAATTTCCAAAGCTGTGTAGTGCTGCAAACAGCTACCCTCTTTTAAACTTCCATTGAACTGGAGGAAGATGTTTTTGTGTTATCAGGATTGTAGGACAAAGAAAAATTTTGAGTCCCCATGAGGAATCAAGGAAGGAACTTCATAATAGACCTCTTCATAAAAGACCTCACTCATAATAGTCTCTGTGGCTCAGTGGTAGAGCATCAGAGAGTGGAATCCAAAGTTCTGTCGGGTTTGATTCCTCATGGGGACTCAGAATTTTTTCGTTGTCCCATGCATGTGACAAGACAGAAAACATTTTTCTCTTTTTCTTTACTGATCTCAAAACTAACCATCTCTCTTAATATTCTATTTCCATTGAACTAGCTGACCAGTGAGAGTACACAAAGACTACAAAACCTCTATGCACAAGTCAGTAGATTCACTTAACTTAATTAAGTTAACAGGAACTGATGAAAGGAGCAAGCAAAGGAGTGACATTCAAAGTTCTACCAAAACTTAGAAAATGACCTCATTTCCAGAGTAAAATTTAATTGAAAATTCTAAAAAAAAGCCATCATCACCTTGAGGAATGGTGCATGTTTCAAAACCTGAGTCACTACGGTCTTCTGATGAAGATTCCTTGTTAAGAACAAATTCAACATATTCAGCATAGTATGAAATAGAGTCCCTATTGCTGGCTCAGTATATGCTAGGTGCTAGAGGTAAAAATATGAAATAAATGTAGATATCATGCATACTTTACATTCTAAAACGAACTGAAGGAGGGAAAGCACAAAATAGCTTTCTCTACGAGAAGGCGGAAAAATTCCCCAAAAATTTACTAGTTACTCAATTAAAGCCACCAGGAAATATGGAACACTTCTCTTCCTTTTGGTATGTTTAAGTATTTGGAAAGAGAGGGTCAACAAAATTGTTTTCAAAACTTCTGGAAAAAAATAGGAAACTGTACAGTGGAGGTAAGAAGTTTTCAATTTGCATTGCTCTTTAATTTTTAAACAATGCTTGCTCAAATAAAACACAACAACGAGGGCAGATCTCTGTCTCCATGCAGTGAAACATTTACAAGTAGTTGAGTAACTCTAGACAAGTACATTTTCAAAGTAAAACATAACTTTTTACTGCATGTTTTTCCTCCTGTGAAGTGACAAGGAAAACCAGTACTCACATTTCTAGAGATCTGCATGTTTTCCACTTGAGTTATAAGGGAGGGATGTTGATCACTGTTTTCTTCCTGAAAAGTAATAGCTTACAATTCAATGCAACTATGATTTTTAGTAAAAGCTTTGAAAGATTGTCAGTACAAATGCAATTGTCTGGTCAAAACTTTGTTGACTAAAAAATCATGCAGAAGAAGAAAATTTTTTGCAGGCACTTTAATTAGTATATATCTATTTTCAGAGCTTTAAATCAGGGATCTGCAATATTTCATTACACATTCTATAACTTAGATTCTCTAAATTTGCAATGAGAGTAGAAACATAGCAGACTTAGCTGTGTCACTTAAATGACTAGCATAGTTCAACCTTATTTGAACATTTATTTTTACTTAACCATGTTGCACATTGTCCTTCAGTAGCATTCTAGTTAGGTAATGATTTCAAATAAGGCTGTTATCTACTGTTTTAGAAATGAGCTTCTAATCTTTTGCAGATCCATTGCAACATCATGGATCTAATGATGTTGTGGATCTGCAGAAGCTTGAAAAATTATTTTTGCACTTTCGCTTATGGCCTATAATACTTGAAACCACTGCACTAAAAGACATGACATTAAATGTAAATAAAAACAACTGTATACAATTTTTTTTAAAGCCTATAAATAAGAAAGTGTAACAGTGTTTTGTTGCTGTCTATGGTAAATCAACTTAGCGTGTAATTGTTTGACAAAGCAACCAAAATAAATCAACATTCACAAATCTCCACAAGTGATTCTGTTGACTTCTTTTCAAAAACTTTCTGGAAAAAATCTTTTATCCAAATTTTTATGCATGGCTTATCTGCAAGTGCAGCATATCCTTTGGTGTTTAACAGTATTTTAAACCTGATTAACAATAATTCTAAGTGATCTGTGTCAGTAGTGTTTTCTAAAATGAAAGAAAATTAACAGATGAAGGTAGTCATGAATGGGGGTTGTTCCTCCAGTCTCAGACTGCTACACTACAAGGCATTTGATGTCAAGATGATATCAACCAACCAAGTGCATGAAAGATAAAGCAAATTAATGTTCTTAAGTATGAAAAATTTATCTCATATTGGACTGATGAATAATTCAAACCTCACAGTAGATGTACAACACACTGTGCCCCTTTATCTCTCGATTGAGGACTTCCCCACTCCAAATACGTGGCTCTCCACAGAAGTCAAGTTTTTCTTTCTGAACTGCTTTTGCACAAAAAAATCTGAGTATGAAAGTTGGTAACAAAGATTAACAACATCTTAGGATTCTGTTCTTGATGTTTCAAGGCCTATCCACATATTACACAGACATGGCCCACTGACATGAAAGCACAATATTATATATTTGTCCTAGTCTTTGAACCACGACACCTTTTTGGAAGACTGAAATGTCATAATCAACACAATTAAAATGGGTAGGACAAAAATATCTTGGAACAATCATATGTATTGTTAGTAAGACATGCTAGTAAACATAGTAAACAAGGGCATTATCACTCAAAGGAAATATATGGAGAGTATGTCACAAATTGTCCATGATTTTCTTTACTCTTCAAGACCTTAGAACCATCCATGTTGGAATCACAGACTTGTTTAACAAATACTTCAAAATTATAATTAAGTATTCAGTGCACTTAAAACAATGTGCTTTTCTTTCAAATTTTAATTTAACATTAATTACAATTTAAATGTCAAAATTTTCATCAGACAATGTTTCAATTCTTTAGGTTGATTTCCTCTTTAAAAGATTACCTTTCAGTGTTAGCAAGAATAGGGAAGGCATTCTTCAGTACTTCTTTTATATCTTCTGGTGTCATGCTCTTGGTGAATGAGATTTCTTGACGCAGCCCTGGATCTGGATTTATGTCATTTGACATAGTGATTGTAGTTGGCATGAACACTTCATTTGTTTCTTTCTTTTTGAAAACAACCCCCTCTCTTAAGACCACAGCCATCTTTTTTATTATATCATTAGGGCCTTTCCTTGAGGGTTTCTTCCTTTTTCTATCAGGTGGAGAATCATCACTGATAGAAGCCATTACCTAAATTAAAGAACACAAGATTCAATTAACTGGTATACCTATCAACATACAATTATATCATTAACTACAAAAGCAGTGCCCCAGATATCAAAGAAATGATCACTCTAGAAAAATATCCTTTTGTGGGTGAACTCAGGATGCAATAGTGTCCAAACTACAGCAGAAGATAATTATGGTTACATGTACATCAACCACTTAGGCCAGGTCATCAACATATTACCCAGCTAGAAAGGTTGACTCATATTTTCTAGACTTTATGTTGCATAAGATTCCTGTCAGTGGTTATGCTGTGAAATATACCGTATTTACCCGTGAATAATGCGCACTTTTTTTTCCATAAAAACAAGCATCAAAATCGCGGTGCGTATTATACACGGATTCTATTGTTTGTCAAGCACGTCCTAATTTGCATACGTTAAAAACGCAACAAAGAAAGTAAAAGTGCACGGATCGGTGGCCTGAGGAGGAGAAAGAGCTTGCTTATTTACGACTCATTTGAAGCTCACGTGACAGATACTGTGAACACTTCCTTCAAACGCGAACTTCCCTTCTCCAGCCGCTCGATGTATCTTTGAACAAACCATTTAGAGATGGAGTCCGAAAGGAGTGGATGGCTGATGGAATTCACGAACTTACTGGACGACAAAAAAAGGCTTCGGAGGAACTGATCTGTTCGTATATTTCACAAGCGTAGGAAGGCATTCCATCAGAAATGATCGCTGCCTCTCTCTGAAGTGTGGGTGCACAAACAATTCGAATGGATCACAAGATGAATTGGTTTACAATTCAACTGAGATCACTGATGAACTTGAGGATTCAGTCATCGAAACCTATTCGAATCGGACTGTGAGTCGGAATTTGAAGGTTTCGTTGTTTAAAGACACTGAACATTTTACTTAAATCACGCAATTGCAATGCAGTAATTATATTCAAGCTACCAGCAGTACTGTGAGTAGAAATAATGTTTATGAACGGCTTTTATGATAATAATTCAAGTTGTGAATTTAGGTATATTAATAAGGACTTCAAGTTACAACATTTATAAAACATTTGACTGTTACTGAATAAAAAAGCTTGTAAATAGGTGCTCGGTGCGTGCGATATTTGTAGTAGCAACTAGTTAGAAATTGTTGTAAACATATTATTGATGAATTCCCAGCTCTTGTTAATTAAGTGAAAAAATGGAAGTTTTAATTCTTGGTATTTGTCATGAAATCTTTTTTTTCGGAAAAAAGAGGTCAAAAATTAGGGTGCGTATTATACACGGGCGCGCATTATACACGGGTAAATACGGTAACCCTTTTCTGAAGGATCAAAAGATTCTAAAAACAAATTGATGGTGCAACTGAGACACAAATAAACCCATCTTTTATTGTTTGAATAAGTCCCATAACAATGCACACAACCCAGTAAAAATTTAGAACTCCTGAAGTGTATGTGACTAGGTATTCTATTTTGATAAGGAAACATTTGTTGCTTTTTACTAAACTTACTCAGCTGCTTCTTCTCAACAAGTGCATTTGAACTAAATAATAATTTTTTTCTTTCCCTCAAAAGACAACCAAAACATTATTAATTATGTAATAAAGAGGATAAAAAAAATAATAATAACAATAATAAGGGTGATTTGTTGTATAACTATGTCAATTTTAAACATTTTGTTGTATATGCATGTTTTCACCCACTTTCATCTTGAATCCCTCAGTTTAAATACTCTAAGACTATCCTAAAGAGATACTACATGGCCTCTTTCAATAAGACATTAAGTTTTCAAAAACTACTTCATATTGACAGCAAATGTCATTGACAACTAATTCAGTCCAGTGCACCCACTGCACAGACTAGACTGAGTATGTGTTGTTGACAAGAGAACAATTGTGTCATATCTTACAGTGAACAAGAGGCAGACAGAAAATGTCTACTATGTAGCAGCCCTAGGAATCACACACTATTGAGGGTTCCATTGAAACTAGCCCACCAGGTCCTTTTAGCCATAACTTTGTACTTTTACTTTCTAATGCTGTCACACAGAATCTATATAGAATATAAGCCATTGCTATGTGGAAATTAAGCGAGATTTCTGTATACCTCTATACTTCATTGTTCATAAAGTTCTTTGTTAACAAAAATTAAAACAATGAGGAAAACGATAGATAACCTTTGACACAATGGCCTTGTTTAGGGTAGTACAGGGCTGCAGGAAATATATCAATTTTGCTTAAGTCTTTAAAGCATTTCAAATAATGTATTTCACAATAATCTTACAACATGAACGAAATATAATGTAAAAACTTGCAGAATATATTTCAGCTAAGATTGTACGTACGCAACTAAGTCCAGTAGGAAACAGCATTGGAATCGGTACCTTGCAAAATTCCCCACTTCTCATATTGACAGTAGAGAAGTGTTTTAATTGTACTAATCTTCTACTGTCCCCAGCTATTGTTCTGGTCCAATATTTAAGATTTTTAGTACCTATATAATTGCTTTGAAAGATGATTGTGTGATGTTTGCCTTGCACCAAAACAAAAAGATTTTGACCCGAAATGTATCTTTTTACCAACAGACTTTGTTTTTAATTTGTATTTTAAAATTTCCCAGGTATTAGGTGCTGGTAGGCTTTTAAAAACTACAACAAATGGAGGAAGATGCCTTTTTCACAACGAAAGTTGTCCCACGATGACTAGCCCACCAAAGCCACTGTGTGTGTGCGCGTGCTTTTAGTCATGTGACCGTCGCCACCGATCGTGGTGACCCTCGAGCAAATACAATAGTTGGCGAGGAATCAATTGTGAAATGAAAATGAGCTGTTAAAAGTCAGTCTTTGATGAAACCAATTGTTAAATGATGAGACATTAACCACAACAGAAAGATTGTTTTAGCCTGACAGTCACATTCGCTCAATAACGCAGACGTAACTTACAATTTTCAGGAAGACTGTGGCAGCTGCCTCTCAATAAAATGCGGGTAAATTTAGTATAAATGTCAAACGACAGACAAATTAACCGTAGCCGTTTCCTTGATGAATATTTTTTAAGTCTTTGGTTCGGAAGTTTTCGTTCAAGACATTTGAATTCATTTCACAATGCTTATCATTGAAAACGTCCCTTGTTTTCGGCAAAGCACACGCAGTGATGGAGCCCAAAAGACATACTTAGCTACAAATATACGAGTTGCGTCTATGTGATCTGCTGCTCAATTTTTTTTGAAATGTTTCCAAGGAAAATCGAAAATGTTTCCGTTTGAAACATTCGTTTGAAAGGGTTTCTTAAAAACGAAATTCTTGCAAGTTGAAGGTTTATGCATGGAAATGTAGAACTAAATCATTTCATACTTGCTTAAAATACTTACTTCTTACCTTATAAAGCTGAGCTTCAGCTCAACAGCCTCTGATTTACCTCAATCTTGCCGTATAAACGTCGAAAAAGCGGGAATAGTTATGTCGAAAACCAAATTTATAGTGAGATCGCTCACGTGATCACATAAGTTTTGTTATTGACGTGACAGGTGGCGAACCAAAGACAGATTCTTTGATGATCACATGTGATCGACAAGTTCGAAATCCACACGGATGGTTTTTTTGCAGCCACGATTTGATTGCAATGATTACAAGTTAGCACGATTATTGGCCCAGTGATTGGACCATTCGCTCGATCCGTAAAGAGAAACAACAGAAGGAAATTTAACTGACGCTAACACAGACGTTACCCTATTGAGCAAGTTAATATGTAGCAATTGGCAAAATAAAGTCACATTTTTCTGAAACTCAGTGGCTATAAGCATAAGCTATATGCAGCGAAAGCAAATCGACTGGTAAACTCACAGCCGTCCGAGAAGCGTGAGATAACACGGAAGTGTTTTGCCAGCCCAGCCGAGGTGCGATTTTTGTACCAAATAGTTTGCGATACAAATTCAAAGAATATTTAAACTTTCACATGTTCTCATTCAATGGTGATCTTGAAAGACCGGAAAATCAAGAATCAACGAATCTTTGACTAGATTTCCGCGTCGTTCAGGTCCGTACTACCTGAAGAAGCCTCAACCGAGTTACTCTGCTGCACTAACTCGTATGTGAGAATTCAATTTATGATGCTCATCTCTGAAATTACAGCAGTCAAACTTCGAAGATTTTGAATGTAAAATCACAAAAAATAATTTCGCTGAATCAACGTGCTGAGCTTACAAATTTAAGAGTCGAATCTGGCAAAGAACACATACTTGTGTTTAATGAAGGAAATTTCGCAACATGTCCGATCCGCGAGGAAATCAATAAATATTTCCGCCATTGAATTTTGAAATAATTTTGTAGAAAGATGTTCTTGTTTCTTCACAGTCCATGCAAGTAAATCTATCACTAAGTGATTTCACACTTGTTTGATATAAGTATAAGTAAACCCTGTCTATATCTCACCTATTGAAGCTGAGCTCAAACTACGTAACTCCTGATCGAATTCAGCCCCAACACACTAATGAATACATGCACCTCAACAGCTCCGTAAAAGAGCGTCCGCTCTAAAATCGATCACGTGGTCGATAACATTTGCATTATGCAGTGCGCACGAATAAGTTGCTGATTTTAACATCCTTTCCATGCTTAAGTCGTCTCTACGTTTTAAGACGATATATTTTTCTTCCCTTCCTCTTGATACACGACTCCAAGCGTACGATGACATAGTAGTATTTTGCCTTACTAGTCATTCCACCATAAACAAAGTTGATCGCGGTACTGGTAAAAGGAATATTCAAAAACTTACCAAACTCTCGGTCAAAGCTTCGATCAAAGAAGAAAAGAAAGTCAGGAGTGGACAAAACATTGCCTAATTTTCCGCGACTATTACAATCGTCCATCCAAAACAAGTCCTCAAAAGAGTTATAAATCCTCTGCCGCAGAGTTGATATTTGGTTCAATTTCAATGTACCTTTTACATTTCATCGTTACATTCGTTCATTTCATATAGGCAAAACAAAACATAAATATAAATTCCTGAAAACTCTTAGAAGACTATGGTAGCTACCTCTCAAAAAAATGCGGGTAAATTTAGTACTCAAGTCAAACTACGGACAAATCAACCGTGGCCATTTCTTCCATAAACAATTTTGAAGTCTTTGGTTCGAAAGGTTTTCACCATGATTATCATTAAAAGCGTCGCAAGATTTCGGCAAACCGCACTCATTAATCTAGGTAAAAGACGCTTTTAGCTACAAAGATACGAGTTGTGTCTAAAATATGACATACTTCAATGATCTCCTGCACGAATTTTTCGAAATGTTTATGAGGAAGATCGAAAATACTTCTGTCTGAAACATTCGTCTCATGGGTTTCTTAAAACGAAATTCTTGAAAGTAGAAGGTTTATGCATGGAATGGTGAACTTAAAATTTCAAACCAGCTTGAAATATGTATAAACACTCATCTCTCACCTTTTAAAAATGAGTTTCTGCTCGAGAGCCCCTAGTCGAACTCGACTTTGACGCATAAGCGAGAAGCTTCCTTAAAATCGCTCACGTGGTCGGTCTCAGCAGATATAACTATTTGCGTCACTTTTGCTATTGAGGTGACAGGCGGCCGATAACATCGGACAACGTGACAAATTCGCTAATGATCACATTACAAGCTCTAACTCGAAGCGGATAGTTTTTTTTGTTTTTGTTTTGTTTTTTTTGCAGCAAGGATCTGATGGAAGTTATTACAAGTTAACAAGACTTTTGGCCAAGTGATTAACCATTCTCGCATTCCGAAAAAAGCAACAACTTGAGCAACTTAATTTAATTTTAATTTAACTGAGACTAACGCAGAAATTGTTGGATTAATTAAACACGAGTATCTTTAAATAGGAAGTGTCCTAATAAAGTCATGCTTTGCTGAAATATGGTCTCGACCATGCAGCGAATACAAATCAACAGTCATTTAAAAAAACTGTTGACGAACTTCGATCTGCATCCAAGCGACATCTTTCTTTTGGCAAATTCTTTTGAGATAAGACTGGAAGCGCATGATTACACGGAAATATAAAGAAAGTCAAGAACTCACGAAATACTTTCTAATTTTCTACATCTAGTACAGTCGAACATCCAGAACAAGCCCTCAAAAAGGTAAACTTAAACACCCAGCTGCCTGGTAGATACTTGACTTCACGGCACTCATCTCTAAATTAAGGACGTACAATTCGCAGATTTTGTGTTTAAAACTCACCAAAATGAATTGGCTAAATCACCAAACTGCTCAGCTTACAAATACAAGAGTCGAGTATGGCATAAAAAATACTCTATGTCTTAAGGAAGAAAATTCTAGATAAATTTGCGAGAAAAACCGATAACTACTTCCGTCAAAACTTTTGAGAAGGTTTCAGAAATCATTCCTGTTTGTCTACAACCCGTGCAAGTAACTCTATCACTAAATCATTTCATACTTGTTTGATGTAAGTATTAAAAACCCTTCCTGTATCTCACCTATGGAAGCTGAGCTCAAACTCTGTGACTTCTGGTCGAATTCAGCCCCAACACACGAATGAATACATGCACCTCAAAAGCCCCATAAAAGAGTGTTCGGTTTAAAATCGCTCACGTGGTCGACAACATTAGCGTGACTTTTACTGTGGACGTTACTCTTGACTGACGCGTATTTAATAGCATGATGAAATCGCTATGACTTATTATCTGACCCATACACGCATGAGTTTTCGCAACAAGGATTTCATCACAATAATTTGCATCTAGCAAGATTATAGGCCAGGCAATAAGCCATTTTCACAACCCGAAAAGGCAACGAATAGCGCAAATTATCTTGCACTGACGCAGACATAATTTTATATGATGCAGTGCACACGAATAAGTTGCTCATTTTAACATCCTTTCCGTGCTTAAGTCGTCTCCGCGTTTTCGGACGATATATTTTTCTTCCCTTTCTCTCGAAACACAACTCTAAGCGTACGATGACATAGTAGTATTTTGCCTAACTAGTCATTCAACCAAGAAAAAATGGATCACGGTACTAACAAAAGGAATATTCAAGAACTTACCAAACTCTCAGTCAGAGCTTCGATCAAAGAAGAAAAGGACAAATCATTGTCTAATTATCCGCGTCTATTACAATCGTTCATCCAGAACAAGCCCTCAAAATAGTTGTAAACCCTCTGCCGCAGAGTTGATATTTGGTTGAATTTCACGGTACCAATTAAATTAAATGGTTGCATTCGCTCATATAGGCAAACATAATCATAAATTTGTAACAACTCTTTACGCAGACGTAACTTACAATATTCAGAAGACTGTGGTAGCTACCTCTCAAAAAAATACGTGTAAATTAAGTATTCGAGTCACATTACGGACAAAATTAACCGTGGCCATTTCTTCCATAAACAATTTTGAAGTCTTTGGTTCGAAAGTTTTCACCACGATTATCGTTAAAAGCGTCGCTAGATTTCGGCAGTACGCACACACTAATCTGGGTAAACGACGTTTTAAGCCACAAACACATGACTTGCGTCTAAAATATGACCTTTTTCAATGATCTTCTGCACGATTTTTTCGAAATGTTTACAAGGAAGATCGAAAATGCCTCCGTCTAAAATATTCGTCTTATGGGTTTCTTAAAACGAAATTCTTGAAAGTGGAAATTTTATGCATGGAAATGGAGAACTAAAAAATTTCAAAGCTGCTTGAAATATGTATAAACATTTATCTCTCACCTTTTAAAGCTGAGTTTCAGCTCGACAGCCTCTGGTCGAACTCGACTTTGATGCATTAGTGAGAAGCCTCCTTTAATCGCTCACGTGGTCGGTCTTAGCTGATTTAAACATTTGCGTGACTTTTGTTATTGAGGTGACAGGCGGCCGACAAGATTCGGACAACGTAACAGATTCGCTAATTATCACATGACGATCTCTAACTTTAAGTGGATGGTTTTTCTTTGCAGCAAGGATTTGATCAAAGTTATTACAAGTTCACAAGACTTTTGGCCAAGTGATTAGCCATTCTCTTGATCCGAAAAAGTAACAAACAGAGCAATTTTAGTTTATTTTATTTTAACTGACCCTAACGCAGATATTGTTGGATTAATTAAACACGGGTACATTTGAATAAAAATTGACTTGATATTGTCATGCTTTACTGAAACGTAGTCTCGACCATGCAGCGAATACAAATCAACGGTCAGTTAAGAAAATTGTTCACGAACCACAATCGTCTCTGCATTCAAGCGAAATATTTCTATTCGCAATTTCTCCTACGATAAGACTGGAAGCGCATGATTGCACGGAAGTGCAAGGAAAGTAAGGAACTGACGAAACACTGTCTAATTTTCCGCACCTAGTTCAGTCCTACATCCAGAACAAGCCCTTAAACCCCAGCCGCCTAATAGATACTTGATTTCACGGCGCTTATCTCTGAAATTAAGGACCTCAATTCGCAGATTTTGTGTTTGAAACTCATCAAAATGATTTGGCTAAATCACCGAACTGCTCAGCTTACAAATACGAGAGTCAAGTCCCGCATAAAACATACTCTTTGTCTGAAGAAAGAAATTGCTACATATGTTTGCGAGGAAAATCGGTAACTATTTCCGTCAAAACCTTTGAGAAGGTTTCAGAAACCATTCCTGTTTGTGCACAACCCATGCAAGTAAATCTATCAATAAATCATTTCATACTTATGAATTATAAGTGTTAAAAACCCTTCCTGTATCTCACCTATGGAAGCTGAGCTCAAACTGCGTGACTTCTGGTCGAATTCAGCCCCAACACACGAATGAATACATGCACAAAAGAGCGTTTGGTTTAAAATCGCTCACGAGGTCGATAACTAAGCGTGACGTTATTATTGACGTGACTCGCTGATGTGTGTACATAATTGCATGATGGAATCACTATGACCTATTATCTGACCTACGCCGCACGAGTTTTCGCAACAAGGATTTCGTCACAATAACTTGCATCTAGCAAAATTATTAGCCAGGCGATTAGCCATAGGCAAAGAATAGGATATCTTATCCAGCACTTACACAGACAATATTCGTTTAAATGAAAGTAGCAGTTGGTCCAATCGTTTTATAAGATGCAGTGCACACGAATAAGTTGCTGATTTTAACATCCTTTCCATGCTTAAGTCGTCTCTGCGTGTTCGGATGACATTTTTTTCTGCCATTTCTCTCGATACACGACTCCAAGCGTACGATAACATAGTAATATTTTGCCTTACTAGTCATTCTTCCATGAACAAAATTGATCACGATACTGATAAAAGGAATATTCAATAATTTACCAAACTTTTATTCAAAGCTTTGATCAACGAAGAAAAGAAAGTCAGGAGTGGACAAACCATCGCCTAATTTTCCGCGTCTATTACAATCTTTCATCTAGAACAAGCCCGCAAAAGAGTTATAAACCCTCTAGCATAGAGTTGATATCTGGCTTAATTTTACGGTTCTCATTGGAAATTGCAGCTGTAAAACCTCGCAAATTTTGTGTTTGAAACTGAGCAAAATGATCTGGCTAAATCGACGTGCTTAACTTTAAAATACAAGAGCCTAGTTTGGTATAGAACATACTCTTTGTTTAATGAACGAAATTTCTATACATGTCTGAGAGGAAAATTTATTAATACTTCCGTCCTAAAGCTCTTCCTGTTTGCGCACAAACCATGCAAGTAAATCTGTCACTTAGTACGCTATTTCATACTTGCTTGATGTAAGAACAAAAAAGCTTCCTGTTCCTCACCTTTTAAAAGCTGAGCTAAAACTCTACAGCCTCTGGTGGAATTCAATCCAAACACAGGGGTGAAGAATACATTCACCCTTGAAAAAGGCCCCTGGGGGGTTTTGTCTAAAATCGCTCACGTGGTCAGTCCAATTTGAACAGATATAACATTTGAGTGACTATTGCTATTGGCGCGACAGGCGGCTGGTATTTTAACAGATTCACCAAGCCTACTAAGAATGACAACATTACTAACCTAGGACCACTGCGGATGACTTTCAACAGCTTGGAATTGATCAGAATTATTCGACTTAGCGAGCTCATCGGCCAAGTGATTAAGTGACATACAATTAGTCATTTACAAAAACGTAATTTTCCGCACTGAAGTACTTAGTCCACTGAAGTATGAAGAGCCAACATAACATTCCCGTACCTCACAGGATAAGTGTTCGGAAAGGTCATACAAGGATGCACGACGACCCTCCTGGAGAAAGACATTTGTAAATAGCACGCAGGGTTCTGCGGTCGGACAGTGACTAAAACTTTATTCTCTGGCAAATCTTTGAGAAGGCGTGGAAATGGAACAGAAAAATCTACGCCAGCTTCAGAGACTTTAAAGAATCCCGGCTTCAATAGTATCACGGGAAAACGTTGTATTACGCGTTGTGCGACACTAAAGGATCGGTTTATGCTTGGCGTGTTTATATCCGGAGTGATGTATGCACGCAGGATATTTGGAGAGCACGAGAGAAAGGAAAGAGTTGCGCAAGGCGCAGCTAAGAGCAACTCTAGCTTCCTAGGTGCTCTCCAAACTTCCAAAGTGCATACATAGCTCGATATACGCACTGCCATGCAAGAGTTTATTACAACTGCATTGGGTTTAGCAAATCGTAAATAAATTCATGATTATAATGTAACCGTACAATAAGAATAATTATGTCTGAGAACCACTCCAGATAGGTAATATGAACTGCATCTTATTCAAGGTCACTATAGCCCTTAAAAACACTGATGACTAAGAAACGGACGAGAACAATCCATGTATTTAAGAATAAGAATATTGAGAACCAATCTAAATAGCGGTACCAATCATATTACAAATAGATCGTTTTAATACCGACCAGGTGCAAGGGAAAACGTTTAGGACGGTGGCCCACTAGTGCCACAGCCACACATTATAAAACGAATCCGCCCCCTCTGTACATACGAGCCTCCTCAGTATAAATCAATCCTCTTCTTCTTTGCGTGAAATCAAAGTACTGAGTACCTAATCACCAGTCCTCTGATTGATCACCTCTAATGTTTTCCCGCCGTCACAGTCACAGCGGTGATGTTGGTATCCCTGTGTTTTGGGTATCCCCCATGTTTTGAGTATTTCCGTGTTTTGGGTATCCACGTATTTTGAGTATCTCCATGTTTTTGGTTTTCCCGTGGTTTTGCTATCCCTGTGTTTTTGGTACCCCCGTACCCAAATCACTATTGTTTAGGGTATTCCCCCTTGGATTACGGATACCCAAAACAAAAAGACGTGAGCTGAACAGCGGACTATGGCAATTGACATGGCGTTCGAGGTTTACTTGTCGTGGCTTTATTATATCAAAAGGAAAAGATCACCGTAAAGTAAAATGCAAAATGGAGGATGGCGCGTGGCCTTCAGGTTGGGATAAATCCGGACGTAACCTTTGGAATGTCTTTTCTTTTTTTTTCACTTGATCAGCAGAAATATGTAAACCTACATTTATATATGTCTTTAAAGCCTACCAGGAAAAAAATTGATCCGCTCTCATCTCTATTCCTTGGAACCCAGTATGTTTGTCTTTATATCCCAGAACTTGATAACATTACAAAAGTTTTCAAACTTCACGTTTGGTAGCTTCGTTTGCGAAGGAAGAGGAGGAAAAAGCTAAAAGGCTGTATAGCTCTCGTGATATCCTTTGCAATTCTCCCTTTGCAGTTGAAGATATTTTGCCCTTTCAAACTCTAACTCTCCAACTTACCGACTTAAATTAACAACGTCTTTAATTAATTTTAACTATAATGACAATCGGTAACGAAAGTACATGTTTTCAAAATTGTCTGTTGCATCCTATATTATAACATAGCTACATTCTAACGCGCGCTCTGATTGGCTAAAATATTATGGAAAAGTTAAGGAATGGACAATGTCTAGCGAGCTTCAATCCAATTCAGGATACACGCAGATAGTTGGGGAGCACGAAGGAAGCGTAAGAGATGCTCGAGGTGTTTACACATAAAATAACACAAACTAAGTTTTCATCGTGATGAGTTTTTTTTTTTCATGATTGCTTATGGCTGCTCAAGCCTCTGCCTGCTTTGCCACGTCTTGGTGGTTGCCTTTGAAAAGTTGGACATCATTTTTCTGTGGATTTTGAAAAACATTTCAAAAAAATTAGAACAACTCAGCGTTTCGATGTTGGACCAACCGCAAATATCAAGAAATGTTGGTAAGGCTGGAAAAGTCAGTGATACAGAAATAATTGGCCTAATCTTAGGGGAAGTAGTGCAGTTGACAATGTACGACTGCTTTCCTGTTATCTATGATTAGAAACCAGGATGAATTATAAAAGTTATTAAGTTAAGGTGACCCACGTCTACAGGGTCGGAGTCCATTGGTATAAAGAACTGTTGTGGATGACTATAATTATTGAAGCACAACAAACTAACTAAACGCATTTAAGAGATTGAGTCAAACCAGAGACTTCTGAATCTGAATGTCCGAATGTTCCATAAAATCTTCATTAGGTTTGTAATTACAACACATCAAAGGAACCGTTGATGCACCCTATGCAAAACTTTACATGGGATGTAATATCTAGGTGCAGATCCCTTACCTGTGTCTCCCCCCTCCCCCCTCCCCCCCCCCCCAACATCTCAAACAGTTACACCGCAAATGAAAAGCCATTAAAAATGGAAATGACTACACTGCCCATGTCTACCGAAAGCAAAAACGAATAGTAAATTAGCATAATATAAGATATCTGCCCTCATATTTATTTATAATGGGTATTAACAAACCTGCCTTGAGCACTGCAAAATGACAGATAATGCTGGACGCACAATTCAAAAGAAACAAAAACAAGAGTTCCTCACCTCTCCACTGTAAGAAGATTTTGCATCTCTCTCTCTTTCTCCTCTTCCTAGTAATCTAACTCTTACAGTCTCTACACCCTTTAGCAACGAAAGCTCATCGTTGTGAGCTGCATCTAAACTTGAGGGAACATTACAAGACAGAAGTGACGTCAATTCACCAGCAGACAAGCCCTTAGCAGCGCACACAACCTTCAGCCATTTCTCAACTTTGTAGTCTTTCTTTGCCCCATCTCGTCTTGAGATCTGCTTCTCTCCTTCTTCCTCTTCATGCTAAATATGTACGCCACAATAATCATAGAAATCAAAATTACACTTACTGTGAAACTTATATCTAAACCTGAGAACACCACAAACATCTGAAAAATGTAGCTATCTCTCAAGGAAAAAGCCAATCAGGGGTTTGAAAGCTAAATCGCAAGATTGTTACTTCACCACAGTTGATCAGTGTACAATTGACTTTTCAGAATCAAATTAATGTGTCAGTTCTTTTCTGTGAAGTTTAAAATATTCATAAAAAAAGTCCTTCCGGCAAAACCCACCCTGAAATTCATTTTAAAAATACCGAATAGTAAAATACATATGCTGACAAACTATAGACGATTATACTGTAAAAAAGATATGATCTTTGCATATTTCTGCCTCAAGTTTCAAGAGAAGCAGCCAGAAATTTCAATTTTAGACCATCATGTACATCAATGAACCTGGTAAAATTTCCGGAGGTTCCAACAATATGGAATGAAAGAGAGGATTACTCACTTTTCCTCCCCTACTCCACCAATTTGTTGCTCTTCTTCTTTTCTTTCTTCCTTCCATAATGGCTCTTGCAGACTCCACACAATTAAGCAATGTAAGAGTATCATTGTGATCTGAGTCTGATGATTCTAGAATATAAGGAGACAGAGATGGCAAGCCATTGGCAGAGCAGGTGAACTGTAGCCAATTCTCTACTTTGTCATAAGACAAGGTGTCAGTTGGTCGAGGGTCCTGATCTCTTTCTTTTTTCTCTACTTTCTCAACAAGAAGGAGGCTTTCACATTCAGAACCATGCCCTGTGGCTCCAAGCTGAGAGCTTGCAGTGGAATCCACATAAATGGTATTGCATCTTGAGCCAGAATACAACTCAGGCTCATCACTATGTATACCACCATTGCCCTGCATGTTCCCTTGAAAAGAATTAAAAAAAAGGACAAATCATATCACTTTCTAGATATTTTGTAAATTATGATAGTGCAAAAATCATGACATGGAAAAAGAATAAATATTTTGAGACCATTTTATTTTCCTCTGCAAAAAGAGAATATTGTTTACCAAAAGTGATACTGGTGCTGCCCCTGGAATTTTTGGGGTATCAGAGAATTTCATTAAAGATCGTGAAAATGCTGTATAGAAACTTGGTGAATTTATGGTAAGACTAAAATTCTAAATCCTTAACTCAGCACACTGATGGCAAAGGCAATAACTCACAATAACTTGTTCTTATCAATTTGCCTACAACATAATATCAATAATTGAATTATTTTTGGCCTCAGGAAACTAAATCTGGACAAGGGATATTCCTAATACCACTTGGGGGACCACAGATGATGCAGAAGAGGCCTTATTGGCAAATAAAAATAAACATGAAATGCCACCTACATGGTGAGAAAAACATGTATAAATGGGGAGTTCTAGACCCTAGTACACTGCAATGGTAGTGGTAAAAACCTGGTCAAGCCTATTCCACTAAAGCTGAATAAATAAAAAAGAACTTTACAAAAAAGAATTCAAACAGTTGACCACTGTGCGAACATGTTAAAAAATGAGTAGTGGAAAAATCTGTAGAATGTGTATATATCTATTTATATGTATATACACACACACTATACCTTTTTCATGCCACGCTTTCATCATAATCTCTGCAAAGTCTTTCACAATTAACAGTAATGATTGTGTTTGGTAGAAATCACTCACTATTGATAGATCCACCACAGTTTTCTGAATTGGACAGCGAGTCACTATCAACCTCATATGACACACATGAAGAATTCTCACCATCAGCAAAGTAGTTTTCTTCACCTTCTCTACAGTGCACCAAATGATCCCTTTGAATATTCTGTTCATCACCTGTACAAGTTGTGACAAGAAACACGTCACATCAAAATGCAAGTGTCAAAGGAAACTCAATCCACAATTATTCAATTATTATTTTATAAAAGAGATAGGAGTACATTTACTTATCCATATCTTCTACAGTTGATTTAGAGTTTAAAAAAGCTACTAAGCAATTTGTGACCTAGCAATTGCACGTACACTACTCATAAATTGCAAATGGTTATACCTTAATTAGAAAAATGATTTTTTAATTGCAAATGTTGAGCATCTAAATTACAACCATGCAATTTAAAAACTGCAAATGATGGAAAAAGACTTAGCCCCCAAACTAAATGACATTTTTCTATTCATAGATCACACACTGCTATACATAACATAGGTTACACATTTTCAATTTATCAATTGCTATATAATGTATTTTATAATTTAAATGTACTGTTAATGTTCCAAAAACATAGAAACAAGCCAAACTTTTTTGAGCCAAACATGCAATTCCAAGTGGTAGCAATTTAATCATTTTTCATGAAAGAAAGGAAATTCAAGGTATTTTTGTTACTATGTTTTCCACAGACAAACCAACTTATATGACATTGAATTATAAAATAAACACTTGAGCTATTTAACCACAATGTGAATTACCTGAAAAAAATCAGTTGTATCATTATATCTATATATTTGAGAGGTTAACTACTATATTCAAGTAAGAAACCTATGCACATGCATACAGTATGTCTTGATTTCCTCAAAAAAGAATCAATATTATTTCATATGTTGAGGAACCATGAATGGGGTGTAACTTAAAGAATACAATGAAGTAAGGTTCTTGTGAAAAAAAAAAAGATTTAGTTTGCTAATGAAGCACCAGATCAACTTACCCAATTGTCCACATATCTCACAAACAACTCTTGAAAGTTGTATCCACTTGTCTGTATTGGTAGAACATTGGCCATAGTTTTCTTCTGACAAACTGAAAAACAACCCAAATATAAGGAAACATTCAATCAAAATCATTCCAGCTTATTTGTGTTTGTCTTAATCCACTGCCAGCAGTTAATCTCCTAATCTCCCCATCTTGGGTGGCTGCCAACCTAATTAGTTTAAATTCTGCTGGTGTGTCTCCTTTAGAAGAAGCATATAATGGATGTAAATACCTGACTACTACTTTCACTAATTTTTTATTTAAGATCCAGACAACATTGTGGTGTGATTCATTTACCAATGGTTGTATGGAGTAATCATTATCAGCAAGAATCTATCAAGGCAACATTTATTACAAGTCAAAACATGGATGGCTGAAGCATTTACCATTTGATTATTTCTTCAAAGAACTGCATCAGGTCTTTATTACCATCTATAAGCTTGTCCTTACAACTATCATTTAGAGCATCTGTTGCTTGCCCTGATAATACTTAAAAACAATGCAAATTACTTTTACAGACTGCCTCAATGTATGGTTTTCTTAGACCATTCCACTCAGGAATAATCACAGTTGAGACTTCCACTTCAACTAAATTCAACTAGTAAATTTAGACCTATTGACTGGCCCACATGAGTTCTGGGGTCCATTTCAATTCACAATTTCAGCTATTTATAGCAATGCCTAAGTTGAAGTTTTGCTTGTTTCAACTGATTGATGATTATATGCTAATTTAATTAATTAATATTCTCAATGCAAAAAATATAGTCCTTTTTAAGCTTTTAATTTTCTTTTATTAATAATGGTTGTCTTACACTGGTCCCACATGCGAAGGTGGGCATTAGCACTGTGGCTCTGATATGCAAATGCTGTTCATAATTCAGCGGAAAATAATAAAGAAAACACATGTTGCTTCATGTTTATAAATATACCAGCAAAGTTTTCAGGCATATGTTAAAAATGTTTTTAAATCGTTGACACCAAATTGTGTCTAATGACTTGCATGCATATTACAAACCGCTTACTTAAAAAATTGTTTCTACATCTGTTGTCTGACTTTTTTGTAATAATAAACAATTGGGAGGTCACATGCCACATTTCCAAGCAAACAGTGAAAATATTTATAATTGGTTTACAAACCCTTTACTAACCTCTAATTGCAGTAAGTATGTCTTGGTCTGGGGGAGCATACCCCTTTGTGCCATGGACAGTTGATTTAAACAACACATCTCTTTTAAAAAGATGGTCCACAAGGTGAAGTGCCATGGCTGTAGGCTTGTGGGCAGCCTTTGCATGAGTGAACTCCATTCTGGACAGCTGGATATTAATGTTGCCCTCAATTGCAACTGAATCAGTATCGATTCCTTAGAAAGTAGAAAAAAAGAAACAGGTGAGTTGTTGTGTTGGGAATCATTTCATAACTTAAAATTCAGGCATACTCAAAAGTGTTTGTTCTTTACTATTTGCTGATTATTTTATCAAACGTATCAGGATTGTTTATTTTTTTCCATGGGGCTGTCCGCTAATTCTGCTAAAGCTCTGGTTTGGGCTGGTACAACAAATTGGTGCAGGTCTACTGGCATCTCCTGCTGCCCTAACACAGCCGGGGGTGATAGAAGCTCTACCAGGGATGTAGTGGAATTCATGTAGGGTGAAACAGATGAGGCATCTGAGACTTTCAATTTGGTGTCTGTGGTATTAACCCACTCATAATAATGAATACTGAGGGGCCTGTCCAGCTTAACCCCATGCTTGGCAAAAGAACAATCCAACCTCCCCAAGATGGTCCTCAGATAGCGAAGCTCCTTACCCACGGTCTCCGATGTACTTTTACTGAGGTGGTTCAACCACTATAACATTCAAATGCCTAACATCAATTAGCCAACCCTTGGCCAATAATTTAACGGCAGTACCATCACTTGGTCAGTTCTACTCAGGTATCAACTAATTTCTCTAGTCCTTGGAAAAAGATTTTTGGTGGCCATATTCCGTTCTAGACCTTTCATGCCACCAACATTAGTCTATGTCAAAAACTCTTTTTTTCAGATTGTAAGGTCCAGGTTGACATCAAACACAGAAAGAAAAAACTGGCCCAGTAACTGTTATTCCGTAGCACTCAAAAGGGTATGTGCTCTTGCATCAAATTTTTCATTCCTGAGTTTCTCACATGGCTATTGACACCGGTAATTGGACTTCGTGCCGAACAATGCAGGGGTGTAAATCGCCGAATTACTCCCTGAACTGTACTCTTCTGATGAGGCTCTTTTTCCCAAAGACAGAAGTACAAATTTTCTGACATGACTAAGGCAGAGGAATCTGTAAACTTCGCACATAATTTAAGTGAGTCACTCGTCCCTAAAGACACACGCATCATGGCTGCGTTTCTGGAGCTCTTCATTCAGTCATGTGACTTTGTTTTCCCGCCAACGGTCATGTGGATAATCAGACGGGGAAGAAGTAACAAAGAAATATAGATCGCTCATTATTCAGAAAAACCAGCCTTCGCTGATTCATAGTTGAGATCGAACACGAGAAGAAACGCAAAGGAACGGATCAAACCAAACACTTTCGCAAATCAATTAATAATCTCGTCAGCATAGTGAATAAATTATTTGAGAAATATTCATGACTGGAAGTACTTGTTTCCACTATTTCCCTGGGATGTAGGCGCTGGTAAAACGCGTCATATTTTTTCATAAACTGAATAAATCGAATTGGCTTTTGAAATAATTAGCTTGATACGAATGAAAGATTGGAGTATAGCATATGTATTAAGTATCACACCTGATCTGGAACAATTCTTTGTGACAAACCTCGATCGACGTACACCGCTCTCACTAAACTCTGATCTGAAAGAGAGGGTTGCGGAAAATGGACACGTTACAAGTATGTGTATCACTAGAAAACTGAGAATTTATTTGAAAGAAACCACAAACCTAATCTTTCTTGCTTTTCGTTGCTTACCTCAAACCCTAATTCACTTCAAATGCCGTTGAGCCAGAGGAGATGTAAGTCAGTTTCGCAAATTAGACGCTCATGTGATCGGGCAATCAGGATCAGGGTTTTACCCAATGCGCTTCTTTGCTGTTACAGTCATCCGAATGGATGCTGGGATTGGCGAACCTAGTACCAGGTCCCCTTGTACCAGGTTAGATAGCCATTTAGAGTTCCATAGGTATTCTCTTAAAAGTTATATTTTTGCAAACTTTTTTCTTTCCATGATGGGCTGAGGAGATTATTACTCTGTGTTTGAATGTGGAAATGACCGCAAACATCGCAAAGGTATGAAAATTTGAGGAAAACTTTCGACTGAACATCAGAAAACAGGGCCACTCTAACTATCCACGGCTCGCTTGGCTCGTTTGCTCCTATATATGTCCACTGCCGAGCCAAACGAACCACAAAATATATAGACCTAGGACTTAACGCGCATATTCGTTATTCCTTGTTCTTTCATCCACTGCCGAGCCAAACGAGCCACTTGATATATATGCTCCCTCAAAAGTGGCCCTGTATATATATGTTATTCGCCAGCCGGGAGGTCCGTATTGGGAAAAACTGTGCCCGTGGTCTTGAGGTACACGAGACAGAGGGCACAGTTTTTCCCAATACGGACTGACTAGGCTGGTGAATAACTCTTTTATTTTTTTCTAAAACTCAACGAAATACTTGCCAAAGAACCCGAACGATTTAGGGCTGTAATTACGGCAAGATCCTCTTTAAACTGAACAATTCTTCGGTAAGTAAATTGTTAAGAAACAGAGGAGATGCAAATTAAAGAAGGAAGCTTCACCGAAATACTTTTCTTTACTTAGCGGATAAAGTTTATTTAGAAGGCTTCTAAACAAACTTTGAAACCTTTATTTACAAGTATCTGTCACAATCTGACACCTGTCAATTAAAGAGAGCATAAAAAAATAGCTCATGTACACTTCTAAGAAAAAAAACAATACTACTGGTTTGGCAAACAAACTCGAGTTCAATGACTGTCATGACAACTTTTTCTTCAAAAACATTCATTGATCTTAGGATAGAATAATTCACTTCCATGGATGATTAGTTTTCAAAGAATACCTCTGCTCAGTCTATCAGTAAATGAAAAGGAAGGTAATTGGAAGTAAATTCAAATGTAAGTTTTTAAGTGGTGGGAGTTTTCTTGTTTGTTTGCTGCAATAGCACGTGTAAATCTGACCTTTTTTCACCAAAAAACTTAAGTCAAATGAGACACTTAAACTAGACCCAATGGTAATTTAATACAGCTTTTTAGCATTGAATTCTTTTGGTTTTTGTTTTGCAAATTATGGTACAAATGGCCAAATTGAACAGACCTGCAAGGACTTACCACAAGCTTATTTGTAGTTGGACTGAAAACTTGCTTACCATTTGAAAACAAAAAAATTAATTGAGAGAAGTCAGAAATTTAATGAACATGAATATCAGTCAATTCCTTGTGCTTACTTGAATGAAACATTGATTGGTCATGATTTTGCCTTGCATTTTATTAATAGTTTTGGTAGCACAGGGTTACCTGGTTATTTCCCCAACAAACCTGCGTATTGGCTGTGAGCATCTTTTATGATTTTTATCTTAAATGTTAATTTCTGAGGAAAACCCTCAGAAGAAATCAAGGAGGATGTCTATGGATTAAACAAACTTAAGAAGCAAAAATTTCATGCAAAAAAATATCTAAACAAGAAGCATACACTGTACTTTGACAGAACATCATTGTGCGTAGATATGGTATGAAATGTTTACAAGTACCATATTTCCTTGAATGAGCACCCAGGCGGTTATTCAAAATTTTAGCTGAATGAGAGAGGAGGATATTGCAATAATTCTCATGTACTGATTCCACTGTAGTTGAAGCTTAAAAAGTTACAAATTAAGTGGCAGTGGAAGCAGGTTTTCTTTGTACTCATGCTATGTAAGAAAGTGAGGGAGGGGGAGAGGGGCTAGTTTGATATGATGGTTGAGGGGGTGGGTGCTTATTTGGGAGAAGCACTTATTAGAGGGTGAGTGCCTATTCAATGAAATATGGTATACACATAATTAAACCTTTACATCCTAACATCAGGATGTATATTCTCCATACTGTTCTCTATACATTTCCAAAGGTGCTGAAAAGGAGAATTTGTCTATCAATCAAAAGCTTCTTTAGTTGGTGATCATTTACTTTATTCTTGTGACCTTACTTTTTGATTCAGGGGTGATATTGTATAGAGAAACTAGAAGCTGATCACTCTTAGCGATCAAAGGGTTAAACTGTAAAGGCCAATAACACTCTGCATCCTTTAACATATTAAATGCAAGCTAACTTGTCATAACAATGATAATGAATATTTCTTTTAAGAAATGCATTCCTCGAACTCAATGTTTGTAGTTACTAGATTTTTAGAAAAAGATATAAATTACCAAGACTGCAAATATTTTTGTCTTCTCATAGAGACATCATGCCCAACTATGACAAAATTTTGGCAATGTTTGCTCAGACTAAATAACAATGTAATTGGATGTGGCATGTCATGTCATATTTTAGTATCTTCATACTTTTCTCTTCTGAAATAGGTAACAGATGATGTCAAAATGTGGCAGAAACAAGAAGTGTCATGTAAGGCACAACAGAGTGTGTCACGGATGTTCTTACCACATTTTGATGTCTTCTGTCATCTATGACTGTTCACACCCATGGCAACATGCAATCTATTTCTTATCACAGACATTAATCAGTCACCACCATGTAAAAATGCAATTTTTGGGAAAGTTAATGTTGAAGATCACCAATTTTTTGTTTTGCAGGAATGTGCTGCCAGGACTTTGACAGGAGTCAAGTTACTGTTCTGATCAATTTTACAATTTTCTGAACAAATGGCAGAATATATACTGAGGGGCAAACCCTCCCTAACCCTCCAATGATAAATAACAATACCATAAAAGCATTTTGTTTTATTTCTTCATTCCATTTGAATGAGACTTCCATCAAATTGAAATGATACTTTTCCTGAGCCATGTTATGTACAACAAATTTACTTTTCCCCTTTTTTCTTTATTTAGTTAGCATATTTCTAAGTTTCACCAAAAATTGCAACCAATGTTAGATTCTTCATTTTATCATGTATACAGCCTTGAGTGGGCTTTCATGAAAAAACTTTAAAATTTCTCTGCGAGGGCCATGCACAATGGAACAGGAAAGACCAGAAAAAGCGATATGATCCTGTGTGATGCAAGCAGAAAGAAGAAAGAGAAATAGTATTGGTCATATGATAAAAAGCTTATTGGCAGAGTGGGGATTGGACTGAAGGGATGATATTTGGCTCTTGGTCTTGTGCTTAGTCTGTATTCTTTGACCTAGATCTAAATATTCCTTGTTTAGCCCTACCACTCTGCCAACAGGTACATAATCTCATTTACATAACAGTGTAGCCTGATTCATTTTGCCATCAAGCCTATTTTTTAAATTATTTTGTAAGTTTGCAGTAGCTGTTTGTTTTAAGGTGATTCCTCTGACAAAAAAAAGTTAACAAATAATTTGTTTAAACTTTCCTTAAATGTTCTCTACTAATATCTGTTTCAAAAACTACAATTTAAAAGAGAGGTAACCCTGCTCATTAAAGAGGTGAGACAAACTTACCCAACTTATGCTTGTCCTGGCACTAATCACACACATCATTTCATCAGTTCATGGTACTGTTTGAGGTAGCATGAAGCGAGGGTGTCAAAGTGATATTAAAAAAAAAACTTAATAGGTAGAAAGTCTTAAGTGTGAAACAATTTGATGTATAAATTGTGAAAAAATCACACAAGTTTTAATACTTCGACTCAAAACATTCCTCAAGTTGTTGCTTTCACTGTCATAATTTGCATTCTTAAGTTACAGGCTTTTTGCATGCTTTTAGCCATATCTTCTTTCACCTTTAGTGAATTTTTTGTAATTTGTCCAATCTAAAGGGGACAATTTGTACAGCAAAATTTTGCATTAAAAATATGGGTCACCATGCTCCTTCACTAGCTAAATACCATTATACCTTTCTGCCTTGTCCTAGGTTTTTAAAATGACTTTGCCTCAGTTTGAACCCTTTATTATTATGTTCTTCCTTCTATTTCATTCTGGAGATCGCTGGTATATTTTTGTTATATTATTCCTTGTCTTTTATTTAGAGGGTCTTTGAACAGATCTCTGGCACAGTTCAGGGCAATCAAGAAACTAAGTCAAGGATCACAGATATCAAAATTTCTTTTAATGGGATCAAATGACATGTCAGTGACAGCATTCTCTTCCCCTTAACCTCTCACTAAGAAATTAACAAAAATGAAATAAAAAGGAGTATTTGGAGTGGTGAAGGGTAGTATGAAAGCTGTTAAATATGAATTTTTCTCTTGTATTATTTATTTAGGAAGAGAACATGTAGGATGAGGGGGAAAGTGATTTCAGAGAAGAGGAGTAAGTGATCTTTTACTCCAAGGCTTTACTCAAGCTTGCTTCATACTTTCTTGTTTGCTTTTTTCGTTTTGGCCTCACTGGCCTGACTGCTTTTGGCTGCCTCATTATAGCATAGTTAATGAGCAAAACCACAATTGGAAAATAAGCAATGGAAAAGCCTATTGAACCAGTACTAAAATAACTCAAAGTTCAAGTGACCATAATTATCAGTAAATTGACTAGAACTAAAGAATGAACTAAGAATGAACTAAAATGAACAGAAAGGTAGAAGTAGGAGAAAGTAACATGAAGAGTCAACCTTTTGGAAATCAAAGCATATTTACATAGTTATATAAACTAAAATTAATTCTCCATACCCAATTAAAAATGTAATTTTCCTATATTAAGAATCTTTTACTCATATACCCGAGAAGTACAACATTGTACCATGCAACTTCTCCCACCACAACATATTTCATTGACCACAAGAAATCATTATGCTTGGCAAGGAGTATAAAATCTATTTGATGCCAGAATGCACAGTGGTATTTCAAATTACAAATGATTTACAGTCATTGGATTTATTATAAGGCTTTAAGCTTAATCACTAATTCTATTACAATACATATGCAGTGCAGTCATCAATTCTATTTCAGCTGTTATTTGTTGCTAAACAAACAAAGTAAAATCACAAACAAAAACTGCAACTCAAGTACATAAAAAAAAAATTCAATCAATATAATTTAGAGCCATTAGTTGGCTCTTCTTAGTCTTGGGACTCATAACTTAAATTGCATAACGGATACCTGGGGCAAGACAGCTACTGATACTTTCAGTATCATACAATTAGAGCCAAACAGGCTGTAACTATTAATTAACACTGAACCTAAGGGGGTAGATACATACTTAGACAGCAGTGTTTATAAATACAATTTATTTTGGTGAGTCATTACTGAAATTCTGGTTTGCTTTATTTTTTCCCTAAGTGTTCATATTGCATAAAAGTCCATTTTAAGAAGTGTGGGGTCATCAATCTGTACCTTCAAGTGCTTTCTAGCAATCATAATAAAACAGCTTAAGAGTATAAAAAATACAGGCTTCAAACAGTCAGTTAGTGGTTAGTTGAAAATGACAACAATAAGAAAGACAACCTCTACCAAAAACTTTTAAACAATAAAACTGTTTCCTTTCACAATATTTTGCTTCCATTTAAACGAATAGAAACAAGGAAACATGACCAAGTTAAAAATAAATTAAAACCTTGCATATTTTTAAACCACTTACAACCCTTTGATCGTATTTTTACCTTAAGGTGTTCCTAGAGTAAACTTTTCTTCACCTAAACGTTGTATTACATCCATACCCACTAATAGGTCGGTGTCTGGGCCAACAGCACCAACTAATGCTTTAACACAAAATTCATGTCTTCTGACAACAATACTAATTTCAACCAAACCACATGACATGTCCAACCCTCCTGCAAAAGTCACTTTTCTTTTCTTGAGCATATTGGGCTTAAGGCCCAAATAATTTACTAGCTTTTTAGATATCGCTGTTGCAGCATCATTCCCAGTGTCAAACTTGACACTTCCTAATACTAACTGATGCAACTCTCCATTCACATCCATGACCTTCACTGGCTCCTCATCAACTGAAATTACTTTTGGTTTGTACCCTGAAGAAACAGAAATTTAAAACAAAACATATTTGTTCACTTCCAGACTTTTGTAACCATTCCAGTCTAATAGATTTTAACTCCACAGTCACTGTTGAACTCTGAAGCCCAAGAACCAATAGCATCAGCAATAATCTGGGTTTATTTATGGTCAATTCCCTGAAGTACATCTCTTGAAATTCTTGTTACCCTCTATATTTTCCTCTTTTAAGATTAAAAATGACTTTCCTCAAAATGTAGGGCAGAGCACAGGTCATAAACTCTAATTTTACCAGCTATAATTTTAAACGGTGCTATGCTATTCCACAAAATAAGCCCCAGGAATTAGATATTTTACCTCGGGTTTTAACTGTTCTCATGATAGAGTGGAAAATTAAAATAATTTATATTCCACAATATGACATTTTCTGTGACCTTTTACTAAACAGACCCACAGCAACATAGTTGTTAATGGCAATGTCATCAATACATCTGTTCTCCAAAAGAATTCAAGAAATAACCAATCAAAATGTCTGCATAATTCTGCCTGTCATACAAAAGCTTCCAGAAAACAGAAATGATGCACTTAAAATTGTATTTGTCTAAAAAAAGTTCCAGATTCAAAGTTAAACTCAATCTTAGCCAAGTGTCTCAACTGACTCTTGTGTCTTAAGAACTACTTGATTTGACCAAAACATGAAATGGGCTTTAGTTTATTTAGCTTGTCATGATATTACCAACTTTTAATGAAAGTAACATGCAATAAAAATTTCAATAAAAAAATACACTTACTAATGATCAGGCCTTCACAAACAGCATGGTGTGTAGGGTTCCTTAGACTACTTTCCAAGCCTCCCATTTTGATGAGAGCTACATCACCAACATCATAGTCACCTTTCACATCTCTCACTTCTAGTTTAACAGGATAAGGGGACAACAAAAGATTATCCCTACAATTCAACCTCAGGTTTATACTTTCCCCAAGTTTTGTCTTGAAAGAAATTCTCTCATTTTTTATCTCACCAGATGTAAAGCTGACGAGGAAAATTGGAAGCTTTGGTGGTCCAATGTCCTGGTAAATACCTTTTGTTGATGAAATTTTAGCTTCTGGAAGAGCATCTTTAATACCTTTAAAAACGCCTTCACCATAGTTAAGGTCCATCTGAATTTTATTAATATCCTTCAAAACAAAAGAAGAAAACTCAATGTTTTGTAATCAAGGTTAACATTTGGCTTTGTCAGCACTTAAAATACAGTATTTATAGGAACACCCAATCTGATGTTTGCATTTAATAAAAAAATTGTTGAACTTGTGCTGGGTAAAAAGGGGAAAGATGCAATCACCCCCAAGGGGAAAAAGCAGACTTCTGTTAGCATTGCAAATGTCTGGGAACAAATTATTGTTCCCAAGCCAGTCCCCTTGTTGTAAGCAAAATACCTTCCTTTAAGGACCATCTTTGAGCCAAATTTCTTAGTGACTACCCTGCATTCTGCCCTTGAACCTCAAGAGCTGGAACTGTATAAAGGTTGTAGACTTAGAATTTCAGACTAGTGGTTTTTTGTTAAAAGAAAGGTAGATGAGGGAGAGCAGAAACAAAAGTTCATCTAAAACAAATGAGCCCCAAGTAAGAATCATAAAGTAGACATAAACAGAACTAGTATTATTGAAACAACATGTTTTGGTATCCATAACATAGAGATAAAAATATCAACACTTGAAAAACTACAATGTACAATGAGTTACAATGTAAGTAAACAACATGACAAATTTATTTCTTCCTTAAATGAGCTGTTCAATTGGAATAGGCATTGTTTTTAATACAGCTCTACATAAACAAACGGCACCAAAGGCGTCAGGCTCGGTATGCACTTCATCTCTCCATTGTTGGTATCCGCCAGGGCCGACACTTGCAAAATGTTTCAGGGACCTGATGCGTTTAATACTCCCTTGCTTTGTTCAAGGTCGTTGTGTTGCAATTTGCATATTTAAACCACTCCAGATTTTGCAAACGCCCCAAAACATCCTCATCAGTTCCTTCAGATTCTTCACCTGAACTGATGACAAAGCTTTCATCGTCCTTTGAGTTTTCACGCTCAAAATTGTGAAGAGCTAATGCGAGATTTCCTCTCGTAGGTGCCATGTTGAAAATCTCTGACAACGCAGTGACGTCACCACCCAACAAAATTACCACTATGCTGTGAGAATGATATGGCGACATGCGGGATTTTTGATAGAAAATTAAACGATTCCAGCCAGTTTAAGAATTCTCAAAGAAAATCCAAAGAAATTTTTAGGAAATCATAAAGTATTATTTGGAAAAAAAATATTTTTGTGTGCGGAGTTACCTTAGGAATATAAAGAAACATAGTGCTATCGTATCGATACCAGTGCTTACCTGCGGCCGAAATTTTGTGTTTTCCGTGTAGAGATATTCTTCCCCTAATTGTTCATATTTCAGGATTGTTCCAAGGCCAATCTTTTCATCTGTTAGGATGTCGTTGTCCCACTCATGTTTTGAAAAGTCGTTTGACCTTCTTGATAACTGAAATGGTTTGCCGAAACCGCCAAATTCATTTCCATCGACCTCCCTAGCGTACACAAAGCTGGTTGCGCTATCGTAAGCCTTTGAAACAGCAATAACGACGCCAAACTTTTCATTCTTTCCTAACATTTCCAAGAAAATAGTCAAGTAACGATTTTTGTTGTTCCAGGGGTCCGTCAGAACATACAGCCCAATAGACATGTGAATCGGCGCGAAAGTGTCCGCTTTACTTGCGGTTCGGCGGTAAAAAATCGAACCTAGTTTCCTACTCAGACACGGTAGGATCTGGGCACGAGGTTATCCTTATTTCGTTTCTCACCACATCTCACTCCGTTTTACAAACAGAACCATCATACAGAACACCTGGTTTGCACTGCAAGCGTTATTTTTTCTTGTAAAGATCATCAAAAGCCTGGAGGGAGCAAACCAGTGAAGGGACAGGGGTCGGAAGGAAGGAAATAAAACCCCGACCCATATCCTTCTTAATCTGTCACGTGTTATCTCAGAACCACCTTGCCAGTATAATTTCTCCTCTCTCTTCAGCCCTGTCTTGGTTACAAACTTAGAGGGCGTCGAAATATTTGTGCATGAAGCTTGATTAGGGCTAAAATTAGTGCGTGACGCGTGAAAAATCTGAGCGTGATACGTGATTTCATTAATGTGCGCAAAGAAAAATTGGCGCAATTTAGTAAATTGCGCGTGACACTGGCCGTTTCTTATGTTTTCCTTCCCCAGCTGGCCAAAATTCTCCATTTAAAAAAAATTGATCAAACTTCTTGGAGGACTACTCGACATAACTACAAACATATACCTCAAATCGTGTGCATATCATCCAGATTCCGAGTGCTGCACCTTCATTCATGGGAATTTGAGCGATCCGAAGTCCTCTGAAGATACACTGATATACTTGTATGTCATTTGAAACAAGTTGAAGTCGGCTGATCTACACGAAACTATCCTCACACCGGTCATTTGTCATAAATATGTACGTTGTCACGATGGCGTGACGCTGTATTTTATGAAGTTTCCATCGGTCGCTCCAAAGAAAGATGACAACGAGAGGCGAAATTTCTCTTCGGGATATTGCTCATAGGATAACATTCTTCCAAAGCCGTGCATGTTTCATTTGTCTGAAACATTTGTTGTTGAGAACATTAGATGTAAACATCGCCAAATTATGCAATATCTGATTTTGAGCTTTTTTCGCGAATTGCCCCTATAAAAAGTAGAGGCAGGCCCGCAGAGATTTTTACATATTTAAAAACTAGAATATTATAACCAGCTAGGTGAGTAGTTTCAGTTCCAGAATCGGTGTACTTTTGGAGAAATTCAGATAAACGTTTTCCCTGTTTTACCCGACAACAAAAATGACCGAAACTGTACCGAGATGAATAATCTATTGGTGTGTTCACATTCACTCTCAGGGAAAATTGAATAAATCAAAGTGAAGACGAATGATGTCACTATGTATGGTAGAAGTGCCAATTTGTAATGTTATATTTAGCTTGAGGTAGAGAAATAAACATTTCACTCTTTTTTTGCGACGTTTTTGTATGAAAATGAGGCCCCAGGCCTCGAACAAGCAGTCGTTGTTACCATGGCAACAAGAGTGCTGCGACCTTTAAAAAGGGCATTTTTGTGCATCCCCCCTGAGTGCCTAACTACATGCAAAATTTGAAGGGGGGTTGAAAATTTTCATTTCCAAGATGTTTGATTCTTACAGACTTGTTCTTAGTTTCAATTTGTTCTAAGTTTCAAAAGCTGTAAGAAAGAAGGAGGGACTTAGAAAGAAGGCAAGGAAAATCCTCCTCTGAACACCACTGCGCAACATTTCGAAAGTGCCGTGTGGAACTTAGGTCACTAATTAGATTGAAACGGAAACAATACTTTACAAGACTGTTATCCACTTTAACAGAAAATCGTGAGCGAATTTGTCATAGTATCAATCCAGATATGAGAACAAAAGCCTTCCATCTTCTGTGCAATACAATAGCGCTTAAGTATTTTATTTTCAAGAGAAAGCGGATCTTTTCAACAGCTTCTTTAATTCAGTTATTAAGAGAGATGGTTGTGTCCCCTCTTTTAAGACTGTTTTTTCAGTGACTTTGATATTAGCGGGCATTTTTTTTTATAGCCTGAAAATATATTCAGGCTATATTTCTTGCATCATAGAGCCTGAATGGGTCACACTTTGCAGACATATCCATTGAGAAAGGATAACCACACAGAGGAAAAAAAATGTCCCTTGAAATCTGATCTGACTTATCCAGAACGTTAAGCCAAAGTGAGGTTTTTGCCTCTCGAATTTAGAAGGAAGGTATTAGGTTTAAGTTCAGTTCTCTTCTAAATGCCTTACAGGTCATGTAGATTTTTATGTTCTATCGTACGTTAGTTTCAAATGATATAAGTTTTATATCGAAATAAAGAAGTCACACTTGCTAATTGAGGGTCGTTTTAGAACTTAAGTTTTTGAATTTTCTTGTTGTTAATCATCGTGTAGATCTATTGGAATAGCCTACCATTAGAAATCAGAACTATTGAACCATTATAATCATTTAGGAGAAATTATAATTTCCGAGAAAAGAAGAATAGCCAAGTTATGAAAAAAGGGGAAATTTGCATAAAAAAAAATGACAAAGGAGGCGCTTTTGAATGTGATTTGTTGATTTAAACTACAGCTTTGAATGTGATCGGCTTATTGAACTGTCTGATAACAAACTATTCGATAACAAACTATCCGATTACAAACTGTCCAATGACAACTTGGCAAGTAAATCAATGGGAAATAAGAGTTTTTAAACCAATCACAATCGAGGAAATTGTAATGTTTATGATCAAATAAACAAAAAATTCGTTTGAAGGAACTGTACACTAACGTGGACATAATAGTCGAGAGACTGGAACGTAGACCACCTTTTCTTTATTGAGGCTTAAATAAGAAATTAAAGGATGTTGGACCAAGGTTGATCTACATTTACTCTAATAGTGCTATCATTGAAGCAGAATAATGAGGAGCGCTTATTGGATTAAGGGATGTTTCTTGAAATGAGAGTGCTTACTCAATACCTGGGGGCGCTAATTAACAAAAACCAAATTTTTAGGGGGCGTTTAGATGAGAGAGGGCGCCTATTGGAAGGAGGGCGCTCAATCGAATCATTAAGGTAATGCATAGTCGGCTTATGACTTTGGACTCGATGAAAATCATTGTAAAGCCTGGAGTTAGAGGAGGCAAGACCACTAAACTTGTAAAAGACAAATGGACGGTGTTTTGTGAGAACTGAGTATTGCTACCTCCTCCCTTAGGAGTTAAGTTCTGCGACCGGAATGAGTAACTTTTCTTTATTTCTTTATGCCAATTTCATTTACAATCCGAGCTAATATAACATTTTTCAGGTCTTCTTTACATTTGAAACGCAGATTAGTGGCGCATCTGTGTTACATAGCAAGAATAGCTTCCATTTGGCGAGAAAATATGCACGGATACATGTCCGCGGACGTTGTCTGTTCCGAGAAGCGAACGGTTTTCCGAGAACGAATCATGAGTTAAACTATGAATTTTTAGAAACATATAATGGTCAGGGACAAATATACGGCCATATTTTTGCGCAAAATGGAGGCTGTTGAGCTTATTATCCTTCAAATATTTTTGCAAAGGGAAAAATGTTTACGAACATGAAGCTAACGTTTGCTGAATGGGATGTGTATTTTTCAGTGTTTTCTCGCACGACTTTATGAACAAACAAGCATGTATTTTCTTCTGCGACAATAGCTAAACGCTCTCTTATCTTGAATTAAATTTTAAACGAACGCCTTTATCCTAATAGACGCGAGATTTGAAAATTGGGGAATATCACTTGGTGCACATTCGATCGCGTGATGCGATTACACCAATCGCGCGCGAGCAAAAATATTTGATGGATTATAAGCAAGGATGTTTTTCCACGGACATCATTTCTTCCGGAATGCGAAAATTTTTCCGTGCAAGCGAGAAATTTGGAGATTTCATTTAGTTTTGAAGTGAAGAATGATATGCTTTTCGACACTTTCGTTGAGACAGACAAAAGGCGGTTGGTTGGATGTACATTTCACGTTAGCACTGATAAAAAAAAACACCCACAAATTTTACTGCTGTTTTCGGAAGTTAAGTGATGGCTTTAACTTCTCATTTAGGTATTACGATTACGATTACGGTGGTTGCTCAATGTAGATATTGGGCCTTAAAATACACTTATTTTTGGACTTCGTCAAATCCAAGAAAATCTGTCTTTACTTGAGGGAGCGGAAAGGGAAGAAATCAAATAGACAAGTTAAAAGAGTTTAATGTTCTTCAAATATAACAGATTGAGAAGATAATCCAGTGAATTGGATTTGCAGATGTCTTAACTGTTTGTCACAGTAGCAAGTCAAAGTTATCTAATTAATTATCCCTCAAGAAATTAAATATTTTGACCTCTTATTTTTTAACCTTTTGTTAACTCATACTACTCAGCATTTTTGCCAAGTTTGAGCCAAATCGGTGATTTGAGTATTACCGCAAGGCCTGATTCCGCTCACTTTTTCTTCAAACACACTTTTAATAATAAGCATGTTTAGAGTGCTGATGACGATTAAAGCTTGCAAATGAAAAAAAAAAGCTCTGAGCCTGGGATCGATAACTGTTGTTTATTTGTTCATTCGTGTGTTTGTTTATCCGCTTAGAGCTAGTTATATTTACAACTTGACCGAGCATTAGATTGCATGTCTATGTTAATATTGTAGCCTAAATTGGTGGTTTATAAAGAATTGTTCGTTCACGATAATCGGATATTGCATGACCGAATAGTAAAATAGGTTCTGCTGATGAGCCTCATCCTGTCCAATCTTCCAACCTCCCAATTTTCGCCTCCCCACCCTTCTCCCCATCCCCACGAAAAAATCCTTTCATAAAATCCCACTTGCTCTCATCTTTTCCGCGATCTCCTGCCTTTGAAAACTTCTAGGAAGCGAAGTGCTACAGAAACTTCAAACTATCAAATTTTTCACTCATACTTATCAGATTGATCAAAATCTTGCTAAATCTCATCTTAACGAGTTTTCTGAGCTTTATGGGCCTTTCGAGCAATTCCTGCACGAGCACGCGTATATCACTTCCACCAGCTTGTCCACTTGATTGTGCCTCTTTCCAGGACATTTCAGACTTACTCGGGTCCAGCTTTTCACGGAAGGTTTGCAGAAATAGCAGTACTTTGTCCGTTTTCTTGCAAACCTCATAGGGAAAGTTCTAGGTGAGTAGTATGAAAAACGCTGGCCGACGCATACTTTAATCTAAATGACTATAGTTTCGCAGCCCTCCTCTCGAATGGATTGATCACTCATGAATGTTCGCTCACAAAGAGATCTCTCATAAGGTTCGCGGACCGACCCGTTCTGAAAACGCTCGACATCTTTTAGTGTGTGCATAATTTGTATCCATTTTGAGTGTATCATACACTCCAGACTTCTGTTCTTCCGCCACTACACCATGCCATGCGCTCATCAGTCAAAACGTCGCGCATGCGAGGGACTCGACTGCAATTTGCAATTGAACGTAAGAACAAACGAGGCCGGAATTTCAACTCGGGCGTCTCCTTTGGAAAGCCCGAGTAATAATTCTTTTTTGCAAAAAAAGATCAGTTTTACACTGGAAAGAAGAGTTAGAAAAGCGACATCCGCCTGAATTTGACACTCCCCGACAAAGCAAATGTAACAAATCCCCTCCCCCTCCCCCCGAGATACCTAGTCGTCAGTGTTTGGCGTTCTATCTTGGAATTCAAAATCGTCCCAGTCACGCTGTCCTGCTAATTCTTTAGTTTCAATCGGAATACAACAAAACCGGTGCGAAAAGTAAAATTTCATTCCCGGCCAAATGTTTCTGTTCTGAGAGGACTCTTTTGATCCAGAAAATATTTAAGAACGGCTTTCACACCAAGAATTCATTTATTACGTAACTAGTTTTACATCATAATGAACAAAACTACACGAGAGAAATTCTGAAAATCTTTCATTTTTTAAAACAGACTTGAAAGTTAAAACTACTTCCCACAACAAAAAACTACACCTTATTATTATCCAACCGTGTAAAGTAGACTACAAATAACGCGCGAATAGACTATAAACATCTTGCGATACTGTACGGTTATTTGGATAGCTGCTTATTTTGTACTGTAAAAATAAAACCTGTTTTACCAATCGGCTGCGCGCTACGCTTCTCTATCCGCTTTACTTTCCTGCCTTAGGAGTAAGCGCCCCAGGGCACTTTTATGACGAAAAGTGACCTTGGCGTCTGCCAGTCTCAACTATTAGTTTGTTTTGCTTCAAAACTGTAATAACTTTTGATCAACTCCTGAGTTAGTGCATGAATTTTCAAAAGTAGAATCATCCAGACAGTTTTAGCAATCCCTTGCGGTATGCTTTCTGCTTTACTAAGAAATCAGCCATAAAAGCAAAATAACCGACTCATTAAACAAAAAAAAACGAGTAATATGCGATTTTTCACTTTATCACAACTGCTTTGTTCACCGATCATCGATTTTTTTCCTACACAACCCCGCACAAAAAATTGTCGATGACCATTTTTAGATTCGTGACGTTTAAAAGTCTTCGTTTGCACGCGTGATCACTCGAAAACTCGCGTGTTTTACGTTGGCGTGATCATCTGGGGCCCTACAACGAAACCTTCATGGGTGACATTTTATTGTTTTACCCGGGAGTTTGGAGAAGCTTCTAAATATACACGTTTTCCTATTTAATTTTTGACGCTAATGTAAAGGTTCGGTAATAAATTCAAATCTGCTGTTTTCACATTTATAAGCAAACCAAAAATCGTCAATAGGGAAAAAAAATTTTCAAACTGGATATTTTTTTCCATCCGTTGAAAAATTCACAAAAGTTGCAGTTGTCAGCTACTTTGGGAGAGATATACAAAAAGAAATTAAATGTATTCAATTATTTTTCGTTTTTGACATTAATTAACTCATATAAACTGTCGAATTTTCTGTAAGAATCTTGAGTGTGAATTACTTTTAAGAACGATGATCATTTCAAACTGCTCCAGATAGAACTGAAACATTCGACCAAATAACTCTGTTACATAGCGCCTTCTGCCCAGATACTGATATTGATCCCATTCGACTACAAAACATGAAAAAAAATTAACCCAAATGAAGTCACCTTTTGTATCTAGTAGATAAGGATGATATTTTAATATCACATACGGTTTTTTCAGGGCATGGAATCATAAATTCAAATGGGGTTTGTTTTTTTGCTGGAGTGGAGTGAGTCAAAATTTAAGTTTTAAACTTCAGGCTAGGTTAGGTTACTTTCCCGCAAATTATAAGCTTGAACGACAAAGCTTAGCGAGTAAACGTGAATAGAAACCTAATAAAATTGTTCTTTTACTAATTACAAGAAGAAAATGAGGTGTTTTCGCGTTTTGATCGCAATAATTGAAATTTAAGAAAAACAAAGTTGACAAGCAGAAAGCCCTCAAACTTTATTGTCGCGCAGATACAGCATCTAAAATACGCCTTCAATTGTATCATCATTATTTTGTTTTCAAAGGCTAAGCAAAGTGTCATGCGACGAACTCTACACATGAAATATTAAAATAATATTTAATATAGCGGTAAAGAATCGAAAAATATCAGCGTCAACTCACCGTTATCAGGGGAGTGGTAAACGTTTTTAACCAATCCAAGTGACAAAGCGAGAATGAATTCCATGCCTATTGCACAGCAGCCAGCTTCAATCTTGCTTAACTACGCACAATCATATCCTGGCAAATCTGAAGTTTCTTTACTTTGACTAGACACTTACCGTTCGGGCTATACAGCGTACCACAATGAGAACGTAAACCTTGGGATAGAGAGGAAACCCATTTAACTGCAATAGCTATTCCGAGCACTTTAGTCATGCAGCACGCTGTTATTGACGCACGTGAAAATCGTTTTCTAAAATGTTGGTTAATCATCGTTGTACATTTGCATTGATCATTTTTTTACATTTTCACCCCTCGAATTAATCTTGCTGCGTGGACTATTTTGACTTCAATTATTTTTGTTGCCATCCTTAACTAACAAATGCTTAATTATCTTAAGTCCAAAAGTAATTCCCTCAAACAATTGATTGATAATTTAGTTTAAGCCATTATTCACTTCGACGTCTTTATTGCCGCAAAAAAGTAATTGAGACAAGGCATAATAACATGAATATTTATTTGAATCCTCAAAGTACTTAACTGAACATAAAGATCTATTAAATTTACAAGCTTCTGATAGTGTACATTCTATTTACATTATTACTTATTTCTACAACATGTTATTTCACCTTTTTTTGCATATTTACCTAAACCTAATTCTTTAATTAGGCATAGCACCATGTATGAAAACTTTTCGAATACTTGCTATTCATAAAATTGTCCTAGTATAAAAAACATACTAATTTTTGCGAAATCTTAAGTTAACATCTTACCATTTCCATTTCGCTTTGTTTTTGAAATTGTTTTCGAAATTACAAACAAGTTTTTCACTTCCTTAAGGCAAAATGAAACTTATAAACTATTCACGTATCTCCAAGTCATTTAAATATCGACCCTAGTAATGAACTTAGGAAAAATGCCCTCCTTGGAACATTCAAACAAATGACATAAATTTACGCTTTAAGAACTGGCGAGAAAATTCTCTTTGAAAATTCAAAACAGACACTTGACCCAGTAAAGCTCGGTTTGTGCTCCATGCATCATGCACTTGACAGTAAGCACAAGTGTAAAATATAAGTTAAGGAGCTGCTAATGCTTTATGATAGATACTCTTTACAAATGTATTTACAAATTATCAATAGTTGGGTGTAACCAACCAACCACCGTATGGTAGAGTCCTTTTCCACTAAGTTCTGTAAAACCAGAACAATGGTAAATATCACATAGAGCCAACAAAAACTCAGGTCACAAACATGTCACTAGGGTGAGACTCGCTTCACTTTAACATGTGTTTTGTTAGGAAGACAAGTTTTGCAATTCAACCAAAGCATTGACGTAAAAAAAAATGTACCTAAAGGACTAAAGGCAAACAATAGAGATGTAAGCCAACGAAGGCTTCTGACACGTTGTGCTCAATTTAGGAACTTCAGCAATGACTGAAATATTATATTTTTAAGAATATATAAATATCTACATAATACACCTAGAATAACAGCAACAATAATTTCATTAATCTTAAAATTGTGTTCTCTGACGATAAGTATTGTGTTTAGCAATCCGAATTAAAAAATATCGCCTTCTGGCGTCAGTTTTGACTTCCACTACTCGATTTCATGTCGAGATTTTCTCTTATTTCTTGGACACGGCAGTTCATGTATCCGGTCACATAATTCAACTTGATTTTTCCTGGGACTTAAAAGGCGTTTTCATCTTCATCGTCTTTTTCCTCAGCTTCAGGTTTCTCCGCTTCGACTGAGGTTTCTTTAGGCTCGTCTCCTGAGTAGAAAGAAATAAAAAAAGTTGAGCATCTGCAGTATCATTACAGGCGTAAGTTGGTCTTAAAACTCTAAAAAATAGTACCAGGTTTCTTGGCAAGAAACCTCAAAGAATACTGCTTTACGGCTAGATTGCTTGCTTATCCATCCACATTTTTTTGTAATTAAAGAAGACATATCACACAATACAAACGAATCAAACCGTTTTGCTTCTATACCCCTGTAACAGACAACATTTCCCCATGAGTGGCCCATAAGCCTCATAGTCAAGGCTAATGGTATTATTTTTATGGTTAGGGCTTATAAATTTTCTCTTATTTCTTTGTCTACTGTTTTGTAATTGTGATCATGGGTATCTGAGATTAATATGCCTCCCTTCCCTAGGTTACCTTGACAAAATCTTCAAATTTTATCAACGAAAGAAAATAAACTGTTTCAATGATGCAGCTCAGGTTTTTCTGACAGGCAACAAAACTCTGGCAGGTGGGTGGTTGCCAAGCCATCCACTCTTCAGGGAGATTAATCTCCGTAGATGACACACACCATTAGAATTAACGACCTGTTCATAATCATGTTTTAGTTTTTAAAAAACAAATTCAAATCGAAAAGCTAAACTCGGCAATAATACATCACACAATAATATATAGATTTAGCCAAGCCTAAAAGCGGAGCTCGCTTTTTCTTTTTTCCCGCACGTCACAACACCTTGCCCCGGCAAGGACTAGAACCCGGGTCGTGCGACTCGGAGCCCAGTGCACTGACCACTGGACTACTGGACAAAGCCGTGGCGTTGGCGTGCCCGCGGTACAATTGACCACGCATGTTAAAAGTAGCACCATGTACGGTCGCACGGTCGTACATCCAAATTTTTTCGGCTTGATGGGTTACTATTATTTTGTATAATAATGGGGCTACGCGAGCTCCGCTATAAGAAGTTCAATGTACTTACTAAGGTTGAGGCCCTCGCCGAGAACTGGGTAAGACAGCTTACTGAAACCGTCAACTCCTGAAATCAGAAGTGGTTCTCTCATCTCCACAACTGCGCCATCCACAACATCTTTGTTCACTTCCACAAGACTCAGTTCTAGTGTAGAAGGAGATAAACGTGGGATAAAATCTTCTCTACAATTCAGCTTGAGATTCAAAAGTTCCCAAAGCTTAGTGATGACTGAAATTCTGTCATTTTCAACCACACCACATTTCAGGCTACTGAAGCATGATGTCTCCTTAGGTGTACAGTCTTGGTAACTATCTTCGGTTAAAAGTTTGAAGCTGAGAAAAGCATCACCAATGCCTCTGTGAGCGCCATCAGTACAGCTGAGGTCCAGGAAAATCCTATCCATATCCTGCAACCACAAGCACTATTTAGTAAATTCCTTGCCACCCTTGCAGTGAACAATTTTATAACAAACCGTTTTAAGAATCCAGATAAGATTATAACAACAACAACAAAAACAATAAAAACAACAACATCATCAACAAAAACAACAAAAACTGAGCAGACAAACAACGAAAGGTATTCCAAAGATGTGTTATGTTCAGAATAGTTCAAATCCCGTGATCTAAAAAATGATGCGGTTATTTTAAAAAATTGGTTTTATGATCAAATCTGCTCAATGAAATTATAAGTTCTCCACTGTGTGAACAGTTCGAACGTTTCACAAACTCTTTCTTGGGATTATAAGTTTTTAGACAGTAAAATATAATGCCAAAAAAGCCTGCTCACCCATCGCGGACGTTTCGTGTTCCCTTGAAATAGGAATTCATCTCCTGCTTGAACGTATTTGACAACTGAACCAATTTGAACATTTTCAGCTATCATTTCTTCATCCTCCCAAGTATCTTTGAGATCCTTAGTCGCCAGTTGAAAAGCTTCACCCACACTGGATCCTTCTTCATTGATCTTCCTTCCATATATAACGATAGTATCACCACTAGGGTGAGTTTTTGCTATTTCAACAACAACGCAATGACCTTGTTTAGCTTTGCCTACATCTGTTAATGTCACTCTGTCCATATGTTTGTTGATAGGTTTAAAATCATGATGCATTATGGAAGAATCACCAGGCGATTCTCCCATAGTGAAAGGCTTAAACTGTTCACATTTCGGGCTGAGATGTAAACAGTTTAAGCCAAGCTCAACATCTGTTGTCGAGTCTTTTCCACATTTGCCTTCTTCAACGATGTCTCTCGGGCTAGTCATCTCTGTTTGGGTTTTCAACCTCTTTCCTGGCTTTTTAGGCAAACTTGCTGTCTTCTTCCCTTTCAGCTACGAGGTGAGAAAAAGGTACATAATGTAAACAAGTGGCGAAGTGTAAGTATGTTATCGTTTTTTAGCCATAATTGTATTGATAAGACTCAGTAGCCTTTGCTGAAAGGAAAGGAGGTTGAAGTAGGGTAATGTGAAAAGGATAAGCGATAGGAAAGGGGAAAACGCGAAGGACAAAGCGAAGGAAACTTCAGCATTAACCCTTAATTGGAGTGAGAGAGATGTTTTTCGTTTTTTCGCGTGCGTGGAAAAAATAAAAATTCCCATGAGGAATCGAACGTCTGGATTTTTTAATAAAGGGGTAAGTTTCTAAAGAAACTGTGGTGCTGCGTCGGTGGGTATAGCAGGTAATTTAGTGTTAACAACTGGGTTGAAAACGTAAATTAGCCACCGTAAAGGGTAAAAAAGCTGACGTTTCGAGCGTTAGCCCTTCGTCAGAGCGATCGCTCTGACGAAGGGCTAACGCTCGAAACGTCAGCTTTTTTACCCTTTACGGTGGCTAATTTACGTTTCAACCCAGTTGTTAACACTAAATTGTCTGAATTTTTGTCTTACTTTTCTGTTTCACGTTCACGACGAAAAAAATACTTTCCCTCTTTCACTACCGAGCTCAACATTTATGAACCCCTCTATTATCACTTATTTGTCACCCTTACAATACGTATTTGCAAAATGTTTTCTAGTTCAAAGTGTTTTCCATTTTTATCTTCTTCGTCTTCTTTTTTCAGTCAAGTACAAGCTGCCAGACACGAACTTAACTTATGATACCGTCTCTCGGTTAAAGTTGGGCTGCAGGTGAGTGTTTTGTCGCACTGCAAGTATTTCTAACACGTCATCAATATCGATATCATTCAATAGCCACACGTCCAACACGAAGTGTAATTGTAGATGAATTCAGAGTGAGGGTTGACGCATCACTCCGCTCCTACGACTGATTTTTGAAATTATTAATGAAATGCTTTCAGAAATACACCTTTATAGCTTGCAAACATACCTGTACATCTAACTCTCTTTCAAATGATAGTTTAGTACCCTGAAAGTGGGTCAAATAATGCAATAGTCAATCAATGCACTGAAAGCTACACATAACTATTAGCATGTAAGTTGTTGCTTTACCCTCTCAGAACTATGACCAAGCTTAGCACAGCGCATAAACACTGACACCAAATGTTTAACACACATCAGATAAACAAATAAATGTTATTAATCAACTGGAAGGTCCGTATTGGGAAAAACTGTACTTAAGACAGAGCGCACAATACAGACCGACCTAAGCTGGTGAATGACATTTTTTTTCTATAAATTGATGAAATGCTTGCGAAAAGAACTCGAAATATGTTGACATTTTTACGGCAGTTTGTGTTTCATGATAGTTTTCTTTGTCTTGAGGTAGGTTTTTCTGCTGTCGCTTGATAGCCTTCGTTGTCTGAATCTGACTTTATTTATGATATTTACATCGTTAAGCCTCTCTCGTAAATCGATGGAAAGGTGCAAAATGCACCTGGGTCCGAATGGGAAAATTAGGACCACTGGAGCGCGCGGAATTAGCCAATCAGATTCGAGGAATTAGGATTGCGGACTACTGAGATGCTTAAGAAAAAAAATGATATAAAATAAAGCAAACTGGAGCTATCGTCGTTTTTCAGCCTGCTAAATTTAATCTCTTGGAACACAGCACAAGTAGGAATGAACCAATTGAGATGCTACACAAGAATGAATGCTTTGAAATTCATAAAGCGTTTTAAATTCAGCCAAGGGACTGAAGAGAGAAAACATTCCTATTATCACATTTGAGATGTAACGAAAAATAACAAGGAAGTTCAGCTGAATAAGTTCATACTAATACAGGAGTGTTTACAAAATGCACACAACATGAAGCTCGTTTCCTGAAATATACCATGTGACGTATCTGTTTATGTTAAATGGCGCGGGTAAATATGGTTAATTAACCAATGCGGAATTTCTATCACAAAATTAAACTTCTTCTGAAGAGCAACCAAACATACCCTAGCATCAGCTACGAACTTTCTACGCTGGTCCACTTCTTCAATGATCCACTAAGAAAGTAATTAAAAAACACTCATGAGTTCACTGAACAGTCTCACTCAAGAAGCTAAAATTAATGTAGCTTTGCAATGACAGTTTCTGAAGAGAGAGGGAGAGGATTTGAAGAACTACTACTTCAGCTGGAGAGCAATGATTCTCAAAATAACAACAATAGAACGAAACAGAGATATTTGAAGCTCAACCATTTTCCTCTTAGGGCTACAATTTATGGGAATTTAAATCGGGACTACCACTACTAAATCTATTCTATAAGGTTTGTAGCCAGATATCTCCAAGAGTTGTATTTTAAAATAGTTCACCAGCTAGTCTACATTTATGCTGCTGAGTGGAAAGAGGTACTCTTTACGAAACAACACGATCGAGGACCCTCAGGCAAGGCTTCTCTTCAATTAAATACACTATTAGTGACCAGTCTCTACTATCAATTTGTACCGCGATCGGTATATGACACAATCTGATTTATTTTGTAGAATGATCCCGATGCGATTTCCTATACAAAATAACAGAGATCTCGGGGCTTACCTAATATACAATATGATAACTGTAAAACATAGCAACCCATACCTATACCCATAGATGTAGTGGTTTAATAATAGTAATATATAAAGCCCAGCTTCCCTTATTTAATGACCTAAAGAAAAGTGAAGTTGTGTGGTAAAATCCGCTCTTGGGATGAACAAAATACGCCATGGAAAGTCTGTCCATACGGTATTTGCGCACCCTTCACCATAAATACTTTCAAACCTTACAAGATGATTTTTCAGTTCCAATCCGATTAAATCCGAAAGAAACAACCAACAGCGAAAAACTTTGAACCGCCATAAAATATTTGACTTTCAAACTCTGACTTAACTCTTTCTAACATGTATAATTTATCCTTCTAACGTACCACTAATATATGGATTTTATGAGGAAAAAAGGTGTCACCATCACTTGCATCAGTAAGTAGAATGTCCCCCCGAAACTAGGAAAGAAAAAACACAATGAGAGAATGAAGTTATAAACCTTTAAAGAGGGTCTTTTAGTTTTGGTTAGATGGAGATACTCTTTTTGAAGATTCCATATTGAAATGAAAACTAGAGAAATTGAATTATACTCCATTCAGAAAGCCTGATAAAAATTTTGGCCGAAAAATGAAAAATTGACTTGGAGCAGCTTTTCAACGGTAAACATCACCTTAAATACAAGTCTTCGTTTCCTAAAAGTATTGTTACATGGCAGAGCTCGTTTCAAAACCCTTCTCCTTTTACAAACTTTCTAAACATTACCACGCAATTATCTAACAATGAAGTGCAGTAAATAACGATTTAATCATGGTGAATCTGTTACATCCATCTAGAAATCAAGGAATTCACAACTTTTGCACTTCTGAACAAATTTAGCCCTTTTTGAACAAAACTATTGTCTCCAAATATTTTCTGACTAGGTTTGTCTTGCTTTTTATCCATGGCTTCCGTCGATACAAAGTTCTCTTCCAGTTTAACCACGAATTATTTATTACCAGTCCGACTGGAGTACACTTTGTTAGCGCCGAAAACTTGGTAAACTAAGTAATACTCGATTCCGAAAAAAACGGACATTTTAATTTTTAAGCGACAAAATTAGCTTAAGGGTTAACGATAGTTCGATTCCCAATTTTAAACTTTTCAGTAGATTGCCACGAAATTTTGTGGTCGTTAAGTCTAGAAAACAACGATGCAAGCATGGTGAATCCCAAAAAAGTAGTCTCCTAAACGCATCACATTCGTATGTTTTGCGCACTCAAAGAAATTCAGCCCTCCTTTGAATATAGCTTTGGTCTCAAAAGAATTCCTGGCCAGGTTTGCCTTGCTTTCTATACAAGTTTCCTAGTGGCCCGTAAGTATATCATGTTATGACATCTTCTGACTGGGGTGGCACTATAACACTTCGAAAGAAATAACTAGAAAGAAATGGAAAGAGCTCGCTACCTCTTTCAACGTTTTGCTCAACAGCGAACAAAGCCATAAATGTTTGACTTCCAAACACTGACTTAACCCCTTATAAGATGTACAATTTATGCTTCTAACGGACTCCTCAGCGCCGTTCTCTTCTATAAATGTTATATACTTTCTTTAATAACTCAAATGTTTTTTGATATTTTAGAATTGCGATTACTGTAAAGCGCCTTTGAGCACACGGAAAGGGTGCTATATAAATTCTTGTATTATTATTATTATTATTATTATTATTGTCATTATTATTGTTATTATTATTATTATTATTATTATTATTATTATTATTATTATAACTTACAGCTGCAGTGAGTGGAGTGTACTTGAGATTCTAGGAAAGGAAAAAACACAATAAGAAAGTACAGCCCTATAAATATATTCTCTCATTTAATGACCAACTTAACGATTTATGGTCAAATCTGCTTTTGGGACGACTATACTGTGCAAGTGTTTTTAATTGTAAGTAAGAAGGAGTATTACCTTCTACAACAGCTCACCAAATCATATGAATTCAAAGTAATGGTCGATATCATCACTACGAACGAAGCAACACAATGCCCCCCTCACCATTGACATGAATTCTGTCTCTAAAAAGTTCCTGTCCAGTTTTACCGCAATTTTCAAACCATTAAAAATATTTCCTTGTACAACAGTTCAGCAAATCATGCAAATTCATTTTAATGGTTGGAAGGGTGCTAAGAATAAAAAGCAATACAATTTTCCCCTTCACTGCTGACATGAATTTTATCTGTGCAAAGATCGCTTGTGTTTAACCACGAATTTTCAAACCTTTTAAAATGGTTTTCAGTTCCGCTCTCATCAAGATACACTTTTTGGAGCTTAAAAAGAGACCTTAAAAAGCGATTCAACCAGAAAGAGAATAGAAAGAGTTCGCAACTTTTTGCCCCATTCTGCTCAACAGCGAAAAAACTGCGATTTCCTATACAAAATAACAGAGATCTCGGGGCTTACCTAATATACAATATGATAACTGTAAAACATAGCAACCCATACCTATACCCATAGATGTAGTGGTTTAATAATAGTAATATATAAAGCTCAGCTTCCCTTATTTAATGACCTAAAGAAAAGTGAAGTTGTGTGGTAAAATCCGCTCTTGGAATGAACAAAATACGCCATGGAAAGTCTGTCCATACGGTATTTGCGCACCCTTCACCATAAACACTTTCAAACCTTACAAGATGATTTTTCAGTTCCGATCCGATTAAGACACACTTCAAGGACTATAAGGACTTAAATCAAAACTATATAAACTAAGTAATACTCGATTCGAAATATGATGATATTTAGCCCTTAATTTACCAAATCATATAGATTTTTAACATGGTTTTCGTTTCAAAACACGATTACAATCTGCAGGCTTTCGTTTCAAAATCCTTCTCCTTCTTCTGGGGTGGCACTGTAACGCTTCGAAAGAAACAACCAACAGCGAAAAACTTTGAACCGCCATAAAATATTTGACTTTCAAACTCTGACTTAACTCTTTATAACATGTATAATTTATCCTTCTAACGTACCAGTAATATATGGATGGTATGACCAAATCGTAACGACGAACACCTTTCAAAAAAGGTGTCACCATTACTTGCATCAGTAAGTAGAATGTCCCCCCGAAACTAGGAAAGGAAAAATACAATGAGAGAATGAATTTATAAACCTTTAAAGAGGGTCTTTTAGTTTCGGTTAGATAGAGATACTCTTTTTGAAGATTCCATATTGAAATGAAAACTAGAGAAATTGAATTATACTCCATTCAGAAAGCCTGATAAAAATTTTGGCCGAAAAATGAAAAATTGACTTGGAGCAGCTTTTCAACGGTAAACATCACCTTAAATACAAGTCTTCGTTTCCTAAAAGTATTGTTACATGGCAGAGCTCGTTTCAAAACCCTTCTCCTTTTACAAACTTTTTAAACATTACCACGCAATTATCTAACAATGAAGTGCAGTAAATAACGATTTAATCATGGTGAATCTGTTACACCCATCTAGAAATCAAGGAATTCACAACTTTTGCACTTCTGAACAAATTTAGCCCTTTTTGAACAAAACTATTGTCTCCAAATATTTTCTGACTAGGTTTGTCGTGCTTTTTATCCATGGTTTCTGTCGATGCAAAGTTCCCGTCCAGCTAAACCGCGAGTTTTTCATTTCCAGTCCGACTGGACTACACTATTTGGCGCTTAAAATATTTAAATGAAAACTAAATGAACTAAGTCACACTCGATTCGGAAAAAACGGACATCTAACTGAAAACGCATGTCATAAACGCATGACATTCATATATTTTGCACCCCTAAAGAAATTAGGCCCTTTCTTGAATAAAGCCTTGATCACAAAATATATTCTGGCCTTTCTTTGGCTTTCAAACTCTAACTTAACTTATAACATGTATAATTTATGCTTCTAACGTACCCCTCCTCCTTGGTTGACATCAGCTCCGTTCTCCATGAATAACCTCACAATATCAGTGTGACCATTCCTCACAGCTTCAGTAAGTAGAGTCTGCGCCCAAAAGGAGAGGAGGAAAAAACACAATGACAAACGACTAACGTAACGATGTATGGTCAAATCTACTTTAGAGACAATTACACTCTGAAGGTGTTTTAACCATTACGTAAGAAGGAATATTTCGTTGTACAACAGTTCACCAAATCATATGAATTTATAATAATGGTTGCAAGGAGCACAAAGAATGAAGCAACACAATGACCCCCCCCGCCCCCTCACTACTGACACGACTTCTGTCCAGCTTACCACGCAATTATCTAACAATAAAGTGCAGTAAATAACGATTTAATCATGGTGAATCTGTTACACCCATCTAGAAATCAAGGAATTCACAACTTTTGCACTTCTGAACAAATTTAGCCCTTTTTGAACAAAACTATTGTCTCCAAATATTTTCTGACTAGGTTTGTCGTGCTTTTTATCCATGGTTTTTGTCGATGCAAAGTTCCCGTCCAGCTAAACCGCGAGTTTTTCATTTCCAGTCCGACTGGACTACACTATTTGGCGCTTAAAATATTTAAATGAAAACTAAATGAACTAAGTCACACTCGATTCGGAAAAAACGGACATCTAACTGAAAACGCATGTCATAAACGCATGACATTCATATATTTTGCACCCCTAAAGAAATTAGGCCCTTTCTTGAATAAAGCCTTGATCACAAAATATATTCTGGCCTTTCTTTGGCTTTCAAACTCTAACTTAACTTTTATAACATGTATAATTTATGCTTCTAACGTACCCCTCCTCCTTGATTGACATCAGCTCCGTTCTCCATGAATAACCTCACAATATCAGTGTGACCATTCCTCACAGCTTCAGTAAGTAGAGTCTGCGCCCAAAAGGAGAGGAGAAAAAACACAATGACAAACGACTAACGTAACGATGTATGGTCAAATCTACTTTAGAGACAATTACACTCTGAAGGTGTTTTAACCATTACGTAAGAAGGAATATTTCGTTGTACAACAGTTCACCAAATCATATGAATTTATAATAATGGTTGCAAGGAGTACAAAGAATGAAGCAACACAATGACCCCCCCCCCCGCCCCCCTCACTACTGACACGACTTCTGTCCAGCTTACCACGCAATTATCTAACAATAAAGTGCAGTAAATAACGATTTAATCATAGCGAATCTGTTCATGCATCTAAAAATCAAGGAATTCAAAAGTTTTGAACTTCTTAACAAATTTTGCTCTCTTTTAAAGAAAACTGTTGTCTCCAAATATTTTCTGACCAGGTTTGTCATGTTTGTTATTCGTGGCTTCTGTCCAAGCAAAATTCTTGTCCAGTTAAACCGCGAGTTTTTCATTTCCGGTCCGATTGGAGTACACTATTTGGCGCTTAAAATGTTTAAATGAAAACTAAATACACCAAGTAATACTCAATTCGCAAAAAAAACGGACATCTTACTTTTCAAACGACAAAAATTAGCTTTGGAGTTCAATTCCTAAATTTTAAGCGTAATACAAATTATGGCTGGAAAAAAAACCTCAACTTAGAGTTGTTTTTTAAAACTTAATATGAGTGTACATTTCATAAAACCACTGTTCATTCAAGAAACTTCTTAAACACTCCTCCTCCTTTTAAAAACTTTCAATACATCACCACGTAATTTTCTGGTCGTAAAGTCTAGTAAACAACGATTCAAGCATGGTAAATCTTATACGTCTCAGCCGTACGTCTCATAAACGCATGACATTCGTATGTTTTGCGCCAGCGAAAAACTTTGAACAGCCATAAAATATTTGACTTTCAAACTCTGACTTAACTCTTCATAACCTGTACAATTTATGCTTCTAACGTACCCCTCCTCCTTGGGTGACATCAGCTCCGTTCTCTATGAACAACCTCACAATATCAGTGTGACCTTTCCTCACAGCTTCAGTAAGTAGAATCTGCGCCCAAAAGTAGAGGAGAAAAAACACAATGAGGAATGACTAACATAACGATGTATGGTTAAATCTACTTTAGACACGATTGAACGATTGAAAAGACTTGGAGCAGCTTTTCAACGGTAAATGTCGCTTAAAAAATCCTTCTCCTTTTACAAATTTCCAACACATCACCACGGAATTATCTAACAGTAAAATGCAGTAAATAACGATTTAATCATGGTGAATCTGTCACACACATCTGAAAAAACCAAGGAATTCATTACTTCAGCACTTCTTAATATATTTAGCCCTTTTTTGAATAAAAGTGTGGTCTCCGAATATTTTCTGACCGGGTTTGTCTTGCTTTTTATCCATGGCTTCTGTCGATGCAAAGTACTCTTCCAGTTTCACCACAAATTATTTATTACCAGTCCGATTGGAGTACACTTTTTAGCGCTGAAAACTAAGTAAACTAAGTAATACTCGATTCCGAAAAAAACGGACATTTTAATTTTTAAGCAACAAAATTAGCTTAAGGGTTAACGATAGTTCGATTCCCAATTTTAAACTTTTCAGTAGATTGCCACGAAATTTTGTGGTCGTTAAGTCTAGAAAACAACGATGCAAGCATGGTGAATCCCAAAAAAAGTAGTCTCCTAAACGCATCACATTCGTATGTTTTGCGCACTCAAAGAAATTCAGCCCTCCTTTGAATAAAGCTTTGGTCTCAAAAGAATTCCTGGCCAGGTTTGCCTTGCTTTCTATACAAGTTTCCTAGTGGCCCACAAGCATACCATGTTATGACATCTTATGACTGGGGTGTCACTATAACGCTTCGAAAGAAATGACCAGAAAGAAATGGAAAGAGCTCGCTACCTCTTTCAACGTTTTGCTCAACAGCGAAAAAAACTTAAAACAGCCATAAATGTTTGACTTCCAAACTCTGACTTAACCCCTTATAAGATATACAATTTAAGCTTCTAACAGACTCCTCCTCCTAGATTGACATCAGCTCCGTTCTCTTCTATAACTGTTATATATTTTCTTTAATAACTCAAATGTTTTTGATATTATGATATTAATCTGTTACACGGATCTAAAAAATCAAGGAATTCACAAGTTTTGCACTTCTAAACAAATTTTGCCCTCTTTTAAGGAGAACTGTGGTCTCCAAATATTTTCTGACCAGGTTTGTCATGTTTTTTATTCGTGGCTTATGTCCAAGCAAAGTTCTTGTCCAGTTGAACCGCAAGTTTTTCATTTCCGGTCCGGTTGGAGTACACTATTTAGCGATTAAAATGTTTAAATGAAAACTAAATACGCCAAGTAATACTCGATTCGGATAAAAACGGACATCTTACTTTTCAAACGACAAAAATTAGCTTTGGAGTTTAATGATTGTTCAGTTCCCAATTTTTAAGCGTAATACGAATTATGGCTGGAAAAAAGAAACCTCAACTCAAAGTAGTTTTTTTAATGCTAAATATAAGTGTTCATTTCCTAAAATTACTGTTCAATCAAGAAACTTCATAAAAACTCCTCCTCCTTTTTAAAACTTTCAATACATCCCCACCCAATTTTCTGGTCGTAACGTCCAGTAAACAACGATTCAAGCATGGTAAATCGTATACGCCTCAGCCGTACGTCTCATAAACGCATGACATTCTTATGTTTTGCGCCCTTAAAGAAATAAGGCCCTTTCCTGAATAAAGCCTTGATCTCAAAATATATTCTGGCCTGGTTTGCCTTGCTTTCTATCCCAGTTTCCTGGTAGCCCGCAAGCATAACGTCTTACGACTAGGGTGGCACTACAACTTTACGACGGAAACAACAAGAAAGAAATACAAAGAGTTCCCAACTTCTTGCAACGTTTTGCTCAACAGCGAAAAAAAACTTTGAACAGCCATAAAATATTTGACTTTCAAACTCTGACTTAACTCTTCATAACCTGTACAATTTATGCTTCTAACGTACCCCTCCTCCTTGGGTGACATCAGCTCCGTTCTCTATGAGCAACCTCACAATATCAGTGTGACCTTTCCTCACAGCTTCAGTAAGTAGAATCTGCGCCCAAAAGTAGAGGAGAAAAAACACAATGAGGAACGACTAACATAACGATGTATGGTTAAATCTACTTTAGACACGATTGAACGATTGAAAAGTAAACTTGGAGCAGCTTTTCAACGGTAAATATCGCTTTAAAAATCCTTCTCCTTTTACAAATTTCCAACACATCACCACGGAATTATCTAACAGTAAAGTGCAGTAAATAACGATTTAATCATGTGAATCTGTCACACACATCTGAAAAAACCAAGGAATTCACAACTTTTGCACTTCTGAACAAATTTAGCCCTTTTTGAACAAAACTATTGTCTCCAAATATTTTCTGACTAGGTTTGTCTTGCTTTTTATCCATGGCTTCCGTCGATACAAAGTTCTCTTCCAGTTTAACCACGAATTATTTATTACCAGTCCGACTGGAGTACACTTTGTTAGCGCCGAAAACTTGGTAAACTAAGTAATACTCGATTCCGAAAAAAACGGACATTTTAATTTTTAAGCGACAAAATTAGCTTAAGGGTTAACGATAGTTCGATTCCCAATTTTAAACTTTTCAGTAGATTGCCACGAAATTTTGTGGTCGTTAAGTCTAGAAAACAACGATGCAAGCATGGTGAATCCCAAAAAAAGTAGTCTCCTAAACGCATCACATTCGTATGTTTTGCGCACTCAAAGAAATTCAGCCCTCCTTTGAATATAGCTTTGGTCTCAAAAGAATTCCTGGCCAGGTTTGCCTTGCTTTCTATACAAGTTTCCTAGTGGCCCGTAAGTATATCATGTTATGACATCTTCTGACTGGGGTGGCACTATAACACTTCGAAAGAAATAACTAGAAAGAAATGGAAAGAGCTCGCTACCTCTTTCAACGTTTTGCTCAACAGCGAACAAAACTTTAAACAGCCATAAATGTTTGAATTCCAAACTCTGACTTCAGCGCCGTTCTCTTCTATAAATGTTATATACTTTCTTTAATAACTCAAATGTTTTTTGATATTTTAGAATTGCGATTACTGTAAAGCGCCTTTGAGCACACGGAAAGGGTGCTATATAAATTCTTGTATTATTATTATTATTATTATTATTATTATTATTGTCATTATTATTGTTATTATTATTATTATTATTATAACTTACAGCTGCAGTGAGTGGAGTGTACTTGAGATGCTAGGAAAGGAAAAAACACAATAAGAAAGTACAGTCCTATAAAATGCATTTTCTCTCATTTAATGACCAACTTAACGATTTATGGTCAAATCTGCTTTTGGGACGACTATACTGTGCAAGTGTTTTTAATTGTAAGTAAGAAGGAGTATTACCTTCTACAACAGCTCACCAAATCATATGAATTCAAAGTAATGGTCGATATCATCACTACGAACGAAGCAACACAATGCCCCCCTCACCATTGACATGAATTCTGTCTCTAAAAAGTTCCTGTCCAGTTTTACCGCAATTTTCAAACCATTAAAAATATTTCCTTGTACAACAGTTCAGCAAATCATGCAAATTCATTTTAATGGTTGGAAGGGGTGCTAAGAATAAAGCAATACAATTTTCCCCTTCACTGCTGACATGAATTTTATCTGTGCAAAGATCGCTTGTGTTTAACCACGAATTTTCAAACCTTTTAAAATGGTTTTCAGTTCCGCTCTCATCAAGATACACTTTTTGGAGCTTAAAAAGAGACCTTAAAAAGCGATTCAACCAGAAAGAGAATAGAAAGAGTTCGCAACTTTTTGCCCCATTCTGCTCAACAGCGAAAAAACTTTAAAGGGTCATAAAAATTTGACTTTCAAACTCTGACTTAACCCTTAACCCTAACGTACCCCTTCTTCATTGTTGACATCAGCTCCGTTCTCTATGATCAACCTTACAATATCAGTGTGACCACAACTTACAGCTGCAGTGAGTGGAGTGGACTTGAGATTCTAGGAAAGGAAAAAATACAATAAGAAAGTACAGTCATATAAAATGCATTTTCTAATGACCAGCATAACGATTTATGGTTAAATCTGCTTTTTGGACGACTACACTGAGGAATTGTTTTTTAGTGTAAGGTCAGAAGGAGTATTACCTTGACCCCCCCCTCACCATTAACATAACTTCTGTCGATGCAAAGCTCCTGTCCAGTTTAGCGGCGAGTATCAATCAATTGAAAATATTTCCTTGCACAACAGTTCAGCAAATCATGTGAATTCATATTAATGGTTAAAAGGAGCACTAATAATGAAGCAACATAGTGACCTCCCTCACCACCGACATGGCTTTTGTCTATGCAAAGATCGCTCGTGTTTAACCACGAATTTGACATCTTTTTAAGATGGTTTTCAGTTCCGCCCTCATCGAGATACACTTTTTGGAGCTTAAAATGAGCCAAAAAAGCGATTCAACCATAAATAAACAACAAGAAAAAAATGGACAGAGTTCGTAACTTCTTGCTGCGTTTTGCTCATCAGCGAAAAAACTTTGAACAGCCATAAATATTTGACGTTCAAACTCTCAGCTAACTCTTTATAACATGTACAATCTATGCTTCTAACGTACCCCTCCTTTACTGTTGACCGCTTTGGCTCCGTTCTTTATGAACCACCTTACAATATCAGTGTCGCCTCTCCTTACAGCTTTGGTGAGTAGAGTGTGCTCCAAAATCTAGAAAAGAAAAAACAACGAGAAAGGACTAACGTAACGATATATGGTTGAATCTACTTTAGAGATTATCACCATCTGCAGGTTTTTTTCAGCATAAGGGCAGAAGGAATATTACCTTGTACAACAATTCACCAAATGATATGAATCTATAATTATGGTTAAAAGTGGCACAAAGAATTAAGCAATACTGTGACCCCCGTCGCTATTGACACGACTTCTGTCTAGCTTAGCTGAGCCGCGAGTTATAAACCTTTAAAGATGGTTTTTCAGTTCCGGATAGATGGAGATACACTTTTTGGAGGTTCCACATTTAAATGAAAACTAAAGAAATTAAATTGTACTCCATTCGGAAAACCTGATGTAAATTATGGCTGGAAAATGAAAAGTGAACTTGAAGCAACATTTAAACAATAAAGGTCATTTCAAATATAAGTCTTCATTTCCTAAAAGTATTGTTGAACAGAAGAGTTTGTTCACAACTCCTTCTCCTTTCACAAACTTTCAACACATTACCACGCAATTATCTATCAGTAAAATGTAGTAAACAACGATTGACTCATGGTGAGTCTGTTATACCCACCTAAAAAATTAAGGAATTCGCAATGTTTGCACTTCTTAACAAATTCAGCCCCTTTTTGAATACAACTATGGTCTCCAAATATTTATGCAGTTTATGCTTCTAACCTACCCCTCCTCCTTTGTTGACATCAGCTCCGTTCTCTATAAGCAGCCTCACAATATCTGTGTGACCATTCTTTACAGCTACATTGAGTGAAGTGTCCTTCAAAATATAGGTGAGAAAAAACAATGAAAAATTACAGTAATACATAAAGTGCATTTTCTCTCATTTAATGACCAACCAATCGATTTATGGTTAAATCTGCTTTAGGGACGACTACCCTGTGCAAGTGTTTTTAAGTGTAAGGTCAGAATGAGTATTATCTTGTACAACAGTTCACCAAATCATATGAATTCATAGTAATGGTTTGTATAGGCACTAAGAATGAAGCAACAAAATGACCCCTCACCACAAACATGGCTACTATCTATGCAATGATGCCTTCCTGTTTATCCACGAGTTTTAAACCTTTTAAGATGGTTTTCAGCTCGGGTCCGATGGAGATACGCTTTTTGGAACTTACAAATAAAAACTACATAAATTAAATAATACTCGTTTCGGAAATAATGGGCATCTAACTTTTCAAGCAACAAAATTAGCTTTGGAATCAACGATAATTTAAATCTCAAACGTGATAAGAATTGAAGCAGCTTTTCAGCGATAAATATCATCTGAAATATAAGTCTTCGTTTCCTAAAAGTATGGTTGAATAGAACAACTCGTTTCAAACTTCTACTCCTTTTACAAATTTTCAACACTTCACCATTATTAATGGAATTATCTGGCCGTAAAGTCCAGTACACAAAGATTTCATCATGGTGAATCTCTTCCTCACATCTAAAAAAACAAGTCATGCACAAGTTGTGCACAAATTTAGCCTTTCTTGATTAAAACTATGTGATCTCCAAATATTTTCTGACCAGGTTTGTCTTGCCTTTTATCCATAGCTTCTGTCGATGCAAAGTTCTCGTCCAATTAAACCGTGAATTTTTCATTTCCGGTCCGACTGGAGTATACTATTTGGCGCTTGCAATATTTAAATGAAAACTAAATAAAGTAATACTCGATTCCGGAAAAAAGGATATTTTACTTTTCAAGCGAGAAAATTAGCTTTAAAGTTAACGATAGTTCGATTCCCAAATTTTAAATGTGCTACGAATTATGGCTGGAAAATGAAACCTCAACTCAAAGTAGTTTTTTTAATGCTAAATATAAGTGTTCATTTCCTAAAACTACTGTTCAATCAAGAAACTTCATAAAAACCCCTCCTCCTTTTAAAAACCACCACGCAATTTCCTGGTCGTAAAGTCTAGTAAGCAACGATCCAATCATGATGAATCCCATGCGGGCGTCTCATGAACGCATGACATCCATATGTTTTACACCCCTAAAGAAATTTAGCCCTTTTTTGAATAAAAGTTTGGTCTCAAAATATTATCTGGCCAGGTTTGCCTTGCTTTCTATCCAAGTTTAAAAGTGGGCCGCAAGCATATCATGCTATGACATCTTATGACTGGGGTGGCACTATAACGCTTCGAAAGAGATAACCAGAAATAAATGGAAAGAGCTCGCTGCTTCTTGCAACGTTTTGCTCAACAGCGAAAAAAAAAACTTTAAACAGCCATAAATATTTGACTTCAAACTCTGACTTTACTCTTTATAACATGTACAATTTATGCTTCTCACATACCCCTCCTTCTTGGTCGACATCAGCTCCGTTCTCTATGAGCAACCTTACAATATCAGTGTGACCATAACTTATAGCTGCAGTGAGTGGATTGTGTTTAAGATTCTAGAAAATAAAAAAATAAATAAATTAAAAAAACAAAAAAAGTACAGTCATATATAAAGTGCATTTTCTCTCATTTAATGACCAACCAAACGATTTACGGTTAAATCTGCTTTTGGGATGTCTATACTGCCCAAGTGTTTTTAGTGTAAGTAAGAAGGAGCATTACTTTATTCACCAAATCATACGAGTTCATACTAATGGTTAGTAAGGGCACTAAGAATGAAGCAACACAATGACCCCCCTCACCATTGACATGACTTTTGTCTTTGCAAAGTTCCTGTCCATTTTAGCAGCGAGTTTCAAACCCCCAAAAATATTGCTTTGTACAACATTTCAGCAAATCATGTGAATTCATCTTAATGGTTAGAAGGGGTACTATGAATGAAGCAACACAATGGCCCTCCTCATTACTGACATTGCTTCTGTTAATGCTAAGTTCCTTCGTGTTTCACTGCGAGTTTCAAACCTCCTCAGATGCATTTCAGTTCCGCTCTCATAGAGATACACTTTTTGGAGCTTAAAATGAGAGCTAAAAAAAGCGATTAAACTACGGTGAATCTCTTGCGCGCGTCTCATATGCGCAAGACATTCATAAGTGTTGCACTACAAAGCAGATTTATCCCTTCTTTGAATAAAACTATGGTCTCGAAATATTTCCCGGCCAGGTTTGCCTTGCTTTATATCCAAGTTTCCTAGTGGCTGGCTAGAATATTATCTTAAAACCGGGGTGGTTCTGTAACGTTACGAAAGAAACAACGAGAAAGAAATAAAAAAGCTTCCAATTTCTTGAAACGTTTTGCTCAACAGCATAAAAAATTTAACAGCTATAAAATATTTGACTATCAAACTCTGACTAAACTCTACATAATATAATTCATCTATACTATTAACGTACCAATCCTCTTTGGTTGACATTAGCTCCGTTCTCTATGAGCAACCTTACAATATCAGTGTGACCATAACTTGTAGCTGCAGTGAGTGGATTGTGTTGAAGATTCTAGAAAATAAAAAAGAAACAAAAAAATAAATTAAAAAAACAAAAAAAGTACAGTCATATATAAAGTGCATTTTCTCTCATTTAATGACCAACCAAACGATTTACGGTTAAATCTGCTTTTGGGATGTCTATACTGCCCAAGTGTTTTTTAGTGTAAGTAAGAAGGAGCATTACTTTATTCACCAAATCATACGATTTCATACTAATGGTTAGTAAGGGCACTAAGAATGAAGCAACACAATGACCCCCCTCACCATTGACATGACTTTTGTCTTTGCAAAGTTCCTGTCCATTTTAGCAGCGAGTTTCAAACCCCCAAAAATATTGCTTTGTACAACATTTCAGCAAATCATGTGAATTCATCTTAATGGTTAGAAGGGGTACTATGAATGAAGCAACACAATGGCCCTCCTCATTACTGACATTGCTTCTGTTAATGCTAAGTTCCTTCGTGTTTCACTGCGAGTTTCAAACCTCCTCAGATGCTTTTCAGTTCCGCTCTCATAGAGATACACTTTTTGGAGCTTAAAATGAGAGCTAAAAAAAGCGATTAAACTACGGTGAATCTCTTGCGCGCGTCTCATATACGCAAGACATTCATAAGTGTTGCACTACAAAGCAGATTTATCCCTTCTTTGAATAAAACTATGGTCTCGAAATATTTCCCGGCCAGGTTCGCCTTGCTTTATATCCAAGTTTCCTAGTGGCTGGCAAGAATATTATCTTAAAACCGGGGTGGTTCTGTAACGTTACGAAAGAAACAACGAGAAAGAAATAAAAAAGCTTCCAATTTCTTGAAACGTTTTGCTCAACAGCGAAAAAAATTTAACAGCTATAAAATATTTGACTATCAAACTCTGACTAAACTCTACATAACATAATTCATCTATACTATTAACGTACCAATCCTCTTTGGTTGACATTAGCTCCGTTCTCTATGAGCAACCTTACAATATCAGTGTGACCATAACTTATAGCTGCAGTGAGTGGATTGTGTTTAAGATTCTAGAAAATAAAAAAATAAATAAATTAAAAAAACAAAAAAAGTACAGTCATATATAAAGTGCATTTTCTCTCATTTAATGACCAACCAAACGATTTACGGTTAAATCTGCTTTTGGGATGTCTATACTGCCCAAGTGTTTTTTAGTGTAAGTAAGAAGGAGCATTACTTTATTCAACAAATCATACGATTTCATACTAATGATTAGTAAGGGCACTAAGAATGAAGCAACACAATGACCCCCCTCACCATTGACATGACTTTTGTCTTTGCAAAGTTCCTGTCCATTTTAGCAGCGAGTTTCAAACCCCCAAAAATATTGCTTTGTACAACATTTCAGCAAATCATGTGAATTCATATTAATGGTTAGAAGGGGTACTATGAATGAAGCAACACAATGGCCCTCCTCATTACTGACATTGCTTCTGTTAATGCTAAGTTCCTTCGTGTTTCACTGCGAGTTTCAAACCTCCTCAGATGCTTTTCAGTTCCGCTCTCATAGAGATACACTTTTTGGAGCTTAAAATGAGAGCTAAAAAAAGCGATTAAACTACGGTGAATCTCTTGCGCGCGTTTCATATGCGCAAGACATTCATAAGTGTTGCGCGACAAAGCAGATTTATCCCTTCTTTGAATAAAACTATGGTCTCGAAATATTTCCCGGCCAGGTTCGCCTTGCTTTATATCCAAGTTTCCTAGTGGCTGGCAAGAATATTATCTTAAAACTGGGGTGGTTCTGTAATGTTACGAAAGAAACAACGAGAAAGAAATAAAAAAGCTTCCAATTTCTTGAAACGTTTTGCTCAACAGCATAAAAAATTTAACAGCTATAAAATATTTGACTATCAAACTCTGACCAAACTTTACATAACATAATTCATCTATACCATTAACGTACCAATCCTCCTTGGTTGACATTAGCTCCGTTCTTTATGAGCAACCTTACAATATCAGTGTGACCGTTCGCTACAGCTTCAGTGAGTGGAGTGTCCTTCAAAATATTGGAAAGAAAAAACACAATGAGAAAGTACAGTAATATATACAGCACATTTTTCTCTTCTTTAACGACCGACCTGAGGATAAATAGTTAAATTTGCTTTTAAGACGACTACACTGTGCACGAGCTTTTTTTAGCGTAAGGTCAAAAGGAGTCACGAAGAATCGATCCCGCAGTTATGAACACTACTGAACTGGTAGTTGAAATAAGACCTGGAAAAAATTCAGGCCCGTACGGGATTTGAACCCGTGACCTCTGCGATACCGGTGCAGCTCTCAACCAACTGAGCTAACAAGCCATCTGAGAGCTGGTCATTATGTTGGCCTGAAATTTTTATAGGCCTTATTTCAACCACTGGTTCAGTAGTGTTCATAACTGTGAGGATCGATTCTATATTCGTTTTATCAACCGCACTACACTCATATGATTTTCATATGTTTACAGCCATTATTCACCACTTCAAAAAGGAGTATTACCTTGTACAACAGTTCAACAAATCATATCAATTTATTCTAATGGTTAAAATAAGCACTAAGAATAAAGCATTTCAATGACCCCCTTACCACTGACTTGACTTCTGTCTATGCAAATTTCCTGTCCAGTTTCAAACCATTAAAAATATTAAATTGTACAACAACTTTGCATAACTTATACCATTTATACTATTGACGTACCAATCCTCCTTGGTTGACATCAGCTCCGTTCTGTATAAGCAACCTTACAATATCAGTGTGACCATTCCTTACAGCTGCAGTGAGTGGAGTGTCCTTAAAAATGTTGGAAAGAAAAAACATGATGAGAAAGTACAGTAATACATAAGGCGAATTTTCTCCTCTGTAATGACCAACTTAAAGATTTATGGTTGAATCTGCTTTAGAGACGATAACACTCTGCAGGTTTATTCAGCATAAGGTCAGACGGAATATTACCTTATACAACAATTCAACAAATCGTATGAATTTGTAATAATGGTTAGAAGGGGCTCAAAGAATGAAGTAACACGACGACCCCCGTCACCATCGACACGACTTTTTTCCAGCTTAGCCGAGCCCGCGAGTTATAAACCTTTAAAGATGGTTTTTCAGTTCCGGTTAGATGGAGATTTTTTTAAGGTTGCAAATTTAAATGACAACTTATAAAATTATATTATACTTCATTAGGAAAACCTGATACTAATGATGGCTAGAAAATGAAAAGTGAACTTGAAGCAGCTTTTCAACGGTAAATATCATTTTAAATATAAGTCTTCGTTTCTCTAAAGTACTGTTGATTAGAAAAACTCGTTTTAAAATCCTTCTCCTTTTACAAACTTTCAACACATTATCACGCAATAATCTGGCTGTAAAGACCAGGAAACAACGAAATAATCAGGGTGAATCTGTTATACGCAACTTAAAAATTAAGGAACTCACAAGTTTTGCACTTCTTAACAAATTTAGCCCTTTTTTGAATAAAACTACGGTCTCCAAATATTTCTGACCAGGTTTGCCTTGCTTTTTATTCATGGCTTCGGTCGATGCAAAGTTCCTGTTCAGTAAAACCGCGAGTTTTTCATTTCCGGTCCGATTGGAGTACACTATTTGGCGCTTAAATTATTTACATGAAAACTAAATAAACTAAGTAATACTCGATTTTGAAAAAAAGAGGACGCGAGAAAATTAGCTTTAGAGTTAACGATAGTTCGATTCCCAAATTTTAAACGTAATACGAATTATGGCTGGAAAATGAAACCTGAATTTACAGTAGTTTTAGTAATGCTAAATATAGGTGTTCGTTTCTTAGAAGTACTGCCAAGTAGAGAAATTTGTTAAAAAATCCTTCTCCTTTCAAAAACTTTCAATAGATCGCGAGGCAATTTTTTGGTCGTTAAGTCTAGTAAACAGCGATTCAAGCATGATGAATCTCATACGTGCGTCTCATGAACGCGTGACATTCATATATTTTGCGCCCCTAAAGAAATTAAGCCCTTTCTTGAATAAAGCCATGGTCTCAAAATATTTTTTGGTCAGGTATCCTTTGCTTTCTACCCAAGTTCCCTAGTAGCCCACAAGCATATCATCTCATGACTGGGGTGGCACAATAACGCTTCCACAGAAACAACCAGAAAGAAATGGAAAGAGCCCGCAGCTTCTTGCAACGCCGTTTTGCTCAACAACAAAAGAACTTTGAACAGCCATGAGATATTTGACTTTCAAACTTTACATAACATATACCATTTATACTTCTAACGTACCAATCCTCCTTTGTTGACATCAGCTCCATTCTCTATAAGCAACCTTACAATAAAAACGTGACCGTTCATTGCAGCTTCAGTGAGTGGAGTGTCCTTCAAAATATTGGAAAGAAAAAATTCAATGAGAAAGTACAATAATACACAAAGCGCATTTTCTCTTCTGTATGGTTATATGGTTGAATCTGCTTTTGGGAAGACCACACTGTGCAAGCTTTTTTTTAGTGTAAGGTCAGAAGGAGTATTATCTTGTACAACAGTTCATCAAATCATTTTAATTCATTTTAATGGTTAAAGGAGCACTAAGAATGAAGCAACACAATGACCCCCCTCACCATAGACATGGCAGCTGTCTATGCAAAGGTCTCTTTCTGCTTAAATACGAGTTTCAAACCTTTTAAAATCGTTCTTAGTTCCGGTCCGATCGAGATACCTTTTTGGAGCTTAAAAATCTAAATGAAAACTATGTAAACTAAATAATACTTGTTTCGGAAATCATAGGCATCCAAATATCAGAGTAACAAAATTAGCTTTGGAATCAACGATAATATAATTCTTAAAAGTGATGAGAATTATGGCTGGAAAATGAAAAGTGAACTTAAAGTGGTTTTTGCAAATCTAAATATAAGTGTTTATGTCCTAAAAGTATTGTTAAATAGAGGCATTTTTTAGAAAATCTGACTTCTGTCTATGCCCAGTTTAGCCACGATTTTAAAATTTTTATGAAGATGGTTTTTCAATTCCGGTCTCACTGAGATACACTTTATGGAGATTAAAATGAGAGCTAAAAAAGCGATTCAAGCGTAGTGAATCTGTTACGCGCGTCTCGTAAATGCAAGACATTCATAAACTTTCACCTTCTACATAAATTTAGCCCTTCCTTGAATATAGCTTTAGTCTCGGAATATTTTCTGGCCAGTCTGCCTTGCTCTATATTTAAGTTTCTTTGTAGCTTGCGAGAATATCATCTTATGACTAGGGTGACACTGTAACGTTACGAAAGAAACAACGAGAAAGAAACAGAAATAGCTCTCAATTTCTCAAAATTTGAATAGCCATAAAATATCTGACTTTAAAACTTTGACTAAACACTACATAACATATACCATTTATACTTCTAACGTACCAATCCTCCTTTGTTGACATCAGCTCCGTTCTCTATGAGCAACCTTACAATATTAGTGTGACCGTTCTTAACAGCCTCAGTGAGAGGAAGGCCCTTCAAAATATTGAAAAGAAAAACACAATAAAAAAGTAAAGTAATACATAAAGCGCCTTTTCTCTTCTGTTATGACCAACGTAAGGATATATGGTATTATCCGCTTTAAAATAGTTCTACTAGATAGTTCTCGATTCGGAAAAAATGGGCATCTAACTTTTCAAGCGACAAAAAAAGGTATAGAGCTAACGATAGTTTGATTTCCAATCCTCCTTTGTTGACATCAGCTCCGTTCTCTAGAAGCAACCTTACAATATCAGGGTGACTGTTCTTATCAGGCTCAGTGAGAGGAAGGCCCTTCAAAATATTGAAAAGAAAAAACACAATAAAAAGGTACAGTAATACATAAAGCGCCTTTTCTCTTCTGTTATGACCAACTTAAGGATATATGGTATAATCCGCTTTTGGGAAGACGACACTGTGCAGGCGTTCTTCAAGCATAAGGTCAGAAGGAGTTTTACCTTTTACAACAGTTCAGAAAATCATATGAAAATCATATGAATTCATTTTAATGGTTAGAATGGGCACTAAGAATGAAGCAACACAATGACTTCCATTACCACAGACTTGGCTACTGTCCATGGAAAGATGCCTTCCTGTTTAACCCCGAGTTTCAAACCTTTTACGATGGTTTTCGGCTTGGGTCCGATAGAAATACATTTTTTGGAGCTTACAAATTTAAATGAAAACTAAATAAACTAAATAGTTCTCAATTTGGAAAAAATGGGCATCTAACTTTTCAAGCGACAAAAAAAGGTGTAGAGTTTGATTTCCAAACGTGATAGGACTCAGTAAGGCTGGAAAATAAAATTGTACTTGCTGATTTTAAGTAACGCTCTTCAACGTTTAAAGTATTCCTTGAGACAGAAATATTATTTCTAGTTGATGATATTTCTTTAAAGTATAAAACATGGTCATTTAGCCTAGACCATAAAATTACAAATCATGAATATGCCTATGTTTTATTAGGGTGTTAGGGTTATTCACAAGAAGATTTCAAATAAAAGCAATCCAAATATTTCAAAACTTCAGGCCCAAAAGCGGAGAAGGAAACTTTAAGAGTATGTTTTAGAGTAATTACTGTTGTCATCTAATCTCTTTCAACTGAAAACAAGTGTCTGTTACCACAGAATATATCGGTCAACTTAGTTCTCTTTGTTTCAAACAAGCGCCAAATGGAAGGACTCTCAAGTGCTCTTTGAACTATTAATTTAAAAGAAATATAACAGATTCTGTGAGTCACTGTGGTCTAAAAGCATGATTTCCAGAATATATTACAGAATTTCACAAAACAGTAACCACACTGTTATCTGTCTTCAGAAATCTAAATTCAAAATTGTGACAAAAAACTATTTCATAAACACAGTTAAGCTTAAAACCTACCATGCTCCCACTTTGGTTGACATCAGCTCCTTTCTTTACAAGCAGATGAACAGTGTCAGTGTAATCATTCCTGGCTGCTCCGACTATTGAAATGTCACCAATCGACTGGATAGGGAAAAAAGAAAAGTAGATAAAAAGCTGAACCTTTAATGAATAAAATTAATAAAAATTCAAATTTACACCGGAACCAACTACACTTCACAGGTTCAGGAGCAAGGGTTGAGTTGGACCATGAGTATTATTGTATGGAAATCTAAAATCTAGAGGTTCTTGATTTTGGATCCAGTTCCCACCCATATTGTAAATTTGTCAATTGACAGCTTCGTATCAGTCTCTCCCCACACTAAAAAGGAAGCATGTGATCCAAAGTCAAATAAACATTCTCAAGAATATAACTATTACTGCACAGAAGTTGTAATATCATTTACGCAGATATACAAATCCTCTGTATTTCCCTACATTTTTTATTATATGATAATTTCTTACGACCTTCTGAATGGGTATACTTCTTTCTCCACGACCAGTAAGTGGTATATATGAAATTTATGGTAACTGATGTTAAATATTCTTCTTCTTAGTGGTAGCAAGTTGGTGGGAATAAGACCCCTTAGCAGAAATTTTTTCTACGGTTCTCGTTTCGCATAATACGACAAAATTCAGTCCTTCTCAAGAAAATTCACCTCCATGGTGGTTACAATGTTCCTTCCAACTATCACACTCTTAGCTTGTTCCAGGCATTTAGTTAGTACAACAGAGCAAAATAAAACGAAAGGCACGATGGTAGCAGTTGAGCAAAAATGATGAAGCATGTTTCGCTCAGGTTAGGCAAGTAGTTGACAAAACGGAGCAAAACAAATGCGATTGTTGAATAGAAGAATATGTTTCAAAATCCTTCTCCTTTTAAAAGTTATCAACACATCGCTACGCAATTATCTGGCCGGAAAGTCTTGTAAACAACGATTATATAATAATAGTAAATCTGTTGCACGCATCTAAAAAACAAGGCATTCACAAGTTTTGCCCAAATTCAGCCCTTCTTTGAATAAAACTATGGTCTCCAAATATTTTCTGCCTTACTTTTGATCCATGGCTTTTGTCGATGCAAAGTTCCCGTCCAGTTTAACCGCGAGTTATTTATTTCCGGGCCGATCAAAGAGTACACTATTTGGCGCTTAAAATATTTAAATGAAAACTAAATAAGCTAAGCAACATTCGATTCGGAAAATAAGGGACATTTTACTTTTCAAGCGACAAAATAAGCTTTAGAGTTAACGAAAGTTAGATTCCCAAACGTAAGGAAACTTTAGATAACATCTACCATTTATACTTCTAACGTACCCATTCTCCTTTGTTGACATCAGCTCTGTTCTCTATGAGCAACCGAACAATATCAGTGTGACCGTTTCTTGCAGCTGCAGTGAGTGGAGAGTGCTCACAAAACTAAGGAAAAAAACACAATGAGAAGTGTACAGTAATATATAAAGAACATATTCCCTTCTTTAATGATCGAGGTAAGGATATACGGTTGAGACTACTACACTCTGCAGCTTTTTTTAAGCATAAGGTAAGAAGGAGTATTACATGAACAGCCATAAGATGTTCACTAAACCCTACATAACTAATACAATAAGCTATTAACGTACCCAATTTACAGTTTTGTTCTGGTCAATAGCCTCCTTTAAAACTAACCAAACAATATCTGTTTGGCCTTTCCTTGCTGCCAAAATCAGTTTAGTGAACTTTGAAATCTAGGAAAGAAGAAACACAATGACCAAGTACAGTAATATATAAAGTGCATATCATCTTCTTTTATGACTAACATAAGGATACAAGGTTGAATCTGCCTTTGAGACGACTACACTTTAGAGGTTTTTTTTTTAACATAATGTCAGAATGGGTATTACTTTGAGCAACAGTTCGCCACTGAAATCCCATGGATTCATACTTAACAATACTCAATTTGGAAATAAGTGGACATCTAATTCTTTAAGTTGACAGAAAAAGGTGTAGAGTTAACGATAGTTTGATTTCCAAACGTGATAGGACTCATTAAGGCTCGAAAATAAAATTGTACTAGCTGATTCCAAGTAACGCTCTGCAACGTTTGGACTATTCTTTGAGACAATAAATATTATATCTAGGAGTTGATATTTCCTAAATGCATCGTTCAACAAAAGATTTCGTTTGTAAATCTGGCTGTAACGTCTAATAAACGATTCAAGCATGGTGAATACATGTGCGCATGTCCAATACACAAACATGTGTACGTTTTGCGCTTCTAAACAACGAATCTGGCACTTCTTTAAGTAAAGCTAAAAAAAAAGGGGCAACGTGAATGAAATAACAGGGTGACCCTCATGACATGGCTTCTGTCTCTGCCACATGATCCACAGTTCAGGATACTTACTAAGGATTCTTCCTTGGGGATAAGAAATATCACGCTAATTAATTATGATAAAAGCTGAAATAACTTTATACCTGAAAAACATGATCATTTAGCTTACACCATAAAATAACAAATCATGGATATGCCTAGATTTTATCAGGGTGTTAGAGTTATTCACAAGAAGATTTCAAATAAAAGCAATCCCAATATTTTAAAACTTCATACACAAAAGTGGAGAATGAGACTTAAAGAGTATGTTTGAGAGTAATTACTGTTGTCATCTAACCCGTTTTAACTGAAAACAAATGTCTGTTACCACAGAATAAATCAGTCAACTTAGTTCTCTTTGTTTCAAACAGGCGCCAAATGGAAGGACTCTCGAGTGCTCTTTGAAATATAACTTTAAAAGAAATAAACAGATTCTTTGAGTCACTGTGGTCTAAAAGCATGATTTCCAGAATATATTACAGAATTTCACAAAACAGTAACCACACTGTTATCTGTCTTCAGAAAACAGTGACAAAAACGGTGACAAAAAACTATTTCATTATTACAGTTAAGCTTAAAACCTACCATGCTCCCACTTTGGTTGACATCAGCGCCTTTCTCTACAAGTAGCCGAACAGTGTCAGTGTAACCATTCCTGGCTGCTTCAACTATTGAAATGTCACCAATCGACTAGAGAAGAAAAAAAAGAAAGGTAGATAAAAAGCTGAACGAATTTACTTTAATTAATAAAATTAATAAAAATTCAAATATACTCCGGGACTAACTACACTTCACAGGTTCGGGAGCAAGATGTTACCATGACCTTTATTCTTAAACCTAAGGGTTCTTGATTTTGGATCCAGTTCCCACCCATACTGTAAATTTGTCAATTGACAGCTTTGTATCAGTCTTTTCCCACACTAAAAAGGAAGCATGTGATCCATACTCAAATAAGAATTCTCAGGAATATGACTATTATTGCACAGAAGTTGTAGTATCATTTACGCAGACATACAAATTCTCTGGATTTCCCTGTGCACATTGTTTATTATATGTTGACTTACTATGACCTTTTGAATGGGCATACTTACATTCTTTACGACTAGTAAGAGGTATATATGTAATTTATGCTAACGGATGTTAAATATTCTTCTTCTTAGTGGTATCAAGTTGGTTGGAATAAGACCCTATAGCAGAACTTTCTACAATGGTTTTCCTTTGGCAGAACACTACAAAATTTTTTTCTCAAGAAAATTCATTTCCATGGTGCTTACAGTGTTTCTCCCAACTACCACACTCTTAGCCTGTTCCAGGCATTTAGTTAATACAGCAGGGCAAAATAAAACAAAAGGCACGATGGTAGTAGTGGAGCAAAATGAGGAAGCATGTTTCGGTCGGGTCAGGCAAGCAGTTGTGAAAACGGAGCAAAACAAATGCGATAGTAGCAGCAGAGAAAAAAATGAAGAAACAGGTTTAGGTCGGGTAGCTTGAGGAACGCGTTCCTTACGCAACCCGACCCAAACTTCCCTGGTTCTTTGCTCAACAGCTACAGGACTGGTGTACTATTGTGCAATTTACTATCACGTTTCTTTTTATAAACAAACTCCCTGAAACAGGCTACCACATTCTCCACAGAGATAAAATACTTAAAATGATCATCAAAGTTGCAATGGTTTTGATAAATAAATTGAAGAAAATGGTAAATTGTGAAGGGAAGACCATAAAACATTTTGTCACGAATGAGAACAGAAACCTGGACAACAAGCTGCCCCTGCTTTGAGGCAAGATCTCTTGCACAAGAAAAAATATGGGCGAAAAAAATGGCGAATAAAGATTTGTGGTTGGTGCGCCATGCCAAACTCTGGGAGTGAGGTACACGAAAAGGTGGGCCCTACTTGGACTACTCTACTCCTACTTGGACCCCTTGTTTCAGCGTTTAGATCACCCCTGATGAAGGCACTAGACAAGGGTGTCGAAACGTTGGGTCTATGAATTGTAACTTCTTCGATTACATTCATTAAATCTGCAAACCAGAGTAGCATCAAACTATGTCTGAATGTCCATCTGGTTGCCGTGTCAACTTTAATATATTTGAAATGGAAATTGTTTGAGCTTAGTAGCTTATAATATAATAACGAAAGGAGACTGAGCACTAACACAGATTTACATTTACAGTTTCAAATACTTAATACTTGATTAATGACATAACTGACGAATGACATGTATACAGTCATTGGCTGATTTATACATGCACTCACTTTATCTTGTGAAACATTGTGTAAAGGTCTGCAAAAACTATACATAACAAACCTACCTGGCTCTCTTCATTCTCCACTCTAGGACCACGACTCTGAACAGAGGTATCATCTGGTAATGATAAGCGAGTATGAAAGTTCTCTTGTTCAGAAATAAGCCCCTGTTCTTGGCTTAAATCTTCTTCTGAATCAAAGATATCTTTCTCCACACCTCCATTAGTCTTACTTGGTTCCATAGATGATACTTCCCATCTTGAATGCTCATTCTTTCCAATATCTTCATTCTCACAAAGATTAAACCAACTGGCGAGACCTTCCCCTTCAATAATTGTTGGCAACATATCATGGCTCGTTTAAGTTTCCTTGTTAGTGACATTATGCAAATACTGAGTTGGTTTTAAACAGGTTCTTAAGATTTTCCTGCTTTGGAATAATCCTAGTCCTAGATCCAACTTTCTGGGAAGTGAAGGGATGGCTTATGAATGGATGGAATTGTATTTAGATGACAATTGGAAGCAGTATCTAGGTTTGAAAGAGAGCTAATAAAAAATACAGCAATTGTCTCAATTACTGCATTTCTTTGATCTAATGCCACAGCTCTCACTACCGGTATTTCTTCAAACAAGTTTCTATTTGTATATAAAACCAGATCTCTTAACCAATAAAACCCCTGAATGGTATCAATAGGACAAAAATGTTAAAATGACTATGAACACATAATTCCTAGCCATAACCTGTGGTTCCATAACACTCTGCCATTTCTGTGTAACTAATTCTTGAAATAAATATCAAAAATTCAGTTTAAGGCATACAAGAGGAATTTGTAAACACTGAATAGTTATTTTTATCAGCATACAAATGTTTCTTTCAGCAAGGAGAGATAAAAATAATTGTACTCTCATTTGCATCAGAATATTTACCTGATTCTTCCCATTCCTGACCTGAGTGTATTTCCTCATCACTACATTGTTGAGGGGCCATGTTTAATTTGCTGTCTCCATTCCACAGAGGGTTGCTTAAGGGAGATTGAGCTGCCTCTTGAGTAATTGGTTCAGGATGTGTTGCTGATTGCTGGTTTGAAGTTACAGAACAAATTGATTCTGAAAGTTGTGGTTCAGCATTTGTGTGAAGTGTCTCAAAAAGTTCATCATCTTGGTACTGACTTTCTTCATTCTCCACATTAAGATTAGGAACATCAAGACAATGTACTGGGGTATCATCATGTGATGCTAACAGTGTATGTGAGTTTCCTTCTTCAGAATAAAAAACCCATTCCTGACTTGAATCCTGCTTTTCATTGTGGTCATCTTCTCCACAATTTTCTTCAGACTCTTTTGACTCTGGCAGAGATGTGTTCCATTTATGACAAACACCACATCCAACAAATGTATTGTCACCAATGCTATCCTCAGTGGTGAAGCCCTCTGTCATTGGTGCTAGGATTTCATGGCTCACATCAAGTTTACTGTAAACAGCTTTGTATGAATTTTGAGTTGATTCTGTTTCAGGGATGGCTTCTAGAGATTTGCTTGATCTAGAATTCACCCAGGAGAATGAAAGTGAAGAATCTGGATAAAGAAGATAAAAATAAAAGTCACTCCATATATCATTAAACAAAGAGACAGTGTCATCAAAACAAGATTTATAATCATGAATGACTTTAATTTACTAATCACAGTGCCTACAAAAAATTCTCAGAAATTTTGAGAAAAGACACCACTGGTGAACTGGAGCTCTAGAACTCAGCAGAAAATTATGTATTGAAAAGAAAAACGTTTTGTTAGAGGTGCACCTAACACTGAAAACCTGTTTTGCTCTCTAAAGAATTCTGAGGTCAACACATTTCAAAACAATAATAAAGCCCAGAGGGTATCCTAAAACCAGATTTTTATCCTCTCCTTACATGTTTAGCTTATATGATAACAACAATCAATATTCATTATCCTTTCTGTGAATAAGAGACATCATTAAGTCATTTGTGCCCTATCTACTGATAGTTTAAATTATAGCTCATTTTGTACATGCGTAGTCACATGTTCATTATTATTGTATGTTCAGGGAAAGTAAATTAATTGAAATTAAATAACACTGTTGAATACAAATAACTCACCACTTAAAGATTCATCCCAGCTTTCTGAGTCAGACAAAGCACTATCAGTTTCAGATGAAACACTTGAGCAATCCTCTGTGTCAGCAAAGTAGTTTTCATTACTTTCCTGAGTGCATGACAGTTGATCAGCTTCCAAATCCTCCTCAGCTTCAGTACATGCTGTGAGAAGTAACACTCCACATGAAAATTTAAGTGTGAGAAGAACTTAGCTACAGTAAAAGTACACTAAAAAATACCAAAAGTTGACAATAAATGTACTTCTAGCTTTTGCTTTACACAATCATTTTGAAATTTAACCACAGGTAGCAAGAATATGGCAAAGAAAATAAAAGGAAGTTAACTACATACACTGAACTTTGAGGAGCACACATTTAAAACTCTTAACTCAAAACAAAGACCACTGCACTCTTAATACTGTTAAATGTTGAAGCAACCAGAATTCTCAAACAGGATTGGCTGACAGCTTCCCAATTTCAATACTAGCAGGACAGTGTGCATGTCTTGCTTCTATTTGGACAGTGTAATTGTACGGTTAAAATGTCCTATCTGGGACAGTACTGATCATTTGCAAAGTAAAAAGACTAGCTGACTTTTTTTTTTAGCCTTGCTGGCTCTATGTCAATGGTGTGTAAGTAAGTAAGAATGACCATTTAAAGTAAGACCTCACATCAAGATGTCTGTCCCTGTACAGTTGGTTTGTAAGCTGAGGGTCACCAGTTTGATGCATCTAGCTGACAAACTTTGACTTTTTTAACTTATATTTTTTTCCCTTCTATTTTCCTTTTTTTCTACCAGACACTATAATGTACAGGACTTCTAATATTTGGTAATGGTGTGATTTTACATAATTGGCCTCACATCATTTCAGATAGTAAACACACAATTCAGGGATGATTAGACCAATTTCTTGGTTCAATTTTACTTGTTGGCACTTAGTGACAACTTCTACAAATACTTTCCTACCTAACAATGCCATGCACATCCTACTCCCTGTCCCCAAAAATTAGCACCACAAAACCTCCCTTTTTGTAAATTGTTTTGATAGGTCCAAAAGTTAAATCAATTTTTTTGTAAAATACCGTGCAAACAACATTTCAACAATCACATGGTTAGTGTTTAACTCTTAGTTTACTATTCAATACTAGTGACCTCATTTCCTCTCAGGGGACTATTTTCTGAGTATGTCTTTAACTAATGTTTCTCTCATTTCATTGTAATTTTGATTTATGGACTATTGGGCTGAACATTGTTCAATTCTGACTGTAATCTGTCGTATGATTTACAGTCATTTTATTTTCTCAATCACCCATATGATTACACCGACTGAACTGGACTCCAGTCAGGCCAATACATGACCATTACAAATTACAATGTCAAGATTATTTTCAAAGTCATTTCCCAAACAAATTTAGCTTCTTTATAACCGAAAAAAAAACAATTAAATTCCATCTAGGCTAGGTTCAATCAAATTATAATGCCAACTTTATTCTTGCTTCACTTTGGCTCTTTGATGTATTTACCTTTATTTTGTGTGGCAGATGGTTCCTGCCTCTGGATACCCACACTGCACTTTTGTATAAGCTCACACAACTTCGACACCACATCTGAGCCCAGTTGAGAAGCTTCTGAATTTAACACAATCAAAAAGAAATATGAGAATCACTGCAGCCTGCTTTTCAAAAATGATATGATACTATGAAAAAATCAAAATGATGCATTTTCCTTTTTAAAATCCTAGCAAGGAAAAATGTTTGAGTCAAATTGGTTTCAATTCCAATAAATAAACTGAGAGTTTTAAAAGTTTGTGTTTCACCTATTCTGTATTGACATCCAGTAGCTCCACCTCCATAGCTTCCACATCCCTTTCCTCCACATCCACCTGCTCCCGTTCCACCAGTCCCATCTCCACTGACTCCACTACCACCAGCCCCTTCTCCACTACTTCCACCTCCACTGCTTCTACCTCCACTGGCTCTACCTCCACTAGCCCCACCTCCACTGGCTCCACCGTCATTGCCTCCATCTTCCCTTCTTCCACTACCACAGGCTCCAGGCTTCCCACCTAAATTTTTCCGCACATACAGCACTCCACAGTACTCTAAAGAAGTCTCTGCCAGAATTTTGCCAGTGGTTGTTGAAATGAGCCAGACTGGAATGACTTCAGGTGTCATTTTAGGTGAAGCTATGGATAAAATGGTGATGAAGACATTGAAATACTTCCATAAAACAGTGACATATGTCTTTGTAAAAAATCTCATGGATGATAAGGTATGTAATTATATTTAGTAATACAAAGAGAAATTACCACAACTAGTAGTTTTGAAAGACAACCTTCCATAGCAGAATCCCATAGGTTTGTCCCATTTAAATAACCACCTAATTTATTTTACTGCTGCAGATGATGATTTGAAGGAAGAGAAAACTTACAACAAACTTGCTTTTCACTGAGAGCTTTTTCATATAGCAGGGCTATTAAATTTGCAACTCAGTTTTGTAGTTTGTGCTTATAGGACGTTTGTAGGTATGGGTTTTGTATGCTATTTTTTAACTTCAGTTGCCACAAGCAACTGGAGAAAGGTCACAATTTTAAGAAAGCCAGTAATAGTAAGCAATTACTTTCATCTACACAACATTGCTTTAAGTAAACAATGATTAATTGTAGGATGTTTACCCTTAAGTAAAAAAAATTAAAAATAAAGATACCAGTAGTTAAAAAAGATAACTGAAATTATAAGTCAATGAACACCCAATATCAATGTTGCCTCTATTAAATCTTTGTTATAAAGGGGTTAATTTGAAAACAGTTTCCTGGTTGGTATACTACTTGATAATTTTACAAACCTGGAATTTCACCAAGGTAGCCACGTCTTGTCTTCTCTAGTGTAATTGGTTTTAAATTACCAAAGGAAGCTTTCACATTGACATCTAATGGCAGCTCAGGTTTGAAGGTAAAAATACAGGGGCCTCCTCCCTGCAGATGTGGGAAACAAATTCAGTGCCAACAAATAATTATTTTAACCTTACTCAAACTTGAACATTAACACATCAGAGACAGACAAAAATAGGCAGGTAAATTGATCGCTGAAATTGAAATGCAATCTTTAATTTGCCCTTTATGCTGTACTCTGATAACAAACAACTAACAGAATTGCATCCAGAAATAGTGAAAAATACATCACAAACTATTTCACAATGTCCTTACAAAAAAAAAACCCTCAAATCTAAAAGCAATGAGTGTTATATAGGTTTGACACAGACACACAAGAAGTAATTACCATAGGAGACAATGCTAAACTTCCTTTTTTGTTGGTGTTTATTATAGATACAGTGCATGTTTCTACAATATTATATTTAATTTGGAGATCAATGCTATGACACAATTAAAGATGGGCACCATGCATTCTATTGACATATACTGTACAAAGAAATTCTTACCTGCAAAGGACTCTCTTTTGGATTTATGACAACCTCATAATCATATTGCTTCAACCACTCTTCTCTCCTTTCAACATCCATTAAATTTTGAGCTAGAAAGTCAGTATCAGCTAATCAGTTTAAAGCAAGCAGATATGCTCATCACTACACCAAGATTTTTTAAAATCCCTTATTACAAAATAAAGTAAGCTAAGACTTGTAAGGGTGACCAAAAGGTGAATGTGAGTTCAAAAAAATAAATGTATCCAAGATCAAACCTCCACCAAATTTTTTTTATTACCAGGGGTTGGCAAAGTGGAGCTCACATCTCTGCTAATGTGAAGAAGTTATTCAAGTTTCATCATGCTTTATGCATTGAAAAGTGGATGTTGATGGGGGGCTGCATAAGCATTAAAATCATATTTCCTTCAACATTATAGTTTACAATGACATGACATGTTACTTCTTTTAACTTACCAGAAGAATTTGCCTCACACTCAAAAGAAGCTAACAGTTCAATGATCTATATTTCGAAAATTAAAAGGTAAGTTTGATATAGTTTCTCTGACACAAATGATTATTTTATGTTTTTTATCTACTCATTGTATATCCAACTATCCTGCATTGCTGCATTAAGATCGAATCTACCTGGCCCACCCGCAATGGTTGTAGCAGGGTCCCACGGTACATACTTTACCGCATTATGACCAACGACAGGAAAATAGGGAATAAAGTGAAATGACATAAAAGACAGTGGGCAGTGAGTGAAACATCACAGTGGCACATGTACACCTAATTAAAATTTTAATCTTGCCTTTGTCACACCATAAGGACAAAGATTTGAGTATAAGGATGGATCACAAAAATGGCACACTGCTGAATCGTTGAAAATGGCACTCCAGCAAGTTAACACTGCCACACCTCCACAAATTTTGGGGAAATTAAGAGGTCTTCACTTATTTTTTCTTGCTCAACTCTGTCATGACATGCTTACCTATGCATTTCAATTACCCAGTAGTCCATTTTTAGAGAGAGCCATGTTTAACTCACTTTCATTTCAAACAGTACACAGAAAACAACTCAATTTTTCTCCAAGATGTGGAGATGAATGTACAGTCAAATCATGCCCTACACACATTTTACCAGATGTTCATCAAAACCTTCTTTCAACAAAGACTCATTCTACTTTTTATTAGTAGACAATCTCAAATTAACCCATTTAAAACAGTTTCCAAGATTGATGTTTTTGTGACCACAAAACAACTGTTGGTTAATCACTGCCTGCTTCTGCAGAGTTTTCATCAAGAATTGTGGTACAACTGTAGTGCGAGAATCACACAAAATAACAGGAGTGTATTCCATACATCTAAATAGAAATTAGCCAGCATGCAACTATCAAAATTAGGCTCACCTCCTCATGATTCAGACTCCACTTCATTCATTTTTTATTTTACATGTTATGTGTGGTTGACTGTTGTACAATAGTTTGTTTAAGCTCAATGTGAGAAGCATTCTTCTCAGGCACCTTAATTTACCACAGCTAAAAATTACAGCTGTTCACTATTCTTCATTTTGAAATACTATTCTTACTTTGTAGATGATTACCTGATCGTCAAAAGCCCCAATAGTCCCAGATGTGTTTCGCTGGTTGTCTTTAGTCAGAGCAGATACGCTGGCTTCATTAGCAGGAACTTGAGTTTTTGGATACTGAGGCTGCCTTAGCTGTTGAGCACTTTGACTCCCTTTTGCTGTGAATGTCTCTGTTGAAGCCTGATCATATGACTTCTGGATCTCTGTATCTCTACTAGAGATTTGTAAACTTTTCAAATGAGATGCAAGGGTGGAAGAATTTATCTGCTCTGGTAAATCACCTACACACACACACACACCAAAGAATTGTAATAATTCATCTAACAATATCAACTTTTTTCCTCAAAGAACTGAATTTTATAGAGTATAGAACATGTACTACATTAATGTTTAACCATTTACTTCCTGGTCTCAATGGTCTTCTTATGAGCTACAAATGTACATGACAACTACATAGATTATCTAAATTCATTGCTGCTATCAACAGTGTTTCCCTGTTCATACCCAAGATACTTTTCAGTATTTATGGTCGTCATCAACAGACTAATATTTTCATGGAGTGGACAACACCTTGATTTGTACATTGTCTCCAATGGGTTACCTAATAAATATTTTGATCAAATGCCAGCTAAACACCAGCCATCAAATTTCTCATGTACAGCTGAAGTAATCGACTATCAAATTACAGGTTAGAAAACTATATTCATTCACTGGATACAGAAAAACTAATAAAAGGTTGCAAGAGAATTAATGAAAAAATGTGCAGCATTGCATAATATTTCCATCTCTTTACTCAGTAAACCCAGGAACTTTTGATAGCTAGACTTCAGAATGTTCAGGTAAACTGCAGTGGGTAAGACGCTTAACAGGTGAGAAGCAGAATGAGTGAGAGTTCTGGTTGACACTGCGCCATTGGTAACATTATATACCAACCTGTTGGAAGGGTTGGTTGCAGTGCTGGTGGCAATGTCATTGGAACTATTTTTGTAACATCACTTCTGTTAGAACATACTGGTGAAAGCATATAATATTCTCCTGACTGCACCAAGTCTGTTGAGAGCTGACAAGAGTCTTGTATTTGCTCTTTCTACAAAAAAAATTTAAATTAATCCAATAGATACTTAAGAGTACATCTCCTTCTATCCTTATCTTCTTCAATGAATCCCTCAGTCTTCCATATAGGTCAGCTCAGGAAACTTGTTACTATGATGTGTATTTTTTGTTGTAACAATTTATTAACTACGGTTATCAAAGATAGGTGTTCTCCCACAGTGTCTTATCTGATTCTTATTTAATTTGCAAGGAAATAAAACTTATTTTAGAACCATGTTAGGTTCGTAATCTGTTAATGGAAGACAATTCAAAATTAATGAGTAATTGTTGCAGAAAAAGAAGGGAATTTTATGACCCATTTTTTGAAATGAAAGTTAACATATCATGATCAACTCAAAACAAGAACACTTTTTTTAATGAAAAAAAAGTATGAAAACACCTTCAGCTCTTGCTCCAAGCAGCAGTAACTGAGAGTTTTTCTCATATTTCACAATGGAATAACCCCAATTCCTGGGTAAAGTTGAGACTTGGCAAAATCCAGGTAAAAGTTGCCCAAGATATTTTGCCACTCCAGGCAGTCTCCACATTAATTTACTTAATCTATCTTAAAAATACCTCAGCCTCTGAAGCTATCAACACTGAACACTGGTGCTGTTCCCTTTCCACAGTCAAAGCACAAACACTGGCTTCTTTTTCAGTGACTTGTGTTGCTGAGCAGGTTTTTACATCCTGAGGCTGTATTGCTTGCAATTGGGCAGCTGAACTAATTTTGACATCTTCCAGCTGACCACAAAATGTGTAATTTCTGTCACTTTCTCTCACTGTTCCACACGTCTGGCTTTCAACTGCTCTCAATGTCTCTTTGTCAATCGAGACCCTCAGCAGCAGGACAAGGTTCACTTCCGAACCTTTTACGCCCCTGGGGTGCTGCAGTAACAAGGCAATTTCCATACACAGGAGCACCTGGCAAGTCAGGGTCTGAAGAGTAATGGCCAGAATCTCCCTCTTTCTCTTCCTAATCAAAAGGAGATTCAAACTGTCATTCATGTTACAAATCACCATGCAATTTTTATATCTATGAGTGACCCAAGGGGACTTTTTATTTCAATTGAGCAGTTTTGTCTTTGTGAAACAAATAAAAATAAATTCAGACTCCTAACAAATATTTTTTGAAGGTCATCATAGAACAACATAGAATCATGAAATACTCACCAGAAGCAAAATTTTGGTCCTTAGAGGAAAACAAAAAAAATATGGCACACCATACTACACTGGAGATAATTAAACAACCTGTCTTCTATGGCATTCTGTTTTGCAGATTTAAGGCAATCTCTTTGGGCTTAATACTCAGACAACCATGCAGAAATTAAAGAGGCAAATCTTAGGAGAAGAAAACAATGTAATAAATTTAGAGTAAGTTTTTAACCTCTTACACCCTAACATCAGCATGCATATTTTCCATGCTGTTCTCTATACATTTCCTAAGGTGCTGACAAAGAGAATTTGTTTAACAATCAAGAACTTCTTTAGTAGGTAATCATTTCCTCTGTTCTTGTGACTTTTAAGATTGATTCAGGTGATTTTGAAAGGGGAAATTAAATGCTTTCACTTTTAGGAGTTAAAGGGTTAAAATAAATCACTGTGACTTCAGACCAAATACTAAAATATACCTTGCAGATTTAGTTGCCAGAATTTTTCTGGTCACAAGATGATCCAAACAATAGAAGCTTGGAGCAATGCAATTATTACTTCATAATAATAAATAATCATAGGAAACATGTACTTTGATGATACAAAAGTTTACCACATATTTGAGAGGAAAAAATTAAATTGCATCCCCTTTAGACAAGCACATGTTCAAAGGGATTAATTGCACAACACACACCTTCTAGTACCAAGCACGAGGAGTTTTGTGTTTCATTTCCCATCAGTCTTCACTTTGAGCATTCACCAGAGATTGTGTACTGTTTGGTTTTTCTTTCCACCCACCCTCCCACCCTGGGTGATTTTGTATGATGTCATAGGGTGGCAGAGAGGTTTATTAGGCATATCATTGGCTTTTGTTTACTGTTGGTTTATATTCTTAATAAACTTCTCTCTGTGCCAAAAAGTAAATTGTGTTTTATTTGTGTCAGAGGGTGTAGTTGGGGAATCACATGCCTCACTGAAAAGCAGTAGAGTCAATTGACTGACACTGTCCTTACTTATAGGAATGGCAAGATTTTAGTAAGTACATGTGCTTGTATACAAGACTATAAGTATACTACAGAGGTAAAAGATATTGCCTCTCCTAAACCAGTATACTGAGAGGGCATATCTTGACCCTTTCAACTTTTAAAAGTGATTAACCTTCTCCCTTAAATATCCCTTCATTATCTTGCAAACAGGTAATGAGAATACTCAAACTTATCATGTACAAGTTGTTATGTTGATCTTAAACACCATATTCCTGTCACTAATTTACAAGGAAATGAGTAGCTGCTTGAGGGAAGAATTAACTATTGGAACTTGGGAGTTAGGGGTTAATGTAAATCTCTCTATATCAATACGATAAACAGTTGACAAGAATTACACTGGAATTACTAGGAACTAAGAATTTGTTATATTCTCTGTAGGGAATTATAACTTTTCACCTTCTAATATTCCATTTCATGATTACTCAAATGCTTAAATTTTAAGGAAGTAATCTTTAAAGAGAATAGCTATTCAAAGTATTTCTCAGGGAAACTACTTTTAAATGCAGATGCAGTATAAAATACATCAGCATATCGATCACAATTAAGGAAAACTTCATCATTACAAACCTCACAATAGATGTAAAGTGCTGAGTTCCCTGTAATGTTTTTATTGATGAATGCCCCACTCCATACACAACGATCACCACAAAAATCCAATTTTGATCTATTTTCCACTGCTTTTGCACAGTAAAATCTGCATTTCAAAGTTTGCAAAATAATTAGTAAAAAGATACTGCCACTGCTCTCTCAAGTAATGTTGCTACTCTTCAAAATCTTTTATTCAACTTTTTAAAATCTGGTGTTCAAATTGATATCTCACTGGTGGGATATTGAGTAATTAACGCTCAAAGAGAAATTCCAAAACCTATGCACCTGTGTATTATTCTCCACATAGTTTGATAATAATTTTCCAATATGTTTATTGAAAGACCTTGTAAAAAGTATTTAAGGGTTACTGTTGCTAAAATAGTGACAAAGGTCAGGGTAGCAATCTCCACAGAAGAGAGGAGATCACCATGGCAACCCATACATGGCCCTCCTCTAGGTACCTGTCAAGTGAAATGTGGTGTGTGCAATGAATTCCTACCCAAAATGCAAGCTGGATCAGGGAATTGTGGGAGGGAGACAAAGCTAGTAAGGTAACAAAGCAAATTGAGCAAAAGCACATAGCAATGCCTCCCCGGAACCCCTTACATCACATTGGTGAAACCCCTGCATTGTTCTACCTCGTTCACTATTAAATTTAACATCTCAAAAAATACCGTGATTTTTAACTCCCCGCAATGAAATCCAAAACACCGATGCCTGTGACGTTGTAAATGTTTCATTAAGTTTCAAAGTACACATGTATTTCAATCGAACTAAAAATACCTTTCACTGGCTTCCTCGAGGAAAGGAAACTTCTCCTCCAGTTTTCTTTGCATATCTCTTGATGAAGTGCTTTTTGTAAACGTTACTTTCTTTGACTGTCCTGATTTCTTTATGCTAGACATGTCGAGAGTAGTTTTGGGCATCAACACAACACCATCCATTTCACAAACCTGATTACTTCTCAAAACAACAACATTTTTTGTAATCTCTTCATTAGGACCTTTCCTTCTCTTCCTTTTGGGGAGAGGCTCAACAAACGGAGACGTCATGTTCTGAGGGTACACAAAATTTACAATGAAATAGTTAAATATAAAATATACATTTACCACAAGTAGAATCAAAAGTTGTGAAGAAAATAAAAAAAAATTGTTATAAGAATAAGAAAACAAGCAGTGAACACATCCCAGAAATACCACAGTACAAAAACTACAAGAAAATCCTTCTACCAAATTCAAAAACCTACTTACATATCGCCTACTCTGATTTTAAGCTTACAGAGACCAACACTCAACATCACATTCAGCGCGTGTTTTTGACCATCGACCGCCCCTTTGGTGCCATAAAATCAAAGATGGCGGCCATAATTTTCGTAAAAAGAACACAGCATTCGCTCGCCAAAATTACGCCTGCTGTGCAGGCTAGGTATTAACAGACATGTCTCCCTAATCCTCTTAATCCACTGCTAAAACTTCTAACCAGCACTGTGGCCGACTAAGAGAGTTCTTTAGAGCAATATGATCACTGTCTCCACGATTTAGGTGCAGTCGCCCTTGCGAAAGCAACTGAGCAAGATCAGCTGTGTTGCTTCTTTCCAGCAAATTAATTTGCTTTAAATATGCATGTTAACTTTCCTATGTAGTAATGGCTACAAGAATTTGTAAAGAAAATATTATGTTTGAACTGTCTCAAAAAATGTATTGTCCTGGGGCCAGAACACATTCACTCACCGCCGCTTCCCCTGAATCGCGTATGACCGCGTTCGTCTTTGGTCGTGTGACTTGTAAGTTTCCCACCAGTTACTGAATAGACCTCCAACAAGTAAAATTTTCGGCTGGCTCAAAAACTCTGCAGCACCTTATAATTCGTTATCTGCAATAATTAGGGAGTAATGATACATCTGTCAAATCAAAAGAAGATCTTGCGATAGTTTTTGTGCTTTTGGAGTACTTAGTGATCATGTCACTGCTAGCACCCTTGAGTGTTAATTCTTTTGCTTTGTCGTTTGTTAGTCACATGGCAGTTGAAAAAAAATTTCTAAGGGTTTGTTAAGAATTTGTGGGGTTTTTTCAACGTTAAGTCTTTGACTCGAGGGCAGGCAGGTCGAAACCTCACACACACAAAGATGGAGCGACAAATTATAGTATTTGTTTGTCGATTCAGTTAAAGCCTTTCGACCGTGAGTTTTTGAAAGTTTGCCTCGTGAAGAATAAAGCCATAACCATACTGACAGATCGATCATTAAGATAAACAACACACGAAATTTCAAACATCTCTCAAAAACCAGGAGTACAACGTCGCAGATTTTATGTAAACTGGACAAAATAATCTGATTTGATTGTCGAGCTAATTAAGCTAACAGATACGAGATTCGAGCCAACATCTGTACATCATACTTCATTAAAGACATTCCTAGACACGGGCTTGGAAAATCGATGAACACTACCGCCTGTAACTTTGAAAAGAGTGCCCAGAACGCTTTGTCTTATCTAACAGTTTACACTAAGTATATCTATCAGAACATCATTTACAGTTATTTCAGATTATTACAACAAACATTCCCAATTTGCCTTTTGCAGCTCACCTTCAGCTGTAAACCATCTAATCGCCTTAAGCGCTAAAATGTGAAAAACATTGTCAACCTCATGGAAATCAACTTAAGTTGTTCAACTCTTTCGAACGCCCATGTGATAAGGCTTTTTATCCAATCCATTACGTCTTCGCGTGACTATGGAAGTTGACGTGACAATTAAGATTCTTAGAAGTTGGTCGAATCACGAGATGTTGTTTTAGTACAAAATCAACCGTGTAGCTTTAGAAATAATTCATTACAACCTAATGTTTACTTTCGGGATTTCATCATACCTTTTTAACAACTGTAGGTTTACTTACAAGGCGATAAACGTTTGCATAATTACGCATCTCAGTTCTGACGGCAACCAATTCTCCTACCAGTTCTCATCCAAGTTATTTCTGTTACATTCAGGTCACTTTTTATCTTGCATTCTACATACGCAGGTTAAAACGATTTCAGCCGCTCAAATCTGTAATTGAGTAAAGTATCCTCTAATGAAAGCTCACCATAGAGGTTTAAATTGATTCTTTGAGGAGAAACAGGGAGAAGTTTCGGTCACATCACGCGCGTTCTACCAAATTAACAAGCAAAATATAGTGACTTGCAAAGCAGTCTGAATGTAGTGACTTTGACGCAGCCAAAGATGTATTGAATGTCGTCTCCACATTTCAATCGGTAAATATTAAGGAATTAATTAAAAATATTGGAATTCACCTTCCTTACCAAATTTTCCTTGAGTTCCACCGCCGCTTATTTACGAGCCATAGAGAACTAAAATAGCATTCCTAATTTAGCCATTTTAACAACGTACATGTGACCTGTGACGTCAAACTTCCACGAGACGCTGCGCCTAACATGTCTTGTCGTCAGGCATGAGGATGTAACTGAATGCAGATAAAGCTACCCCCCTCCCCCCTCGCTCCTTTGTCCAATAACCAATCGAAACAATGAAGAATTTTCGAGAACAGAGAGGTCTGAACGTCATCCTGATGACCAAGTCCAACAAATCTTATGAGTAATGATTTTCCTACTATTCAGTGCTGGGGCACTTAAACTCGCGAAGACATCGGAAACCAAAGACCTCAGTCATTAAGCAGTCAATAATCAATCTCCCAGTCATTCAACTGAATGAGCCTCAAATAAATGAGACAAATGCAATTCCGGTTATGAAATAATACTGGGTCGAATCACTGAATTGCGCCTTACGAAATTTTCGCGTGCTCTCGATGGCTGGTCAAACTACGTCATTAATTATTTGTCATTGATGCTGCAGCAAAGAGTAATGCTACTCAATCTAACATGCCTACAAATACAAGCCGACAAGTGTGAACCGATCGTTATGGCAGCGACAAGAGGTTGAAACAGGAATCACAAAAGTAATCGACAGCTTAGTTGTAGTTGTCGGATATTTTAGAAATTTCATTGAAGGGCGCTTATTTCAATACACACAGAAATGCAGAAAATAGTCTTTTTCGATTGGAGTGCCCAGTTCATAAAGAGGAGTCCAGTCTGATCCGCGATATACTTTATCTGATGTATAACATTTCTACAAATGTTTGGTAGGAAATTCAAAATATACTTCCGCGTTCATAGAGCATATAAAAGAGTGTTAATAGAGCCTTCGTTGGAGGTGAACAATCGACAATTTGTATCACTAAATCATTCCCATATGTGTCAAATTAACAATGAACCGTTTCTTTCTCACCTTTTTTCATGCTCAGCTACAACTCTGATCGAGTACAATCATGCCGTCCAATAAACTCTAAAAAAAACTTTTAGAAAGTTATTGAGATCGATTACTTCTTCTGAACGTGCACGTGGTCAGGCATTCATCCAATTAGATTTGGTTATCACCTTCATTAATCGCGTGACTACTGATTTTCACATAGCGTGACATAACAGCACGCCGCTGTTGAGTATGGCGATTAATGGAAGGTTGTTTCCTTTACTTTGTAGTCAGGACAAAATAAAATAATTTAGACGAGTTGACCACCTAGAAAATTAACACTTGCACGATATACACACCACAACGGAGTCTATACATCCCACACACATAAGTCAGTCATTAAATGTGAGGTATCTTTTTTTTTTTTTTTCTTTTTTTTTTCGGGAGTCGGCGTCATATCGAGAAAAAATAAGTCCTGAGGGTTTGTCGAGAATTTGTTATATTTTGCGCCGTTAAGTCCTTGACTCGAAGACAGACAGGTCGATTCAGTGAAAGCCTTTCGACTGTGAGTTTTCGGAAGTTTGCCTCGTGAAGAATAACGCCATTACCATACTGACAAATCGATCTTTAAGATTAGCGACACATCAAGTTTCAAGCATCTCTCAAAATAAAAGGTGTAAAACGTCGCAGATTTTACGTAAACTGGACAAAATGATCTGATTTGATTGTCGAGCTAAGCCAACAGATACAAGATTCGTGCTGACATGTGTACAAAATATTTGATTGAAGACCTTCCAAGACATGAACTTGGAAAATCGATGAGCACTACCGCCTGTAACTTTGAAAAGAGTGCCCAGAACGATTTGTCTTATCTAACAGTTTACACGACTATACCCATCAGTGCATCAGTCACAGTTATTTCAGATAGTTACGATAAACATTCCCAATTTGCCTTTTGTTGCTCACCTTCAGCTGTAAACCATCTGATCGCCTTGAGCGCTAAAATGTGAAAAACAACCTTAACCTCATGGAAATCAACTTAAGTTGTTCAACTCTTTCGAACGCCCATGTGATGAGGCTTTTTATCCAATCAGAAGGCATTACGTCTTCGCGTGACTTTGGAAGTTGACGTGACAAGATTTTAAGAAGTTGGTCGAATCACTAGATGTTGTTTCAGAACAAAATCAACCGTATAGCTTTAGAAATAATTCAGTACAGCTTTATGTTTACTTCCGAGATTTCATCATACCTTTTTAACAACTGTAGGTTTACTTACAAGGCGATAAACGTTTGCATAACTACGCATCTCAGTTCTGAAGGCGACTAATTCTCCTATTAATTCTCAGCCAAATTATTTCTTTGTTCCATACAGGTCACTTTTTATTTTGCTTTCTACATAGCCAGATTAAAACAAATTCAGCCGCTCAAATCTGTAACTGAGCAAAAGATCCCCTGATGAAAGCTTACCATAGAGATATAACTTGATTCTTTGAGGAGAAACAGGGAGAAGTTTCGCGGTCACATCACGCGCGTTCTACCAAAGCAACGAGCAAAATATAGCTTCACACTATCTTAAAAAAATTACCTTTCTAACAACGAGGGGAGTACAGTTTTAGAGATCAGAGAATGGATTTGCAATGTCATTTTTTCCTTGTCTACGAAACTTCGCTGGAATGCACAAGGAACGCTTGCCTTGTGGTCAGTCATATTTTATCGTGAGGTGAAAAGCAGTCTGGATGTAGTGATATTGAACGCAGCCAAAGATGTAATGAACGTCGTCTTGACATTTCAATCGGTAAAGATTTAGGGATTATTGAAATATTTTGGAATTCACTTCTCTTACAGAATTTTCCTTGAGTTCCACCGCTGATTATTTACGAGCTATAGAGAACTAAAATAGCACTCCTAATTTAGCCATTTTAGCAACGTACATGTGATCTGTGACGTCAAACTTCCACGAGCATGCTACGCCTTACAAGTCTTTTCATCAGGCATCAGGATGTCACTGAGCTACCCCCCCCTCCCCCCGCGCGCCCCTTTGCTCAATAAGCAATCGAAACAACGAACAGTTTCCGAGAGCAGAGGGGTCTTAACATCATCCTGATGACCAAGTCCAGCAAATCTTATAAGTGACGATTTTCTTACTATTCAGTGCAGGGGCACTTAAACTCGCTAAGACATCGGAAACCAAAGACCTAAGTCATTACGCAGTCAATAATCAATCTCCCAGTCAGTTTAGAATAAGCCTTAGATAAGTTAAATTCCGACTATGAAATTATACTGGATCAAATCTCCGAATGTGCCTTACGAAATTTTCGCGTGCTCTCGATGGCAGGTCAAACTACGGCATTAAGTATTTGTCACTGATGCTGCTGCAAAGAGTAATGCCACTCAATTTCACAAGCCTACAAATACAATTCGACAAGTGTGAACCGATCGTTATGGCAGCGACAAGAGGTTGAAACAGGAATCGCAAAAAGTAATAGACAGAATAGTTGTAGTTGCTTATTCCAATACATACAGAAATGCAGAAAATAATCTCGTTCGATTGAAGTGCTCAGTTCATAAAGAGGAGTCCAGTCTGACGCGAAATATACTTTATCTAATGGATAACATTTCTAAAAATGTTGGCTAGGAAATTCAAAATATACTCCCGCGTTCATAGAGCATATAAAAGAGTGCTACTAGAGCCTTCGTTGAATGTGAACAATCGACAATTTGTATTACTAAATCATTCCCAATTGTTTCAAATTAACAACTAACCGTTTCTTTCTCACCTTTTTTCATGCTCAGCTACAACTCTGATCGAGTACAATCATGCCGTCCAATAAACTCTAAAAAAAACTTTTAGAAAGTTATTGAGATCGATTACTTCTTCTGAACGTGCACGTGGTCAGGCATTCATCCAATTAGATTTGGTTATCACCTTCATTAATCGCGTGACTACTGATTTTCACATAGCGTGACATAACAGCACGCCGCTGTTGAGTATGGCGATTAATGGAAGGAAAAGAGAAATAGATAGCACTCCTAATTACGCCATTTTAACAACGTACATGTGATCTGTGACGTCAAACTTCCACGAGCATGCTTCGCCTTACATGTCTTGTCATCAGGCACGAGGATGTCACTAAATGCAGATAGAGCAACCCCCCGTCCCTCGCTCCTCTGTTCAACAAGCAATCGAAACAATGAAGAATTTTCGAGAACAGAGGGGTCTGACGTCATCCTGATGACCAAGTCCAACAAGTCTTATAAGTGATGATTTTCTTCCTATACAGCGCAGGGGGCACTTAAACTCGCCAAGACATCGGGAACCAAAGACTTCAGTCATGAAGCAGTCAATAATCAATCTCCCAGTCAGTTAAGAATGAACCTTAAATAAATGAAATTCCGACTACTGGGTCGAATAACTGAATTGTGCCTTGCGAAATTTTCGCGTGCTCTCGATGGCTGCTCAAACTACGGCGTTATTTGTCATGATGTTGCTGCAAAGAGTAATGCTGCTCAATCTAACGAGCCTATAAATACAAGTCAAAAGTGTGAACCGATCGTTATGACAACGACAACAGGTTGAAACAGGAATCACAAAAAGTAATTGACAGAATAGCTGTAGTTGTTGGATATTTTAGATAAGTCATTGCACGGTGCTTATTTCAATCCATACAGAAATGCAGAAAATAATCTTGTTCGATCTTAGTGCTCAGTTTTTAAAGGAGTCCAGTCCGACGTGAAATATACTTTACATGATGCATAACATTTCTACAAATGTTTGGTAGGAAATTCAAAATATACTTCCGCGTTCATAGAGCGTATAAAAGAGTATTGATAGAGCCTTCGTTGAAGGCGATCAATTGACGACTCGTATCACTAAATCATTCCCAAATGTTTCAAATTACCGTTTCTTTCTCACCTTTTTTCTTGCTCAGCTACAACTCTGATGGACTACAGTCATGCCTTCTAATAAACTCTAGATGTTTAGAAAGTTATTGACATCTATCACTTCTTCTAAACGTGCACGTGGTCAGGCATTTATCCAATTAGATTTGGTTATGACCTTCATTAATCGCGTGACTACTTATTTTCACATAGCGTGACATGGCGATTCATGAAAGATTGTTTCCTTTCCTTTGTTCTTCACACTTTTCAACTGATACAAAAGACTATGCCGTAGATTTAAATCGACGACTATTGAGTAAGATGTTGTTGCTGTTATCGCTTAGAAGAAGAAAAAAAAAAAAGGAAAGGAAAAATCGTTCACATACCTTTAAGAAGATGAAGTGCGACTTTTTTAGTCAGGATTAAAATAATTTAACTTCGACAAGTTGAACACCCAAAAAATTAATTTTTGCACGACAAACACACCACAACGGTGTCTATACATCCCACATACATCAGTCAGTCACTAAGTGTGAGATACGTTCCTTTATTTATATTCGGGAGTCGGCGTCATATCGAGTATTGGTGATTGTCTCGTTTTCAAAGTACATGCTTCTCTGTTCGAGAAGATAGAAGTATATGGGATGTAAATTTCACAATTTTCTGTACGAACAGCAAAGCATTAACGGGGAGCAATAAATAATTTTTTCAAAGTTTATTACTTGTTCAGTTATATCACAGCACTAATTAGAGACACCCGGCAGATTCACTTTACAACGAAAATGAGAAAAAAATGTACAGAGGCAAACCACTGGAAAGTTCTCAGGAAATGCTCAATCAACGAATTCATTAGCAACTCAAACAAATTGTGTTAACCAAAACTAACATAATACTAGATTTAAATCATGGTGTGTCCACTATGGGATCATAACCTTAATGAAAGATAACAAAATGTCGAAACAATTACTGTATTTGATCTAATTTTCATATCATGTTATGGCCAAACGTGTTACAAATAACTAAATTATGCACAGTCTATTACTCAGACTACAGTAAACTATACCACAAAAAAACTTTTCTCTTTTAATAAGGAACTATCAGTACACTGCTTGGTCTATCCCATGCACTTCAAACTTAAGCATTTTTTATTGCCTGACTGGTAAAGACAATACTAACCTAAAGTCTTACATAGTAGTTTTTTGTGTGTGCATTAGGAATAATAAATTTCCTAAAACTATGTGACTAAAATATAAGGTTTACATGTAAGACTTTTGTTCTTAAAAAAATACTAATAACTGCTAATTTCTGGCTTGAAAGAAATAAAAATCTTCATTCTACTATCTGATAGTTAAAAGTTGAAGAACTCTATTAGTTCATACAACAATACTTCATAAACACATTATACCTTTGCAAAAATGATCAATCTTTGCTCAACAAAGAAGAATTTACTGAGTGGTATGCTAATGAGTAGAGCAATTAGCTCTCTGCTTTGCAATTTGTGAAATTATCCTCTCAGAGATAAAGCTTGGCCCTCAGTGAGTTGCTGTAAGATGGAACTTGAATGTAACTCTGCAAACCATCTCTTTCGGCTTTTTCAACCACACATCTGGTTACCTCTAGCAACATCTCTGTCAGATGGCTCTCCTGGTGATGTTTTCTAAGAACTTCCACAAGAGTCTGATGAGGACCAAAGTTAAAGATCAGTTGTTGCCCCTATTGACATTTGGGGGCCCTCCCAGTTCTAAAAAGCTTCGGTCCATAACTACTGGACTTAAAAAGGATTGATGAGTGCATAATATCTCCTTACAATATCAACACATTGGCACCTAAGTAGCAGTGAGAATTAGAAATTATCAACTGGGAAGGTACTTTCTTGATACAAAGGCAAATTATCATGTCAGTGATATGTAGCAGTCAGGAAAGAACTGGCAAATACGCAGCTTAAGAATGACAGCGTTGAGTGATTTATGTAGGATTACCTCTCCAATAATGACACCAAAATCTTTACCAAAAAAAAGTATCCTCTTAGCTGATCATAACAGTAAAATACCCAGTATGCAGGAGGACCAGGCCTTAGAAATTACAGAAACAAAAAGCTGCTAATAATAATAATGATGATAACAACAACAACAACAACAATAAAAAGCATAAATAAACATTTTCATACTCACCTGAATGAATGGTGTACCGTGATCTTCATCTCGGTAGGAATAATACCCAGGGGTAGTTGCAAAGGCCAATAAAAAATCAGCTTCTTGTGGGCTTGTCCCTCTTGAGAGGGTGGAGTCACCACGAAGCCTACTCACAGTGTTGTCAATATGACGTCTCTCATGCTCCAGAAATTCTGAGGAAGAACCCCTACAGACTTGAAAAATAAACACCTTGGGTTTTCCTTCAAGTGTTTTGCACCTTGCAGCTTTAAATTCGGACATCATTTCTTCAACAGTTATATTTCTTTGATCCACACCTAAGATAGTATCATGGTCTCCTCCGTGGGACATTACAATGACAAAGAGAGCATCAGATTCACTGTGATTCTCACTTGCTATGGTCCTTACAAGATCTCTCATATCACGTGATTCAAGATTTTGGTAGATTTCCACATCAAATGAGAGGTACTCAAAGAGGGCTTTCAGGGCTTGTTCATCAAACTCAGCACCAGGGCGATTGTAGGCTTTATCCTGGAATTCTGAGTTATTTATGATGATACACTTCCCTCGAGGGTTTCTGTTCATTCCATAACTTTTAAGAGAGGACCCTAGCAAAAACATTCAAAGAAATAAAAATATAAATCATGTGCCTTTCACTTAATACATTGTAGATCTCTTGGAATTCTCAAGGGCAATAGCACCACAAATTTTTGAGGTGAAACAAAGGGTTAATCATTTATAATTGCAATTAGCTCTGATATTCCGAGATACACCAAGTACATCAAGCCATATGCCAAATTATTTCAAAGGAAATAAAACCTGATGTTCATAAAAGCATCATTGTTTTCTTTTGCTCAATGCCCTCTTGGATTGATTGGGTAGTAATACTTTACAACCACCCATAGATAGTTGTTGTATTTAGTATAGGCAGTTTTTTCCTGGGGAACCAATTTCACATTAAAGCTTTGTTGGGGATTGACCCCTTCTCTGAGCTTGTTTCTTAGTTTCAACCAATATTGCAACAAAATTAGGTTATTTATTGTATGATCCACACAGCCTTGAGCAGGCATTAACCTTTTAAATGAATGTATCTTGGTTTGAACTGTTTGTTTTACATTCTTCCTTCTATTACAATTTTTCCTCTTTATCCTCTTCATATACTTGCCTTAGGGCTGAAGAGTGAACTGAGAAAATTAAAATGAGTCATAAGATTTTCCATGATAAACCACTCTAAAACATTTCATATTGATCAACTAGTACATATGAAAGAAAAATTACTTATATACCAGCCAAAATTCCATCAGAACTGTCTTGTCTTCTTCCAAGGGCAAATGGGCCTGGTTGGCTAATCAAGACTGCTTCACACACAGCATACTGTCGCTCAGAATCCCAGGATTCTGATTCAAGTCTACTTCCAAATTTGACCAGCAGAACACAATTACTAACACACTGATTGGATGAAGAAACCTGGACAGGTAATGGAACCTCCTCGACACCACCGCCCCCATTGCTCCGGCAGTTGTTCTTCAAAACACATTCCTCATCTAATAGGGTTTTAAATTTGATTTTTCTGTCCTCAAGTGTTGCCTCTTTCACACTGATGAGGGCACAAGCAGGACTGGGTTCATCTTCAACATCTTGATAGATCTTCAAATTTTCAATTTTAGCAGTAGGAAAGCCCTCTGCAATCCCTTGATAGACAACTTCTTTATAACCTGAACCACCAAATTGTAGTTGAGAAAGAATTGTATTGATATCCTGTAAACAGAAAATAAAGTAAAACTGGTATAAGATGGATTTATTCATGATAACTTGAGTCAGTTCAAAACTTCATCACATAACACAGTACTAAAAAATTCACTTAAACAGATGGGACCCACAAAGTCATAGTGAATGCTTAACTTTACAACACTTTTGCTGTAGAGTTAAATCCACTTTATGAGCACATATTAAGCCTCTGTTGTGTTAACATTGAAGATGAATGCCTGCTACCCTTAGTCAATTAGTGAAATTCATCCAAGAAACAAAGCATGGGGCAAACCAGTCATAATGGTGACACAATGGAAGGTAACAAACTTACAAGGGGCAAAAGTTTCAGCAAAACAGTATAATGGAAAGATTTCCATACAGCCCCATACTTCAACTACTGTAGTTGCAAAGGGACAAAAAATCCATTGTCTCGCACCTGTTTTCATTTATCCAAGTACTGCATACATAAGAAACTATGGGGTTTTACAGAAATCTTTGCCAAAAGCCATTCAGAAAACAAAACTCTGTCGTCTATGCTTCGTACAGATTGGTTTTGTTTCGCGTAGGTTTTGTTTACCTTACTTTCACGAGTACCTCCCCAGCAGACGGAATAATAATTCAAGGATTGTACTGTGGCGAAATGATGACATCTTGTGTTCAATGAAAGGGAACTGTGGCCTAAATACTGATGCTTTTACACTCAAACGTTGGCCAAACGTTAGGGTAATATCTACTTACAGAAGCGTCACACATCACAGGCAGTTCATTTACAAAATATTACTCACCAAGCTCTTTCCGGTATTCTCAGTGTAGCAAGGGTTGATAAGACCCTCACTTGGTCTTCTCTTGAAGGTGATGAGGGATCCCTGGGTAATGCTTCTGTGTCGAAGCTGTTCGTTTTTCCAAATATAACGTCCATCCTCGTTGTGTAATCGAAATGGATATCCAGTGACTTCTCCATTTCCAAGCACTTCTAAACAGTATGGAATCGATGTATCTTCTCTATAATGTGCTTTTGAGAGGCCGATTACCACAGCTTGACCGTCAGTAGCCATTTTCGAAGAGCAAAGCGGCACGAAGAGAAGACGCGATCAGAAACTATGGCGGATTCCAAATTGAGCGACGAGGTTCGATTAGCTTAACGTCATCAAATTTCGCGCTTTCTCACTGTAGCCAATCAAAATCAAGCGAATCCTCGTTTTCAAAACGAGACAAAGCTGGCACGGACTTGCTAGAAAGACCGCGGGTTGCTTTCTATTTTTATAGCCCTGTGTATCTTATTTCCAAGGGCCTTTCTTGAAGATACGAATAAGCTTAGTATAAAGCACCATCAAAATACTTGCACATGACGAAGCTGGCACCGGACCTGACGCAAGGAGAACTTCATCCTCATTTTCAATCCCATTCGTCCTGGAGAGAACAGCTTGCTGAGTCAACCAGTCCCGTCTCCTAGGCGCATCCAGAGAAGACTAGTCCACAAGGCACGAGGCAATTAAAAATCGCTTTCGCCAGAGAACATTGACCTTTAGCGCTAGCCAAAAGAATCGCTGCTCAGAGCCGAGATCTCGGCTTTCCCGGCAGCTGGGTGTACTTAAGCAATGCTTTTTTTTTTTTTTTTTTTTTTTTTTTTTTTTTCCAACTTATTTCATGTCAATAGGTCGCCTTTACGCGTAGATGTATCAAGGTCTGAACTTCTCCCCATCAAAAGAAGTTAATTCAAATACCGGTAGTTTTTGATTAAGGAACAGATTGGGACGATAAGAGGGCGTGTGCGTGGATAAAATTTGGGTTCGGAAAGTCTCGAGTTTTATATATTTTTTCCTTCTTTTATCAGGCCTTCCACAGATTTCCATTAGCATGTCGATTTTCTTTCACTTATGTAGCGAGGCAGCAGTTTTTTCTTACGTTTTCTTTTGAAATTTTGCGCGGTAAATTGGCGCACGGCCGGCCAGAATTGATCCCCTCGCACATGCCCTGCTGTGTGTCGGTGTAAACTCAATTAATAGTCATAAACTGGCCGCAAGAGAATAATTCACGCTCTTGGTATCTTCTTGGTAAAAGAGTATAAATAATTATCATAATTAGAGTGATAATGACAATGACAGCTTCCAAATAATAATAAAAAAATCCAGGCACTTGATCGATAACTGTTGTTTATTTGTTCATTCATGTGTTTGTTTATCCACTTAGTGCTGGTTATATTAACAATTTGACCTAGCATTACTTTGCATGTCGGTATTAATATTGTAGCTTTAATCATAACCATTGCAATTTCCTCAAATGTGATTGATGCATTAGCTGCTTTATTATTCACTTATCATTCTGTAGAGTTGTAATCGGACAGTTGGCTGTAATAGGACAGTTGAAGTAGCCAATCATACTACCAAGTCCACCCAGCCAAAATTTACCAATCGCAAAAATTATCACAATAACTATAGCAACAACTACTCATCCTAAAAAAAGAAAACAGAGTAATTTCCAAAATGGAGAAACTTTTTTCATTTTAGACATCGTCTCTACCAGAGATATTTGACCTAAATGTATGTGTTGTTTTCGGAAATTGTAACGGTTATGATAACTTGGTAACAGGACTTTTTGTCGTCCAATTCTGTTTGTAATCATACTCGTCTGACAAATTGGACTCCCGCTGCGCGGTTGTCCAAGTTTACTCATTAATCGTATGATCGTATGATTACAGATCGAACTGGAGTCCACTCGGTCCTATTACCATTATAAATTAGTGGTTTATATAGAATTGTTCATCCACGACCATTGATATTGCATAAACAAATGGTAAAATAGGTTCTGGTGATCGGTCTTATCCTGTCCAATCTCCCAATTTTCGCCTCCCCACCCCTCTCCCCGTCAAAAAAAACCTTTCATAAAATCACACTCACTCTCTCCTTTTCCGCGATTTCCTGCCTTTGAAAATTTCTAGAAAGCGACCTGTCACCGAAACTTTAAACTATCAAATTTCTCACTTATACTTATCAGATTAATCAAAATCTTGCTAAATCTCATCTTGATGAGTTTTCTGAACTTTTTGGGCCTTTCGAGCATTTCCTGCACGAGCATGCGTATATCACTTCCACCAGCTTGTCCACTTGATTGTGCTCCTTTCCAGGACATTCCAGACTCACTTTGGTCCAGCTTTTTAAAGAAGGTTTGCAGAAATAGCAGTACTTTGTCCTTCTTCTTGCAGACCTCATAGGGAAAGTTCCAGGTGAGTAGTATGAAAAACACTGGCCGACACATGCTTTGTTCTGAATGACTTTAGTTTCGCAGCCCTCCTCTTGAATAGATTGTTCGATATCTGTAGCCATGCACCAGCTTGTCTTTAGATTGGAGGCATGTTGGAGAGTTTCAAGAGATTTTTTTCGAGCAACTTTCTTCAGCTTTCGACCGCTTTTTGCTCCGGCGTGATTGGTTTTCGAGCAAAAGAGCGCTAGCATGAAAGTGAGAACAAACCACTTTACAGACATCGCTGATTAAATCTGGAAGTAAGAGAGAAATTATTAATGCTTTCACTCCAGTGATGACTAGCGTAACTTCTCCCTACAGAACCAATACAATGTCCAGCAGAAGGTTAAAGAGAATTGATAAAGCCATAAGCCTGAGGGCGTTCACTTGACAACGCTGACCCCATTTAAAAAGATAATCCCAAGTGTCATAAGTTCATCTTGTTCCCACATCTCAATAGGCCTTCTGCATGTTTACGTCAGAATACAGTTTCACCCCCAAGGTGCAGACGGATGAACTTTTATTAGGGAGTAATCCCAAGACACCAAAAATTAAAAAAGTCGTCACACGTTTACAACAAGAAAGCAGCCAAGATTCATTAAGATTGAAATACGAACGAAGCTGGGGGAGAGAGGAGGGTGAGTTTTCAGTATATGACGCCATCGTGCAGAAGATCTAATATGTGACGCCACTTTGACGTGGAAGGTCTGGTTCGAGTCTAAACTTAAATTTTGTAAACGCTGACGTCACTATTGTCAACTCCTCTTTCTTTACTTGTCTTTTTTATTCTTTCTATGCTAAACAGAATAGTTTTACAGGCATTAACAAATATAAGGAGAAACCAGTGTGAAGTAATTAGCCATGGTAACTATAGAGCTCGTCCCCAGACTCTCTGCATTCTCGGCGACCAAAAAGACCGCCACATTGTCGGTTCACTTTGACTTTTGCCTTCTTGACACCGCTAAAGGGCTACATAAGCGAATATCCCGTGATGTCATTTTTTGTTTGATAATAAGCTTAATGATCCAGTAAACAAACAAATACAGCTTAGCGCCATACGAAATTTAGTTAGATGTGACAATTTTGATAGGGCAGAATATTGACTTCCTGAAAACTGTTGAAACTGATAAAACTGATAGGCTCCGGGAGAAACTAGTCATGTGACGCTTTCAAAAGATGTATTTGTGTATATACGTACCCTAGATAAATTTTGCCCCAACTTGCGTGCGTATTGAAATATTGGATGAACTTGGTGTCTCAATATTGCTCAACAGCAATTGTGAAGTGGTTTACAACAATTGTAGAGGTAAATAGGAAGGATTAAGGAGTGAGTTGGCACTTCGCCAGAACTCTAATAAATTACTGGATAGTTTTGTCTTATCTTACATTTATTTCTTTGCAACTCAATTCGTTCAATGCGCACTGTAACTTTACGGCGAGGCAAACTTTCCAAATGTTTCAGAATAAGCCTTTTCGACTGAAAACTTTGTCGACCAATATCGATAGAATCACTTTCTTTATATTTGAAGTGGAATGACCGCTTACAGGAATTTTATTGAGGATTCCATATTTCTACACGATTGGAATTCTTTGGAGTATTCCAAAGGGAAAGCTTCAAAGCTATAGGAACAGTCCGCATTAGATTTATGCTCTTTGAAACATCAGTCATCCGGTTTCATTCGCTTCTGTGTGGTCATTTGAACATAGAGCTATGTAGTCAGAAGTAAAATAAGCCTACTACTGATTTATTTCGTTAACTCGTGCAGTTTGCATTAATAGCGAAGCCCGATAAATTCCGAAGAGGTTTTACCTACTTTCCATTTTCTGATATTGTTCCAGCCGAAATGATCTTTCCAATTTTAAACCAATCCATTGAAAGTAAAATCCTTCTACAATAACTACTGAAAAGTTTAAATACCAGAAGAGTAACGTACTCAAAATTATACAGCTGTTTACAAACTTCTTAAAAGGACTTTAAGAGCCAGGAAAGAACCCCTTGAAGCGCGGTTAACTTCTTGAGGCGAACCATTCAAACGTTGACACAAAAGCTTTGATAAATATTTTTTTGTTAAACTTATTTCCTTTTTCAAGAAAATAACCTTGAAAAGTTTGCTTTACTTTGAGTAAAGTGCGCAGATTTGAGATTCGCACCGCTCTTGCCATGGGTGAATCTGCGCTGATACAAACAATACTTCTGCAGAAACGATTTTTCAATTCATTTGTCAAAGTTTAACAAACAACTGCACCCACGCGATTCATATCAACTATAAATGATTTGATTTCAACGGAATTGTCACCGACAAATGCTTACCTGTGTATCTTCTGAGGCGTAAATGGCAGTTTAGATGGGCGGCGTTTTTTACGTTTCCACCAACTAATTCTGACGGCAGCAGTTCTCCGCCTTCAATGAAAAATTTGATCAAGCGAGTTGCTTTTATGATGTGTCGCCGTCCTCTGAGTTCTTATAAATATATTGGCTTGTAACATCTTCCGATACAGCTTACTTGATTAATGAGTCTTAAAAGTGATTATGAAACAGCAGATATAAGTGCTTTCCACTCAGTCGTCGGCGTAAATTTGTAACTTTTATTGATCAGCCGGCCTTGTTTACTACAAGCTGATACAAAGGTTAAGGAATGAGCAAAACAAACTCGTAAGGTTCACTTACAGCCGCTCAACCACGTGTTGTTGCTGGCCTTGACCGGCGCAGTGGGGGACGTCAGGTTCTCCTGTGATGACGTAAATCCCTCTCACTCCTCTGAATTGCTAGATAATGGAACCAACTATCAGAAACTGTTATCATCACACGTGAGTAAGCTTATAGAAAAGCTACGAAACAAACGAAATGCTTGTTTATCCCCTGAAGTCTCAATTTTTCCAACATTTAAATCAGTGAAAAGGCGTTCGTTTTATGAGAACGAATCACTGTTGGCAATCCTTTCCAGTATTTTGGTGTTCAAACGCTTCAAAATGCCAAAAAAACAACAACACTTGGTGAACATATTAGCTCTACTATAGTTCCTTAAAAATGTAGTTTCATACCCACACTTATTTCGGTAAATGACTCCCATGCTTCCCAGCTAAAGATTGCTTTGAACTTTTGTCTAATCTTCTGGTTATGAGTTAGTTAAAACCCCAACTAAAGAACTAATCTCAAAATCTAATAGGTGTGCTCTTTATGAATGTAAAAAAATTGTTCTGCGAACCGAACAAAACTCCTCAACAACATGTAAATATTTTCCCAACCCTCACCAAATTTAGATAACTTACACCTTGAGATAAGAATAGTCCATAAATGTCAAGAAATTATAAATAGCAATTAAAATTAATTTCGATCGAGGAATGATCAGTCAAGTGACGATTAAGAGGGCAACGGTAGAAAAAGCGCAAACAAGCGTTCCTTTATTTGACCTCCTGGCTCTGAAATTAAGGCATATTCCCTAAAATAGAAATATTTTGAGCTTTTTTAAGTTCTCCTGGACTAAGTTTATACTTGAAGACTCGCTTGGAGGTTGTTCCCGCTGAGTAATGCACTTCAGGCACGAAGTCTAAAAAAGGAAAAAACTGACCTGAAGTGCTTCTGAATGTACACAATATTGTATATGGGTGCATGAGTCGACAAAAAGTCTAAGCTAAGACTCAGCCCATTATCCTAAATACTGCGGAAAATACAAAGGAGATAAGATTGTCAAGAATTTGGTTTATTTTCCAACTGTATCCATTTTTTTAGAAGCCGGCTCAAGTGTGCCGAATGCGTACAAACCCTTGAGCAAATTGCAACCCAAGGACGTTCAATTAAGGGCTGTGGTCACGATTTTTTAGATGGTTTTCTAAAGCTTTTAACTACGATATAACGTTGCCAGGGTCTGTAAATCACAGAGACGGGTTGACAGGACAAGCAAGTATTACATTCCATTAGCCTGAGATTTCAGCAGTATCCTCGCCTCAGTACCCCGATTTAAGGAGGGTACCTCCTGCCCGAGTGTTCCTCAGAAGATTGGGACGCGCAAACGGCCAATACTCTCACGCAAACTGACATAACTTTGAGCGTCTCGATGAGATGATGGCTTTTACCGCTAACGGTTAAAATTTGGCCAATTTACGGCTGACGGTTAATTCTATTAATTGTGGTAACCAGAACTTTTTTTTAAAGTTAACTTTTCTTACGACTAACGATTGAAATTTGTCAATTTTTACGCCTAAAAGCTAAATTTTTGGCCTTTTTACAGCAAGCAGTTAATTCCATTGAGGCCCTCTTACAGGCGAGCCGTTGTTTTTTTAAGATTGTACGAAAGGTCGAGAGAAAATAGTGCGTAGGAAAATAGGATCAATATCTGTATCTGGGCAACTGCCCACCTACCCCTCCCCTAACCCAACATTAACCTTAACTTGTTGTTAACTGACTGTCGTTGAGTTAGGGGAGGGGTAGGTGGGCAGTTGCCCAGACACTGATATTGATCCGGAATATGTTTGTCCATCTTCTGGTGGAGTGCCATTTGTTAGTGAGTAACTTCTTCTAGATTTCCGTTTCAGGTTGCCTGACAACATCTAGTTCCACTTAAACATGTTTATACCCCTCAGGAGAGAGAGAGGAAATGTTCGTTGGAGTTACATGTCTTTCCAAACCGAGGACACAACACGATGAGCCAGTCAGGGTTCTATCGCAAATGCAGATTTTCAGCTTGGAGTCTATGGTCTCAATTACAATTTGGCCATCTGGTTGCAGAGTGTGTTTATTACTTCGGATGAGGATAAAATCCTTGATCTTGAAGCAAAACTAGCAACATGCAAAGCCTACCCAGCTCATGATTACTTTTGCCTCCTTCACGGTCGGCCGGAATGACTGGAGATAAGATTTGTGTAAGGAAAAAAAAATGCGATCTTGAACAGCGCACAACTCTTACGCGGTATTTTTTAAGTTGCTAAATATCTTGGCTCGATGATCAGCCGCTGATCGAAAAATGAGCCTGCGCTCCTCCCCGAACTTCTGGATTGTTAAGACGTCATTAACCTTGAGTTGTTTTCGAAATCTTACGAACCTATTTGCTTTGTTCAGCATCACCTTACGTGAAAAAAAAAAGAGAAAAAAAATCGATAGCTAGAAGAAATCACGTCTTGAGTAAATTCATACTAATGGACTGGAGTCATCATGCAATCTTTTCTGCAGATATTGTAGGTTTTTTCAGGTAGTGCTCTTGGTTAGATACAAATTTAATCTTTTGTTCACATGTAATGTTTTCTGTTAAGATATGATCATGTGATGGTATTCTGATTTTCCTACAGCGCCTTTTTAACAGTCTGTTTTCAGATTGTTTATAACAGAAGCGCACATGAAATGCCGAACAGTGATAATTTAAAAGTTTTGTTGTCTCTTTGCGCAGAGGATGTAATGTCGAGCCTAGGTTATTTCGGCGCTGACAAGCCGAAATGACCCAGGGCTGGAGATTGTATGACCTCGTTTCCAGGGCCCTTACTCATCCTCCTCTTAGGAGGGAGGAAAGGAGAAGACCCTAAGAACGAGGTTGGAGATTTAAGTTGAAGGCCTTCTATTGCGCATGAATTAGTTTTTTTTAATTTCGTCGCGGACAGGGTTTGTTACTTTCGTATCTTGCCATAACAACGACATTGATCGCGCTACTGTACATCGTTAAAACAATGCTAAAATATATCAAATTCAAATCCGCCTTTTACAGTTATCTCAGGCGATAGTCACTCGCCTCCAAAATTGTAGAAAAGCGTCCGAAATCGGACAAGAGCGCCCGAATTCAAATGGTGATTGAACGATAGCGTCCTAAGTCGTACGGCGGGCAAACGAAACACTGTGGCGTTCAAAATCGTTAATGATATATGATGATATAAGTCGACAAAACAAAAAATTTTATGTGGTGACAGCATGTTTCAACAACGTAAGCCTTTCCTTTTTTTTTGCTTGCGCCAACTACCTTGAATCTCTGCAAATTTTCTAATCATTTCAGACAGGTTTTTTTTCCTGCTAAAGTCATTTCCCCCACCAATTTCATTTCAATAATATATATATATATATTTATATGTATTTGATTTCAATTATATATAAATATATATATGTGTGTGTGTGTGTGTGTGTGTGTGTGTGTGTGTATAAATTTGATATAATTTTTCCTGCGTTTCTTTGAATCTAGAGCTAAATTCTTACCAGTTTGTTCCTCCTCAACAGCAAACAAGAAAAATGAGCATGTATTGACAATCGATCATATTTTATGCCAATCACTGATGATCTCGTATGTTTTTTCCTCATTTGACGTAAAATCCTTACCGCTTCCTGATGAGTAAACAAAAGGAAACCTTTCTCTCTTTTACTAATGGCCACTTTCAGAGTTCTGAATATAGTTTTGACTGGAAAGGAACCGCGTTTATATTTAAGAAAAACGTACCTGGAAGCGGGTAAAGTTACACAACGATGTGTAATGTTTTTGATGAGGGATATTACATATTGCGATTTTTCTTGTACTCTTTGATACTCACAGATAAATAAAGTATTGAGTCGATAAAATTTTGTAAAATTTGAAATTTTGCAAACTTTTCGCACCACCTGTATTTTCAAAAAATAGCCAATTATTCAAAGTTTCACACTGTTCAGTTATTCGGAAGATAACTGAGGTAAAACCACCCTATTTTTTCAAAAACCCAATTTTCGTATCATTTTGATTTGAAAGAATACAAACTGTTTGGCTTGTTAATTTTATTTTCCGTGATCTGCAGTTTAAGATCTTCTCAATATTCATCTGAATTGGAACTGGTTTGTTTGAATGATTTTGTTCATTTGATTTCTTTCCCAAGCAAGGAAAATTAAATCGTAAATCGTCTGTTAATTAATTTAAGAGTAAAATACAAACAGACAAAATATTAGCCAGGAATTTATTTCACCTGCAGCAATTTGCCATTTTAACGGTTCCTTAGAAGTTCCGCCAAAAAAAATTTGATATCAACATTTTATGATCAAGTAAAAGATATTTCACCAATTACCGCACAGTTATTAAAATCACCCCAAGTAAAGAGCTTTCAAATTCACAGGTAATTCAAAAAAAGGAAAATAATTAGTGTAATTTATAACTTATAAGAGTAAAGAAGCGTTTAAAAGAATAGACTTCACCTCGAGAGACTCGCCATAAATGGTTCCTACGGAGTTTCGAAATGTAACATTCGAATTAAAATTTATTACGTGGCAAAAGGTTTATACCAATTACCGCACAGTGATTAAAATCACCACCATGTGGGGAGCTTTCAAATAAAGGTAAATGAATCGTGAACGGGAACGAAGAAAAAAAATGTGCCAGACATAAATTGTAATTACTCAATTAAGTTATTGTTTGAAAAGCACGTGCAACAATCAAAGGCTTCTTTTGGTTCAGTTTTAAAATTTATTTCAGTTTGACCTCAGGAATCATAACAAATAAATGGTAAATCTTTTACCTTTTTAATTCATGTCCTTTTTTTTTTCGAACTGAAATAATCCAATTAAACCCAGATAGCTTTTTTCGCATCAGGAGACAGCTTTCCCCGTCTCCGGGTTTTGTGTTTCATCAATACCTTTCAGAATCAGTTATGGACGTATTTTTAAGTTCACAGTTCATTTATTGTCCTCAATTATATAGTTACTTCATTGAAAAAACAGTGCTAAATTTTTTCTTAAGCAAACGAAGGATAAACGAGGCACAATCCATTTGCCAGGCCGAAACAATTGTAAGAATTAGGTTGAATAAGTAAAATTAGCGTCATAAACACCTTCTTCAACGAGGTTGTCGATCAAATGGCTTTATAATTCAAAAGGCTTTGCTCTCAAGTCAACAAATAAAAAGCAGGATGGGCAATATTTAACCAATATAAGAGGAACCAAATTATTCATCAATACTTAAATGCCATGACAATACTGATTAAAATTCGGAAGTTGTATTCGTCTGAATAAAAATTTCCCACGAGCTACATTTATCTATACCACAAACAACTCGTAAATCTTACTTCCCGGCCGCGTTTAATTGCTCTGTATTTTGGCGGAAATTAAAACAAAAGGCAAACTTAGGTTTTTGTTTCATTACTTGCTTAACTGCCTGAAGAAAATAACGTAAAATACTGACGATACGACGCATGCAATATATTCCGCTCGGTGGCGCAAAAACAGTTTTGCAAGATGGTGTCGGTGTGACGATTATAAACGAACTGTGACTGTCTGCAGAGTTCTCTTGAGGGAAGAAAGCGTCTCCAGCGAGTGGCGTATTGAATTAAGGTATTCAATTACTTATTTGTTCCTTCTCTTCTTAAAATGTGGAAAATATTTATTGTTTGAGTTCCGAGGTAATCGAGATATTTACGCTAGCTTGAGTTAAACTTGAACTATAGAGGACGAATGGATATTTGATCGTCGGGAAGCATTGTCAATGGCCCGCCAACTTAGAGAACAGAAAAAAAAAATGAAATATTCGAGTCTGTGAGTTATATGGACCTTTCTAATAACTTTGCTTCGATGTATACGTTTATTTCTCATACGTAGCCTTCTTCTGTAAGGAATATTCGTCATTTTCGCTCAGAAACCCTAAATTTGTATTTAAGGAATTCTCCTCTTGGTCATGAGACTAATATTGTTTTAGTCTATAATTATCTTTACGGCATATGCAGCCTTTGAATTTCCAGGGAGACCCCGAGGGATTTTCGGCAAAGGTATCTATTCCCCAACATGCCTCGGGGCATTCAGGAATAATCGATAAAGATCTATGTACTACCTCTGGGTGGACGGGGGCACAACTTGTGGGTACAGATTTTTGTAAAATACCAAGTGAACATTATGTTTGTCTTATGAGAAGGAAGACCAGCTCTTTTGAATTACATGAAATGATGATGCAATTTTCTTGAACTTTAAATGTCCCCCAATGTGATATTGGTAATTCATTTTTCGCCGCCGTTCCTAATCTTTCATTGCACTAACATTTGAATTTGTTTTGTGGAGAATATGGTTATTTTGTGATGAAAACATTTAAGACTTTTCTGTTGAACTAAATATCGCAAATGCCACACGTAATGGTTTTCAAGTACATCTTTCTTCGCGAAAAGGGTCTCCAGGTTGCTAAAGAGTTGCGTGTAAGTGCGGGTAGCATTTCTAATTAGCATATTCTCGTGATTGTTCCTTACATTAAACCTGCTTGCTCATCTGACAGGTTTCTTTTGCATCACGCATGTGGCCTGATCGGCTTTCTCTAAAATGATCAATTGGAAAACTTGGATGGTTTGGTGGTCTCTTTTATTTAGTGTAACAACCGCTGAATTTTTCACATCTCTGAGTCGGATAAAAGGCTTGGTTCGCTTGGAAAGCGCTCTGTCGAACTCTCTCGACAATTATTTGGAACAGATGTCAGAACCCCCGGAGGTTCTCCGACAATTCGCCGATCGTGTCAGGAAAGAAATGAAAATCGCGGCAGGCGATATCGAAAAATATGCCTTCCACCCGATCAATTCATTTCTGCTTGTGAGACGATTTGTACGACATTGGACGGAACTGGCGACCTTCCTCTCCGAAGGATCACCGAACGGTAAGGAAACAGCAGCAGTAGGTTGTGAGAGGATTAGCACTTCCCCCTATTGTCACCCAACTTATCCAGTGTGTTCATTCTGACGTTTTAAGTATAAATACTGTCAAGAGATGACAAAATTCAAAATCAAGATCTGCATGAGGGAAATTCTAATATCCTATTGTTTTTGTCCGGACCTTTATCGGTTAAAAAGATATAAACAAGTCGAAAAAACCTGCAAAATTAAAGACGAAAAAAAAAAAAAAAAAAAAAACGGTGCTGTAGTTTACCTCGACAGCTCCCTGAGCGTGTTCAATATATTATTTATGCACTCATAGAAAAAATCCCTACCATTTCCCCTGAGGCCGGCGATTACATGTTTTGTTATACCTCCCAACTCCAAAGTGCAGATCATGCAAATCAGTATGCAAATCATATACGAACCCTAGAACTGTTTATTTTTTCGACACTGGCTGGCACACAAGTCTCCCCACGGTTTCAAGGCACGTAACCCATGTCACGTGATATGTTCTCCTCCAATTGGTGAACTTATTTGAATTTGGAGATATGGAATTTGTTCGAATTTAGTTTCTTAGTCAGTCAGTTTTGCTGACTATGTCATCGCCAGATTTTCATCTTATAGCTATGCAGAGAAATGCTATTCCATGAATGAAGCATATGACTCAACGTTTTCCTTTCTTTCTGACTATTTTCAGATCTCTATTCCGAGCTCATGATCAACCGTCGAGCATTTCCCACCTCGAAAGACTTCATTGGAAGCCTCAACGCCATTCTGCGCATTCAAGAGGTTTACAATCTCAGCGCACGCGCACTCGCTGATGGAGATCTGCATCAAACAATACCAAGCAGGGGTCTGGGCGCTGACGAGTGTTATGAGTTAGGAATTGGTAGCAATGATCAAGAAAATTACGAGGGGGTAACAGGCTGGATGAAAGAAGCTCTTAAACGCATGAGCCCACCTTATGAATACAGCGGTGCACTCACAAAAATTGACGTGTTGGAATATTTAGCCTGGGCCGAGTATAAGGTGAGTTGAATAAAAGTTGTACCATAACTATCTTAGTTCAATGCGCTGGCCTCGTCAAGTGGAATATTTTTAGAGGTGTCACACTTCACCTTTTTTATATGTTTAATACAACTGAATATACAAATCAAAATCCAGCGGACTACCCATAAGTTAATGGTAAAAAAAAAGTCTAGGAACAAGGACACGTAGATTCAACTGTTATATTTGAGAGCATAAATCTTGGACAAAAGTTGAAACATGTATAAATTATGCCTCTTTAAGTAATCTCGAGGAGCACCGGTTGCCCTCTTAACTTCCTCCCTTAGCCATCTAAAAACTTTATTGTATTTATTTGTTTATTTATTTATTTACTTTTTTTTTGAAACCTTTGCTTTTATTACAAAATATAATTCTACAAAACATTCCTTACAATTCAAGACTCATTACGCTACTCTATTCACAGAACAATACTTACGATACTTACAATGTAGGTTACTCATGCTGGCAATACTGTACCGAATATGGTTACTTACAAAAATGTAATTACTTGCAATACGGGCTACTTACACTATTAATAAAAAAAATACTGATTATACAGTTACTTACAATACATTATACGGTATATTGACTTTAAAGAGGCAGGAGTACTTCTCAATAAAACATATAATTAAGGCAAATTTTCAAGTTTGTATTTAATGAGTAGCTTACCGATAAAATCCTGAAAGGAGATGGCCAGGCTATTTAACTTGACTGAATAAATATAATAGCGCATAAATAAGGCGGTGTAGTTGAATTTCCGTATTATTGTTGTGTCGTGGGAGCTTGTGGTAATACCGAACAAGGTCTCATCTGTGGTAGGAGAGATTTGGCACGCATTCACTTGGTTGAACCAGTTCAAGACCTTTTGGGTAAACAATCTGGTGAACATACATTCGATTAAAGAGTGCTCAATTGAATCTCTATCTCCGTAGTATACACATTCTGTGAATGTGTATACATTGATTGTGCAGCGGAAGGTGAATCGCTTGTTTGAAAATGGAAGAATTCATATGAACCGGATCGATGTCAATATCCGGCCAACTGAGCACCGACCCCTCTCCTAACTTAGAACCTGTGTCATTTTCTAAGCAAAATTGTCCACATTTTGTGAAAGAGAGGTACACGAGACATTCAATGTACGCCAGAAGTTAAAAGACTTTTGATCATCCCAGATTTCTCCTTTGTTAAATGTTGACAGGAGTCTTCTATTTTTGCAGGTGGGACTTCTTGAAGATGCAATCCTACACACAAAAGATATTCTTGAAGAAGGTAACTTTAATCTGGTGCCTTTCAACATTATAGAGCAAAGTCAGTATCAGAGAAGTTTCGCACTTACCCCTCCCCTAACCCGACATTAACCTTGGCTTGTTATCAGTTGACTGCTGCTGGGTTAAGGGAGGGGTAGGTGCACAGCTGCTCAGATACCGACATTGATCTATATTTGATCACCAAGGGCCACAGAGTGAAACTCATGTTAAGAATTTCTTCATCCCCAGATCCCACAAGTAAACAAGCTCATATCAATCTTGAACACTTCCAGGCCGAGGTGATGCAACGCAATACGAACGCAAGTCATTCGACAAGAAACAAGCTAGACAACAAGAAAAAGAAAAAAGATTTCGAGTTAAAATATGAACGCTTGTGCCGCGGAGAAACGCGAAAGGTTGGTATCAATTTTTTCTTTTACACAATGTTCGATTAAATCAAACAAAATAATCCTATGTGACGTTGAATTACCAAAGAGGCCTGGTGCACCGCTTTTGCTTTACTACGCTTTGTGATTGGTTACGAAGATTAGTGCCACCTTCCCAACCAATCAGATGCAAACAAAAACCAATCACAAATCGCGATATGGTCACTCACGTTTTCCCGCGCTTAAGTTGGTCGACTACTTTCACTTTGAATTCTCGTTGGTTCCTTGTGATGTTTTCTTTGTTCTGATTGGCAATTGTAGAAAAATTGAATTTGGATTTACGACATTCACTCGAAACGCATTTCTTTTAATCGATTAGTGGTGGTCGCAGCTCTCTTCTTTTCGAGACATCGGAGCATGGCCTCAGCTGAATTCCATAGTACACGTGGGCTGACTATGTCCTAATTTCTAATTTGTGTGATAAATGTTTTATTTGCAATTTGCAGTCTCAGAGACAAAGAGACAAACTGAGTTGTTACTACAATAGAAATCGTCCAACACAAGTGCTGAGACCAGTTAAAGTAGAAACTTTAAGTTCGGATCCACACCTCTATCTGTTTCATGACGTCATCTCAGAGAGCGAAATCGAGCATATAAAGAAGCTAGCCAAGCCTCAGGTAATAAAATGCTTTTTTTTCCCTTTTAACCATTTTCTTTAAACAGAAATTCATCTCCAAACCTGATTCCGGAATATTTGAGCCAACCATTTTAACCTAAGAAAAAAAAGTTATCGAACAATTTTTCTTAAACTTTCCTTAAATGTTACTTACCAAAGTTTGCTTCGAAAAATACAATTTAAAAGCTAGGTCACCGTGCTTGTTTAAGAAATATGATGAGACAAAATTACCCCACTTACGTCTGCTCTGGCACTAATCACGCGCGTCATCAGTTCACAGTACATTTTGAGGTAGTTGGAAGCAAGGATGTTTAAAGAAACATTTTTAAAAACTTGATAGGTAGAAAGTCTTAAGTAAATGGAACAATTTGATATATAATTTGTGAAAAAATTACGCAGTTTTAAACGACATCGACTCAAAACGTTCCTTGAGTCGTTGCTATCAAAGTCATAGTTTGCATCATTGTGTAACGGGCTTTGTGGTCGCTTTTCTTTGATTGGATCCTAGAACTCGGAACTTCACCCGGGAGCCTCCCTACTGTTAGATGTACTCGGGAAAGGACTGACTTAGGGGCGTAGTTTGGGAGATAGAGGCTGCTATTGATGAGTTAACGTTAACATTTGATAAGAAAGATTCATCTTTTTTAATAAGTGCTTGTCTTTTTAGTAAGAGGAAATTATCAGTAATATATACCGTAAGACAATGACCGCCTATAACAACCTTTCTCTCCTGATCAAGCTCAAGAGAGCTTTTGTCACAAACACAGATACTGGAAAAGAGTTTAAAGCAGACTATAGGATAAGTCAAAGGTAAGAAATGGCTTAAAAAAATTTGGAAGAGTTCAAAGAATTAAATTCTTGAACCATATCACTCCATATGCGCTCAAATGAGTTACTTTCTCCCCAGTAAGCACCCCTGCCCTATAACTCTGTGATTAGCCCCCTTCCCTCTCTGATAAGCACTCCTCCTGACTCTTCGTACCAAATATATTTGGGCTGAACAGCGTTTCAGCATGCAGTACAACTCGTATGCCTTTATTAGTTTCTGTTCTGGGTTCGCCAACCGAAAAAATGCATGTCGTTCTCGATATTCATAAAACTAAGTGACGCTCTAGTACTGATTTTGTCAAGAATGATACGAGCCTATATTTCATTATAACTCGCACATTGGGATATTGGGTTGCGGGTAGATCAGTGATAAGCCTCCCCTCCTCCCCTCCATTAATAAATCCCCCCCCCCACCATCCAGTAGTAATTATAGAAGTTAGAGTAATCTTTCTTTCTTTCCAACTGTTTGTCTATCAGCGCCTGGCTGGACGACAATGATTCTCTTGTAGTAAGGAAAATTAGCCAAAGAATTCAAACTACCACGGGTCTTTCTCTAGATTCTGAACACTCAGAAGCATTACAGGTAAGATTTTGCATTACTGCTGAGATGAAAACTCTCTGTGACTTCATTTCCACGGTCCTCTGAAGGAAAGAGAGGACTCAGGCTGATCTTCTTAGTGTTACAGTCCCAGAAATCCATGCGCACTACGCAACAAAGCGTCAAGGAGAGGGACCTGGGACGAAGCAGTTAAAAAGCCGCGGAGGAGTGTGTGTTTTAACTTTTCAAATTAGGGCAGCCAAAAAAAAAAAAGAGGCCGGAGCACTCAGGAAATGGGGATCAGAAACGCTCAGAAATGCTGACTTTACCTACAGAATGATTTGCCTTACTTCGCTTTGTGATTGGTCTAGAAAACTCGCGCCACACTCTCAACCAATCAGATACAAAACTAAAACTAATCACCACTTTGATTTGGAAAACTGAAAAATAGCGTTAACTCTCAAATGAAGGCAAACGATTCTAATGACTTTATCGATGTTATTGCTTACAAGGTGGCGAACTACGGTATGGGAGGACATTATGAACCACATCACGATTTCCTGCAGGTTAGTTGTAAAAGTAGCTTGATTGATTAATAAATTTATGTGTTTACCGAGAGAACTGGTTCGAGTGTACCAATTCAAGCTTTTATAAGAAAAGTCAGTTTTCGGACGTGCAATGTAGCAGTCCGAATTGTTAAAAGAATTGCCCGCAAACCCGCAAAGATCAACAGGAAATAACAACAATAATAAAATAAAACTAAACAGCGAAAAAGTCAGCCAACTATGGAAATTTTTCTTTTATGCTCTGCCCCACCCCTACCCCCAAGAGTTTCTACTAAGTTAATAAAATATTATTTTTTTTTGTCATCAGAATCCAGACGGAAGCCTTCCTGTTGACGATATTGACGGTGACAGGATAGCTACAATACTGTTTTATGTACGTTAGTTATGCCGACCTTTGAGGGCTTATTGAAACTTGGTTAGGAATGTCACCCCCCTCTCTATTTCGTCTTAAACTTGCTTAAGATTAAAGGAATAAGCGACCAGCAGTTCTCCATTGGCAGTCTGGCAGGCAGAAACATGTTCAAATGTCTAAATCTTCCATCTCCCTAAGATATGATCTGTAAGTATTCTGTTAACAACCCTTCGAGGGGGAATTCCCGTTGTCATAGACTTTGCGGGGATATTGACAAAAAAAAGGTATCTGTCATGAGATGTATGTTAAGAGGGAGTACCCCTTCCCCCTGGGTAAGACCAGGCGATCAACTAATCAGTGAACTGATATCTTTCGCATCTTTAGATGAGTGACGTGGAGGCAGGCGGTGCGACGGTCTTCTTAGATGCTGAAGTAATTGTATATCCTCGAAAGGTTTGTAGTTGCCAAGGCCCTGTCTATTCAAAGGATGAAAAAGTTACGTTCTGACAGACAGCTCTTTCTAAAGAAACTGCCTTCTATTCTGCTTCGTTCAGTCGTATTTGTTTAACTAGTTCAATCAATCATTGACCAGGATTAAAGAAGTATCTTTTTTTACGGATTTATGCCTTTTTAGGGTGACGCAGTATTTTGGTTTAATCTTAAAAAAGATGGTACCCCTGACGTCAAAACGTTGCACGCTGCCTGCCCTGTGGTCATTGGCTCAAAATGGGGTAAATGTGCCGTCCACACCTCATTCGGTAGTTTAACATAAAATACGAGCGGATAGTTTGCAGGTTGAGTCGGTTGTAATTTTAGCAACGATCAAAATGTCTTTGCGTATTAAATGTTAAATCATCAAAAGAGGAAGTTATTGTTCAACAACAGTTTAATTTTCTAACATTTTGACTGCAAGTTTGCGAAATAGGCCAAAAGCCTTATACGATCACATTTATGGGAAAAGTCTGATCTCCGGTTTAAAATGAAAATTCCCACCCTCTCCCCCTCCCCTCCCTTCATAACTTGTATCAATGGTGGTCGTCGTTTTCAATCAAAATGTTAGTCACTTGCGGCCCGTGAACGCAGACAGATTTCCGGAAGCGACAACTAGAAATGCCGGTACGTCTACACGCGCAAGCTCATTTCTGGAAGCATTGTGGGTGATTTGAATGGAATCTTGTGGATTTTACTGTTGAAGCCTTCTTCAGAAAAAGACGCCTTTGGCAACTGTTTTTAATTGCTCCTAAAATCCCTTTTTTGTTTTGTGTATGTAGTTGCTAACAAATGGATCAATGAAAGAGGCCAGGAGTTTCGCCGACCATGCACACGAACCTGAAAATTCTACAATTTTCTTTTGTTACGCTTTCTTCTTTTAAACACAATAAACAATGTTTCCAAAGGTCTTGTGCTATTCGCCTCATAATTTTTACTTGTTTCTGCAATTAATTATCAACTCAAAAGCAGTTGGCACCTCTAACCAGACAGGCAGGATTTTCCAACACTAATATAGGGTATTACGCTTATCTCGGGATGACTTCCTTCTGTGCCCTGATCAAACCGTGTAACTGTAACTTCGCCGTGGAAGGTCTAGGTACCAGACTAATCTGTCCCCACCACCCCACAAAAAAAGGGTAAGAAACAACAGAACTAGCACTGTAACAAATGAACCCGTGATCTCAACTTAACGAACGGTTGCTAGAAATAAAAGAAAAAAAAAGAAAGAAAATTTGGTTTTATCAATTAAGTTGATAATGTACATTGACCACTGTAGAGAACCTAAAGCCAACTATTTGAGTGCTAGCCCTGGATTACATTCTCTGATCAAGAGCCATCATTCAAACCCTCAACCTCAGAAACTCTCTATGGAGGCGACTTCATCTCATCAACTCAGTTGATAACACCAAATTACCTTGAAATGCCCTTCCATGGATGGAGCACATTAGTTTCTTCAGAAACTCACCCTCCCTTGTCACCCCCCTTCCCCAGGTTACTTGCCTCATTACCCTAACTTTCTTCATGTCATGAAGCATCATTTCATCTCCCACTCCCTCCAAAGAAACATCCTTTGGCAAAATGTTTTGTTTGTCTACCCTCCCAAGCCAGAGAGTGACCTGTTGACTGTCCAGAACTTATTAACCTCTACTTTGAGCCCAACCAGACAAAGCAAAATCTGATATACTCCTCAATCATTGAAAACTACTTTTGACTACATGAATGAAGATGAAAAAGAAATCCAACCTACAAATATTTTATGCTCAAACATCGATAGTCATTGCTCACTATTTCAACCTCACATAGACACCTTTCTCCCCTCAGCAGACTATAAGTCCTCATGCCAAAACATGTAAGTTTTTGAACTTTCTCATAGTATTAAAGAATCAAGCACCCTTATGCAAACCAGAAGTTTATTGCAAGAATCTGTTTCCTTGTTACTCCAGAAAACCTTCTGCTAATTCAATTAAACCATGGCAATATTAAAGCAAGAATTCTGCAGTCTTGAAAAAATACTACTCATTTCACCTTCACTTGGACTGAAATGACAACAATATCAAAGAAACGAAACCTTGGACCTGCAAAAGCAGTACACCATTGGCTACTATGGTAGCTTTAAGCTTTCCTTTTAATAGTCTTTTGTTTTGTTCTACCCGAAACAATGGAAGAGTTACTTGTACTGCAATAGTTGAGATTAGTTACATTTTCAGAAAGGAAACTGCTCACTAAACCTATTATCATTGAGAAGCCAAGTGCTTGTGGTAAGGCTAGGGAAAGAAGGCATCCAGTAAAAAAAAAATTGTGCAATTGCTCTCTTAGAATGGTCTGTTTTATTGTTGGTTTTTTTTTAAATCTTATTTTTTCTTTCAATGTCCATAGCCTGGATTGCAAAAGGGTGTAGAGTTGTTTACTTGGTCAGCGGGACTACCTTGCTACCAATAACCATTTCTTCTCCCATGGCACTTAGAACAGTTACGGACACAATTTCACCATTTTCATGTTTGGTTCTTATTTCTTTCCCCACATCGTTCTCTGGTAATTTCAAGTCCTCGCGCACACCATTAGAATCATTCATCAAATGCAAATATCCATCACTCTGTATATCATTCACCTACATGGAAAGGGAAGAAAGTAAATACTTCTGTAATACTTCACACATTTCAAAAGCTGCTAGACACTGAATAATTAACCCATTCACTTCCAAGATCTTCTTAGTAATTTTCCTTACTAACTGCTATACAATTCTTATAATTTCTTTCCAATCTTCCATACCCTCCTGCTCTTTATGCACTTCCCTCAAAGTAAACAGTTCTCCTGTTGCGAAAGATTGGCGGGCTCTCATGCAGCCTAATTAAAATTCTAGGTATCTTAAAACAAACAAACACCTGTTTGACCCCTGGTTTTGAGGCACTTAAAATAAATTATATTTTATGTTGCCATTGCAGGTAACTGATTAGACACAAGATTGTGATTACTAGCACTAGATTAAAGGCAGGTATCACAACTTAAGAACCTAAAAAACCCACCAAAGTTTACACACATGTGACACAATCCTTATAAGCTTCACCACCAATACACCCCCCTCCCCCCTTTAGGAATAGAAACAAAAATTACCTGGTAGTCCTCACGATTGACATTAGGCACATTCATGTTATGAGTTGAAGGACAGATGTCTTCATACTTCTTGCCAGTGAAGATATCAAGGCCTACCAAATGAACCTTTAAGAGACAACAGTGTGTTGAGCTTTCACCCTCTACACCCTAACATAAGTGTGCATATTCTCCTCACTGTGCTGATAAGGAGAATTTGTTTAACAATCAAGAGCTTCTTCAGTTAGTGATCATTTCCTTTGTTCTCATGACATTAATGTGTGATTCAGGGGTGATATCGTGAGGAGAAATTAGTTATTCATCATTCTTAGGGCGTAAAGGGTTAACCCTTTGTATAGGTAATATCATGATTTCGAGTGCAATTTAGTGTAAATAAGTACTAGTAAATTTTTCAAAGACAACAATTGCACAAGCTTGTAGGGTAAGTGCAATCTGTAGTCTTGAATAATTTAGAAGTGCTTATTTACACCAAATTACAGGAGAAATCATGCTATTACTTATAAATAATTTGCATAAAAAAGCATCACAGAAAGTAAAGACAGATGAAATTTTGACAGAGCATGCTATTTGTAATTTGCACACTTACAACTTTGCACTACTGTTGCATGAAAAATGCACTGGTTTTCAACCCATCAGAAGCACAATATTTTCATGTACCATGTTAACACCCTAACATCAGTATCCATGTTATCCATACTCTTCTCTAAGCATTTCCCTCAGTAATGACAAGGAGAATTTGTTTAACAATCAAAGCCTTTTAGGTTGGTGATCATTTCCCCTATTCTTACGACCTTTAAGACTGATTCAGCAGTATTACTATGTGGAGAAATTAGATGCTGGTCAATCAAAGAGAACAGCACAGAGAATCTACATACTAATGTTTGGGTGGAAATGGTTAACCCAATCATGCTAGACTCCTAGTCTTTTGCAAAAGCTACAACCTCCTTACTAACAATGCTACATGCCAACTAATGGGCACACCTGGAAAAATTAACTGAAAATTTCTCAGTTTGCATGGAATCAGGTGTCCACAATGACTTGACAGCCAAATATTTCTTAGTTGCCTTGTACTTTCAAACATTTACTCATTAAGGTAACCGGACATTTGACACAAAAGACTTTTCGCACAAGTCTTTTAGCACAAGTTTTGGACCGTTCGCACAATTCTTAGTGGTCATTTCACACAATAATTATAAGTGAGAAACATCAATGTAAAAGGTATACTGATTGATACTGATAAGACATTTCACCTTCACAAGATCCAACGGCGAGAATGTAGACATTTATTTACATAATAACTTCAACTAGATCGAAATACTTGTGAAGACGATCACTATTCTTACTTCAAGAAAGGAGAGGTACAAATCTCTCTCTCTATGAAAATGTAAAGAACTCCCTATTTGAACGACTACTTCTATAACTTTTCCTTTGTTGAACGAAAAACCTTTTTCCAAAAACTTGTGCTAAAAGACTTGTGCAAAATGTCCTGTATTCCTCTTAAACAGTTATGGGAGGGGGGATTTTTAACCCATAACTCTGCTAGATACCTTAGCATGACCATGTTTCCCAGTCTTTGAAGTGGACATCTCAACTATTTTGCAGGGACGATTTTTCATGACAACATAACCATTCTTGCGAAGGGCAGAGCATTGCTGTGGATAGGTGTTGGAGGCCCCAGATTCTCCTTGTCCTTCATACTCATCATCAGCCATGATAACCGCAACTAAAAAAAGTTTACAAAGACCTTGTTACATCTCACTGAAACATAACTTCCTTAGGAAACTTTCCCTCAGTCAGAAGTTTCATCAAAGGGAGTTGTTAATATTTATGTTTGAGGTTTCCAACTTAAACTAGAGGAGAACAAGAGGAAAGCTCAAGGAACCATACAGAGGTTGACTCTAGAAGTAACATACTGCACAAATAGATACTGAATAGAGCAGCAAAAATTATGTTCTCATTTTATATATTTATTAGTTTTCTAATCACTGCATATAAGAAAAAGGATCAGCCTATTGAACAATTAAACATGAAAATGTAGGGAAAGGAAACCTTTTCCATCACACTGTTCATCGGGCAGTGAAGATTTCAGATTTCATCCAAACGTCACGATGGGTAAAAATGAATGATTCCGATTTCTTGCAACAAAACGGAAAAAAAATACAAAGGTGACCCCTTAAAACTTTTTTTTTAACCTTGAATTTCACCTAAAAGGAATACTTCTGAAATTTGTAAGTTAATTTAGAAGATTTGAAAGACTAGATTCAAAAGTCAGCAAAAATTGAACCTGGGGGTTTTATTCTACGATTCCCCTAATATTTGGAAGTGGTATTCGATGATGTATTACCGCTGAGACTACTACCATGGATTATTTATCTTAAATGGGGCTTCATTCAACAAGGAATCTCATATAAACTACTGTCAAATTCAAGAAAGCACAAGGTGGGTGACGATTCGCGTTTCCGCAAATGTCGGGCAAGATTTTCATATCACGTGCAGGGCTTGGTAGAGGACCGGCTTTAATTTATTTCACTGAGAAACAAATTCAAAAAGGCCTGAATAAAACATACTCTAAAGAATAGATCAGACAGATGTGGAATAAAATCGACCGTCCCAAAGAATTCATGTTAATAAAGGTTAAAGATCGATACATCATATAGTAAAAGCGAGCCACTTCATTAACTTCGTCGTACGTACGAAGGTCCTTACTAAGAACGACCTTCGATATTTTATCCCTGAACTCAGCATGCAAGAGCAGCAATATTTCGCCATATAATGGCCGAAAAAATGACAGAATAGTAAGAAATAACAAGTAAATTCTACGATAACAGCTGGCAGCCCAGTTCTTGACCCACAAAACAGTGAATTCAGGCACTTACCGTTGAACAGTGATTCTCGCAACGTGGTTTAGAAAGGAAGGCAATGGGGTCTGTGCCTTGTTGAAGGGGGGTGCTTTCAATTGCTGATTGCCCAATCCATGACGGAAGAAGAGTGGGAAGTTCTCGTATGTGTGACGGAAATGACATCACTGCTGGTTAAAACTCTTGCAAAATTGCATACTGCGGCAAAAATTCTACGTTGAAGGTAAACGATAATTTCGTAACCCACGGTATATAGTCCCTGGTTGGTATACTCACAAAGGAAAAAAAATACTGAAGAATTAATACCTCCTTTATCATCTGATAATTTTGATTGCGATTATCAGCGATTTCGTGCCCTACGTCGGTGGACTGGGATTTAGTTTTTGGATCGCTCGGTGGGCTTCACTGATATGGTGCAGCTTCGACATTTATAGAGTGATTTTGGCCACAAAAGCTTCAGTAATTCTCTCTTTTTTTCTTTCTTTCAATTGTTTAAGTCGTGTACAATATGTACACGCACTGTACTGACAGGGGAGCGTTTGAAGTTTTTTAATAGTAGATGGTTTCGTTATACTTTTAGTACTCCTCTGATTTGAAGAGTTGACAACTTTTTGCCTTCTTAGTTTTTAAGTAATACCCCATCTCTTTACTTCCAAAAGAGGAAGAATTGCATCGCAAGAAAACGAGTTTAAATCAAAGAGTTTATTCAAAACTGCTAATCATTTTTACATCCGAAATCTAATTACCATTAATTCTTCAAGGTATTTGCCTATTTAAGTTTTTGCATTGACTTTAGCTGCTCCTCCTGTGCCTTTTTTTTTGTTCTTACTACATTTTGATGTCATCTGTGGTCAATTACTAAACAGACACAAAGCAAAATGGAATCTATTTGTTCAATCTTTACCGACATCGGAAGTTATTTGCAGGAATATGACATCCAGAGGGCAAAGTGAGACTCAGAAATTAAAGCAAAATCTAGGAGAACAGCTTGATCGCCTTGTGGCTCAGCTGTCTGATTTGGAAGAATGCAAGTAAGTTGTTTGTTTATTTATCACCTTTTTTAGTTGGTTCAAATAGGATGTTCAAAATTTTTATCTTAAGCAAGTGTCAGTTGTCAGTGATCTATTAGAACTGATTATTGATGAACTGATTGACTGAGTGACCAACAGACTGGCTGGTTGGCAGGACGATTGACAAACAGATTGACTGAATGACTGACTCACTGACTGCAAAGGTATGCAAGAATCCCAGTTTTAAATCATCTGCTGCATAGAATGTCAAATTTTGTGACCTAGTGATCCTTTCTTTTTTTTTTGAAGGGAAGACTTGGATGAGGATGAATATGAAGAAACTAAGAAAGAAACAGTGGAACAATTAAAAGAATTCAAAGAAACCTTGGAAAAATTTGCAGCTGGAAATGTGACATTAGTCGATGAAATAAGCAGTATGCAATTGGTAAATTTTTTATATAGATCTTTCAATTCTCACCTGTTTTATGTTGTATATTATGTCTAGAGATTGAAAAACAAATCTGAATAACTTATGACAAATTTTACATTCAACTTACAGGCAATTCAGGCAGCTATTAGTGAGGCTTTCAAGACACCAGAAGTCATTCGTTTGTTTGCAAAGAAACAACCTGGCCAACTAAGACAGAGACTCTCAGAGGTGAGAACAGAATGGTTTGATCATGAAATACAATGAAATCTTAATTTATAAAATGGTTTAGTGCTATCACTGTGCTATGATCTGGGACATTACACAAATGATCACTTGAGAGTGATGTTCACGCACTTCCTGTACATTAGACTCCTTACTAAAGATTCAGTAGAGTGGATGTAAGTGTACTATAAGTTACAAACCAATATTTTCCTTCCTACATTTATGGCCTAAGTGCAAAGCACACAGGCCATAAATCCAAGAGGAAAATACAAGGTTCCTTTATTTACAATATGGACAAGAAAAAGAGGCGAGCAAGGTATCAGCTATATCTCTGTGTTCAGATACATGGGAGGAAATCAATTCAAACAAACTTTTGAATTTTAGCTGGTTTTAATAAAGGAACTCAAAATAAAACCTGGCCAAACACCCAATATGCAGCTACTAAATGAGCAACAGGGAAATTATCCAAGTTATAGTAACCATGTTCAATATCAGTATAGCCCTCCCTATTCAAAATCAACTGATTTATAAAACAAAATACAAGCAATTTAAAAAGCTGATTGGGTCAAGAAAAGCCTAATGAATTTACTAAAACTGACAAGACAATGACACAATACAATGCCAAGAATGGATTAGTGAAATAACTAAAAATAAGGATCAAATAAACTGTGTAGTCAAAAAGCAAAAAAATTAAATCATGATAACATAGGCAATGACAATTATTTGCACTATAATAATGAATTAGACAAAAAACAACCTGAAAAAGTCAAATCTTGTGGCCAGACTCTGGCTCAGGCCCAAGTTGCTGAAGGTCAGATAACGCCATCTAGTAAATGAATCTCAATCCGGTGGACAATGCTATACATTTTGCCATCACTTATTTGGTGGATAGCCATTTATCTGTTGGATAACATTAGCTGTCTTTTATACAACTGGGCCCTGGTCTCTAAACAAAACAGGTCCTTTTCAGGTCTACACTCATGCGTATGACAATCGGTAAGCATGATGTTCCTTCTTTCAGATGCAAAGAGATCTCAAAACTGGACACCTCAGTCAAGCAGCATACACACAACAAGCTGTAGAGATTTTAACAGCTCTGAAAAAGCTTGGAGAGCAGGTATGAGCATTGATAGTAAATTAATTTCACCTTCTCACTCCCAAGACCTTGACAGCAATCCTTCTCACTGTCTGCAATACTTTTCTGTAAATGTTAGTTCTGAGAACTTGGTGGTCAATTAAATGTTATCCCCTCGTTAATCATTTTCTTTATCCTCATGACCTGTCCACTTGATATTGTGCTAATATTGTTTGGAGAAATTTCTCCTTGGTCAAAAGGAGTTAATGGATTAAGCTTGAGTTGAAAATGAGTATACTTTACTCCCTTGACTAAGTGCCCAAGCTTTGATAAGTGCTCTCTTTCCCCCCCCCTCAAATGAGCACCCTCCCTCCCCCTCCTAACTGAGCACTCCCCCCAAATGAGCACCCTCCCTTCCTCTCCTAAGTGAGCACCCTCCCCCCCCCAAATGAGCACCCTCTCTCTCCCCTACCCAATGTGTGCCCACCCTCAGTGCCATTATATCAAACAAGTGCCCCCCTTCGATAAGCAATCCACCTCCTCCCTTACTTTCCCAAAGAGTAGGAATACAAGGGTAACCTGTTTTTATTGCCACTTTGTGTATAACTTTGCAAGCTTCAAATACAAGGGAATCAATACAGGTTTATTATTTCTTAATAAGTGCTCCCCCCAAGATAAAACATCCTCCTTTCTCTAAGTGCTCCTCCTTTTCTTTTTTAGACAAAATTTCAAATAAGTGCCAAGGTACTTTATTTAGGAAATACAGTATGTAAAAGAGTAACTGGCCTCTAGTTTCTCCCCACAATATCACCCTTGAATCAAATGGAAAAGTCATGAGAAGAAATGAAATGATCACCTATTTAAATAAAAATGACACTCTTGATGGTCAGACAAATTCTCCTTTTCAGCACCATAAAAATTGTAAAGAGAACAGTGTGGACAATATGAATACTTAATATATGAGGGTGTTTAAGGTTAATGGCAAAGAACAAGGATTTGGTTGGGTATCACTCACATGATTCACATACAGTTATTCTCACTGTTGATAATATAAGCATTTCACTACTTTTTCATTATATTGAAGTCTTATATTCCTCAATTTTCTCTAAAATTTTATTTGAACTCATACCAGTAAATCCTTTTTCAGCTGAAGCCTCAAGAAGCTGAATTTCTGGCTGAGAATACAAATGCAGCATTGAGCTTGTTTGAGAAAGTTTCAGAGAACATGGGTAAAGTGAATTTTATATAAAATTATTTCTATCAAGCAAAGTGCTTTGCTCATATAAATTTTCATATCCAAATTTATTTATTAGAATCAACTTATTAAGTTTTTTTCAGTTTTAATTTCCATTGTATGTTACTTACACGAATAACACACATACATGTACAGAATCAATTGCTTTGTGCCCTACAATATATACATTACTTACAAAGATTTCTGACATCATTAACAGTAGACACATAACTAAACAGTCATAAAGCTATAGAAGAAAAATTAAACACCATAAAACAGAAACTTACAGTACTAAACGTGCCTAACATTTACAATACTCAACTGCTTAATAACTTCTCTTAAAACTGTCTGCATTTGTGATTTAAAAAAAACGAACAAACAAACAAATGCACAATACTAGTATATGAATATGAAAGCAATCTTTGCAGTAATGAACACTACTTAAGCAGTAGTGAATATAGGGCCTGAAAAAATTCAGGCCAGTGTATGGGATTTGAACCCATGATCTCTGCTTTACCAGTGTAGTGCTCTACCAACTGAGTGAACAAGCTAACTGGGAACTGGTCATTATGTTGGTTCATAATAAACCTGTGAAGTGATGAGCCAATGACTGTGAATATGTGAAAATCATATATATGAACTGCAGATTAAGATATGAATGTGAAAGAGTATAAAAAAATTCAGGCCTTATTTTCACTACTGCTTAAGTGGTTTTCATTGCTGCAAATATCACTTTCATATTCATTTCTTAATCTGCAGTTCACATATATGATTTTAATAGCGGAGCTTGCATAGCCCCATGATTATACAAAATAGTAGTAACCCATCAAGCCGAAAAAATTTCGATGTACAACTGTATGACCGTATGACCGTACAACCATACAAGGTGCTACTTTTAACTTGTGTGGTCAACTGTGCTGCGAGCATGCCAATGCCACAGCTTTGTCCAGTAGTCCAGTGGTCAGTGCACTGGGCTCCAAGTTGGACAACCTGGGTTCTAGTCCTGGCTGGGGCAAGGCGTTGAGATGTGTGGGGAAAAAAAATGTGAGCTCCGCTTTTAGGCCTGGCTAAATCTATATATTATATTCATTAGCACTAGCACTAAGCTTACAATACAGTGCAACACAACTGAATGAATTAAGTGCCATCACCTTTTCAAGTTATGTGAGTATGTGATATATGAGCCACTAAATATAGACTTAAAATAATGATGCTACCCAATAGCTATTCTTCGTGTTAAATTCCAATATCTGATTACTGAGTAATTCTCCCTGTTAGATTCCTTATACTTCCTTGATAACCAGTTAGGAAAATTTGATGACATGTCAAGACAACTTTGTCATAACAAGGAGTTCCTCTGTTTTTACCATTTGTTTATCAGGATTATATGCTCTCATTGTAAAGAGATGTTACATGTTAATCTTCTAGAAGTGAAATAAAAAGGGTTTCCTAGTTCTGATAGTATTATCAATTTTTTCATCTCTCTAGGAACTGGTGACAAGCTACTCAAGGTTGCTGGTTCACAAGTAGAGGACGCACAGAAGTGAATTGAGACATGACTTTTGTATTTTGTTCATCATGATTTAAACTGCTGTTTACCAGGAATGGAGATGTACAAACAATTTCTTTCTGTTTTTTCTTATAATTTCTCAAATGCCAGTCGTTGTGGAAATGAGATAAGGAAAAGGAGGAAGAGTTAATTTTTTTTTTTTTTTTTTTATGTAGATAATCTATATCATGAGATTTCTGAGATATCAAACGAATAGTCAAAACCTAGAAGTAATGGTGAACTGGGTCAGTGTCAGCTTCTGAGCAACTGGGTACTTACCCCTCCCCTGACCCAACAACAGTCAACTGGTAACAAGTTAGGGTTAAGTTGGGTTAGGTGCAGGGTGGGTACATGGTTGACTAGATACTGACATTGATCCAGTGAACCTATAACCATGGTTTTGACTAATGACACAAGCAAAGCACCAGCGCAATGGCATGCATAAGGTAAATATGCAAAGTGAAAACAAAAGTCAATATGCACTGTAAGCACTACAAGCACAAGGAAAAGGAAAAAAAATTCTGATCCTTGTGCTTAAGCTTGCACTTGTGTTTATGCTTGCATCAAGGATGTTTTCATAGTGAAATATGAGCTGTTGTGCTTGCAGTATTTGTGCTTGCACTTGTGCTTGGGTTGATAGTAAAAACCAGGTGATAGACTTTACCTTTAAGCAGTCAGGATTTTTGGAGAATGCACGAGAAGTCTATAAATTTTGAGCCAATGTTAAGTGATTTCAAAACTTTTCCATTGTCAGCAAGTGTAGCTTAACTAATTAAAAGTGTGATCATTTGGATAGGAAAATTGAATTTTTTGGTCAGGACACAAAGTATAGTTTTCTCACTGCAGGATTTTATATTTAACTGAGAACTGCCAATGACCAATTATGATGGCACACTTGCAGTACTTAAGATTAATTTTACCAGGGCTTGAATCCCAACAAAGTATCCCAAAATGACTGCAGTCGTGAAGGCTATATTTAAAATGTTGCATTTTATTAACATATCAGCAATAATCAGCAAATGTTGTGCAAAACTAATTCAATAAAGGTTGTGTAGGAGATTTAGAGTTTTACTTTGACTGAAGGGACATCTTTTTTAAGAGGGACTGTTGGCAAAGGCATCATGGGATCAAGGTTATTTTTAATCATTCAAAAATTTCATATTTACTACCAAATTGTCAAACAAATTTTTTTCATCCCAAATTATAGAAACACTTAAAAAAACAGATTCCTGCAGCAGATCAATTTACAGTTTGACCAGTAACCTTTAAATCCCAGAAGTGATTAACATATAACTTCTCCTTATAATATCCATTACATGATCCAGCAAACAGGTAATGATAATATACTCAAACTTATCTGGTATAAGGTTTTTCTTGATGTAACAACAAATTCTGTCAACTAATTTACAAGGAACCCTCAGGCAGCCAGAGGGGAGAATTAACAATGAGGTCTTGTGAGTAGAAGGGTCAAGAAAACCCTGGAAACTTTGCAAAAGAGGGGTAAAAGGAACTAGTACATGTAGGGAATATTTAGGGGCATTTCCCTTAACATCCCTCCCTTGTGCTCATGCATAATTACACATTGCCACAATTCTCTTTGCTGTAATATCCCTTTTTAAATCACTTTGTGTTAATGGAACACCTGATATTGCACTGGTGATATTGGTGCATTTGAATAATGCATCGGCGATCAAGGAACTTTATAAACCGAAAGTAAGGCAATTGTGAATATTTATTGACGTGGGTTGAGTGGAATTTCTGGAACACAATGTCATATTACTGAATAATCAAGAAAATTTTTGTAGCGGAATTGAAAGGCAATTGTGATATTTGTTGTCATAGGCTGGGTGGAATTTCTGGAACAATGTGGTATTACAAAATGATCAAGAAAATTTTTATAGCAGAAGTCAAAGGCAATTGTGAATATTTATTGATGTGGGCTGGACAAAATATCTTGAACACAATGTCATGTTTCTAAATGAGTCAATCATGTCAAAAGGTTGTTTTTAGATGCCACTTGGCAGAAAATTTTATTCATTATTTCTCATAGTCTTTTTTATTTTATGGTGAATAAAATGTTCTAAATCCTTACAGCTGTTCCCATTGTTTTTGTTATTTTGCTTGTTGTTTAGTTTTTTTTCCTGTAATAAATTCAAATGAAATATCGTATTGAAATCCAACTTTTCAAATTGCTATTATCCTCGGGGATTTTTGAGACAAAATTTTATCATCAAAACACGTAACCAAGTTGAAATTTTCCTTTTCTGGTTGTGAATATTGTCAATATTGTATTTTCACTGTTCAGTGTATATGGGTTTTTTTAGCAGGTGACGAAAAGTGATGTACCATTCCCTGTACTTCATCTCCCTCAGTCAAGAGACCTTCAACTAACAGGTTAATTTTGAATGCATGCAAATCCAATTTTAGCTTCGAGATAGCGTCTCTTTCTAAACTCGCAGCTTTTGTTTTCAAAACCACAACTTCCATTGTCTATATGATAATGTTCCCCAATGCGGGTGTGAAAACATGTGATCAGTGACGTCACGTTTCTTTGGCTAGAGCGACGAAAAGAACCCGAGTATTGGATTACAATTGAAGTTAAAGATTTTTCATCGACGTTTCTTCTCAGATTTCAAGTAAGGGATCATCCGAAGGCCGCCCATGTCGCCGCAAACGACTGTTGTATTTTTCCTTGGCGTTTTGGCAGCGTTTTGCCTCGGCCTGGAGTTCGAGGAACGCGGTGAGTTTGAAGTAAAGTTGGTTGTTAATTCGAACGCGCGTTGGCGATGTTTGACAGTGTGTTCTCATGTCGCATGTTGCGAGGAGTGGATAACTCAACTATTCCAATGATCTGTACCTTTCTGTGCGAAATACATGTTTTTTGGATCGTTCGATATTCTTTACCTGTGGCAAACAATTTATTTGATGTAACTAAGGGTTGTTTTTAGTATTTTATTCTTCCTTTAATCGCAACGGGGTTGCTGTATTTAATTTTGTACGTAGTGGGTTTCTCCTTATCTCGAGATGTATATTGCACTTTCCATGCTCTTCCAATGCAAATTTTTCTTTTATCTCCCACGAAGCACTCAACGTTTAACATTTTTTCTTTTTTCTGCTAAATACTGATCTGATGTGCCCAAAAGTTTTGTTTGCGACTTTCAAAGATGTCAATTCCACGCCATATTGCATGCAAATTGCAAAAGTTTATTATTTTCGAATCACTTGATTTGCCTACGAACCTTTCCATATATATCTTAGCCGCAATCTTTCCACTTTGTGTCTGTTTTCACGTAGTATCCAGTTGCCCTATGTGGAATATTGTCTTTTGAATTTAGTAAAGAACTGCTTTGTCAGCGAACTATTCACTTCGATGTTTCGTCGTCTTTGCGAAATCTCCTTTCTCGAACAATACAACGAGTAATCAAGAACGCGTGAAAGCAGACTTTAGCGCATTAAATCCACCCAAAACCCTTGTAGGCTCCCCTTTGTTGTCTAGCATTTTTCTTTAATACATTTTGAAGCATACGTTCGGAAAATGTCGATTTGCAAACTCGGTTTAGACGTATCTTCGTAATATTTGCGCACACAACGATAAACTAATTGCTTTGCGCATTGAATTCTTTTTACGCTCGAGTTTTGACCCAATTTACACTCAGTCTGTTGGTGAATTTACTGCTTAGACTTGTCACAAATTGGACCATATTACGCTGTTTGGCTATTTTAAACTTTTCTTATTTGTAACATGTTGGCAGATAGCCCACGTTCAGATAGATTTTTTTCTTCACGATGCGACAGTTCTTGCACTTTGCATACCAATTTTCATCAGCGTGAAATTCGTTAACAGGTTATCTCTTTCCGTTTTGCAGATTTTTCAGAGTTGAGAGGAAACGATAACGTTTCATGTCTTGTTTTCTTCACAATCCCCTGTAGAAAAGTTAGAAAAGCAATCACAAGCAGAATTTCTGTAATTTGTTTTCTTTGAGTTGAGATTGAAAACTATATGAGCAAAATTGTGTTTTTGTCGCTGATTTTTTTTCTTTTTTTCACCAGAATTATGTGTTTTTAAATATGTTGGCGTTGGATTTTGGTATCCAAATTATTTGAAAATCCATCTTATATTTTACCATGTTTATTTGTATGGACCCAAAAAATGCTGTTAAATTATTCCTGAACACGTATTGTTTTCATCCGTTATAGCAAAATGGTCAAGCTTGAGTTCCCCTGTTTCTTACACGCCCTTAAGCCATTTTTAAGTTGTCATTGGTTTGAGATTTGATCAGTTTGATTTTGGATTTGAATTTTTTTACTTCAGATTATTTTGATATTGATGTCACATAGGGGATTAGGGAAAAATTCAAGTCAAAACTGCTTTCATATTATTTAAGACCTAAACAGTTTGGCTGTGACATACTTATGTACAAGATTATTGAGCTGATGTTACATTTTGTAGTTGTGAAATTGAAATCAGTTATTACTGTTATATTATCCACAGGATTTGATTTTGTCCAAAAGGAGTATGCACGTGCTATCACGGAGTACCATGCTATCAATAAAACTGTGATGCACATCAGAGCTGTGGGTTGTGAAGGGCCTGTGAAGTATACCATAGCTCAGCCGGATACACCTTTCAAGATCGATGAAAAAGGACATGTTTGGCTTGTGAAGAGACTTAACTATGACAAAGCAAGTTCCTATCTGTTGAATGTGACAGCAGAAGCTGGAGATGGGAAATGCATTGCCTACACCAAAATCCACTTTGAAATTTTGAACATGAACAAGCATGCACCACAGTTCGAATTTGAGAAGTACAGTTGTGATATTATTGAGAATACCCGAGAAATGAGGTTTAATCCACCCATGAGGGTTCTGGACAGCGACAGTGGAAAAGCAGGAAAGATAAGCAGTGTGAAAATTGTGGAGTCTGGTCTTCCGTTTGTGTTCACTGTTGATGAGAAAGGAAACGTCCAGGGAAGGGCTACTAAAAACATGGATGCAGAAGATATCACAGACTACTTCTTTGATATCATTGCCTGGGATAGTGGAGAGCCTTCAAAATCTTCCTTCCCTATCAGCTTAGAGTGCGAAGTTGATGATGTGAATGAGTTTGGACCGCATTTTACGCCAGACACTTACCAGGCTAAGATTGCTCGTGGAAAGACATACTCTAACATCACTCAGGTTTGCGTTTACAAACATTTGTTTACATCTCCCCTAAAAAGGTTCTATTTATCCTTTACACCCTAACATCAGTATGCCTATTCTCCATACTATTCTCTATACATTTCCTAATGTACTGGCAAGGAGAATTTGTTTAACAATCAAGAGGTTCTTCAGTTATGTCATTTCCTCCATTCTCATGAGCTTAATGTTTGATTCAGGGGTGATACTGAATGGAGAAATCTGATACAGGTCACTGTCAGGGATTAAAGGGTTTAGAACTTATTGATTGATAAATTAAATTTACCTCGTAATTAAAAATCTATTTTGTTCAATTTGTCAGGTCTTTGCTGAAGATAAAGACATTGGTATTGTCAGTGGCAGAGTTTGCAAGTATGTTATTGAAGGCTTCAATCTTCCATTCAAAGTCAATGATGATGGTGTTATCAGCATTGATCAGCCTCTGGGACGTGATGCCTATGATTTATATGAGTTTCAAGTGGATGCTATTGACTGTGGTGGACAAATGTCAAAGAGCAGTGCAAAAGTAGCAATCTCTGTAGAAACAGTACAACCACCTTGTGCTGAAGGTCAGTTTTGAGGATGTTGGTGTTTGTAACATGATTGGCAGCTGAACCTGGTATATTTGCAAATTGAGAAATATTGCACTTTTGTTTATTAATAATAGATAAAAGAAGTCTAGAAAATTATTGATGGAGTTTCTCCTAAGAATTAATGAAAAAAAATCTTTTCAAAGGTAACACTTTGTTTTGATCTATAATTCAGCAGAAGCTATGACAAGGATATGAAATTTAAGAAAATTGAGCTTCTTTAAAAAAAAAAATTGTTGGTGTTAAATTCATTGTTAATTACATTTGCAAGAGAACAGATTGAAAGGAGCCTATCAGCAATGATGTGTGGTCTCAACATTCAATTATTGTTTAATATACATTGGTATTCCAAAGGGAATAAAAACACAAGGTTGGACAGATATCAAGTTTTGGGATTCAAAAATGACAGGGTGCCAAAGCAAATGTGTAACAGATTATGCAAATATGTTAGATAGCAATGCACAGTGATTCTATCATGTTACCTGATAAAGATTACATATGATAGTGATGCAATTTCATAATAAAAGCTAGTAATTGAACAAGATAATTTGTTATTTTCAAGTACATTGATAGTGTAAATTGGCCATCATGAAGAATTTCCAAAGCTGAAATTTGTGAGCGTTAGCCCTTTGTTAAAGGGAAGAACATTCAGAGCATTTGCTCTGATAAAACCACTATGGCTCAAAACGTCAGCCTCAGAAATTTTTCATGATGGACAATTTACACTATCAACTCAGGTGATAATATCAAATTATTATCAAATTATCTTATAATATCTACAACCTAGGCAATGCCACAGTTTCTTTAGAAAGTTTACCCCTTTTTGAATTGAACACCCTCATTCAAACTATCAGTCAACTGATAGACTTCATATGCTAGTTGATCAGTAAGATTTAACTACATGGTACATTAGAAAGTTTTGAGTAGAAGTAGTAATGAACTCAACACTCCAATTCTAGCAGTCCACACCAGAACAGGTTGTAGTTTTTATATTTAAACCAACCTGTCTCATTTCTCCAAATCTGACTGATTTGAAATTTTCATAATATCTTCAGAGTTTGTTGGACCAGCTAAACACAAGTTCACCTTACAGCAATGCACTGGAAAAGTTTATGTCACCCCTGACATCACCTTGAACAAGTGCGCCAGAAAGCAAGAAAAGGGCAAATTCTCTGCGAATGTCAGTCTGGTAACTGAAGCAGGCATGGGCTGTGACAGAGAAACATTTGAAGGATCAGATATGTTTACCCTTTGTGGGGCAAGCAACTTTATTGATCTGCTCCCCAAACCAGGAGTTGGCAGGGAATGGACAGAGAACATTGCAAAGAAGAATGAAAAAGGTAGGTTTATACTGAAATTGGAAACAGCTTTAAAACAATTTTGATTAAAGTATGTTGCTATGGTAGCACATTACTAAAATTATTGGTTGTGTGAACAGTTTAGTGTATTAGGTTAACTTCCGTCCATTTACCTACGCGGTAGATTACCCACATCGTTCAATTTTTGCAACAACGAGAAAAAAATTTCAACAGATTACCTGCACTCAAAAAAACAAAAGAAAATTGTCCACTCACACAAAGTTCCTTCATTGTTTTTGTTGACATGATATCCTTTAGCATGCAACTAATAAATTTTCACACTTTAAGTCTTCGCTGTCTCATCGAGAATGATACCAATTATAAAAATCTGCTTTAAAAAAATTGATATCATGAGATCTATAGAGTTGGAGAAATCACTTGAAATGGGAAAATACTCTTTACCTTAAGGCAGTGCTAGCTGAGAAAATTTCTCTGATGTGTAGAATATTCTGTCACACCAATTAATTATGCGGCCCCATGAAATGAACATGTTGGCACCATTTTCCGTGTGAATTGCCCTGAAGCTAGTCTTTTCACAGTAGTTGATTTCTTTTATTTTCAAGTTCACTTCCTGTGTAAGTGAGAATTGTTTTTTTGAACTAAACAAAGAAACAAGCTGTGAAATTGATAAGGTTAGAAAGTTAGAGTACGAACAAGATAATAGCTATGTTATCGAGTTTTGTATGTTTTCGATTTGCATCGGCTTTCATTGAGAGCAATAAAGTGTCTTATTAGAATGAGCAATCTGCGTGAAATAAATGAGTTATTGCACAAGTTTTTGAAGAGTATCTGTCGTGAATCTTATCACCTGTTTTTTTTCCTGTTTATTGTTTTTAACTACACTGGAAGCTTTAGAAATTATTGTATTACCTGCACCTTCCTATAACCCACATCAACAACTGTTTGTGGAAAAATTAACAGATTACCCGCAGGTTATTGGCCAAAAAATTACAGTATACAAAATTTCACCGCAACTTTTTATCTTTTTTCTTTCTGGCAAACAATTAATTATGATTATCAGTTGAGTGAGGCAGGGAAAAAAAAAGATTGGTGGCTGGGTTTTTTACTGTGAAATAACAGTGTTTGTCACAGGCAAACTTCCTTGTTTCCTCTGGCAACTGAAACTTTGACAGCCATGTCTCACCAGTTATCAAACCTGAAAACCTGTCAAAAGTGGTTTTCAGACATCTGTCATGCCTCACCTAACTGAAATTCGTGATATGTTTGTACATCACTGAAAGGGACTTTGAAAGACTTGCTGAATGTAGCTTGCAGATACATAAAATTGGAGTGAATATTTTGTTGGAAGTAATGATCAACTGTGCAAAGTATTTTAGTTGAGTAGAGCATCTGAATTTAGAGGAGTGTTCTCATTTATTTGCATCTAATTTTCTTTTTCAGATGCACTTGGCTTTTCATTCAATGGGAAGACATATGTGGACATCCCTGATGAAGTCTTGCCAGATGACATTGGTGACAAGTTTACCATCAGCACATGGATCAAGGTGGCCAAATCCAAAGGTCGCCAAACTATTGTTGCCAACACCGATAAGGAACGCCTCGACCGTGTACATTTCTCTCTGTCTATATATGGGAGCAAGCTGATTTTTTTGCACAAACGCGAGGCCATACACGCTAACCGCGATGTCTACTGCAATGCAGAATTTCAGTACAAACCAGCCATTTTTGACGACAAATGGCATCATATTTTGGTGATTGCTGATGGCTGTGCTACCAAGATGTATGTTGATGGAGAGCACTACGCAGCAGTGATAACTGAAGCAGACCGAACCCTCCACAACTCAAACCTGAAAAATAAGGTGACTGTTGGTGCCCGCTATTTGGCAAAAGAGGGAGTTTACACTGAGAGGCTCACAGGATATTTGTCTGGACTTACAATCAGGCCCAATAGCACTCTTAATGAACAGGTATGACCTTCTTTTCTTGTTTGCTATTTCTGCACTCATTCTATGTGCAAGAGAGAGATATAAGGGCTTATCCCTTGTACCCTTAGTGCTTTAACTTCCATAAGTGATCAAGACAGAATTTCTCCTTGCATTATCAATACAATATCAAGCAGACAAGTGATGAGAATAGAAGAAATATCAATTAGGGGATTATAAGTTGACCAATATCAAATTCTTCGAACTAACATCATGAAAATCAACAGTAAGGACGATTACTAAATGAGATATTGGGAGTGATTGGGTTCTAATTTCTCCTCAAGGTATCACCTTTGAATCAAATGTAAAGGTCAGGAAAATAAAGGAAATGATCACCAATTTGAGAAGCTCCTGATTGTCAACAAATTCTCCTTGTCAGGACCACAGGAAATGTAAAGAGAGCAGTGTGGAGAATCTGCATCCTAATTTTGGGTTGTTTAGGAATGTATGGGATGTTTATTTTTGTTAAGAGCAGTTTTCCACCTGCAGAGTTCATAGAGAAAGTAAAGGGTTTTAAAACTTAGAAATGACTTACAGAAATTTTTATGTAGGCCAAATTGTCCAGGGCCCTTTTTTGTTTTGTTTTGTTTTGTTTTTTTTTGTACCTTTTACAGTTCACTGTGTCTGTGAATCTTGCTTTCAACTGAATCAATGTTATTTTATTTTCACAGGTTCTGAGCTGTGTGATTGGCTGTAAAGAACATGTGAATGTTGATGGCCCTCTTCCTCCTAAATTCTTGGCCAAAATCATTGATTTTGGAAGTATCGCAATCACTGGGGAAGGATCACCCAGTGACTTCATCAAGGCCCTGCAAAGTCTTGTGTACATTAATGAGCGCATGGTGCCAACACCAGGAATACGCTCAGTGATCATTGAGGCCAAGATTAATGAGAAACCATTGGCAACCATCACTGTGGACATTAACGTTGCAGGAAATACACGTCCTGTGATAATTGTTGAAGGTTTGGATGCAGACATTGGACTGAATTGGGCGAAGAGAAAGGTTGTAAAACAGAAAGGTTTGCGTGTGTTTGATTCCCTGGAAATCGATTATGATGCTTGTCCAAGAGATGATGAGTTCTCTCCAATCGACAAGGTGCGCTTTTTGGATGAAGCAGTGGTAAAAGTTAAGCCGGCCTTCAAGAAAGGAGAAAGTTTTAATTTTCCCACAGGAATTAAAGGACTGAAGGAGAAGGGACTGACTGTGAGTTTCAACAATGAGGAGCTTGTCATTCGAGGAATTGCACACTTTTCAGAATACGAAGATGTCCTTCGACAGATGGTGTATGTGAACTTGGATCCAGATGACCTGATGCACCTAGAGATAACTGTAAGTATTAATAAGAAATTTGAAGAATGCGCTGAGGATTTTCTTACAGAAATGCTCCATGAATTATGTGCTTAGAGCCTTGTAACTCCCAGAAGTGAATTACTTGTAACTTCACTCTATAATATCCAGCAAGCGGGTTATGAGAATACTCAAACTTGACAGGTAGAAGTTGTCATCTTGATTTAACACCAAACTCTTGTAACTAATTTACAAAGAAATGAGTAGCAGCTGGAGGGGTGAATTAACAATCAATCTAAGAAGCTCTAAGGATAAAGATCTGTTTCATCTCCACAGAACAATATGTGACTGTCTTTTTTTTTCTTTCATCATGTAGGTGACTTTGTCAACCCTGAAGGGCAAATGTAAAAGTGATTCAGAACGACTTAACATCAACACCATTCACTCTAACAGAGGATTCAAAGACTACAACATCAAGTTTGCCGAGAACAACCAAAAGGAAGAGATGATGCCTGGTATTGTTTCTGTGGAAGCTGCCATGGGCAAGGAGTCATCAAGTGGTCTGTCCAGTGGGGTCATGGCTGCGATTATCGTTTGCAGTCTGGCTGTTTTTGCCTTCCTTCTTGTGCTTGGCATCTTCAAGTACAGACAGTAAGTTTAATCTTGATATAACAGGGTAATTTAGTATTATCAACTCAGTTGATAACATAAATTGGCCACTGTAAAGAATTTAAAAGCTGATATTTTGTGTGTTAGCCCTTAGTCATTGCTCTGAAGAAGTCGTAATGCTCAAAACGTAAGCTTTCAAACTCCATGCTGGCCAATTTATGTGTCATCAACTCAGTTGAAAATACTCAATTGCCCTGTTATGCTCTCTTACCAAGGCAGAACCACAGTTTCTTAGAAAACTTACCCCCTTTTATTCATTAATCTTGATAAAGTGATAATGTTAATGTTATAATACTATATGTAGATCAGGACTCTTATAATTTTACCTAAGATCAACCTATTAGCTCCAAAGAGTAACTAATGTGGTTTCTTCTTATGGTATTGCTGTGGAATCAAACATAAAGTTCATGAGAATAATTGAAATGATTGTCAACTAAAGAAGCCCTTAATTTTTTCATGAGGTTTCTTTTTCATTTCCATAGGAATAGTATAGGGAATGGTATGAATGTTATGAAATGCACACTGATTTTAGGTGACAAGTTAAGGGTCAAACTTTTCAAGATTTCTTGCACATGTTATTGACCTTTATTAACTGATAACCAATGAAATGTTTCCACCTCCTCCACCCAGTCATTTAAGAATCTAATAAGTTTGCTCAGAAATAAATAACATGGGAATGTTTCCTCATTGAAGTTCTCACTTGAGGTTGGAAATTTATCACCGAGATAGGCTCAGTAAAGGCAGTTACATTGTGTTTCTGCAGTTATAACTGTCTTTTTATTGTGTTGGGGACTGCAAAGCAAGGTTGATTGAATACATGTTTAAGTTAAAGTTTAATTTTCAAATGAAAATTGTTGCAAGAGATGTGACCGAATATATTTTTTTTTTTAATAGGAGGCCAGAGACTGTGAAAGTCGTACCGCCTGGTGACGACAAAGAGGAGATGTACTGGGATGACACTGGTCTGAGTGGTGTGCGTATTACTCTGAATCCCATGCAAAAATTCCAGGAGCTAGACCTGAATGAAGATGGCAACACAGAAAAGTCTGACACTGAGGACGAGGAAGGCACAGCAACAAAAGGCCTGTTGGAGTGGGACAACTCTGATATGTAATCACTTGTGGTGACCTTGTGAAACAAAGTTTTTGTTTAAGGGTGGAAGTTTAGTATCATGGTTTGTAATTGGTTTGAAGTTTCAGGGTTTTTTTCCTTCAATTTTTTTAATTTGATTCAAGGGAGAGAGTTAAAAACAGTTAGAAGTTGAAACTCAATCCATTTTCCTTCAGGAAAGTTGGAGTAATTTTGCCTCGATTACTGGTTGGTATTGATCTACCAGCATTTCAGTAGATTTCTGTCTGTGAACTTTAAGCCGTGCTACTGATTGTTTGAAGTTTGTTGGTTTTTTTTTTGTCAGTGTTTTCTTTGCATTCTTTTCATTGATGTGGCATTAGTTTTAAGGTATTTTGTAGATTTTTTAAAAAAATACTATTTCTTAAACTTTGTTTACCTTTCACACTTGTTCAAGGTGTGTAAAAATGATATATAATCTTGTTGAGATAAAAACAGAATTTGTGATTCCTTTCTTTCCCCGTTTTCTTTTTCATTATTATGTACCTAAGTAACCTTATAGTAACAAAAAAGAAAACTTCAGTAAAAATATCAAGGAAAATTTACTAGATAAGAAACCTATGTGCAGTGCATACCTGTTTTGTTTAACAAAGTTGAGGTTTGTATGGGGCATGGAAACCTGGAATGTTGTGAATTTCTTAAAATTGTTTTTTAGGCCTGGAAACTCATGGAATTTAAGTATGGGTCATGGAAAGTCATGGAAATTATTGAATGTGATACTTTTGAGAATGACTCTCGTAAAAAAAACCTCATTATATGATTACATTTACTTGATTTTGGAAGCACTTTATTTTTTTAGGGTTATGGGTAACATCTGTCATGGAAAATCAGGACTTGTTTTATTGACAACTCATGTAACTTTCCTTTCTGCTACTTAATAGTCATCTCAAGTTATTCAACAAGGATTTTTTTGTAATGTGAATTTGATTTTGTTAGAGAAAATGCGAGTTTCTGAAAAGTCTGAGAAAAAATAGTGGTAAGGGGTATCATGATTTGAGATTTCCATGCCTGTGTAAAATTGATTTCTGGGATTATTTTTGTGATTTTTCATTTTGTAATTGTTATTATTTGTAATGAATTAAGTGAGAACTGAAGTTATGTTATCTTGTGTTAGCTTAGGGAAAGCTCAAACTTTTTTTACCACTGAAGATAGAGTTCAACTTTTTTTTTGTATAAATTTAATAATACGACATTAAAATATGCTAGTAATGCCTTGAGTGTACATAAATATAATGATGCATTAGTTGTGCTTTGTGAGTTACTCATCATACTCTGAAATTAGTTTGGGTGAATTGTTGGTAGAAAAATGCAACATCAGGAAAAAAGAAAAAAAAAAGAAAAAAAAAAGGATGTAGTATCGAATAGAGGTTGTGATCACGATGGTATTGTAACTGTCGTAATAGCTTTAGATCTTTGATTTCTTTAACTCCCAAAAGTGATTAACATGTTAGTTCTTGGAATTCCAACAAGTTATCTTTGAAGAAGGTTATGAGAACAGACAAGCTTGTCAGCTAAAGGGAGAGTTTTTTTAAATAAGACCAAATTCTGCTGTCTTATTTAAAAGGAAAAGTATGGCAGTCGGCAGGGATAACTAATAATTTGATCATGGGAGTTAAAGAGGTTAAAGGCCATATATTGACTTGTGCAGGATTCGCAAAATGGGAAGTGTTGATCGATTTTTCGTCTGATGGAACAAAAATTGTAGAATATATGTAGAGGCTGATGGTTAGTGAAAGTCAGTAGAGTTTGGTAAGACATCAAAGCAATTTTTGTTCTAATAATACAAATATAATAAAAGCGTTAACCTCCTATGTAAGGAAACATCTTAACCATTAAACTGCTGCTATTATACAATGTAAAATTTGGTCCTGGCTTTTCACTCCTATCAAGAAGTGGCAACGTGTGATTTCGAGATTGTTCAAGCCGTAATGTGCGAGTCATTAGCATGCACCTGGCGAATTTTATGCAGACATTCTTCAATTCTTAGCCACCAACTTCCGCAGACCCGATTTATATCGCATCTAGAATTTATATGAAAAAAGCGTTCTCACTATTGCTGCAAAGAACCTTTTCAATGTAGGTTATAATTTGGAATAATGAATTTGTCTGTCTTAGTCGTCGAAAGCAGTATTGCTAGCACCAACCAGATTGCAAAGGGTATGTTGCTCGCACTAATCAAATTCGTTAAATTCACACCCACCAATCAGATTCGCTATAGCCTGCGTGCAGACCAGCGCAAGACGGGCGTTACTTTGCTCTTGGGGATATTCGGGGAGAGATTTACCGGGGGAACTGGGACCTCATTTTCAGTGCCACAACCCTCGTTATGTGTTCTACACTCAGTCCTATTACCATCACTTATCGATCGATTTCGGACACTAACGTCTGTTTCCCGATGCTGTCAGCCGATTTCGGACGCATCCGCCTGTATTCGGATATTAGACTGCAAACGTGGCGAGTGTGGTGCGCGTGATCAACGCGCGTTACTCGTGTTGATCACGGGCTTTTGAAAAGAGGGAAGTCCTGGGTTCCATTTCAACTCGGTTGCTTTCCAATGTGGTTGAATGCCGAATTTTTCGACGGTACTTAAAAATAATGATTCCTCTTACCATAGTTTCGATGAGAAGAAGATTTTATTACATGAAGTACAAATTCCAGAAAGCAGGCCGTCTCTGGAAAGGGATTATCTTGGCATCTTTCGGAGTATTACTATGGATTTGGGGTGAGTGCTTGAAAAAATATCCTCAGAGATTAAATTGATCAAAAACTAAAACTGGAAAATCCTATTAAATTATGTTTACTAACTAGTTTTAGAGCAGTTTATGGGGCTTTGTTTGGAACGTCTTGAACTCGATGGATAAAATTCTGAAAGAAGGAATCTTTGCCTTTCATAACTCGACAACAGGTACCGTGCGGACTGATGCTAATTTCCGCAACCATATGACAGGCTGAAGAAGGAAATCCTCGTCATTTGAGCGTTTTCCTCAGTTATCGTGAGAAATCATTGGCTGTAACGACTAATACGTAACAACTAATGCAGAGTTAACTCATTTATTCTGTTGTTTAGTAAATTTAAAATTTAATGCGATCGTAAAATTGTTCATTCAGACTTAAAAGTTATTTAAAAGTAAAGTTGTTTCGAAATAACTAAGTTTAGGAAGTTGTTGTTTTGCATTAGGGAAAGAAATTGTCTAATTATTTTTCAAAGATATTATCACCCTTTCCACTCCCTAAAGAAAATTAATCTAGTGTGATGGGAAATAAAACACTTCATGGACATGATAAACTCTGTACAAAGAATTAGAAGCAAGAGAAGTGTCAACTTAGTGATCTTGGGATGTGAAGGTTAGGTCTCTACTCTAGCCTGGTGGCCCATCCACAGTCCCAGTTTCCAAAGCATAGTAAAGCCACTTGAAGTCTCACTACTTCCCTCTGAATGGGATGCTAGTTTATTGCAAGGTTACCCCCAAACATTTCATCAACCTTCCCTGACAGTTCATTTGTACCAGGGCTAAAAATTGGCAGTCACACGGTCACTAGTGGCGATTTAAAACTGACCAGGGCCACCAAAAGTTAAGGTTTGAACACCCGATGTGCAACTATGCCACAGAATTTTGAAAAGTTGCAATGTAAATTATGGGAAGTACAAAGTTAAAAATAGAACTCAATATGTAATTTAATTGGACAACCTTTCTCTTTGTTTCTTTGCCTGGACTCTAAGATCATCCATTTTAGTGAATTTTTATTTCTGAAGTGGAAATTCCGAGCTGTTTTAACAGTGATTTCAAGAGTGATCCACATTCACAACATATAGATGCCATTTTGATTTTGTGGTTGCCATGTGGCTCTGGGCTTTTGTATTCTTTCCTTTTAATTAATGCTCCATTAAAAACCATAGGGCATTTATTCAAGTTTTTCATTTTAAACCAGTGGAAATTGAGGGCAACTTCATTTTGGGATGGGCCAGAATTCAAGAAAACTAGCCTGAATGGCCACCAAGCACTGGAGTTATTTTTTAGCTCTGTTGTACCCATTTATACTCCTGGGTGGAGAGAAGCACTGTGAGGGTAAAGTGTTTTTCTCAAGAACACAACACAATGACTTGGAACAGGTCTTGAACCCAGACCTCTTGACCCGGAGTCCAGTACACTGACCATTAGGTCAGCACATTTCCCATGATCCTGGAGTGAGGCTGGTGCCAACCCTTTACCCCCTAACATCAGTATGCATATTCTCCATACTGTTCTTCATATATATCCAAAGAGGCTGACCAGGAGAATTTGTTTAACAATCTAGAGCTGCTTTAGTTGTTGATCGTCTCCTCTATTCTCATAACTGTCATGTTTGATTCAGGGATGATATAGTAAGGAGAAATTAGATGCTAGTCACTCTTAGGGACTAAAGGGTTAAATCAGGATGTGTTATATGATTAAGAAAACACACCATTACATATACTTATTTAAATACTTACTGCTATTTTTGGTATTGACAGTGTGGAATTCATCCAAGTCACCATCCTCTTTTGATGAAACAATATCACCAGGGATGATATTTTCAAGCAAAGTACAACAATGTATTTCACACTATTGTAACTTTCCCATGCAAACTTCTGGTAGGGAAGGATTGTTAAACTTGGAGAGTCATCTTAACCAACAACGCTTTCAACTAGAAATGACGCAGGTACTTATTCGGCATGGAGACAGAGCCCCTGCCATATACGTCCCAAACACAGACAATAACAACTATGATTTTGATTGTACATTCAAAACTTCTGATTACAACAACAAGAAAATGTTTGAAGAATATTCACAATCAACGAGACATATTACCCCACATGAATTTGTGAGAAATGTGAGAACAAGTTTTCACCTGGTACCAACACCAGGAAGCCAGTGTAAAATTGGTCAACTGACACAGAGAGGTTTTCTTCAGCATTTTGCTCTTGGAAAACACATGAGAACAGCTTACAAAACCTTAATCGATTCTGGTATTGAGTCTAGCAATCTCCATGTGCGATCAACCCAGGTAACAAGATGCGTACAAAGTGCAGCTGCCTTTCTTTATGGCTTGTTAACAAAGGATGCCATTATGAATGGTAAGCAATTACTTTTAAAAATCCTTCTTTACTCATTCATTCCCAAGATCTCTTAAGCAATTCTTCTCACTGTCTGCTATTCAATTCTTCTGATTTTAGTTTGGAGAATTTGGTATTGGATCCACTAATAATCTACTAATTGATATTTTTCTGTATTCTCATCACCTGTCTGCTTGATACTGTATTGTTATTGTAAGGAGAAATTCTGTCTTGGTCTCTCTTGAGAGTTTAAGGGTTAAGCTAGTATGGCCTTAACTTTACTTTTGATCATTGCTTTTTTGAGTGCCATCAAGCTTAAGACAGGTTTTACTGACGTAGTCGTGTAATTCACTTTAGACCTTGGAGGGCGTAGAGGGGTCTGTTCTTTTTTTCCGTAGGGAGGGTTATGCTTTTAAAAGAAATGAGAGATTAGAGTTTACCTCTTGAGAGTTTGGATTCCTGAGAGTGGCACAACAAACACCATATAATTGTAGATTAATTATAAAAATAAATGATTCTTGTTTTAACATTACAGAAAGGGTAACCATCAACATTACTTCAAACGGTTGGTTCCAAGAAGATGACAATGGAACTCCTTATAAGTGTCCATCATTGGGGAGTCGTTGGCATCAGTACAAACAGAGAAGTGACTACATCTCAGGCTCTGCTGCAATAGAACCAGTAATGCAGGAGTTTTCACGGCTGTTGAGGACTCCAAGGCCATCACTAACAACCATTGGATTGTAAGAATTAGTCTCTCTAAAATATAATTTTGTGTCCTTCAATGAGCATTTTTATAGCATACAGGATCTGAAGTTTACCCTTTCACTCCCAAGATATCTTTGGTAATTCTCCTTACTGTGTGCCATACAATTCTGATGATGTTAGTTATGAGAAATTTGGTATTGGATCAATTAACAATCCTCTAATTGATATGTTTCTTCATTCTCATCAATTGTATGCTTGATATTGTATTGATACTACAAGGAGAAATTCTGTCCTGGTCACTCACTTGTAAAGAGCTTTACTTTCAGTCACTTGTTGTAGTGGGATCAGTCACTTTTTACTAAACAATGGAATGGCATAAAGTTAATTCATTATAGTACATCTCAAGTCAAGTCAACTGACTCACACAGCTTGAGATGGTCAGGCTCTAGGTTGGGGATGAGGAACTGGATAGGATTCTTGTCCAACACTAGTTACTCCCTCCCCTCCTCAGCCTTGAACAATATGTAACCATTTATTCTTGACTAGTCTCCTGGGTGCTGTGTTAAAATTTTTATTGGGTATCTTTATTCTTTTCCTACATGGGTTCCCCTCCAAAAAATCACTTTCAAAAGGAGACTTATTCCATATTGATGTCAATATTGAGAGGGTACCACAACCCCCTCTTCCCCTCCCCTCCCCACCCATGCACACACACACACACACACACACACACACACACACACACACACACACACACAAACACATACTTTCCTTAAGAGAAACTCATGATTAGAATGATGAGCCTTCATTGTTGTGGAATCACTGCGGCAAGGGTTCTTTAAGTCTGGAAAGTTGGCTCAGCTCCTTGCAAAAAACTTGCTTATCTCATAAATTTTTACTTGTGGATATGCACTGCATAGGATTTAGTAATGGGGGCTTCAATATACAAATTTCATGGCATAAGCATGGCCTTAGGAGTCTGAGGAGAGCATACATCATATCAACCCTTTAACTCCCTTGAGTGACCAAGACAGAATTTCTCCTTACAATATCAATACAATATCAAGCAGACAAGTGATGAAATGCAAGAAAAATATAAATTAGGGGATTATTAGTAGACCCAATACCAAATTCTCCAAACTAATATCACAAGAACTGTATGGCAGACAGCAAGAAGAATTAGTAATGAGATCTTAGGAGTTAAAGGGTTAAAGATAGTAGATCAGTAGTTTTAATATGATGAATTGATCCTTTTTGAGGGGGACTTTTGCAGAGCTGATGACTCAATTTTGTTTCTTGGAATCACAGGATCATTGGCTTTACTCTATTCACTGAATTTTCGTATTATATTTTGCACAGTTCTTCCACAAATTCACCATAGTGTCACTTTGATTAATTTTAGGAAACAAGATGCAAAATGTGTTTGATACCCTGATCGTATAGAAATCTGCAACCTTTTGCTTAGTTCGTTTTTAAATTCAAAATACTTTTTTTTATTATTGCAGTTTGACTGATGTAATATACACTCGTTACTGCCATAATCTTCCTCTCCCTTGTGGGCCTGGAGGTTGTGTGTCACCTTTGTTAGCAGCCCAGGCAATGGATTTTGCCACATGGGCTTTTACACAGAATTACACTGCGATAGCTGATGTGGCATCTCATCCAATGTTGATCCAGATGGCAAAAAGAATGTTTGACAAGACTCGACAAAAATCTGCTCTTAAATTTGTACTGTACAGTGGTCATGACAGCACTGTTACACCACTTCTGATAAATCTTGGAGTTCATGATGATACAAGATTGACTCCATATGCTACAGGTGTGGTATTTGAACTATGGAGGGACACTCTTGCAGACACCTCAGCACAAAAAGATTCTGCAGATGGTTTTTATTTCCGAGTTCTTGTTAACGGAGAGGAAGTCACCAACAAAATGAAATTTTGTGGTGATTCATTGCTCAAAGATGAACTTTGTCCTGTGAGGGAATTAATTTCATGGCTTTCTGATGGTGAAGGTTTTGAACAAATGGACAAGAAATACAAGTTACTTTGTTCAACAACTTGATTCTGGCCAATGTAAATATACATGTTCTTTTTATTTATTTATATCCACATCGTTGTTGGCATTGTACTTTTTGGACAGTCTGGTAACAAATAAACATCTACAACCCTCTCCTGACAGATGATGTACACAGTTAGCTTAAAAGGTAAGTTTCCAGTACAACAGGTGACTGCAGAAGCACTGTTACCCTCCCCGCCCTTACCAAAAGTTTTTGTCAGGGTTTCTTTTGACAGTACTCCATCACCACTCTTTTAAGAATACAACAAATTGACCAATAACCTGCCAAGGGAATCAACTTGAACCACAGGAAGCCAAGTTATCAATCTAAACTATAGTGTTATGCATTTATCAATTCAAAGCTTTAAAATCTCCACCCAAATCCCTACCCACCCCCCTCAGCATTTGAACACTGCACCCCTCTAGGGAAAAAATTATTTACCAATGCCCCACCCAAATGTCGGATTTAATTGTCAGTTTTTTTGTTCAGTTCCTCCACATTCTTTATAGGACATTCCCAAAAAATTGAAAAATTTGATTTTATTCCACTGAATTGTTGTTTTGACCAAGAGCCATACTGGAGACTATGTAACGCAAGAATTCTGAGGAAAGCTTTTTTTTTCTTAAATCCTACATCTTTTTCTTAGTTTCCAAAGGCAATACATTTCTCCATACAAAATTCCTTGTGTAATAATGATATAGTGTAGATGTGGCTGCATATCAACCTTGAGCTATCTGTGCCTGAACCAACCATTCACAAGTTAAAAGTGGCTCTGTAGATGTTGGGTGTCATCTAGTTTTGTTGTGGATTGTGGATCCTTCATGAAAATTGTAAGGATGTGGAAAATTTTAAAAAAAGCAAAAAAAAAATAGGCCATACATTAACATTGTTACTTAAATCAATATGGTTAATAGAAAGTAATTGTTTATTGCTTTAAAAAAATTCAAAACAACTCCTGTGTTCATATAAAATATCAGGAATGGAGATTCCAAAAGCTCTATCAGCTAAATTATGATTAAAATGCCCTTGAAGAGTATTAATTGTGAGATAATTGAATTTTCATGCAGAAAAAATTCAATCTTCTTGTTATAGGAATCACTAAGTAACAAAAAACCTTAACAATAAAAAAATTCATTTAAAATGTTAATATCAACACTGCCTAGTAATCCCTTGCATTGGTAGTTGCGCCAAATTTGAAACTAAGCAATAATTTCAATGATTATTACATAACCATTTCTTAATTTCTGTTAGTTCAGCTTATTAATTTAAAAATATTCTTTATCTCTCCCTGTCTGGTAAAAATATACTGGTCTAATTTAAAGTCACTCTTTCAGCTTTTTAACAAGTTTTCCTATTATGAAACTATTACTAAGACTCAAAGAGCAAACTAACTGATAGAAAATTACTTGTTATATCCTTAATTCCCACAAGTAACCAAGAGAGAATTTCTCCTTACAATGTCAATACAGTATCTCACAGACAAGTGATGAGAGAAAAGAAAAATATTACAAAGGGGATTGTTTGTTGATCCAAAACCAAATTCTCCAAACTAACATGTTGAGAATCATATGACAAACTCTAAAGAGAATTTCTAAGAGGTCTTGGAAATGAAAGAAATCTGGTATAAGCCAACACCTTGTTATACTGTTCAACATGCAGAACTTATAAATTTTATTAATTTGTAATAATTTGTCCTATTGAATTAATCTTGTGTGCAATCAAAGTCAAGCCAGACTTCAAAATGGAAAACAGCTTTTATTAAAAATTCACCAAAATAAAAATTGGGTATATTAAATGGTGCTAAAAACAGCACCAGAGCTGTAACAGTAAAACTGAATTGCTTGTAATTTCTTCTTGTGTTTTAAAAAGTTAATTGAAAACCACACTGTTAAATCAATTTAACCCTTTACCTTCCCAGAATTGATTAACATAGAAATTCCTCCTTACAACATCCATATATTAAACAACAAACAAGTAATGAAAATACTCAAACTTGTAAGATAGAAGTTATTTTGATTTAACACCAAATTCTCTGAACTAAGTTACAAGTAAAAATGTAGCCATTAGAGGAAAGAATTAACTATCAGATCTTGGGAGTCGAAGGGTTAAAGGCAAGCATGTTGCATTTAATGGGCTCCAAAAGCTGCTTGCTTAGCCTTGAAAGCTTGCTTTCTGGCTTTGGCCTCCTCTGCTGCCTTTTTTCTTTCTTCTTGTTCTTGGCGAATTTCAGCTTCAAACTTGTTTGATGCTGTTTGTTCTTTCACCTTGGCTTCGAAAAACTTAGCTGCACCCCCCACACCTACTTCATCCACATTGACCTCAGCAAGTCTAGCTAGGGCACTCAAACCTGAGTCTTCCAGAAGTTCACCAGCTGCAGCTTTGCGGAAGATCAAGAGAAACTGCAAAATGAACAAATAATTCAGTCATTACCGTAGCATCATATGTCTGATAGTTATTAAATGCTTTGAAAGGTTGAGAAAAACTTGAATGGCTCCTAGCTTTATATTGTTAACCCTTTAACTCCCAAGATCTGATTGTTAATTCTCCCCTCTAGTTGCTACATGTTTCCTTGTAAATTAGTTCTGAGTAGTGAGTGAACATTATAAAGGGTTAAAAGACTAATCAAAGATTCTTCAAAGACCACAGTAGAAGTTATTGAAGTTTCAAAAATCCTCAAGAATCTTATGGAGATCTCTAAAAAAATTATTGGTGAGAAGCACTTACCTCCCTGAATGAAACTTTTCCATCATTATCTTCATCAATTTCTGCTATCATGGCTTTCAGTCCAACATGTGTTTGAGGAGCCCCTAATTTTTCCATCATCTGCTTCATTTCCATGAGATCCAGAAAGTGATCATTTTTTACATCATACCTGAAGTAAAAAAAAAAATTAATGATTAATACAACTTGACTATCATCTGGAAAAGAGCCCTGTCCTGCTCTCTTCTATAAAATGGAGAAGGACTGAGGGAGGAGGTCTGGACTTGCTGAGACTCCCAAAATTTAACCCTTCCACTTCTAGGGTAGAAAAAAAATTATTCTTAAAATATGTTTTTAATTTTCAAGCAAAAAGATTACAAGAAGAAAAGAAAAAATCAACTAGAGGATGTTGTTAAATTTTATACCCAATTCTTAGAGCTAAAAATGATAAGAAAACACATGGTATACAGTCAAGAGTAATGATGTTTAGATCTTGTAGGTGAAAGTTAGTTCTCCATTTTGTTTACTGTACATTCCTTGTAAATCGTTGGGAGAACCTGGAGTCATGTCAAAAAAACATCCTCCAATTAATATGATTCTCACTTCTCCCTACCTGATTGCTAGATAATGTAGTGATAATGAAAAGAGAAATAACAGTCACTCATGATTTCCAGGTGTACATCTTATCTAACTGCCACAAAAAAATTGCCAGACATATAGAAGCTCAAGATCACACAATTTCTGCTGTTATTATAATGATAATCAAAGTCCTTGAAGCAAAATCAAGTTTTTCCCCCTTCATTCTCCGACTATTTCCTCATCATCTTCTTCCTCTTCCTCTTCAAATACTCTCCAATTCTCGTCCTTATCTTTGCTATCACCCCTTAGTCAAGGAAAGAGAATGCCCCTCTAATTGTAGCCAAGCTAATGTTAATTAATTGTCAACTTCCTCTATAATCCTCTGATCAGAATTCAATGTCGTTTAAAAGATCTCCTTCGGAATTGTATACCTAACAAATATGACTATGTAAGTTTGTCTCGAATTTAATCCCGGAACACAAATTGTTGAAGGAACTTGCAATTAAAACTGGGATCTGGTCTCCCGCTGCTCCAATATTCTGCGATTTTTACAACAAAATTAAAAACAGTTTTCAACGTTTTCAATAATTTTATTTGAATCATTTATGAAAGGAAGTCATAACATGATGTTCACAGTCACAAAAGAAAAAAATTTGCATACGACTTCCATCAAAACATAATTTTAAAAAATTAACCGGAGCAAGGCTAGATGCTCTTTTGGGTGAAACAAGGAGATATTGTTGCCTCAGAAATGTAAGAGCAGCAGATCGATATAATAAAGCAATTCTCTCAGAGAGGAATTAAATATTAGTTTCGAAACTAGGAAGTGCCTCATCGAGTACGTGTGACCTGTGAAATTAAAACCCCAAGTGCTATCAATTACGGATAAGATGGCACGGAATGAGAAAACAGAACAGTTACTATTCCCCCTGGACTAACAAAGGCCAATCCTTATCGTAACTCTTCTTCTTTGTAAACAAGAGCTTTGCAAAATGAACCAACACTCACTTCTTGAACATCTTTTCGAAATCCTTAATCTGCTTCCTAGTAAATTCTTTGAACTCAGTGTAAGGATTGAAGACTTGTAGCTGCCGTCTTGGCGCGTCTTCGTCTTCATTCAAGGCCTGGCGACGGGAAAGCTTGTTGGCCAGTTCAGTTGTTTCCGACATGTTGTGTGCAAAATTCTGTTCCCTTCCTTCAAATTAAAACGGGAAAAATACACGAAGAAAGTACTACACACCCCCAGGTAAGTTCGTTCTTTGGAGTGACTGCTCCTAATTCCAGCACATCCCTGAAAGGCTCTTTTGAAAGGTACCCGTTGATTGGACGGGATCATTAAAAGGATATAAAACGATTTTTAATTGGCTGGTGAATATGTAATCGAAAGTAAAGTTTAGCTTCAATACACTTTCTTCTATGTGCAAACAATGATTTGCATACGCGACAAAAATATGTAATATTGTTTACTGAAGCGCTAAAACCCCAAACTAAATTTATTCCTTTTATGGCGTGTTTATAGCTCCAGGCAATTTCATTCGCGATTAATTCAAAACGATGTGCCACAAAGACCTACGCCTCAAATATGTTTTGACAAGAAAGTCACGCCTGCAATTTCACGTATGCTCGCAATAATTTAATATTTTTGTTGGAGAGTTGAATCGCACTTAATCAAAGGAAGTAGAAAAACAAAGGAAGTAGAAAAACAAAGGAAGTAGAAAAATAAAGTTAATATTCTATTAGGGATAGCCTTCCCCAAGTTCGCTGGTTCCGTTTTATTATTTCTTGTCCAAGTAATTGTAGTAAGCTCGTATGTTCCTGTCCCTCTTGAGATTTCAAAATAGCAATCACCATGAAAATTATTCAAACATTTGATTTCTTACGAGCCATCCAAAGATTGGTTCGTCTAAGATGACGTCAAAACTGTCACTAAAGCCGTGGCCACAGTTTTTCTCGGAGCGTCTGTGCTTAGAAAAGCTTTGCATTTCACAATGTGCCATTTGATCTCTATATCTAGAAAAAATATTCACACCTTTCTTGGGTATTTCACTGTCTCTCTCTTTAGTGAAACTCTGGCTAATGCAACTAAGAAACAAGACCAGCAAGTTATGACAATTATTTCCTTTATTTCACCAGTAACTGTTCATAACATTTACGAGAATTCAGCATCTTCCTAAAAAATTTGTCATATTCAATTATTTGTAATGATTTGTTTTTCTCTATCAGACTATCTTATCAAAGCATGACTGGATTGCAATCGTTTTTGAAAAAAAAACGATTATATAGCATTTTTTTGTAACATAACAAACAGTTTAAGATTAACAACTTTTTTTGGAACAGCAGGGCCCCAACTGTTAACCCTGTAGCTTAGCTGCAGGACCTGCTCGTGATTGTCAAAACATTCCTCCACCATGTGTTGCTTGAGCATTTAACACAATGGCATCATAACACAACCAGAACAGGAACAATTGCAAAACCAGGTACAGGATTAAAGTTGGAGAAAGCAGTTTTCACATGGTAGCCTAAAATATAACTCTTTTAGAGAACATTACATACTGACACAATTATCACAGCTGAGTATTAGTGTAAATTAGCATAATTAATACACCATACAAAATTTAACTAACTAAACTTTAATCTGGTGAGAATCCATTTATGGGAATTTAATTTATGATTCCCCTTCCTTTGCAGCACACCCACAATCAGCCCCGGCCGCTGATGCAGATTCTGTTTCATCCTTCTTTGACTCATCAGATTTGATTCCTAGGACTTCAAGGATTTTTTCATTGGCGACATGGTCTCCTGGAGATGCCTGTTTGTGATCTAGAAGAACTTTCTCTCCACCTGCTGTCACTATCAGCATACCACCATTTTGCATGCCATCACCTTTCATGTTTCCTTTGATTCCCAATGAATTGGCCTACAACAGCACGGGGAAACAATAGGGTGTTTAAATAAAATCATTGTAAGCCCACAATGCTTCATTTGAAGGAAATAATATATAGATTTAGCCAAGCCTAAAAGCAGAGCTCACATTTTTTTTTCCCCCGCACGACTCAAGGGCACAACACCTTGCCCCAGCCAGGACTAGAACCTAGGTCGTCCAACTTGAGCCCAGTGCACTGACCACTGGACTACTGGACAAAGCCGTGGAGTTGGCATGCCTGTGGTACAGTTGACCACACATGTTAAAAGTAGCACCTTGTATGGTCGTACGGTCGTACATACAAATTTTTTCAGCTTGATGGGTTACTACTGTTTTGTATAATTATGGGGCTATGCTCTGTGAGCTCTGCTATTAAGTGTGTGACAGTCAAAACTAAGTGGGTGACTTTCAGTTAACATTACAATTGGTATAAAGATTTCCATAGTGGTGACATCAATCATACTGCCTTAGCAACTTCAGAAAGGGTGTAGTTATAGGAACTTTCTAAGCATTTATTATCAGAGTTGACAAGACATTGAGACATAATGAATGACTTGAACTGTGACCATTAAAAATCAAAATCTGCATTTCCAACATGTTCAGCCTTGGACATATTCCTGAGTCTTCCTAGGGGTTTGCCTCATTGAAATTTTGCTTGTAATTGTCCCCTTTTACCCATGGCAAGTTCTTGCCTAAATGAAATCTAATCACACTCACCAAAAAAAGGTTAGAATTTCAGCAGAATTATGTACTCATTTTGATCATATTTTATCATTGGTCAAAAAGTTCTTGGAGGAGGCATGATGAATGAGAAATGGGGCCTGACACAAGGCTAATGTTGTAGCTTTCGTATTATCCTTTAAACAAGTTGGTGTCTAGTTGCTTCCCTAATTATTTTATTTAATGCTCTAATTTGGTCACATTGCTAATTCCATGAATATTCGTTTAAGGAAAAAAACCTTTATTGAAGGCAAAATTGCAAGAGTAGAAAGGCCCACCAGCAAATCCCTATCATTTGATAGGGCAAACTCGCTTTGGAAAGGGCAAACTTCCTATGGGATGAAACCTCTCACAAATAGAGGAGTAAGATCTAAGCCCTACGTTAATTTTTTTTTGGTAATTTGTATTTAGTTGATTCATTCTTTGTTTTTTTCATACCTCATCGTAGATGTTTTTTTAAAGCTTGCTGGTGTCCTTCTTTGCCAGCTGCATCTTCATGCATGTTTCTTATATTGCACATTATTTCACAGTCCTCTTGTTTTATCTTTTATGCATTATCACTTCTTAAGTCAGTTGACTTAAATTCATGTTTTTTGTTATTCTCTGTTTAGAAGTCTACAAGCTATTCAATTTTGCAGGTATATATCTGGTGTTATCAATGAAAGTATTTTTTTTTTCCATTTCACTTCCTTTGTATTCATTTGTTGTTTGTAATTGTTTGTAATTTGTTTACCTTAATTAGTTAACTCAACTCTTATTTATGTTTTTAGTTTCAACCTACTACTACTACTGCTGCTGTCTAAATAAAAAGTATTTTAAGTTAAAAAGATAACATTTTCGCTGTCACAAGAGATGACTATGGAGTATTGCCTTCCTGTACAGAATGCAAGTCATTACCCATATCACCCTGGCAGTTTGCTAGTAATCATTTGCACTCCTGGAATGGACACCATAAGATATAAATGTAATACCCACAAACACAATACAAGAACACTCTGGCCAGGGCCAGTGCCTGCTCTTCGATAAGTCAATAGTATAAGCCACCAGGTTCTAAGCTATTGCATCTTTCAAAAATTCAATATAACCAAAATTTAATTGAAAATATAGGGTACAAAAATGAAAAACAAAAACAGTATAAAAGAGCAATGCTTGCCTTGGATATTGAGAGTCGTGTCTCTTTAGCTGCCAATCCACCAAAAACATTGATAACATTATACCTAAAAAAAAAATCAAACATAGTCCAAAAAGTTAAGTGAAAGCATTTAAGTCTAGCAATTTGATTATATTTATCTTTCATTCAACCTTAGGCCAGCATAAATGTGAAATAAGTAAGAGAATGGTGTTAAATAGAGGTGACCAGAATCAATGATGATGATGATAATGATGTTTGTCTCTCCCTAGCAAAGATGACCATTGCTTCATGTATCAGTGGGTGTTGCAAGTGCAAAGATGGCTGAAAAGTCCAATCTTAGTTCAAAACAGTCTGTCACAATGCAGACATGGGATCACCACAGGTGGGCCAGGTAGAGATGACAAGAATTACTTACCTCTTGAATCCCAAATCTTTGTAGATTTGTTGTTTAGCATCAATGTACAACTCTAAGGAAAGACCACATACTCCATTTTAGGCAATCATTTCAAAAACAATTTTTGTGTAAAAAGTCATTAACCTAATGGTCATCCTCATTTAACTAGTTTACTCCAACTATGGAACCCTGAAATGGAAATTTTATTTCTTCACTTGAAAAAAGTAACAATGTGGGTTGCTGGCATTTGAGAGTGACAAAATTGCTGACAGAGATTTACAAAAAATAAATAAAGAAAGAAACACTAGACGAAAAGATAGCTCCACCTCACAGGGAACATTATATCCACATTGAGACATGTGAAATCTAGTTGAGCATATTTACATGAGCCTCTGACATAAAGTATTGGGTAACCACTATACCCACATGACACACACTAAATGAATCGTCGTGTCTATTAAGCTTCACGCTTTTTTTGCGAAAAAACTGTAAAGATTCCATGTTGCTGTGCATCTGTTCGGTAATAGGTTACAGATGACATCAGAATGTGGAGAGACAACAAAAAAAAAGACATGCAAAGAGCAGCTAAGTGTCATAGATGTTCTAACCAAAGTCTTTTGTGATCTATTACTGAACAGACCCACTGCAATAAGGAGTCTATTTGTTTTATATGATAAAAAAGTAAAATGTTGTCAATGGTGACATCATTTATGCATCTTTCATGCAATAAATCATAAGTACGAATTAATAAAAATGCATTTATCATTCAGAAAGTTCAATAATTTTTTTTTCCAAACCTCCAGTGAAAAACTTTTTTTCTACGAATTCTTCAAGACCTAATTCCTCAAGGCCCACACCGCACAGTCGTACATTGTGTGCATCAAGCTGTGATTTGACCGAACTAAGCTCAGTCGACCACAGCCTGCACAACTGTCACCCAAAGCGACGAAGAAAAACTACCACTGCAGTTTGCTTGGCCCATAAACTCTGCAGCTCAACCATCTGATCAGAAATAATAGTGAGTTCACATGATAAGTTAAAAGCTCTCAAGGAATTACAAAGAAAAAATAACAAAGAAAGTGTATGGACAGTTATTCTCAATTGATGGATTTAGGAAAGATGATGCCACCTGGGTAGTTCAATATATCAAAGGTTGAAATACTGGTCATAAAGTCCATGCTATTTATAACTTTTTCATAGGTGAAAGATCTTCATGGAAATTATAGGGGAAACATTAGATGGCCTGAAAGTCTGTGAATTCAACCATTCTCTCAAATTGTCACCAAAGACAATAATTACTGTTCAAGTTTTCCATATTGACCCATAACACCCTCACCGATATTTCCATGTCAAATAAGGTTCCACACCCAGTTTTCATCTCTAACTCAGTACCCAAAATCAGTCATTGTAGTGCAAATAATTGGAAAAAATTGCTTGAATCAAATCATTCAAATCAAATCAAAGACTTGGGACAGTAAATATGTTAATTATAGGCCATATTCCGAAGAGCCAAGGAAATAAGCTGAAACTCACTCATGGACTCCTTGAATATTAGTACTGTAAGAGTTACGTAACAGAAGTAACTTTAAGAAAATTGAATGTTGCAGAAGGAAATGATTGCACATCTTAAAGAGAAAATGAAACTTGTAAAGGTTGACACCCTCACATTAGGCTGAGTTCAGAGCGTCGGAAAAGTACAAGTAATCTTTCGAAAAGCTTTTCAAAGAGACCTGTAGCTGTGCACAAAGTTTACGATTGTGAAGAAATTCGTTTCTAAAATGCTTTCACTAACTGTTAAAGCTCTTACCTCTCCAGTAGAGACACATTTTATGAGATTTTGAGCGATTTTACTCAAATCCATGGCGATTTGACACCAGAAAGCACAGTATAGATGCGTTCAAGATGAGAACATGCCGTAAACCTGAGCTGTCTTGTCCACAATGGTCACGTGATAAGAGATGGCCCGCCTTGCGTGATGTGACGAATCAACTTAGTTTCAACTTTTTGTAGTGGATTTTCTCTGTAGAAATACAGCCATGTTACACACGGACATAAACATTTTTCTATAAAATATTAACCTGTAAAGGTGGTGCAGTAAGAAAATGACGGGAGGAAAAGCAGAAAAACGCGTTTTTTTAGGGAGAGTTTGTGACGTTCATCCAGTCTCTGACAAGGTGACAAAATACATACACCCGACTTTTATTATAAATTATGTGTACGGTATTTGTCATAGAGGGCGGATATAGTCAAGATCAACGATTTCTGAGAGGGGAATTAAAAGGAAAAAAATGCCACAACAATTGTTTGTCAGTTATATTTTTAAGTTTCCTCCTAAAAAAAAAAACTTTTTTTGTACCTCTTTGTTTGGCTGAACAATGATGGTGTTGGGTACGGAGTTCTCAAAAAAATTTGGACAAGTTCTTGTTATTTACTTCCTTGACTTACGATCCTCATTTTTGTTATTTATCTCCTCATTGCTTATGGTCTTCAGGGGTCATTTTAATGTCCGGTGCACGTTTACGTGAGCCCAAATTGAATAACATCTGCATCTGAGCTTCCGGTTTGCTTACATTTGCATATTAAGGCAATGTACTGAAGTAGGAACAATTCCCTGAGAGCCACCGACGGCCTGATTTTATCAGGAAACCTAATCTGTGAGAGTCCAACTCCGAAGAAAAGTGAGACCAGTAGAGCACAAGTTTGTTCCTGAGAAGCACTGTATAAAATCACACCATTGTGTTGCTGGCTACTTCGTGCCGACGGCCATTTTAAAGAACGCAAATTGAAAACGTCTTATGTTTTGCTTGAGAACAAGTGACAAATTTTCCGTCAGTAATCGTTGTCTTTGAGATCAGCACAACACCCGAGAATGTCCTCGACCAGAGACTATACCCGGGCTGAAATCAGCGATACAACAACAAACGTTCCTTTGCTAAGCGAAGATTCTTGGGAAGATGGACCCAGCGACCCAGTTTTGCTCATTAACGACACAGTCGAAGATCATCCCTCCGTTCGTTTCTCTGTCTCCTCGGCGGGAAATGGCTCAAATTTTAACTCCCCGTGCAAGCTTTCAAAGACCACAGCCCTTGTAGGGATCATTGCTGCGCTCATCGTGATTTGCATCGTGTTATCTGCGTTGCTGTCAAGACATAAACAAGAGAAGGTCGTGATACCCTCACACCAGAGTACTGTGTGTGTTACCGAGGGTTGTATAGACGCAGCTTTTCACATGTTTCACGCACTAAACCGATCCGTTAAACCATGCGACGATTTTTACGAATATGCCTGCGGAGGTTGGTTGCAGAATCACCCAATTCCTGAGAGCAAATCTTTCTGGGGGATTTATTCAGCTTTGCAGGAAGACAATGAAAGGCTTCTACGCCAATTGCTAGCTACACCAACGAGGTCACCAACCATGAAGAAGGCCAAGACTTTTTACGATTCCTGTATGAACATGACATCAATCAACAAAATGAGGGCAAAGCCACTGCTTGATATAATTGATGACCTTGGTGGATGGAGCATAACGTCGCCAGATTGGAACAAAACAAAATTCGAGTTTGGCAAAACCCTAAAAATAGTTCAAAGGAAGTATTCAGTTTCCGCCTTTTTCGGCGTAGATGTTGATGCAGATGATAAAAATTCTTCAAAAAACATTATTAAGGTAAGCGTACTACCGATGTAATGTGTACATCAGTTTAATTGGGAAAGATATATTCCCGTGGTCATGGGACGCACCAACCTCAACCCAACCGCAACCTATCTGCGGTCATAAGAGAAAATCAAAATTATCAGTGACTATTACTTAGAACAGGATAGGTGAGGAAACTACGAACATCTGTTTGACTGAAAATGAGTTCATTTTCATATATCCAGAGTGCAAATTTGTGACACAAGTGCAAATTACAATTACTGTGTGCATTGTCAAAATTTGGTCTGTCTTGACTTTCTGTGATGCTTTTTTAATGTAAATTATTAATAAGTGTTAACATGATTTTACATGTAATTTGGTGTAAATAAGCTCTTAAAAATTATCTCATTGTTGTGCATTGTAAGTTTATGGTTATTATTTTTTTTTGAAGGTTGATCAAAATGGACTGGCATTATCTCGAACATACTACCTGAGCAACTTAACTGATCCGGTGGGTTTCATCTCTGGCATGTTAATAATTGTCTATATGATGTTTATAATTCTGATGAGAGTGAGTAGATTCTAACACACTCAGTCATCACAGAAGTCATTGACTCTTTGACTCCTGGTAGTGAATAACATGTAACTTCTCCCCAAAATATCCATTCATTATGAAGCAACATACTGATGAGAATACTTAGAGTTGTGGTTGATTGTTACTAATTTACAAGGAAATCTGTACCAGCTAGAGGGGAGAATGAACAATCAGATCTTGGGAGTTAAAGGATTGATGAACAGGAACAATTTTTAGCATTGATTAGGTGTAAAAGGAGAAGAAAAATGCTACTAAACTGCCTATCTAACTCTTAGATATTTTATATTTCATTCCACATAACAAGAGGTAGGTATTTCTCCGACTGCTTCTCACCAAGTTATTGGTCTCAAAATTTTAATGCAAAGTTCAAGCTAGGTGGGTCCTGGGGTGCTTGTGACCCCCCTCCCCCCCTCCCCTTTGTAAGCCCTTTTTTTTTTAAATAAACAACCTACAATACTCAGGTAGCAAAAGCTGGTGAGTACCCCCTCTTTAACCCAGTATGACACCCCCCGTACTGAGTGTACTCCCCCCCCCAGTGTACTGATGAGGCTACGGTTTTCTTTGTCCACAGAAACTGGTTGCCTACTTGAAGTATATGACTACTATTGGTGTTTTACTGGGAGGAGAGGAGAATGAAACAAGAAGGCAGATGCAAGAGGTTTTAGAGTTTGAAATTAAATTGGCAAAGGTTTGTCACGTAGAAAATGATCAATAGTAGGTATTATTGATAGCATGTTTCCTTTTATTAACCATTAACCCTTTAACTCTCATGAGTGACCAACACAGAATTTCTCCTTACAATATCAATACAATGTCAACCAGATAAGTGATGAGAATAAAGAAAAATATCAATTTGGGGATAATTAGTTGGTCCAATACTAAATTCTCTGAACTAATATTATGAGAATTGTATTGTTGATAGTAGGGAAAATTACAAATTTGACCTGGGAGTCAAAGGGTTAAACTGCCATGAGTGACAAAGACATAATTTTCTCCTTGCAATATCAATGCAATATCAAGCAGAAGTTGATGATAATAAAGAAAAGATATCAACAGGGGTATTGTTAGTTGATCCAATACCAAATTCTCAGAACTTAAATCATTAGTATTGTATGACAGACAGTGAGGAGAATTACTAATGAGATCTTGGGAGTAAAAAGGCTAAGAATGCTACATCAAATGGACTGATTGTAGCTTGAAGCACCAATGATAGAGGGTCCAGTTTTCCTAGACAGCACTTTTACTTTTTCAGCTTATTTACTCCTAGATCTCATTAATAATTCTCCCATATGCATGGTATACAATTCTTATTATATTAGCCTGGAGAACAAACTGATAATTCCCTAATTTATATTTTTCTTTACTTTCATTATTTGTCTGCTTGATGTTGTATTATATTGTATTGATATTATGAGGAGAAATTCTTTCTTGGTCACTCATGGAAGTTGAAGGGTTTAACATGAACAATAATGGTCCATTTTACAATTGTGTGCTTGATTGCCAAGCCTTTTAAAAGAAGTGAGGCTAAGGGTGACCTTGTTTTGATACAAACCTTGCTGCTTTTCAAATGTAAATTACTCTGTTACCATGCAAACTAGATACTGATCTCTATCACAACAAGGTCACCTTCAGCCTCATTCCAAATCAAAGGCTTGGCAACTAAGAACACAACTGTAAAATGGCCTTTTGTTGAACCCTTCCATGCCTCAAAGAGACCAACAAGTTATTTTTTGTCATGATATCAATACATTGTCAAGTAGAAAGGTAATGAGGAAAAAAGGGAACATTAGCAAGGGGATTTTACTTGATTCTACATCAAATTCTCATGGTAAATGTTTCTAGAAATGTAAGAAAGACATTAGAGAGAACCTTGAATTTAGATCCTCTTAGAGGAAGGTTTAATAGATTTAGAGTGATCAACTCATGAAGTCATTATTTTTATGGAACAAATTGTTACAATAGCAGCAGAAAAAGAAACCTTTTTTGTGTTAACCCTGAACTCTCAGAAGTGATTAACATGTAACCTCTCCTTATCATAACCATAAATATCCAGCAAGTAGGTAATGAGATTATTCAAACTTATCAGGTAAAAGCTGTTTTCTTAACATCAAATTCTTGTAACTAATTAATAAGGGAACTGTGTATTAACTAAAGGGAGAACCTGTTTATCAGTGAGTAACAATCAACATGAAAAATTTTTTCAAAGTTCAAAAAAACGTTTTTCATGTGGTTGGTAGTCATCTTTGATAACTTTAATATACTGACTATTTTCATTTAAAATAAATTATAGGTTGATAGTCATCTTTGATAACTTTAATATACTTATTATTTTCATTTAAACACCTTTGTTTTCAGATTTTTGTGCCTCATGAAAACAGAAGCCAGATTGATGAGATTTACAACAAAACAAATATCAAGAACCTCACAGAGCTTTGTCCACAGGTAATGGAATTATATTGAAGAATATTGGATTATTACAGGACTGATTTGAAACATTTTGATCTTCTCACTTGTCTTGTCTAGTGCAAGACAAGTCTTAATGCCACGACAAAAGATACTCATGATACAAAAAAAAAAATTAAGTCAGATGAATTTTGTGGTAAGTCTGCTCTCAAGCCTGACAGCCTATACCCATCAGCCAATTAAAGCTTTCTCTTGTATCAGTGTCAAGAAGTGGCCAGGAGTATTGCTGTTCTTTCTAAGACAGTTGCCAGTGGACTTATTTATACTTCTTAGTGGGGAGAGGCACTATGAAATTTTATTATCCAAATGCACCAAGTAGAGTGCAAATAACATGTAAATCAAGTACAAAGATCATGCATTGTTTGAAATGGTGGTTATTTGTACTGTAAAAAAAATAATTGTGTAACCAGTTGGCTAAGCATGCTATGCCTCTCTATCTGCTTTACTTTCTACACCTAATAAACAATGTGCAGAAAATAATTAAAAGCAGCTGGAAAATAAATAACTTATGTGATGTTTTGGTCTTTCATATCGCTGAGCAATTTTACTCGTTGTTTTTATTTTGACTAGCCCTGCAGGTTCATCAAAATGCAGCACAGGTTATAAAAATTATTCTACACACTAAAACTTCTAATAAGAGATATTAACTGTCTTGCCTATGAACAGACAAGGACCTGACAAAAGTTCAAAGTTGCACCTCATAAGTCATAGTCCAGTGCAAATTGTGTACTTTGGCCTTGAAGGGAAGCAAAAATTTTCACAATTCTATTGCAGTTATACTCAGGCTCCTGGTTTTTATACCCAAAAATAATTGGCTTTGGATCACTCCAACAAGAGATTCTTTGCAGATCTCTATTAATATTGTTGCAGACTGAGGTTTATCTATGTTGTCGGAGCAAGGGGGGAGGGGTTTCCTTTTAATTTTTAACCTGATCTTATCAATATTTTTTTGATTAGTGGAAATATTGTCAGAGCACAGTCTTGCCAACAATAGAAATAGAAATTTATTTTTAGTTTCAAAATCAAATTGTATAAGGAAATCCTTTACATGGACTATAGTGGCTCCCCTGAGCTACTTAATTCCTCTCTATTTGTGGTTTCTTCTCATAATAAGCACATGTTTGATGAGATTGAGCTTGATATCATGAATTATCAATACCAAAGTATGAGTTATCTGCCAGGGCTGAAGGCTGAGACAGATGACACAGACACAAAGGTTGATAAATAATTCATGATATCACTATATCAAAACCAAATTCAGTGATTGTTTATTGAACATTTTTTTAAACAATCTGCTAAACGAGACAATTTTCTCTGAGTTTGCCAAAGTTTTAAAATGCTACCTGCACAACAGGCTTGGAAAAAAGGCAGACTGGTTGAACTTGACATGATAATCCAATATCTGCAGTAGGCATGGGTTATCATGTAAATGTCTATTGTATTTGGCCTGTATCAGCTCTTAACCAATGAGAGTTTTTATTGTGAGTCTGATGTACAATATGATCTGTCTTTAAATGTATGTGAGGCAAAATTATTAAACTAGAACAGAAACCAAAGAAGCATACAGTAAGAGGCTCCTGGTTAACCATTATAGGAACAACAGCAATAATCTTACATGTACCTGGATTCTAACATGATATTATTTTCATCTTTTAAGATCAGCTGGCTTGATTTCTTCAAGAATCATTTCAAAGACATACCTGACATTAAAAATGAGGAAGAGGTTGTGGTGTATGCCACACGATATCTTGCGGCTTTGTCACCAGTGATAAAGAATGCATCAGACATGTGAGTATTATTATATCTCTTTTAATCTTCTGTTTTATCATTCTTTTACTCCTGGTATTAAAATATCAATTCTGTGGTCTGTTTGCCCAACAATTCTTTAACTTTGAGCCCTGAGAATTTAAAATAATATAGAATATAAAATCAAACAGTTTCAGTATCGTCACCTTTCGCTTTAAAATTGAATTCATTAGGTTTTGTATGGAGAATTTCCAAATGGGAGTAAAAACTTAAAATTGAATTATACTGCATTTTGTGTTGTAGTTTTGAGCGTAGGTATTTTGAAGCTCATTCAAGGAAATATTTTTACTGACAAAAAAATTTTTCCCAGGTTGCTGAATAATTACTTGGTGTGGCAAGTTGTTCATTCATTTGCACCCTTGCTATCAGAGAAATTCCGTGATGCTCATGAAGATCTGATCAAAGTATTAACAGGCTCCACAAGATCAGAAGACTTGTGGAAGAAGTGCATGGCAAACACAGATGGAGCCATAGGGATGGCTTTGGGAAAGCTATTTGTGGATAAGGTCTTTGATGAAACCAGCAAACAACAGGTACACAGTTACACATTTATTTAGCTGTTTGTGTGAGTAATAATATACATTAAAAAAAAATACACCCTCTGATTGGCTGAAAACCAGTGCTTTTTTTAATGTAACATGAGCGTAAAGCTGTAACACAAGTGCAAACTACAGATAGTGCACCCGCTGCCAAAATTCTGTAGGTCTTGACTTTCTGAGATGCATTTTTCATGTAAATTATTAGCAAGTAACCACATGATTTGGCATGCAGTTTGGTGTAAATAGGCACTTATAGATTTTTCAAATGCTAAAAATTACACTATCTCACTCTTTGTTGTCTTTGAAAAATTTACTTAATACTTATTAACACCAAATTGCATTCCAAATCATGTTATCACCTGTAAAAATAGATCTGACCTCAGAATTGAGATAGTTTATCCAATGGATAATTTTTTTGGCATAATTATAGCAGGTGATGTGTATTGTTCAACTACTACTTTTATTAAATAACTTACCCTGTTTATTGCATAAAAAGCTACCTAGGCCTGTATTCTGTGTACTCCTTCAAGTAAATGCTGTCGGAGTATTGTTTGTTTGACCAACTTGTATCAACTCCACTTACAGTTTTATCCATGAGGATAAAGTTGTCAGTTCACTTTGTATTCCCCTCATGAAGAACTTAACTACTGTGTACTATCAGGCTAGGCCTCTATTACAGCACCTTTTCATGTAAGAGCTATCTGCAAGTGCTGCCTGTTTGACTCACTTTTACTGACTCTAATTCTAGTGTTATCCATGAGGATAAAATAGGCCATTTTACAGTGGTGTGCTTAGTTGCCAAGCCTTTGATTTAGAGTGAGGCTGAAGGTGACCTTGTTGTGATAGAGACCAGTATCTAGTTAGCATGATAACAAAGTAATTTACATTTGAAAAGCAGCAAGGTTTGTATCATAACAAGGTCACCCTCATAGCCTCACACCTGTTCAAAGGCTTGGCAACCAATCATGCAATTGTAAAATAGACTATTGTCACCTCATGCTCTGTTCTCCTTGTAGGAGACTGTAGTGTACCTCAACCCTTGAAACCCTGAGAATGACCAGCATCTAATTTCTCCTTACAATATCACCCCCAAAATCACACATAAAGGTCACGAGAAAAAAGGAAATGATCACCAATGATAGAAACTCTAGATTGTTAAAACAAGTTCTCCTTACCATCACCTTAGAAATTGTATTGAGAACAGTATGGAGAATATGCATACTGATGTCAGGGTGTAAAGGGTTAATTTATCAAAGTTGGATCCTTAGCAGCCAGTACAGTCTTAAGTTCATGCTTATATATGTCTGTTTCAAATTGATGGCAGGCCACTGAGATGGTTGATGCTGTGCGTAGTGCATTTAAGAAAGGTCTTCCATCTCTTGAGTGGATGGATGAAAAGACACGCAAGGCAGCGGATGACAAGGTATCTAGCTGTTAACAAAGTAATTTGTTAACAGTAGTTAACAAAGTAAAATCTGTTAGCTGTTAACAGAGTAATTTGACCCTTAAGAGCAATCACCATCTAATTTCTCCTCACAGTATAACCCCTGAATCAAGCTCTAACAAAGTGCTAACATTTGAAATGTCTGCTTTGAAACTCTTTACAATGGCCAATTTACATTATCAACTCAGTTGATAATACTTAATAACCTTGTTATACTCTCACTGATGCACCACCACAGCTTCTCTAGAAACCTACCCCTTTTACTAATTTATCAACATCAACTGGCCATTGTAAAGAGTTTCAAAGCTGACTTTTCAAGCAACAGCCCTTTGTTATTTTGCTCTGACTAAGGGCTAATGCTCAAGATCCATTTTTTGGGAGGAAAAAATAAGAGTTTTGGAAACAAAAGTTGTAAAATTTGCCACATGATAATCCATGTCTTTCATCTTCCTGCAATTTGATCAGTTACTTTAAACAAGCCTTGAAGTCTGATTGGTTGTTTTGTTTTTAGTGTAGCCTCCTCATTGGCTGGGGAAAAGATGCAATTTAAACCAAAGAATGGTGCGATTTGGGAATAAATCGCACCAATTAGAGCCAATTAGATCACAGGGACCACCAGTGATTTCAAAATGGGTGTAATAAATCATTGAAAGTCCAAGATTTATTACTTATTACAATGATTTAAAAATTGCACTTGATATTTTTGCTGGTCAAGAAACAAAAGTTAGAGTCAGTTTTCTGGAAGCAAAACACAAGAATCAAAGTGTTTTTTCTTTAATACTTTCAGGCAGATGCAGTGGTAGACATGATTGGATTTCCAGACTACTTCAAAGATCCACAAAAACTTGAAGAGAAGTACAAGGGGGTGAGTAGAAGCAGTTGGGTACGACTTTTCTGCTACTGAACACCATAAATTTGCAAAACAGTACTCACATGTAACAGTGATGTAGGTCAGTAGGTCATTTTACAGGGGAGTACTTAGTTGCCAAGCCTTTGATTTAGAGTGAGGCTGAAGGTGACCAGTATCTAGTTAGCATGATAACAAGGTAATTTACATTTGAGAGTAACAATGTTTGTATCATAACAAGGTCACCCTTAGCTTCACTCCAGTTCAAAGGCTTGTCAACCTGGCATGCAACTGTAAAATGGACTATCCTGCATGTAAGCTGTCTTCCTTGAACTACACTGGAGCGAATTAATGCATGAAAGCTTGGGGGGTGGGGGGGGGGAGGGTTGTACTGTGTCACAATCCTGGGCACAGGCTCTCATTTCATTCTGGGCACAGGGTTCTTTTGCACTTAAATTCTGGGCACTGGGATTTGGTTTTGAGAAATTTTGGCTGAAAGATTCCTGTATACCCAAGTTTACGTACCTTAAATTGTTGTTGATGATGTTAATGGGCAATCTACAATTTGGTTTCAGGGTACTTGTATACCCAAAACTTTGGTGTAGGATATGTGACAGTGTAATCCCTAAGCTAAATGTTGAAAAAGAGAAGTCTCTTAACCCTTTAACCCCTAAGAGTGACTAGCATATAATTTCTCCTTACAGTATCATTACTGAATCACACATTAATGTTATGAGAATAAAGGAAATGATCACGAATTAAAGAAACTCTTGATTGTTAGACAAATTCTCCTTGTCAGCACCTTAGTAAATGTACAGAGAACAGTGGGGAGAATATGAATGCTGATGTTAGGGTGGAAAGGGTTAATGGCTAGTAATTTCTAGGTCATTTTCTTCATGGTCTTTCTTTTTGTTTGAAAATTATAATTTGGTTGATGCATTTGAGGAGGCTGTTGATATGAATGTAGTATCGAATTTTCTTTCTGATTGGACATCATTAAAGTAGGTAGATTGACTTTGATGTTTGCCCTTTTTTTATATATTCATTCCCTCAGATAATTTTGTATTACATATTTCACTAACCTGTTATGGAAAATTTGCAATAATATGAACAATTTTCTTCATTTTCAGCTTAATTTCAACCCCAAGAATTACTTTCAGAACATGCGCAATTCCGATGACTTCCATCTGTCCAAGACCCTGCATATGCTTCGAAAGCCTGTTGACAAACATAAGTATGTTTATTGTATGTGTGAATACCTCATACTTATTAGTTGTGGGTGACTTAGAAAATTCTCAATGCATTACAGGGGGAAATATTTGAAAAAAATATTTTAAGTTTAGTGGTTGGTTATTGATTTCCATACACGTGAGGGGGTGTGTGTGCACAAAACAGTGAACCTACACTCCCAGTTGTTAGTTGGGACATTTTTCCAGAACAATGCCTATTATGTTCTTTCACCCCTCCCCCCTTCCCAAATTGTTAAATAATTCTGTGTCCATGCCATCTTGTACACCAACACTGAGAGGGTCAGGGAAGGCTGTATTAGTGTTCCGAAAAAATATACCCCAGGGTGTAATTCCCTCCTTTTTTTTTTTTTTTTTTTTCCCTCTTGTGATTTACTCCATTTTATTTATTCTCTTAACCTTTATTCCTACTTTATTACATGTTTAAATTAATACTCTTTGTGATTAGTGACTATAAACTGTACACTATGAGCCCCTCATCTTGACCTCCTTGGATAGCACATGTGAAAGGAATCAATTGCTGAAACAAATTTCTAAGAAAGGAGGTCCAGTTTAGTTGGTGTACCCTTTGTTTGTTGGGCTGTCATGGTCTGAGTGGGAGAAATTGTAGAGAAATTGGCAATTATGAAGCTACTTGAAAATCTGTTATGAATCTTATGATCAATTCATTTAGTCATATCAATTTAATTTTTTTCTTTTGAATCTCATCTGTAATAGGTGGTATATGACTCCACAAACTGTAAATGCTTACTATAGTCCATCCAGGAACCAGATTGGTAAGTTTATACTTCTAGTCAATTGCCCAGAGAAAACACAGTCATACTCCACTGTTTATTATTACTATTATTATATCATTACTAACACCATTGGCCTTCAGTCTTCCCGTTGTCTTCATTTTCATCATTGTTATTCACAAAAACATCAGTGTTATCAAAGCTCTCCAGTTTATTTGCTGGCAAAGAGTAAAATGGGCATCACCACTTCAGAGGGGTATAGGGGTATTCCCCTGCCCCCCAAAATTGTGAACAATTGAAGTAGCCAAGATGTGCATTCCTTATTATGAGCAAGAATTTCCACTGTTGGAAGGTGTTTGAATGGAGTACAAGAGGAATAAGGAGTAAATTATATTTAAAAAGATAATTAATTTTCTAGCAATTTACCTTCTCAAAATCAACAGGTGAAATCAGAAACCTTAATTGTGCACAAAACAATAGTTTCAACATGAAAGCATAAGTTAGATTGAATTCATTTGAGTTTCTGCAGTATTGTAATGTCAGTCACTCTCCTAATTATTAGTCAGAGCTATTATTACTACAATTCTACTGCATTGATGAAAGCAATCTTTATATTTGTCTATAAAATTTTATTATTGCATGCAAATGTGGAGTGAAAGTAATTGGTGAGTCATAGGAATTTGAGAGGTGATTGACTGGTTATCATCATTTGTTACCTTGCAGTATTCCCAGCAGGAATTTTGCAAGCTCCATATTATAACAGGAAATTCCCAAAGTAAGTTGAATTTTACTGTATTCAGTATTACAATGATTCAAACAATTGTAATTGTTATTGATAATTAACCTTTTAACTCTCTGAGGTGATTCACATGTAATTTCTCCCTACAAAATCCATACACTATAACAGGAAATTCCCAAAGTAAGTTATCACAATGCAACAATGTAATTGTTAACATCAGTATCCATATTCTCTGTAGTCTTCTTTATACTTTTCCTTTATTACTGATGAGGAGAATTAATTTAACCCTTTAACTCCCAAGATCTGATTGCTAATTCTCCCCTCTAGCTGCTACACATTTCCTTGTAAATTAGTTATGAGAACCTGGTGCTAGATCAAGATATCAGCTTGTACCTGATAAGTTTGAATATTCTTATTACCTGTTTGCTGAATAATGTATGAATATTATAGGGAGAAGTTTCATGTTAATCAAAGTTCCATAATATGAAAATAATTTCCTTTATTCTCATGATCTTAATGAATGATTCAGCAGTATTACTGTAGGGAGAAATTAAAGGCTGATCACTCTTAGAGTTTAAAGGGCTAAGGGATCACAATTTTGTAATCAGGTATTTTGTTAACTCTTGATGGTTATTTTGATATTAATTTTATATTTTCAGTTGAAAATATGTCTTCCTTATGTTTAAAATGCATTTTTTTCCTCCTGTTTGTTCAATTCCTGACAGGGTCGTCAACTTTGGAGAAATTGGAGCTGTGGTGGGACATGAACTTACTCATGCCTTTGACAATTCAGGTAAAATGTGTTTGTCTACAAAAATTCTCTACAGGAATTTCTACACACAATTGCTTTGATTTGCAGTTGGTTTTTAGTGGTATGCAGAGCATTGAAACTTATCTGTGAGACAGAACTGTTCACTACCTCCTTCCTCCTGAGAAATTCTGCTGTGATGAGATCATGCTCTAATCATCAAAAAATGAAATGAAATGAAACTAATTTTTAAGATCAAAAATAACATTTTGCCAACATTAGATTAGCTAATGTAAATTTACCTAAAAGTCCTATGATGAAAATGTTGGACAATCTCTGCTTTTTTTAAGTTTTAAGGAAATTTAGGCCAATAAGGAACATTATCTGACTCATTTCTTTTTTTATTTCAGTGTAGAATAATGTGAAGAATTCTCCCCTCAGCTAATTTTTCAATTTGTTTACATAGGTCGCATGTATGATAAGTATGGAAATTATGGAACCCTGTGGTGGACTCAAAAATCTGTGGAACAGTATGAGAAGAGAAGTGCATGTATGATAGACCAGTATTCACAATTTTCTTACTTTAACAAAAAAGTAAGTGGAATGTTTTTCTTGCTCTTAGCCAATAGCTATCATGTAGGATTGGAGTCACATTAATGTTTTTTGTTGAAAGGTTATTGATGTACAGATGGCTGGACAAACACAGACTCACTGAACAAATTATTGAATGACTGATGGTCTGAATGACTGACCAACTGACTGACTGATCGAATCACAGATTGACTGCATGACTGACTGACTGATTGACAGACTGACTGACTAACTGACCTACTGATTGATTGACTGACTGATCAATGGATTGATTGAGTGACTGATAGACCAACTCTTTTTATTGTAAAGTAGAGGAAGAAATTGTTGATTGCAAAGCTCTGTATCTATAGCTTAAGTATAAATCAAAGAACTTACAATAATTTGTTACTGTTAGAAAAAAATTGGATATGTACTTTATATAATCTTGGGCTATATGAACCCTTTAACTCCCGAGATCTGATAGTCGATTCTCCCCTCCAGCTATTACGTAGTTCCTTTTAAATTAGTTACAAGAATTTGGTGTTAAATCAAGACAACACCTTCTACTTGATATGTTTGAGTATTCTCATTACTTGTTTGCTGGATAATGTATGGATGTTGCAGGGAGATGTTAGATGTTAATCACTTCTGAGGGTTAAAAGGTTAAATCAAGCACCTGTAACTGTTACTTTGTGATTTTTTTTCTCTCCCATCAGGTGAAAGGCAAAGTTACCCTGGGAGAAAACATAGCTGATAATGGAGGCTTAAAGTCTGCTTACAATGTCAGTATTCATCATCTTAAAATTCATTCTGTTACATAATGGAATTTTCTTTAAAACAAAATTATTTATCTTGGCTATTGTTTCTTATGGGCTGTAGAACAACAGAGAGGGGTAGGAGAAACTTAAGTCCCCCCCTCCCTCGCTAATCGAAATTTAGGAGGCTTGGCCCCCATGTTTTTGTGTAGAAATTATTTCAAATGCAGAAATTTGGAATAATCAATTGGCTCCAGAAAATCTTCAGTCTCATGAGCCTCTCACATATCTTTTCAGCAGGATAAACCTAGTAAAACAATTAATTAAAGGAAATTTTTTTGGACGATTGTCCTCTCATACACTGTCAAAAATCAGTTACAGATAACTAGACTGTTAGAATTGTAAAGAGGTTTGCTTCTACCAAATCTCTAAACAAACTATGCAAAGGACATTGCAGAAAAGTTTTAGTGAGGGAGAGCAGTTGGCTTGGCATATGATGTGCCCATCCAATCACAACTAGGTTTCAAAACACTTTTCTGCCTCTATCTGTTGCCTGAAATGCCAATGATTGATAGAGCTAGCAGTGCACTGAGTCTATCGTTCTTATCCATACTTCTACTCATCCATGTACACCTTAACATTAGTATGCAAGTTCTCCATACTGTTCTCTCTACATTTCATGTTACTTCTAAGGAGAATTCATCTATTAATCAAGAGCTTTTTGAGTTTGCAATCCCTTCCTTCATTCTCATGACCTTGATATTTAATTCAGGGGTGATACTATTGAAAGAAATTACAGTTCTCAATTGCTGTACTATGCTTGAACTAAGGATTAATGGCAGGTTGTTATCATTCAGATCAATAAAAATTACCTGTAGTCAATAATATACTCATTTTCTTTGTTTATAAGGCTTATAAGGAGTGGGAAAAGAAAGAAGGAGTAGAACCCCCCCTTCCTCTCCTAAACATGACGGCAGATCAAACATTCTTCACTGCATTTGCACAGGTACATTATAAATTGCTGTTGATAGAACTTGTTGTTGCTAAATTTTAGATTTTTAGCCCTTTACACCTCAACATCAGTTTGTATATCCTCCATACTGTTCTCTGTGTGTTTCCTTTCGACCTGGGAAGGAGTATTTGTTTAAAAGTCACAAGTTTTTATTGAGTGGTTGTTGTGATTTAATGGTTCACTCAGTGATAATACTTTAGGGAGAAATTAGATGCTAGTCACTCTAACTTAGAGGTTAATAAGTTAAAGAAATATTTCATATCTGACTTGGAGCTTCATTTTTCACAGAGCTGGTGTGCAAACATAAGAGAGCAGGTTGCGATTGTCAGGCTTGATTCCGACTCCCACTCACCTGATAAATTCAGGTATGAATTTAAAACAAGATTCTTCAATCTTTTTGCACTGCAGTTTCTTAAGTCTTGAATGCATAAAATCATCCTCATTCGTTTCACTTTTTTAGGCATCACTAGCTCATTAAGCTCTCTGCTATTATCTCTTTCACTCCCAATATCTCATTTAGTAATCCTCCTTACTGTCTGCCATGTAACTCTCATGTTGGTTGAAAGAATTTGGTATTGGATCAACTAATGATGCCCTAATTTATATTTTTTTTCTCGATTCTCGTTACTTGTCTGCTTGATATTGTATCATTATAGTAAGGAGAAATTCTGTCTTGGTCACCTATGGGAGTAAGAGGGTTAAAAAGCACACATTAAACTTTGATTTTGTTCTTTCAGGGTCCTGGGTTCACTGTCTAATTCAGAAGATTTTGCTGCAGCCTTCAAATGTGAACTTGGAAGCAAAATGAACCCTAAGAAAAAATGTCACATTTGGTAGAGAAACTAATTCTCATGAACCAACCTTAACCTTTTCACAATAACGTCAGTATGTATATTCTCCATACTGTTCTCTATGCATTTCTTCAAGTGCTGACAAGGAGAATTTGTTTGGCAATCAAGGCTTCTATAATTGGTGATCATTTCCTTAATTTTTGGTGGCCTTTATATTTAACTTGGTGGGTGATATTGCGAGGTGATATTAGATGATAACCACTCTCAAGGATTAAAGGATTAACAGAGAATTTCTTAAATTGTGGAGTTGCGGTAAATTCTATTAACCCTTTAACTCCCAAGATCTCATTAGTAATTCTCCTTACTGTCTGTCATATAGTTCTTGTGATGTTAGTTTGGAGAATTTGGTATTAGATCAGCTAATTATCCCCTGGTTAATATTTTTCTTTATTCTCATCACTTGTCTGCTTGATATGGTATCAATATTGTAAGGAGAAATTTTGTCTTGGTCACTCATGAGAGTTAAAGGGTTAAAAAAAGGTTACCATTTTCTGGCACACTACCGATTCCAACCACTCCTTTAAACTTTTTTATTTATTCAGTTTCAGTTCAATTAAATTTCATGTTAATTTCATTTAATTTCAAGTGTTAAATACCTTAACCAAGGTTTTTTCAGAAGTCCTGCCAATGACTTAAAATGTTGTGATGATAACTTATTTAAAGAGTTTATTAGAGTTATTTTCAGTGTGGAAGAAGTTTTGACATTTGCTCATTGTCAGAGCAAAGGAAAATGTAATTGTAATTATATGTACCAAGTAGGTAGTGTTTATTTAATTTTAAAATACCCATTTATGTGGGTAGAGTTTCCCTAGACATAACCTAATGTTCACGAGGATGATGTGAGAAGGGAAAGGCATATTGATTATTTTGGTCAATAAAGGTACAGCTGGCTTGTACAGAAGAGGACTTTTGGCAAAATATTTCTTTTGTGTTGTTTTGTTTTTTTATTTTCATTTTGATTAGGAAAATAGGGCGATGAGAAAATGTAATAACACAAAAGAGATGTAATACTATAGTAGGGTCAAATTTTATCATTAATATTTTGTAAATTTTTTTTTGAAGTTCTCAAGTTTATTTTCTGGCAAAGAGTAAGATGCCACATGCACCACTCACCTGGGGGGTATAGGGGCATGCTCACACAGGAAATTGAAAAAATGAAGCAGCTAAGACATGCAGCAAGAATTTCCACTGTTGGAAAGTGTTTAAGGCGAGTACAAAAGTAACAAGGGGTTAATTACATTTAGAAGGATAATCGTGTTAAACTTTATAAGTACTTAACTGAATCAGCAGTTTGCCATCTCAAAATCAACAGTTTAAATCAGAAACCTATGATGATAGTTTCAATGTGCGAGTGTATGATTGAATTTATTTTTGTGAAACTCCAGAGCTCTGCATACTGTAATAATGTCTGTTTGGTAACTTAACAGTGCTACAGTACACTTTGTTAAGACAACTGAATTTCAACATTAAAATTATTCAATAACTTATAAATGTTAAGGTGCAAGGTATTTTCTTTATGTATGTTAAAATACACACACATATAAATATATCTATAAGTCTCAGATATATAAACAATGGCCTTCATTTGATACCAAAATATGCACGGATAGTTGTCTTCAGAAAGCAAAGTTTGAGGAAAACTGTGAGATTCAAGGAACAAATATTGTTTACAGACAAATAAACAAGGATAATTTGTGCCAAATGGAGGCTATTGTGTTTATTATCCTTCAAATATTTTTGAACATGTGGGAAAAAATTTTTACCAACAGCTTAACGTTTACTGCATTAGATTTTCACTTTTCCGTGTTCTCTGGTATAACTTTGTGAACAAATAGATCCTGTCTTCTGTAACAACCTGAAAGCACTATCTCACTGTCAATTAAATTTTACAGGAAAACTTATCATAGTTGAAAATAAGGTTTAAAGTTAGGGAATATCACTTGGGGTATATCCTCAGATATTCTCCAGTTTTAGTTAGGGCATATACGGTCTTGTGATGCATTAAGACCAATGGCATAGAAGCGAAATATTTGATGGATTATAATAAAAGTAAACTGTTTTAAAGGTAAAATAAAATTCAGCACAAACATTAGAGTTTGTGGTGTGTGTGTGTGGGGGAAGGAGTTGTTCAGGGGAGGGGGTGTTTGGGAGAAGAGGAAAAGCACAGAAAAACTATTGAAGAATATGACACCAACCTGGGTATAATCCAGGGCCAGAAGGGGGTTTTAGGAAGGGGGTGTTTAGGAAAGGAGGTGTTTTAGGGGAGGGGGTTTTAAGAAGGGGGTGTTTAGGGAAGGGGGTGCTGGGGGAATAGGAAAAGCACAGAAAAACCATTGGAGTAAGAATATGACACCAACATGGGTATAATTCAGGGCCAGAAGGGGGTGTTTAGGAAAGGGGGTGTTTTAAGGGAGGGAGTTTTAGGAAGGGGGTATTTAAGGGAGGGGGTGCTAGAGGAAGAGGAAAAGCACAGAAAAACCATTGGAGTAAGAATGTTTCACCAACATGCATATAATCCAGGGCCAGAATGGGGTGTTTAGGGGGGGGGGGGGTTTGGGAAGGAGGTTTTTTTAGAGGAGGGGGAGTTAGGGGAGGGAGTTTTAGGAAGGGAGTGTTTAGTAGAAGGGGTTGGGGAAAGAGGAAAACCAGAAGAAACCCATTGGAGTGAGAATTTAACACCAATTTGGGAATAATCCAGGTGCCGGTACAATGGTATGATGAAAAATGCTTTCATAAAATAACACTAGGTTAACCAGTGCAATAAACAATAAGTTTCAGACCAATCAGGGCACTCATGGCATCTCAATTCTTTTGTAAATTACTATAATCTCAGCTATCATCATTACGGCACACATTACAGTGCCCACTAATTTTCCTTGAATTACAATTACTCTTACTGATTGCAATTCACTATACAAGAGAAATTAATCATAATTACCCTATTGTTATGTTATAAATTTTAGACCATGATTTGAAAAACAGGGCTCAGCTATTTTGTTGTAAATGATCTTGCAACAAACAATCACACTGGTTCGACATACACTATTTATTCTTCCAACTCCCTAAGAGCTCTGATCTCACAATTAACCCTTTAACTCCCATGAGTGACCAAGACAGAATTTCTCCTTACAATATCAATACAATATCAAGCAGACAAGTGATGAGAATACAGAAAATATCAATTTGGTGATAATAAGTTGATCCAATATTAAATTCTCTGAACTAACATTATAAGAATTGTATGGTTGACAGTAATGAGAATTACAAATTTGATCTGGGAGATAAAGGGTCAATAACCCTAAATCATTATCATACTTCCATACTTCCATCACCAACCTATTGACAAGCTCATTGTAACACTTCAGTCATGACAACCATCAGCTACTTAGGTGATTTATGGAGAAAATTTAACACTATTAAGAGTAGAAAGTATTACTAGGTACAACAATGTCAAAAATAACAAACAATCATCTGAACTCTTTTCTACTTGGGTTTGAGGATGACATCAGTTCATTGCCCCTAGCTCTCCTTTCCGTTGCTACACACTCCTTATAATAATCCAAACTGTTACAATCTGTCCTGATAAGGAGCTCCTGGAGAAAAGTTGATTAACAAGTAAATTCTCCCATAAATATCACAGTCCTGTCCAGAAGATAGATGGTGAGAAGGGACAGTCTTATCATTAACAGTGTAATCACAATATAAGTTCTCCTCAGTATTTAAAAGGAAGTTCATGGCAGCTGGCTGTGCACTTTATCTAACAGTTGAGAATTCGAAACGTTGGTAAAATTTCCGCACAGCCCCATACTATTGTAAAACAAATCTGTTTTCCCAATGGCAATGTATTGTTTTTGTCAATGTTTTCTCTATCCTAGAACTGAATGCATAATGTAGTATGGGGCTGTGCGGAAATTTTACCCTCAAGAACACGCGCCACTTTTCTGGCCTTCGTTTCGTCAAAAAGAACCTTGTTCACGGATGTAAGATTATATTCCTTGTCCAAGAGACAGGAAGTTTAAGGTACACTCGTAACTCACTTCACTTCTTGAGAATCCTGTTTCGTCTTAAATTCATCCAAGCCCTCCATTGCCCCATTTCCCTGAAGGTTCTCAGCGAAAAGTAAAGTGTACCCATAGCTGTAAATGTTCCAAAACTATAACCGACAACTGTCCATACATCAACCAAGCGATTTACTCGATGCACATCAGGCCACACATCGACATCTGCCATGTTAGTAACTTTTCTGGCTGCACCTCCGAGCACATTTATGTATGACAACAAGACATTCTTACTTTCCTTGCTTTCTTGGTCAAGCACGCCTTGAAGGAAGCTTTTATCTTCGTCCTCCATTTTGGATTTTTGTTAACGTGGTGTACTGGGCTCTAGTTAGAAAGAACGCAGACTCGAGAAAATAATTCATAGCCTAGCCTGAGGGGAGTGGGAGGGAGGGAGATTTTAGGAGAATCGCATGGTTTTCAGGGGGGAACGGAGGTGGAATCAGTCGTCGCTACCAGACTATAAAAGGGGACTATAGAAAATTTCTGATTAACTGCCAATGAGGGGGACAATAAGAATATAGGAGAGCCCTATAGGGGGTCAGATAAATTTTATTGTCACAGAAACAAAATTCTTCAATCCCCCTTCCCACCCCCAGGCGATAAAGGACTAAAGAAGAGCGCGTGACAATCAGCATCAGGTGATTTGCATCTATACTTTGAACATCATCGTTTCCGGACAATATATGTACTGACTTACTGACTTCAGAGTCGTCGTCCATTTTCGGACAATTATTTGCATGTTTTACAGACATTTGACTCTCCTTCGTGTTGAGATATTTTCATGAAAGCATTGTCATTTTTCTCTGATGTACATCCTCGTGTTCCCGCCCCTCGTCTTAAGAAAAGTGTTTTTGTGCTGTCGAGTTGGCAGTTTTCTGCGTCCGACAATACAATCGTTTGATTCATGAACTCTCCAAAAAATGGAAGGTCGAAAAAACACCTGGATCCCACAACAGACCGAACAACAGAAGCATGTTCGTAGAAGATTTCTCATTTTATTGATAATTCATTTACAATCTTTGTGAGAATTTTAGATATTAGCTCACTTGACAAGCTTTGCATAGTAAACATCCTGATATCGAAATAAGGATACAAGTTTTTAATTAAAAAAAATAGAATACTACACTATTTCCATACCCTGTATTTGTAACTGAAGTTTCGCATTCGCGTTTAAACAACCTAGAGAACACCACGTTTCAGATCTAAATTAAAAACAGGCATTTCAAGCAATTCAAGTCTTCGATCTAAAAATTCACATCTATCCCTAAGAAACATCTTTTCATTGCCCCATAAAACCTCAGAAGTGATTAACATGTAAATTCTCCCCATAATATCCATACATTATCCAGCAAGCAGGTGATGAGAATACTCAAATTTATCAGGTAGAAGTCTTAATCTTGATCTACCACCAAACTCTCGTAACTAATTTACAAGGAAATGTGTAGGAGCAGGAGGGAAGAATAAACAATCAGATCTTAGGGGTTGATGGAATTCTTCAAGAGTACAACAAAGTCAGCATATGCACCTATTATAAGGTTAAAATTTTTTTTTCTACATTTCTTTTTATACAATATCTCATCCTGTACGATATTTGATTTTTTTTTCAAAGATTTTGTACTTATCAAATTATTCTATTTTTTCGCGAAATGTTCTTAGCATCACGATGTTTGGAGTGTACTTTCAGGATTATGTAATCGCTATTGTACTCAAACAATTTCTCTACTCACTGAACTTTTTTTTTCCATAATGATGAATTAGATCAGACGCAAATACGTATATAAATATCATGAAACTCTGAAATATATCTCAATGTAAATTGTTATGCCTGTTGTGCAACCTCGATATAAAGAACACGATGAAGCTAAAAAAGAAGTGAAAGAATCGATGTCGCAATAAATGTGCTCAAAACTACCTTCGTTTTAAAAGGAGAGCGTAAATAAGTAAGACAGAAAACACAAAAAGGCAATATAATTATTTTCAACTGATTGCTTTTGTTTCATGGCAGCCTTCGATTGGTCTAAAATTCAACCAATCAGAAGAAAATGCAAATCCATCGCCCCATGGCCACTCACGTTTTACCGCGCTTTAGACAGATTAATTGGTTAATTTGGTTTTTACGCTGACGCACTCAACAAAAATGTACTCTGATAAACCAAGAGAAAGCAAGAATAGCAAAGAAAAGCTTAAAACAGACTGTTATGCGATGGCAAACTTAAAAATTCAAGCAAAATTTCTTTCTAGTCCAAAACCATGACCAAAAAACAAAAGGAAAGTCCTGTGTTTGAATCCTGTCGTGCATGTCTCAATATCTGTACCTTCAGGACCGTCACTGCTGGCATACTTCTCTATACTATAAATTGACAAAAGTTCACATACTATTCTTGGAGAAGATAAATGTTACTATCATTTAAAAACCTTCATATGTTAAATACTCGGTCCAAAAGTCTTCTTTATATAAACGGTTTTCTATCCGTTGATGTTCTTTATTCCGGGATAGAAAAAAAACAAATATTTACATTTACAAATTTACCCAAACTCTTGATTGACGTAAAGTTTTAACAGCAAGACTTGTGATGCGAGCCCGCAGATCCCTTTAGATTTACCTTTTTCTTTTTGCCCTTACCATTTTTCACATTCTCTTCTCTGACTGGAGGGCACACTTTGTTTAAAATGTCTTGTGTGAGGAGAGTAAAAGCATGATCGATGTTGTCACTGGAAAGTGCGCTGGTCTCCACGTGTCGAATTCCGTGATTTTTGGCCAACGTCTCTCCTCTTTCTTTTGTTATTTGTCTTTGACTCACAAGATCACATTTGTTTGCAACAAGAATTCTTTCAACATCTTCGTTCGCGTTTTCTTCGATTTTCCTCATCCATTTCGAAATGTTGTGAAATGTTTTTTCTTTCGTGACGTCATACACCATCATGATACCCAAGGCACCGCGGTAGTAAGCTGTTGTGATGGTATGGAACCTACAGAACAAAATAAGATGAAACTAATTGCCATCGAAAATAAACTTCCACTGATAAAGGAGTGAAATAGAAAAAAGTCCCATGATATGTAGAGACAAGGGCGACAGCAACATTTTCCATACTTCTCATTCAGAGAGGAAGATACACTGGCTGACTAGCAAAATCGACATATTCGACTAAATTCAAGTTGATTCCTAATATATTGCAGAGGATCAATTTTCATGATTGCATTTACCAAATCTGGGTTTGGAAAACAGTTACCAGGCAAGTGCGCCCATCCAACCTTTTCCTAGGATCAATTATTTTTATTTCAGTTTTTTAAATCGACCAATAGCATGGATCCATTTTCATGAAAGGGAAGGCGATGTGAAACGAAAACTTTCATTGGGATGGCCCCAGAAAAACGTTTTCTCACCTCTCTTGTCCCGCAGTATCCCAAATCTGTAACTTTATCTTCTTTCCACCTGAAAAAACAATCAAATCAAAAGCCTTATCAGAGCGGATGTAAGTAACACTTCAGTTGCCAGCTGTTAACAACAGATAAGTTGGACAGGAAACTTGATCAAAATGAAGCATATACGCGTATTTCTGATTCGTCTTAGAGCAATACACCAATAGTCCTTTGAATCGCGAGTCCGTTAAATTTTGATGATAATAAAAATCATTTGATTAGGGAAATTAATTGCCTCACACGCAGAAACCCTAATAAATCCCTTCGTAGTCGATACTAGAGATGTCACACAACGTCTTGTATAATGCGTGACAACGCAAAGGCCATCGTGGAAGGAGACGAAGGTTCCATAGGAACGTCATGATTGAGTGCTTTATTCTCAGTTGATTTCCCCTTTAAGCCCTCAATCAAGGCTATACAATGAAAGTATAATAACTGCGGATAAGCTTCAATCAATTATAGTCTGTCGTTTACGCAAGGGTCTTTTCAGTTGTTATGAAAAGGTTCTGTTAAATCGAGCGGAGAACGCTCGTAAAACGTATGCCGTGCGGAAGAAACACTGTCAATCAAGGGTTAGAGGTCAAAACTTATATTTTACTGACAAGCATCCTTCCTCACCGCAATGGAGGAAAACAAATCGGCGTATTTTTGCTTTTTCATTGCGCATGAAAACCGATAACGATGATATTTTCTTCATAATAGATCCCTTCCTATCAGACAAGTTATTGAAGTCTAAAGAAGAAAGTACACTTTGATCAAGACTGGATTTATAGCGTTACGAACAGCGAATTTCAAAGATTTTTACGTAACTGTGAACCACAAGAATTCGTCATGTAAGTAGTTTCGAGTACATGGTGTGATGCTTCCTCAGGTCCAATATGTAGGAGAATATTTCCTTTAAAGGAAAGCATCAACATATTTCGCAGGTTAGATTGCAATACGTTATGTCATATTGCTCTCATTAGCTTAAAAATTATCGCTTACGTCATATCCACTTCCCCAAACAATTTAAGATATTAGAAAGAAGTATTTCCTTTTGAAATTCCTTACTCTTTTTGTTTTGTTGTTTTTTTTGTTTTCGCTAGACAACACGCAAGCTGAGGTATATCTTTCGTTTCTTAACTGAAAGTAAGAAAACAATGAAAAATGAAATTCATCGTTTGACAACAGAGAGCGAAAGATGTTAATTTCAATAACAATATAGCATCCAGTGGATTCTACGCCTGCTTCATACAATCAAACGCCAATGTTTTCCTTTAACAGAATCACTTTTGACGTAAAGATTGTCCTAGTGGTAAAGCTTTGTATGCTGTGAGTAAGATCCTTGTTTTAAAAGCTTATAAAAGGCGAAACCTTGGGGCAAATAAAATCTCCCTAATTCAAAACAATCGCTAATGTCAATTTCAGGCCGCTGTAATCATGTTCAAGTAAATGATCCGTGAAAGTGAAAATATTCCTCCGTTGAAAAATTGAAAAACAACAGCAAAAGCGAATTTTACGTCGAAATTTTCTGCTTCTAGCATATCAAAGTGAAATCACCCATCTCGACATATTTCAAGTGGCGCAGAATTCTATGGTTTAATTTGAATGTCATCTACCTGAACCGTAAATATGTAAATGCCATTACATTCGGTACGCGAAAGTTCCCTAGTTTCTAAGCGCTAATTCCCTGGCAAACACGCAATGAAATATGGTGCCATGCATTAAATATAGATCACAGATACTAGCAGACTTGTCTAGTGTTAAGTAAACACAGAAAAATTCTCCTTTCTCAATCAAGTGAAAAACAGTTCGCGGTTCTAATTTCCTGTTCATTCAAGCAAACGTCTACTGCATTGTACGGGCTATACTTACCGAGTTCTAGAGTTCTGATTTTAAAATCGATCCCAATAGTTGATATGAAAGTCGGATTGAAAGTATTCTCAGCGAATCGAAATATTATACACGTCTTCCCAACCCCGCTGTCTCCGATCAGAAGAAGCTTGAAAAACAAGTCAAAATTCTGCTTCGCCATTTTTAGAAGCTTGGTTCTATAAGCGAACGCACTGTGTATTACGTGACTGAAGGAATCGTTAATGGGGAGTGGGGAGTGTATTTAATTGCTAACCGGAACCGGAAATGAAGCAACCATGGAGCGCTATAAGGTAGAGGCCTTTCAGGTGCCACAAAAAACGGAAGAAAAAGGAACTTAAAGGAAAAATAGGATTGAATTCGTTTTGGTAACGGCTATATCACGAAAATGTCATAGCTGTGGTGAAATACGATAAAAATCGGAAAAGGGAAGCCTAACGAGTATAGAACGCAGACTTACGGATCAACCACGTGACAGGTAGAGGAACAGAAACATTTCAAGCTAGACTAGCAGTATCTTTAGAAAGCCGAATACGAGTAATTTGAAGACTTCTCCCTTTTATCACCTCTTCAAAACCTTCCTTTAAGCATCACTTCCACAGTCATAGGACTTTGAAATTTCTTGATTTTCCCTGACAAACGTAAAATTTCCCTGACTAACAAAATTGACAATTTCACCAACGAATACTGACAATAGCCTCCAACCTCAATTTCTTTATAGCATCCTCTCCATTCATGACTTGGTGCTTTCATCAAGTCACATACAGTACACATAAACTGATAGTTTTTTAGGTAACATAGAAAAATGATTTATTTTTTTTTGGAAACCCATCATCAGCTTGTCGTTGAATTTCATTCAACTAATGCGCTAATCAATTCGAAGTTTCAATATCCCCCGGGCAACCCGCAGGCATTTGATCGTCGTCCGTGCTGTGGGGGGGAGGGGTAAGGGACAGGTAAACCTTGCGTGACTGTGGCAGTGAACTTGAACCGGAGTTGTCAAGTCTTTCCAGCAATATTTAACTGAGGGCATGTTTAAGGTAAATATTTCACTTTCGCGAGCAAATAGCTGAAAATAAAAGGTCTACAAAGTCTAGGTTTTAAACCTGGGTCAATGTATAGAAAGTCACCGTCGCTGATTTTTCCCTTTACGAAAAATTGGGTGCGACAGATGAACACAATTTTTCCCCAGATTGCGGGAATTTGAACAAATCAATCTTCAAAAGTTCAAATTCCCGGGGGGTTGCCCGGGGGGTTGCCCAGGGGGTTGCCTGGGGGGGTTGCCCGAAGTGGGATGTTGAGGCTTCGAATTGATCGACGCATAAATTCTACCAATCCAAAATCTTTCACGTCTGTGATATCTGGCAAATAATTTTAAAAAGGTTAGAAACAGTTAAATAGAAGAAAAAAGATATATCATGTTTCACTCAAAAACCAATTAAACTTGCATTACTAAGGCAAGGATATGTTTTTCAGGAATCTGTCAACTGTGCTAACATCGCCAAGTCAACTAAAACCGCCATCCACGTGTGTAAGCTGAACCGACTGATTTCATCTATTAATGATACTCGTAATTAACAAATCGGACTTCCGCTTCGCAGTCGTCCATTTTGTTAATTATCACTCCTACGATTACAGACCGAATTGGACTCGACTCAGTCCTATTACTATTACTATAACTATAACTATAACTATAACCATAACTATATTACTATATTACTATATCTAACAGTCCAGACGAATTGCACGCGCACCAGCTGAACCAAAAAAAAGATTAAATAAACTGCAATAATAAATTACAGTATCAGTAGGTGATCTACATTTTATATAGCATTTCATACATATACTTCTCTTTCTTCTAACCTAAAACTATTCACGATAGAAACTTTACAGCCCCTCCTATAAAGCAAATAATTCCGGTGGCTTCATTTTGAGGGAGATGTAAAATTATTTGGTTCATTTCACTGAAAAATGGCAAATGACGTCAGCACGACATACAAGATGACTTTTTCGCTGGCTTAAAGTCGTTCTCAGTTTCTCCATTTTCTCCAGAATGCGACAGGCTATTGAATATGTCTTTCGCTAATGTTGCGAATGCTTCTTCTACATTAAAATTTGACAGCGCGCTTATTTCCACATAAGGAATCCCAAGTCTACCAGCTAGTTCCTCGCCCCTCTCTCGTGTAATTTCCCGCTTTTCCTTCAGGTCACACTTGTTAGCGAGTAGGATTTTATTGATGTTTTTGTCGCAGTTTTCTGCAATTTTGCTGATCCAGCTTGCCACGCCCTTGAAGGACTTTTCGCTCGTGACGTCATACACTAACATGATTCCCATTGCTCTGCGGTAACATGTGGCAGTAATTGTGTAGAATCTACATAAAAAGTGGTGAAAAATAACATTAAGAAGCTGAGTCAGAATAAGACAAATCTTGCTCTGGTTTAGACCCGCATCTGTTATTGCGATAAAAAAATCTTAAGTGGAGCTAAGAAATTGTGTAATGTTCTTTGATACGGCACTTAATCCTAACAGCGCCCCTCTCCACCATCTGTCCACCCTGAAATATAGACATGAACGAACCCAGGCTACATGTCTGCGAAACGTAACAAAGCATGGGCTACCTGCAACGAAGTAGCGTGTCATCCAAGAACAGTTGTAGCCTCCGATCAGCCCCTCATGAGGCCCTTTTCTCCGTCCGCGGAAAGATTTGATACGAGTCGGGAAGAGGTTTGTAAGAGGTCTGGCACTAGTAATGAGTGCTTGACCGCTTGCAGACCTCTCGTCGGCTCTCGTTGCTTTCCAGCGGGCGAAGTAACACACGTATCGAGGTGCTTATAGTGAGGGCCTGATCGCGAGTAAGAACAGTTCTTTTAAACTTCTTATCACCTCATGCAGTAAAACTAGAGATAGCTTTGGAGCAATTGATGGATAAGATTTGGCGCAGCAACGGGCGCAAGAATATCACAAGACGGCATCGGATGCAAGCTGTAGGTCACGCGAGCTAAAAATCAACAACAAAAACAGAAAAGGGGAGGGTTTGATTAACATGAGAGAATCCGACCAGCTAAGCTTAAGAACTTTGACCGCGGTGGAGACGCGAGTAGGCGCCTGCAAATAACTAAACTCGCACAAGAATACTTAATTCTCTCGCGCGTTATCTAACTCATATCACACAGATCAAAAGCTGATGGTTTTACCTCTAAAAAAAATGTTAAGGAGGGTGCTATCTCCCAAGACGGAAAGAAAAATTAGACTAAGCGATACTTAGATATTTAATCTCTCATTCCTATCTACGCACCTACGAGACGGCCTGTTATTAAATTCAAGGCCCACATCACCATATCATAGACAGCAGTAGAGATTAACTGCAAACCTTCAATTACTCTTCATTAATTTTCACTTTTATCATTATGCTTAATTTACGCCAGGACCGCGGATAACAGCGGGTAAAAGCATTTTGTCACATTTTCAAGGTGGGGCTGGGGCGAGGAGGGGGGCCGTAACAAATACCTCTCTTGGCCAGCGGTGTCCCATATCTGAAGTTTGACCTTTCTGCCATCTAAAAATTAAAATTAACATTTAGTACAAGGTAATAGATTGTACTCTCATGTACAAGGCTAGTGCAACAACAAAAAGGAGAAAAATCATTCGAAACTCTTCAATAATTCTTTTGTAGCAAAAAAAATTCTAGTCCCCGTAGCAGCCATCGCACGTAATTCTTCCACCGAAAGCGTTGCGTGACGACACCTTCATAGGACACCCAATCACATACACTTCCGGCAGCAACCCTCGTGATCAAAAACGATATCTCACTTTCATTATCACAGACAGCCGTAAACATTTTTCTGTCCTTTGATTTAAGAACAATCACCAGTAATTAAAGAATTGACACATGGTTGAAACAGGAAAAAACTTTCTAAGAAAGAATTAGCAATGCTAGTTTCACTTTTAACCACAAGGACGGCATTGCAAAAATAGTTACGCAACAATAATAAAGTAAAATTGAGACGAAAAAAATAGATATAATTTTATATCAGGGCTCTTCTCTGATTCGCACAGACTTATGAGTAAATATGATCGGTATCATGAAACTTTAAAAGCAAGACAGGTGTGACATGAAATGTTGTAACGTTCCAAAGGTTGAGTAACACTCAACCGGCTTCTTTGTCATAATCAGAAATCACCTTCGTACCGGCGACGAGTGTACAATTCGTTTCCAACAGTTCTACGTCAAAAATAGCTTGCGAAGAACGAAGTTCTCTCCCATACTTCTTAAATATTTTGTAATAATCATTGCACTTCATTGTACTCTCTAACAAACCATAAAAAATCGATTCGAACGACCTTCACTCGTGATGTCGCCATTAATATTGTACGGGTGCCCACATACTTACCGATTTCAATCGTCCTTATTTTGAAATCTATACCAATGGTCGTGATATATGAAGGAGTAAAGGTATTTTCTGTAAAACGTACAATTATGCAGGTCTTTCCGACAGAGCTGTCACCGACCAGCAGAAGCCTAAATAGATAATCGTAGTTCTTCGCCATTTTCTGGGAACTGGCATGTGACCGGCGTCGATTGCGTTACATAGTCGTTGTAAAATCACGTGAGTGGAAAATGTGTGTTGGTCAGGCTCTTCAAACGTGTAATGGCCAAAAATACATCAAATTCTTCTAAACTGTGATTCCAAACCAAGTGCTTAAATTTTCGTACATTATCTCCTCGAGAATATAATGTGTTCGTGGTGATCTTTCCAGGTTTTGAAGTTTTTTTAATTTTTTCTTTCTAAGGGACCACCCGTTATTTACTGCCTGAGTTGAGGGGGATGGAGGATTTTGGGGAATCACGTGGTTCTCACAGGGATTGAAGAGGGATTAGTCGTCGTCAACAGAGTAAAAAGCGAGGACTATAGAAAATTGACTCCCAATAGGGGGGTATAGAAAATTGACTGCCAATGGGGGGGGAGAGGGGTCATAAGAACATTACAGAACCTTATGGGGGAGGATCAGGTACGTTTTGTCTTGACACAACCAAAATTTTCAGGCGATAAATAATTACCGATCCTTAACGTAAGGAATCGTATCTGAGACAAAAAAAACTCGAACAAAACTTCGGGGATGTGAAAGCCACCGTGAGGTGAGAAGTGCCCACCCCTTCGCTCTTCATTGGTTTCTAGCACTCAACTTTCAAGCGAACCGATTGTAGGACTAGAAAAAGTCTATAGTGACTACGAGTTAAAATCTTCGCTGATTCGAGCACGCTGTTCTCGCGCATGTACGAGTGTCAAGCTGCACAACGCCATTTTGAAATTTGTTAAGTAGAACTTGAAAAAATAAGGCTAAAGCTTTCAAGTCCTATTTTCCCACCCGCAAGGGATTAGGAGAGCATGACCTCTGAGATCAAGATTGGTCTGGTTAACTTCTACAAATGATCAACTATGACGGTTTCCCTTTCACTTTAACGCTCAATTAATAGTTGACTGCGACCTTCGACCTCGTCCCGAAGACGAGGCTGCGCCACATCGAGGCACTCTGACACTGACATTAGAGTACTCTACAAAAACAAGTATAACACAAATAACCTTATTTTTGCGTGCACATGCGTAAAGATATTTATGGACAGAGAAAGAGCGTGAGAGTCCTACCAAATCAGCATGTTACCTTTAGTTTACTTTATTTACAACAAGGAACATGGTACAGCAAACATGTCCAAGATGAACGTTGGCTACAAAAACCGGTTGTTTTCTAAGCTTCCAACCTTGGTAATTAGTGGGAATGCCTATATTCCCCTCGTCGACGTCATTTCATATATATATTAATTCAACTTAAACTTCAAAAATCGTAAACATTTTCATTCTATCCTTATGCTCTGACAAATTGGCTAATTGAATAAGGCGAGCGAGGAGACACCTTCCTTGCGCGTCTACACGTTCACACGTTCTTGCGCGCGGCTTCAACTCTCTCGTACTTGACTGCCAAGCTTATGTCTGAAGGGGATGGGAGGTTAAAAGATGTACAAAGTCCTAATTAGCAAACATATCTTCTCGGAAAATAAGGTATTAAAATCTCGTTTTCTACAAAACGTTGCTCGCAAAATCTGATGGAAAAACTGTCGAAGATTCCTAAAGGCTAAATACTTCCATATTTTTTTTTAAATCTCCTATTTTCGGAAGGCTTCTTTTATACCAACAAGTTTTCGGAAGACTTATTGGAAGCAAGAGATTAGAATCTCTTCCCTAAAAGTGATTCTTTCTCTCCTCCAGTTCTGGTGCTGTTATATCCCGTGTCTAACTCACAAATGTTCGTTTTGCGACCATCCTCAACTTTTTCTTGAGCGCCGTTGTTGTTCAAGATGTCTTGAATTAACTGCTTTAGAGCTTCGTCAATCTCTGAGCTTTGCAGATCGTTGATTTCCACATATCTCATACCAAACTCTCTGGCGAAAGCCTCGCCTTCTTTTTCTGTAATGACGCGGTTTCTCTCCTGACAATGGCACTTATTAGCGACCAACATCTTTTGAGAGCCTCGTTCGCTGGCGTGTTCTTCAATGATAAGAAGCCACTCCAGGATGTTGTCATAGGAACTCTTATCGGTGACGTCAAAAGCAACGATGAAACCTTGGGTACCGTGATAGTAGCTGGGGGTGATGGCCTGGGTACTAAAAAAATTGGATTTCAGTACAAAGCAACTGAAACACAGTTCTTACTGTTATCAGTTAACTGAGGCGCAGAAAAAGTTTGGTGGCGTGGTTTTGACCATAAAATAATGGTATTATCACGGGCAACCTTCCTCGTCTCCAATGGTAATCAACTACCCGCTTATCAAATGAAGTCAGGGGCGACACGTTTCCATTGGAAACGGTGTCAGTTGCCCGTGACAACAACACAATTTTTACGTCAAAACGTGGTCGCTACAATGTAGGGTAGGGATTGTGATTTTTCTTTTTACTACACTCTCATACGGGAGATTGTGGTTTCAAAAGTCGGTGACAAGGATCTAGTGAAACAAACATGCCTGAGATTTTGTTTTCAGGCGCCGACCACGCACTTATCCAATCTTGAAAGAATCTGTTCTGCAAAATATTTCTGCCCAAGTCACCAGTCTTCTCTTCGTTCCTAAACGTCTACACTTCTGCGTTATTTGATTTGACGACGCATGCATACCTTTTAAAGTATTTTCTCCCATCATCCACACCAAAACGCCCCAAACGCTGTAAGAGGAGACAATACGTGATGCATTTCTCCTCACCTCCGATTTCACTTGTCCACAAAAGGAACAGGAAATTTTGAGAACAATGCATTTTCAGAAAAATCCATTTATGAAAACGTTTTAAGATTCTCCGTTTTAACCGGCGGATTGGGGCTTTTAAGAGAGGATGACAGGCAAAACCGCATTTAAAAAAATTTCGTTTCTCAACGGAAATGCGTCGGTTAAGGTGTAGCCGCGGAAGGACTTCCGCGTTCTGTACGACAATCATCTCGTTTTACAATTAAAAAAAAAAAAAAACTCACGTCTTTCAGAACAGAAAAGATAACGGAACCTTTCAACCGCATTTTCAAACTTTCTGTAACACTAATTAGGATCCTTGCACGAAATTTCTACTAAATTACATGGGCTTGAGTGCAGCTGTTAACGAGAACTCGATATGGCGTGACCATTCTTATCGCGTGACTCAAGTACCAAGTAGAGCAAATTAACATGTTTGGCTCCACAATTTTTACCTTTCCTGTCCTGCAATATTCCATATCTGTAATTTTACTCGCTTCCCATCTGAAGTTTGAAAGCAAAATAAATTCAACAAGGTCAAAAGAGCTAGACATTAGTGGGAGAGCTTGTCGTTCTTTGATCGAGTAGTGCCGTCGAGGCACGTAAAATATTTGCCCTCTCAATGTTTCAAATTAGGAAGTATCAAGCGAGGAAACGCATTCCTATTTCAACGATAACAGTTTCAGATCATTTCTTAATTATAAAAGTAGTTTGGGAAAAAAAATTGACTTATCCGTATGAGTGAGTCAATAAAAACATCTGTCAGTTCATGGGAAAAAAACACGAATGAAAATCATCTCAGAGGAATTGTGAACTTCAAGAGAATGATATTGACAGCGCTTTCAACTAGTTCCATTGCGATTTCTACAAACACAAAGCAAATATCGTCCTAAAACGAACTTCGAGTCGTCGATAGATAACACAGAACTATAAATAGTCGCCGAGTTGTATCGTTAAATCCCTTACGCCTGGCGGTTCAGCGCAATATACCGTAGCGCTTAAAGATCGAGCGAAATCCAGGCGGGGGGAGAGATTCATGTACCGTAAAAGTACTCACCAAAAGAATTCTACTCACCGATTTCTAACTGTCTTTTGAGAAAATTCACTCCCATAGCCGACAAAACTGAGGCATCGCCTGCAGGTGGATGAAAGATGGCACATTTGCCGACGTCGGGATCGCCAACGAGGAGGATTTTAAACAACAAGTGATAACTCAACGCCATATTAAATTGCTGGCCTTCGTTATCTTTCAATCCGTGGAGGGTTGGGTTAATCCGAGTCAGTGTGTTCGTCACGGAACGAGCACTTTACATAAATTTCAGACATGAAAGAATGAAGCGGTTTCGATGTTTTGTCCACACTAATTTCGTCCACCTGTCAGATGAATGCGGAAATTCGTGACTTATATGCGGATGTCTTCTTTTCAAACAATCTTATAAATATCAGAATATTATGGTAGAATTCACATCGTTTGACACATGACCCTTCGATTTATTAACAATACCGAATTTTTAATTTAGAAACGATAGTCTCGAGGGAGCAAGGGTATATTTTTTTCAAGTACAGAATAAACCCAACAACAATACACAAACAAAGTACGCAAGTGAAAAATAGCACCCGCCGGCTCGCAAACGGCGAACGCGAGAGCGACATCGCCACACGCTGATGCGAGATTGGTTCATTTTAATAAAACTTGTGCGTAATTGTAACCATGACAAAATTCTCGACATTGAAGTCAGTGTCGAATAACAAAACTGTTCATTGCCAAGCTACGCATGTAACTTCGTTCCTGGAGAAAGAAATGTTTTAGCGGGGCTTTCTGATTATTATTGTATTTCTACAAATCTTCCTTCCCCTTCGATATTTTTAAACGGTAAATTGAAATAATGATTGATGTATTGTCAAACAGATTGCTTCCCCATTGAGCCGCCAATCGACCTCGTTTATCAAGTGATTAATTGGCCAAGTTGCTCAAGAGGCGCGTCAAATTTTTACTTGTAACACAATCTGCGTGACGAGCCAGAGATCGAGCTTCGTTGGAAACACGTTTCTTCAGCCGCTTGTTGTGACATAAGACTACAGAAGAAACGAGGACTCGACCAACACGAATGAAATCGTAAGCGCGTTTTAAATTTTTCTCTGTTCACAGAATTTACAGAACCACCGAGGAAAATAAATAAAACTAAAATTTGAAAACATTTGGTTTTGTTTTCTCCAGTCTCTTCTCTGATCCAAGACTCAAAAAAATTTGCTCTTTCGTCATATTCGATAACTTCAAACAAAATGAATACGATTTAACGATCGAAGACAAGCGGAAGGGGGTACATTTTAACGCTTATCTCCCCTTTCTTCAATTCTGCTCCTCGATCTAATGACCACTTATTAGTCTAATTAACTAAAGAGGTTTATGCCTCTTGATCATAAAAGAAATTCATTATCGTACACAAAGTTCCGATTAACTCTCCGAGCAGTTGACGAATCTCCTCGGAGACCTTTGCGTTCGGCGACCTCTCATCGAGACGAGATTTCAGCTTATCAAAAAGCCCTGTTACCCGCGTGAAACATGGCACACCCTCTCTGATAAGTATCTGCACTGTGCGGTCAAACTCACTGCTTGGTATCATGGCTGTCTTAATGTTGGCACAAATCTCCTTGGTACTCCTCATGTGAGGCACGCCTTGACTAAATCGCACCACTTTTTTAAAGTCCTCGTCCCATTTCAGGATAACATCCAGGATGAAGTGTAGATCTTCTAGTTGCTGTTGCATCGTGTCATACTGTTTATCCAGCTCTCTCATTTGAGCTTTGAACAGCTTTGTGCTCTTGTTGATGGAAGTAATTGATAACTTCTCGGTGCGTGTCGTGAGTTCTTGGATTCCATCGCTTGCGACGTTAGTCATGTCTCTAAATGTACAGAAATAAAGTAACCATTTGGTTTTTTTCTGCAAACGACGTTCTTGGTGCCCATGTATTTACACTGTGACAGGGGTTTCGATAGAAAAGCCGTTTAGGGGCGTTCTATCGCCGCCTATAAAACCTCTCACCGCCGTATGTTTGATCTACGAGCCGAGGTTATCGTGTTTTGGTTTCGCTCTACCGACCCTTCTTCGGGCAAAACCGGCAATTAAACCATCGGCACGGCGCCGCGGCAGCCGCTTATAGTAAATATTTTTGAAAATCCTGCACAGCAATTTTAAAAAAATTGGTTAACTGTAGGAATCTTCATTCTATTTAAATCTATTTTCATGGAAAGGGAAACATCTTAAAAGAAATAAAAAAATAACGATATGTTTTGAAAGAATTATTTGCTTATATTTGAGGAAGTCTGGAGATAAAAATTTGCATAGAAGAAAAGTTATTATTTTTTTTGGCGCTTGTGAATGAATTAAAACAAATATAATCCTTGTGAAACGGCGAAATGTGCACACGATAGGTAATAAAACATGCTTTCAGGGAAGGATCATGTCAAAAGACCATTAAAAAACCTTCCTTGAAGAACCAAACGCATATGAAATATGCTCTCGAGTGGTATCGAAAGAGGGTAAGATTTATACGACCTTAACCCCATGTAAAAATGTGTTATTCTTATCATCTGTCAATGTACGCTTAATCGAAGCGCGTGCATTATTTCATGAAAATCTTCTAAAAACATTACGTCTGCTGGCTTACCTCGCCTGTGAAGGAAAAGCAAAGCTTTCTTGATCCTCGAAAAAGGGAGTAGAGCAAAATGTTAAAATCTTTCAGGAAATCGCATACAAAAATTGTTGATTTATCCCCAAGCAACTGACCCACCCAAGAAGTACAAGCTTATACGCATGACCACGTGTTATACAATCCCAGTGATTCTATTGGTTGAAAATTGCGTAATCTTTGACATGATTGGACGAAGGGTGAACAGGTGTGTTTAGATTCGTCTTCAGAATATCAGAATATTTTCTTTCTGCGATTCGATAATCAGACATTGTTTGAAGTAAACAAAAAAGAAAGAAGAAAAAAAGAAAATGTATGGCTGAAAATGCATTTCAATCTACGGACTCAACGAAATCAAGTTTATCTTTGAATTTCACATTGGTTTTTTTTCTATAAGAAAGCTCTCAATAATGAGCCCAAACCATTCCCTAATACGACAGCAACTTACAAATTTCAGATACGTTTTAAAGTATAGCGTTAAAAGGTTTCAAAACGCAACACCAAACAGTTTCTCTCGACTGTGGCAAATTTTTATTTGCATTCAAAATTACTGGTATATGCAAGTGTAGCCACTTTTTATTGAAATTAGGCTACTTTAGGTAAATTTTTCTGAAATTCCCCTTAATGCGATTAAAAAAGATCACCAATCATACTATGATTTTCCCTTTACCCTTATAATTATGAAAAAGTAAAGGCACTCTTGAATAAACGACCAAAACCTGAAATAAATACTTCAATATTAGCAGATAATCTGAGAAAAGGTAGACCTTTAGTTTCTTTATCTTCCGTTATTTTGTCATCAACAAATTTTCAGCTTTAAGTTCCGCTTTCCTATCATTTTCACGAGGTTTTTAAACTAGATGTATTTCGAGATACTTTTTTTAGTTTTAAAGTTACAAAGTTTAACTTAGGAGTAAAACAACAATACAATTTAAAAGCCAAATTGTTTGAGCGAATAACAGATAAATGATGTTTGGTATCAAACACAGCATGAATAAAACTTTTAATCATGTGCAGAATAAAAATATTCCATTTTTTAAGCCAATTCATGTCATTTTCTGAGTAGCTCTCTGTTCAATACTCGTTGCATGTAGAAAACTTTAAAACAGAGATATTTATCCCCTTCAGGAAAATTGTTTTCTACTCTATAATTCTCGTTAAGAGAAGATGCGTTCTTCATTCGTCTGCAGTAAATAAAAATATGAACGAACAAAAGGCGACTGAGACACCATTTACTCAGAAGACAGTTTCAGAATCTGATATTTTTATTCATTCAAGGTGTACGACATCCAGGCTTGAAGTGTAGCACATTCTTTCCGTGCATTCGAAGATTTCTTTCTTTAATTTGAATAAATCGGTAACAGCTTCTTTGTATTTACCTGGCGTTCAATGGTCTTATACCTTGACAACACATGTACAAGTACATTCTGCATAAAGCTATTTTCAAAACAAATTCTAAGACCAAAACATTTGCATACAAAAATAAAGTCTGATGAAACTGCAATTGAAGCTTCTAAATTATGTTGATTTTTCTTTCCTCAGTAAACGTCCAACATTCTTGTCGTAATTTTTTTTCATATTCATTGTTCAAAATAAATTTCTAACATAGTGTCAGTGATGCCTGTAAGACGTCCAAGAATTTGCCGAATTTCTTCAATAAATGACGCTTTGTAGGCTGCATCATCCCTAATGATCTTCGAAACTTGCTTTTTCAACAGCTCTAAAGCTTCATAAACCTGCTGAAAACATGGCACATCTGCCGTGATCAAATTCTGCATTCTGAAATAAAAATCTCCATGAATATCATTCAACAGGTTTTCAATCGACGCGCAAATTTCTTTGACATTTCTCACGAAGGGAACGCCTTGAGTATTTCTTTCAATGGTGTCGAAGCTCTCAGCCCAGCCTTTAATATTTTCGTTTATGTATTCAAGATCTTTTCGTTGTTGAAGTAAGGTCTTCTGAAGTTTTTCCAAGTCAGAAATTTCCTTCTGAAGATCTTTCTTGTGATTTATCACCCGTTTCAACGAAACACTCTTTCCGCTGGTCGAAGTGGCTCCATTGACATAAATTGGTGTCTCCATTTTACCTGCGCAAATAACGAAAGTTCAAACAAATATTAAACTTGGTCAAATTCAAAACAGAAAAATAATCGTACTTGATACGAAAAAACACAATTTTTATGAATATACTTGCATTTGTATAATTTTCCTCCTAGGTAAAAATGTGGGGAAATGATGAGCTAAATTAACTTGTAAACTAAAGCGCTTTTTACACCTTCTCGTGAAAATCCATGAGCTAGTTTAGTTAGATTTCATTTTGAATGTTTAAATACCAAACTACTGCAATTCCACCAAATATTTCCTTCCTAACCCTCTGAAATCACTAACAGAGGCGGAAATCTCTAACAGAGCCTGATTTTACAATTCCGATTCTACACGTAATAAAAATATGAAAACTACAATTTTCCAGAATGATAGCTGGCATTTTAAAATTTTTCGTTTACGAACCAACATAAGCACTATTTGCATATTCTGACAATAAAGGACAGATTTGTGATGAAGTCAAGGAAAATAATTTTGACACTCGATAGACATAGATTCGAATTTTACCGAAGAATATTCAGTCATCGGTAAAAACTATCCCTTGAATGTTTAACCAAGAATTGAAAAATAAACCATTAATACTATTGACTTAATTTTTGCTATGGTATTTTTTAACATTTTTCTTCACCATGCGGGAGACATGGCTTGATCAGTAAAGTAACATGCACCGGTATCGAAAAACCACGAACCTGCCTTTAAAACCAAACATACGTACAAACCACTTCAACTAAAATCTGTCGTTAGAGTCAAGAAGAGATTTCCTGACAGCAATTTACTGAAACGCTTACCGCTTAGATATCGAAAGTTTTCTTTCTCCCAGGGACCGACCCACAAAAACAAAGCGATTCCACCGTTTCTTGTTGTGTTGGATTTAGTTTGGGCGCTGTCAGACGCTGATAAACCCCTGAGGCGACAGAATACTAAAATAGTAAATGGCTAAGGCAAATGCTTTGAAATTGTTACGCCCAAATTATCATTAAGCGAAGGCGCGGGGAATTTTGATTGGTTGTCGTAAGCAGCTGCATGAAGTAAATGCCTTATTTCACTCTTTTTATTGCACGCGTGGGCTTTTGTCTAGAATCACTGATCAATATTTTCCTTTCATGTTGACGATTTTATCTCAACTTTCCCTCAAGCAGGCGAGCATAATTTCAGAATGCATTCATGTTCAACGTCGAACTGTTTCAATTATAAATTCGGATTACTTTCACTGTTTGATATAGCTTCCTCAGAGAGGTCATTAAATCCTCTATGAAATATTAATTTCCCGTCAAACGAAATAGATTCAGACGAAACCCAAATACATTTTCTTTACCACAATGTTCAAAAAATCCTTTATCGATGCCAAATGAACATGAAACTGAAGTTTCATTCAATATATACACCCTTCTGTTTTTAAAACAGCTCAGAACATATTTTCATATTCAGAAATATCCTTACAGCTATTATACTACATAAGCCCTTCAAAGCTTTCAAATCCTTTCCATTATTGGAGTGTTGTATTTGAAAGACTTTCTCCAGCTGCCTATAGTTTGTCTCCGCATAATCTTCTCTGTCATTGGTTGCTTAGACGGAAACTAATTTAAGACAACATTTTGGGAGTGGAGCTTGCGACTGAAGTGTGTGGAAATGAGGACTTGATGAATGACCTGTGATCTTTATAGAACCATTTCAGTTCAGTGCTGTTAAATTTCTATTTTCAGACTCCATCAGAAAAAAGTATCCGGCTCAAAGTCCAAATTTCGAAGGCAGCCGTAGGACTGAATCTCAAAGAGGTACAAGACGAAGGTAATTGATGTAATGTCAGTTTTATTACATGAGCGAATGGTTTGTGGAGAATAAATATTTCTACATGATCTTAAACCGTATTCATGTCCTATGTTTATGACGAAAGGAAAAGTGATGAGCGGAAATCGCGAGGAGTTATGTTCTCAAGTTCAGTACAAAACTGAAAAACTGAAAACCGCAAGGAAAAATTTTGAGCGAAAATCGTGAGGAATTATCTTCTCAAGTTCAATTCAAAACTGCAAACCATCAACCTTGATGTTGTTTTGTCGAGAATAGAGCCGATTTTTAAATTTTTTTTAGTGTCGTTAATATTTTCGTATGATAGGACATGTGAAGGTGATAATCCATATGGTCTACTCCCTTTAGACGGTTAAAGGACTTTAAAATCGACTGAAAATGAGCGGTACAGTAGCTGTAGAATTATCAGGCAGTTCTTTGCACACAAGACAATTACGTACAACCGGGAATGGCCTGGAGACTAGCTACGCCCTGTCAATGAAAATGATCTGCACCAACAAACAGCATCTGCAGAAGACCGTGACAAGACTGGAAAAGATGCAGAGTCCCATGAAAAAACAACGTGATGATCTTCTGTTCTTGATATCAACAATGGAAGAATGGATCAGAATCTTACACGAATCGGAAAGGGGACATAACGGGGTCCCCGTTCAGCGATCGGTGAAGGAAGGTTGCGGTGATATCACGCCCAGTTTGAACAGCAATAACAGCGAATTGAATCAAACTGTCCAGCGGCTCAGCAAAGCCAGCGTGCCGCGCATTGCGCACGTGCAGAAATGCTTGAAGGATCTGAAAAAGGAAATTCGTGACGTGTTCGACAACGAGAACACTTATAATGGCAAGTTTGTCGAAGATGTGAGAGAAAAAATGGGAAATATCATTGGTACAGCCAATGCATTGTTAGCGCTGTACTACTCATAAACTAAAATGAAAGGCAAACAACAAAAAATAGAATCCGTGTTCTAATAAACGTTAACTTAGAGATATCACGTGTTCAAATAAGACAGAAAACCCTACAATAAAGAAGAGATATGCGAGGTATCATTTATTTGTATTTCTTGTTGTTGTTGTTTTTGTTTGTTTGCTATGCAAACAGCGATTTACAATGGACAATGGAAACTAACCAACATAATACCATGTCTACCACCGGTCTGGTGGCAGAGTCTGTTTCCCTCACAGGTTCCGCTTTGGCGCAGTTCTGCCGGTCTACAGCAGGTTATGCAAAATATACAGCGGCCTCGTCTCAAGAATTGTTAGCTATGATCCTATGATGGGGAGAAATTCTGGATCAAGCCACTCCGTACCTACCCCTCCCCTAATCCAACAACAGTCAGCTGATAAAAAGTTTAGGTGCTAGGATAGGGAGGGGTAGGTGGGCAGTTGCTCAGAAGCTGACATCGATCTGAAATTATTTTGCATTTTCCAGAAAAAAAAATGTCATCATGTTCGTGTATGCAGAAAAAGCCAAAATATTACCGTACAACAACTTCGCTCAAATCCAAAACTTTATTCAATAACACCACACTTAGATTGAAAGCACAACAGCTAAAGTCTCGCTAGTCCATCACCATGTTTTCACTCCTGACTGTAAAATTCTTGCAGAAGTAAAGAGAGTTGACAAGTCCTTACAAGTTTACTTTATTTTGCTTCAGAAAAGCTCTTATAAATAACACTGAAATCTAAGAAAAACTATAACTCATCCGGTATTTCAACTTTGATCCTAATTTAAATCAAACAATTTCCGCCACATTTTAGTTTTGTAATTTACTGTTAGCTTTGTACTAGATGCTGAGATGCGGCTGAAAAAATGTTCTCTGTTTAGCCCAGATTAGAAATCTTCCAGATGCACTTTCAAAACTTTCAGTACAAGACCGATACTTAACTGATCAAAACTTCAAAGCCCTCCGCGTGGTTCATGTCTGTTCACAGGACGGCTGTTCAGTCGCACATGCTTCGCATGTTCCCTCCTGTCCCTATGAGATTTCTCTTCATCAAAATCTCCTGATCCCCAGTCCTTATCTCGTCCACCTCTGTGGTCCCGGTACCTATTCTCCATCTCCCTGTGTGTCCCTGCCCCTTCACCATTAACCCTCAGCCTGTCCCTCTCTCGTAAGGCCCCTGTGTCTCTCATAAAAGGTGCAGCGACTTCAGCATGGCGGCTGTGGTGGGAGGGTCTCGCTCTGGGTTCTAAATACATCGTCAAAGGAATTAGAACTGTTGGTGCAGAATCCCGTCACAGGTTTTAATATTTAGCTCTTCACCCACAAACATCAGTATGCCTAAGCTCCATACTGTTCTCTACACATTTCCTAGGATACTGACGAGGAGAATTTGCTTAACAATCGAGAGCTCATCTGGCTGGTGATCATTTCCTTTATTCTCATGACCTTAATGTGTGGTCTGAGAGTGATCTTGTAAGGAGAAATTAGATGCTTATCACTCTTAGGGGTACAAGGGTTAAATTTCGTTCAATACAAACCTTCCAATCCTCTGAGTGTGGTTCTCTGTCCGTCTCTCAAAGTATGGGAGGGCAGCTTGGTTCGTTGCTTCCATTCCTGGTCAAAAGCTGCAGCATCACCTATGCCACAAACAACATTCATTAGATTATTTCAAAGATACTTATTGATTTATAGACTGTTAAGAATGCTATAACAGAGTATAACTTCAATGCAGCCAATCCTACTGTGGGGAAAGGTGACTTATCATAGGATGCTTGCACATAATGTTCATGACCCAAATCATGTTCATTAACTCCCTAACTCCCAACATCTGATTGTTAATTCTCCCCTCTAGCTGCAACACATTTCCTTGTAAATTAGTTACAAGAATTTGGTGTTAGATCAAGATAACTTCTACCTGATTAGTTTAAGTATTCTCATTACCTATTTGCTGGATATGTATGGATATTACAGGGAGAAGTTACATGTTAATCTCATGAAGTGAAGTGATCATGCTGAACCCTTTAACTCCCAACATCTGATTGTTAATTTCTCCTTAATTCTCGATACAATATCAGCTCATTTGAGAATAAAGAAAAATGTTGATATTAGTTTGGTACCAAATCAAAACAAAATGTTGATGGCAGAAAGGAGAATTACAAAAAGATCTTTGGAGTTAAAGTAGTAAAAACTGCTCATTTGAGTGTTGATATGTTGGTATAATGTTGATGAAAAGGTACCAGTAGTTACTGATGAGGTGGACAAATAAGAGAAGTGGTTACAAACTGAGGTTTAAAGTAAACAATTTGTTCCTTCATGAAAAATATTTTTGTGAGAAAAAAATAACATGACCAAACTCACTTTCGTCCAGATTGATAAAGTTCTGCTTTCTGTCTTCATCACCTGTTCTCCTGTTCAATGATCGCTCAATGACATGAGAACGATCTCCTGTAAATAGGTAAGAGAAATGATTAACATGTAACATGTAATACTCATTTCTCAGTTTGGATTTAGGGACCAAGTACAAAACATTTTGGCCATGAGGTTCCAAAACTAACAGTATGCGCTGGAATAACCAGGTTAGTAAGATATTCATTATATCTCTGGGTCCAAATAGAGGGGGGAGATTTCAATTCAAACAAACTTTTGAATTTAGTTTATGTACAGTGAAATTGACTAATCATAGCTTAGGTACTAATTGAGAGATACAAAAACACTACATTTTCCTCAGAGAAATTTTCCATATTGATAGCTACACCTATTTCCTCCTTGCTACATCTAAATAGAGTTTGTGTTCATAAAATATAAACATGTCTACAATACTAATTGTAAAAAAGGCTTGGTGTAGTTACCCAGATGATGACCAATTGCCATGCGATGCAATCCTGATTCAGAATCTCGAAGTGTGTGCTGTGTCTCTTTTACCTGCACAAAGCAGAAAAAAATATTTCTCAGACAAATTGAGATGAAGAAATCATTGAATGTTCATCATTCACTCAGAAAACCACGAACTCCAGAAATATTTATAGAATGTTATTGTTTTAATGAAGAGAAACTATCAGGCGTGAGAATACTAAACAATAAACATTCATAGTAATAACTTTGAGGTTTTGAAGTTTGTTCACATCTGAGCTTCCTAGTGATTGTTCAGTACAAATTTAACCCTACAGAAAATTGAGGCATTCAATTTTCAGATTTTCTCTGTCCTACAATGATATTTAAACAACAAATAAAACAATCAATAAAAAAAGGGATTATTTTTTTGTCAGGCAACATTTCTACTTGCTGAAGTGATGATACATTAGTGAGGAGGTCATTGGGGGGTTCTGAACACAGTGATACTGCAAAAAAATTTGGCAACTATCACAATATTACAAAGTGCTGAAACACCTATTCTGTATGTTATGTTAAAAGCAAATAACTTGGAAATGAGAATGAAGAATTTGTTACTGAAAGTTAGTTGTAATAGTCAATCTCAGCCTGTTCAAAAACAAAAGGAAACTGTGGAAGGCTCAAAAAAGGGTGAAGGATAAGGAGGAAAATTTTTAATATAGTCCAAAAGGCTGAAAAACTGCATCCCACAGGTTTGGAGAATACCACAATACTGCAAAACTGCAATTGAGATTGAACTTACCAAAATACTGCAAGAAAAATTGTCCAATACTGCAAACACCAACGCCCCCCACACAAATTATCTTCACAATGTCAGAGAGACAAGCGTAGCCAAAACAAAAAAAGGTTTAGGTAGAAACATTAGTTACAAGAATTAGCTTCAATTTCAAGGGCTTCACTTCTATTACACAACACAACTCTACCTACCCCTCCAGGAGCTCTCTTAGTGGACTTGGTTGCTTGGAAGACTTTAGGTTCCCCTCGTCCATCATTAGAATATGACATAACACTTGAGGATGAGTAGCTGTATGTGTTTGGGTTACTAGCCATTTGTTCCTAACAAAATCACACAAACACCAAAAAGACATTTGTAAAAAAATTGGCAATATGTAGACTACCATCAAGAAATGACAATTAAATTTTTTCTGACCCATCTCAGAGAATGGAAATCTTACACCCTCAAATCTGGTTGGCTAATTGATTGCTTGTAGTTGGTTCAGCTTCTTTTTCTGTGCTACTTGTGGCAAAGAATGACAGTGACAAATATTTTAAATTGGGAGATCTGTATACTTTGAAAAAATTTTGAAGAACAAATTGTCAAGACAGAAGAAAAAGCATAACAAAAATCTTTAGGAAAAGAAAGTTCACAGGTAAGACAAGTAAAAATTGTAGCTGATTTGATAACTTCACTCACAAAATTCCTCTGCATGTTAGCCATCATGGTGTTCATGCTTCCAAACATGTCACCAAACATGCCGCCGAACATATCTCTTGGGACCACCTGCTGATTTCTTAGACTTGACCTGTGATGTTGCCCTCCAACACCAGGGGCAGGAAGAGCAGAAGGGAGGCCAGAGCGTTGATGAAACCTCAAAAATGGGTCATTGAATCCACCCACTAGAGTTGACATTCTCTGGTGGTGTTCCCTAAAAGAAATGGTACAGTTTATGTACATGATGCAAAGCCTTCACCATTTGCAATGTAAGGTTGTTCGTCAATTTTTTCATGTTAATAAAGGTCTATTGTGTTTATATAATAAATAAAATAATATGTGGTTGTTTGAAGATATGGAATTTCTCTTCTTGTATTTGACTTGATATTTCACTTTTTCACTGTGCCCACTCATTGGATTTTGAGTTGAACACTGCAAAAGAAATTCTGTATCTACCCGTGCCCAGGTATCATTCCCTACAATCTTGCATAGGCCAAAAACTGATAATAAGTCATCCCACCCCTGATCCAAACCCACAACAAAAACTGTTGCTTACAAATCTTCTCTAACACCACAACTGTCCATAACAACAACAACAACAACAACAACAACAAAAGCTTTCTATAGCTCTCTCAACATGGCTCAGTAGAGCTTTTCCAAACAAGTTCTCTTTGCCTACCGACAACAACCACTACTTCTTGATGACCGAATTCTCCTATACATTTATTGAGTGTTCTTAAACAGTTCAGACCCTTTAACTCCCAAGAACTGATTGTCAATTCTCCCCTCTAGCTGCTACACATTTCCTTGTGAATTAGTGAAAAGAATTTGGTGTTGGATCAAAATGACAAATTCTACCTGATAACTTTGATTATTCTCATTACCTGTTTTCTAGATATCATATGGATATTATAATGAGAAAATACATGTTAATCTCTTCTGGGAGTTCAAGGGTTCAGCATTCTAGAAACTTCTGCAACTCCTTGCTTAAATCACTCTCAATAAAAGAAGGAAGTCAGCTTCACCCTTAAACCCTATCAGTGACTAATTCAAGACTTCTTCCAACAATACCACCAAATTACTCAACAGGCAGGTGATGAGAATATCACACTCGTTACCAAAAGAGCATTATCTTGATGTACCAACAAATTCTCTGAAATCTTTCCCACTGAATGCAAGAGAGCTAAATGGGAGAACTATATGAACTAAATATTGGGACCAATGAAACTGTATGCAAATGAAAATCTTCTCTACAACAGATTTGTGCAGGAGTACCACTGACAAGCTTTTCAATTGTTCCAGCATTTTTGACCTGGGTCATTAAACTTTTATAAGCCATCAAAGGTATTTAAAGTGATTTCTAAGAAATAAAAGTTGTTGAACTATGTTTTGGAAACTATTCCCAATCCCTGTTTTGAGAACAACAATAAATAAACCAGCTCACTGTTTTTCCTTAAGAAATATGATGAACCAAACTTACCAAATTGTTGCCGGTACTGGTACTAATTATGCATGTCATTTCATTGGTTCACAATACATTTTGCAATAGTTGGAACTAAGACTTTTCAATCAAAAGTAACACTTGAAAAAATACTTGATAGGTAGAAAGTCTTGAGTGTATGGAACAGTGTAATGTATACTAATATAATAAATGTAATGTATTCTATAATAATAATTGTTCTTGCTGTATCTTGTATTTTCTATTTACATCCTAAATTATATTACTGTATTAGTTTTATATGAGTCATACCCAATAAACCTGTTAAAAACAAGAAAGAAATTTATGAAAAAATTCATGAAATTTTTTTTGACATCTACTAAAAATTGTATAACTTTCAAAGTAGTAATTTGCATTCTTGAAAATAGGCTTCGTGCACACTTCCAATTTATTTTTTCACGTTTCTAATTTAAGGGGATATTTGTGCACCAAGACAATTTACACAATAAAAAATATTGATCCCCAGCTAATTCAAAAGCAAAACACAATCATGCCTGTTAACCTTGTCCACTGATTAAAAAATTTCTAGGAATGCAAGCATGCTTATTTTCCTCACTTCATGATGTTATGCACAGTACAGGATGCACAGTACAACACTGAGGTATCACCTTGAGTGCGTTTCCCATAAACACTAAAAGCGATTATTGTAAGGTGTACACCAACTATTTCAGTTTCACTTGTACAGCCATGCGAAAAGCGAATTTGACAAAAGAATATTTTACTGAAGACTTGACTACATGTTAAAAATTAAACATTTTTATTCTGAAAATATACAATATATTTAGAGTAACCCAGAATCGAGTCGTTTTGTTTCCGAGTAAACCAAGGATTAGGCCAAAACGAGTCCATTACATCGATTTTTTTTCTTTTATTTTTTTCATCCTGATAATGGCCTTACATCGTAAGCCCCCTTTAGCTATAACATTCTGCGTTAAGATAACTTGATTGTGTTGATAAAAAAGTTATACGCGCAAATTTACCCACCGCTCTACGTAAACAAACATGAGTCATCTAAATGGGCAAAGATTCTTATTTCTCGCGCACGACAAAAGGATTACGACTGTGATGCCTTAACTAGTCTATGCTGTACTTACCTGAAGAACGGATCGTCCTCAAAATCAGCAAAACCACCCCGAAACATGGCCACGAAGGGATATTCGCTTACGCAGAAGCGGCTCAAATCCCAGTTACACCTCGGTCTGATAAACGCTACGTTTGACAAATTTTATCAAATCACTCGTTTCCGCGCATGTGCCCACGCATCCAGAAGTTGGCGCGGTTACACGGTCTTTTGTTTCCAGTTCCTCGCAAATCAACCCAAATACGAAACTGAATACTGGCGTGCATTGGAAACTCGAACCGCGTCAGTTATCGAATCAAAAGAGGACAGACCAGTGTTTGGTGATCTTGTTTTATTCCTTATTTCGATAATTTAAAATATACCTTCAAGATCGACCAGCTCAGTTCTATTTAAAACGACATAGTTACTAGGAACTGAGCCCTGCTTTACACATCTACACTTAAAATTAGTTTCATTTAAAATTGCCACTCATCAATCCAGAAAAATTTGAACAAGCTTTGCATTTGCTCGTTTGCAGAGAAAATAATCCTTTGGGGCAACATTAAAATTTTTAAAGCTTGCCAATCCGGTCTCATGAGTTCTCGATTTGTGTACTTCAAAATAATATTTTTTGTGGGGAAGGCTGCTGTGCAGGATTCAATCTTTTTCTGAAGGGTTGTGTTAGTAATTTATGGTAGTCAACCCTTTAACCCCATAGAGTGACCAGCATTTAGTTCTACTTATATTATCACCTCTGATTCAAACATTAAGGCTACAAGAATTATGGAAATGATCAGAAACGAAAGAAGCTCTTGATTTTTAACCAAATTCTCCTTTTCAACTTCTAAAGAAATGTATAGAGAGCAGTATGGAGAATATGCATACTGATTTTAGGGTGTAAAGGGTTAACCACTGAACACTTTATAAATAACCGATTCATAAGACAAACCTCCTAAGAGAAAAAATAAAAAATGTAAAAAAACAAAAAAACGAACAAAAACAATCAAAGAACAACGACAAAAAACACCACACACCGAGATAAACATCCATAAAGACAAATATACATATAAAACACAGAGGAAAACAAAAGAGAACACACTGTTATTCATGCTGCAATACTATTCTACTCTCCAATCAAGTATGGGAGGACAGAAATCTAACACAAACAGGAATCTAGCTATTATTTTAACGTCTACAAGAAACATATCGCTATAATTTCCACCTAACTCTCGCAAGGTATACTTTTATAAACAATTAAACTCTTCAAGGAAGACACCGTTGCTAGGGTTTTCAATGACAGCCGGTTACCGGCGGTCTGCCGCTGACCATAAGACCCCCTGTTGCCGCCTATTTCACCAGCGGGAAGGCTGTCATGACAAGGTTTTGCCTTACGCCCTCTTCGACAGGCACAGCCGATTATCATACCACCGGCAACCGCTTATTGACAACGTTGTGGAAACACCTGCTTAAACCATGTGGAATCCTGTCTTGAAAAACGAATTTACTCCAGGATACATTTGCTACGGCACTCGTATCGCAAAAAGCTATTTATATAAATTAAAAAAACCTACTTAAGGCAAATTTACAAGACTAAGAAAATACTAATACTCTAAATTTCACTACAATTGTGACAGTTGCATTAACTTTTTCCTCTAATTGGAAACAATTATGTGATCGGATGAAAGATTGGACTACAAAATTTCCCGCCTCTTTTACGGGGCGTCAACCTGAGGAGTCTCAGATATGACAGAAACGTCAATGTTTCTTCTACTGAACGCACAGCGCTGTTTGTAACTTCAGAGTCTTTGCTCTGGCCAATCAGACCAGAGATACCATGTCTCTTCGGTCAATAACTCCTTTACGGTTCCAGAAATACCCATCTACTCGGTAGTAAGAAGTAGCGAGGTTGCCGTAGTTTTAGGGATCCAATCACATCAGAGCCCCGAATGTTGTTTCTCCCAGTGGTAGTTCTCTTCCACACAGTAGAGGGGGTATATTCCAGTTCAACGAGCTATCTCGCGCAAATGTCATCCATTATTTCTATACAGAGGCTACCACAACCATTAAGTGCCCACTGTCGGCAGCGCTGTCCAAGAGGTCTGGAGAAACTCGAGCCAAGTGCTCCTGGGCGAAATCGCACGGCGGGAAAATGTGAAGAACATAGCTAGGCTGAGGGACAAAACAATAAAAAAATTATAACAACCTAAATACTTACATGATCAACTTAGTTTTAAATAATTAACCATTCTTAATAAACCCTATCCTCGAACGTCAGGAAAACCAAAAATATAGCTGAAATATGCAAAGAAAATATTATTAGGAAAAATGTAGCAGCGGAAAGAGGGAGAGGGCGGTAAAGTTTGCCAAATAGACTAAGGTGCTCATCATGGCGTCTTACATGAACCTCTTCCTGATGGGAATGAAAGGGCTAACCAGCCTTAACAACTCACAGCTTTTGCATCCATCATTTGGAGATAAAAAAACCCAGCATCACCAGCACCAGCTAGTGATATCGATTCGTGATTGACGAGTTCTGTAAAAACTTTACCTTTCGCAGAGGAAATGTTTATATACTCTCACTCACCTGAGAGCTGCCTGGTCGTGCTACATTGATGATCCCTGCCGCTTGTTTTTGTTGCAAATAGTTGATAAAACCACTCTTTAGCGCGCGTGTTTGGGCGTGGACATCCAAAGGATCTCGGCCACAAGGCAGCGCCAACAGAAGACAGTGATCTTTGTCCGACTGTTGAGAAAATCGCCAAGACCGTGGTGAGCTTATGTGATGTAGAAAGCGCGGTTAAATCTCATAATATAAAACTACACGCCCTATGTTGTTGACCAATACTCAAACAACACTTCCAAGGTGAGATATGCCAAGAACAAGATTACAAGTGGAAAAACCGTAGGTCGGGTGTTTCTATACTTTAAAAGTTTGAGTTACACTGTCATAGCCTTGAGTTGAATTCTGCCACGAGTTTGTCCTAAATGTTTTCTTAGAGGTTGTGCAAAGTTACCAAAACAAAACGTGCCTTATTTTTCGTGCTAATTATAGTGATTTAAAATGGCTACGTCGAGGCGTCCTCATCCCGACAAATTAAGCCAAAATTTTTCTAGATCGTTGTTAACAATCCGTTTAAATCTATTCCTATCTGGTCATCTATATTCATCTGCCGCTTTGTTTCCTCTTTTAGGTAATTCTGTCTCACTAAACTAACAAGCTGCAAGAAGTTTTTACACAAAACGAAAAATGACCCAGTTCGTGTGCAGTACACCGTTGAGTGTCACGGCCGCCTACCTGCATCCTCCTTATGACACCTTCCAACTGTGACGGTTCCAACTTCATACGCTGAGCGATTCGAATTGGAGGAGGGACACCTCCTACCCCATTGGTAGGTGCCTGTGGTAAGGATACCTCCGCCAAGCGACCATTACCGGCCAGATAATGCATTTGAACGGCTGCAGAGTCGTTTTTCAGAGCCAGTAGCCCCTGCCAGACGACTGGATACCGCCGCAATAGGTCTAACAACGTGTCCGTGTTCGACGGCTGTGGGACAGCTGACGGAAGGTTGTAGTCAGAGTGTGGTGGGGGAGGAGGGGGTAGCCCTTGGGGAGATCCCAAATCTGGTGCCACAGGTACCCCAATAGGTAACCCGGGAGAGTGCACTGTTAATGGAGGTGTGGAAACGTTCGCTGAGGCCGCGACCGCTGGGTTCAGCGGTATACCAGGAGGGGGAATGGGACTAAGAGTAGCAGGGGAAGATCCCAAGGGCACCGACCGAGTTCCATCATAATGTACTGGCGGTGCTGTAGCTATGTCATATGATGACACCTGTGCGGGAAGCCCGTCTGGAGATGGGCCTACTCTTGTTAACATCTCGGTGGGTGGGTAGCCTTCTGAAGCCTCTCGGGGCGGAGGTGGAGGTGGAGGGGGTGGTGGTGGCGATTCACCGTCCGACGTCCGTCGTCGTTTTTGTCTCACACCATCCGTCTTCTCCCAGTCACGCCTTCGCTCGTCTCTGTGCGACTTCCGAGGTGAGCGGCTCCCAGATTCGCGTGGAAATTCCCTTTCTTCCCTAGACGGCCTGTCCTCCGCAGAATGCCTTCGAACAGGTTTCTTACTTTCAAATTCGGGTTGACCAAACCTCTTACTTTCAGGAACATGGCCATCCCTGATTTCAGGTGTGTGCAAGTCAGCAGCAACACTGTCTCTTGGTTTATTGACAGACACCGCCACATCAGAGGCCTCCTTACCAGCTGCATCCTCAGTGAGCGCAGTTTCTTCCTGCAGCTCTCGCTCTTCCTCTTCTTCGCCCAGCGAAGCTCGAAAACGCCTGTGTTTCCTTCTTTTCTTTACATCCCTTTTCTCCTTTTTTCTGACGCCCTTTTCAGGCGGAGGAGATGCTGGAGCAAGTTCCCTCTCGCCGTCTTTAACAAGTGTTTCTAAAGCCCTGGTACCATTACCGTCCACCCGTCGCTCGTCCCAGACATCGTCCCGCGTCCCCTCTTTACCCTTTTGTACAGCAGTCGCGGTATCACCGTCTCTACTTCCTTTCCTCGGCTCCTTCTCCTCGAGACCTCGCTTCTCCGCAGACCCCTCACCTCCACTTACAGTTTCTTTCTCTCCATCCACCGTTTCAGGAGTAGGCGAGCGAGGTTTCCTTCTCTTTTTGTCCTTCCTTTTCGGTCGCTTTTCTTCCTGCTCAATGTCACGACTTGACGGCTTACTGTGCACGGCGGCCCGCTCATCATCTTCACTATACCCAGCTCTTTCTCGGTCAGGTTCGACCGGGAATTCCCGCGAACGTGTGTCTTTACGATCTCGTGGTTCTTCGTAGGAGCCCGAGCTACTTCTGTTCTCCGGCCAGCGTTCTTGATTGTCTTGATAAAAGCGTTCATTTGCACTGTAGGTGCCATCTTCCCTGTCCCTGTCTCGTGTGCCTCTCTCATGTCTCTGCCGGCCCTGTTCTTTTTCTCTCTCTCTCTGTCGACTGAAGTTATAATCCCGCAGTTCTTGATCATAGTCATCTGACTCGTCTCCACCCATCTCATACGACGAGCGGTAACGAGCATGGCCTTTCTGGTGGTAACCGCTGCCCTCAGGATAGTCATAGTTGCCGCCGCTTCTATGCCAAGGTCGGTGATTGGACATCTCGCGCCTCATCATCCCACGTCCTCCTCGACCTCTATCCCACCGATTATCATAATACCCAGGGCCGATGCCTCTGCCTCGTGTTCTGGGGGATGATGGTTCGTATCTCCGGCTACTGCTGCTGCTGTCAGACGGGGCCGAACGCTGCAAGGCGTCGTTAAAAAGTTGTCGGCTATCGCGACTAACAAATTCAACCTGGATCATCAAGACAACATAGGATAAACCTCATGAGAAATCGTTCAAATAGACATATTTTTTCGACTTAACGTTATCTCTGCAGTTGGACCACTCTAAAGCTGGTTAAGGTGAGAATTATTCTTGTTGCTTACGAAAACAACTATTCTAAGACAGTTTACCCTGTATGGAAACCATTTTAGAGGATGAGAAAATAATCAAGTAAAAAGGCAAGAGATAAGGCAACATTACAAAAACATAACTTCAAGTAATTTATACCAAGCACTACCGAACGTATTTCATAACGAGGTTGCAATTCAACACAAAGTGAGGGCGTTTCTACTTAGCACCTGGGCAAATAAGAGAAACCAATGCCACTCACTAACATCTACTACATCCTAAGGGCAGTCACACAACATTGCAATAAAATAGTTTGGATCAACATCAGTATCTGGGCAACTGCCCACCTACCCCTCCCCTAACCCAACATTAACCCTAACTTGTCATCAATTGACTGTTGTTGGGTTAAGGGAGGGGAGGGGTAGGTGGGCAGTTGCCCAGATACTGATATTGATCCAATATTGATCCAATAGTTTTTCTCCAAGAGGCCACTCTTACCTTCACACGCCTTCCAAACATAGATCTACCCTTCATCTCTCCTTGAGCAATGCTGGCAGACTCCACGCTGTCAAAACTCACCAGGGCCTGCTCTCGATGATAATTCACTACCACCTTGGTGACACGCCCATATCGACTGAAGTGTCTCTCGATCTGCTGCTCACTTAGATCCCCAATCATCCCCACCCAGATGGTGTTAATGGGGGACACCTTACCAAAACCAACCTGGAACAGAAATAGTTCAAGATGAATGAGAAACAAGTTTGATAGCCTCAAAGATGAGTAAAAATGTTCCATTTTTACTGGCTTAGTACAAACTACAGCCAGACTTTTGCTTCAAAATAAGTCTCTGCAATGTAAGCTTAACCTTTCAACGCCCAGAAGTGATTAACATGTAACTTCTCCCCATAAATATCCATACACTATCCAGAAAACAGGTAATGACAATATTCAAACCTACAACTAAATTCTTGTACCCAATTTTGAAATTAGTTACAAAAATTTAAAAAAGAAAATATGTAGCAGCTAGAGGGGATAATTTAAATCAGTTCTTGGGAGTAAAAAGGTTACAAATGTGCTAATAACCCATACAGTTCGGCAAACTTGGGTTGTAGAGTTTGAATAGCACATCACAAAATGATCCCCAGGATGCATGCTTAAAGTGTAACTTGAATACTCTGGAAACTGAAATATTTGCTTGTTCCATGCTTGTGATGAGGTAAATTTGCATTTTGTATCTTACATCACTTGGTCTTTCATAACTGATTTAGCAAATGGTTTGTTTTAAGTACCAAGAGGCTTCTGAATGTCACATTGGAACATTTCTCATTAATGGTGTTGTTACAAGTTTGATGCTTTGTGGGAGGAGAATTTACTCATGATTCTCAATGAAAAAACCAAGCTTAATATCATAACAGCTACCTTACATCCTGACATCCAACAACATGAATCAATGAACTCAGAACATAAAAAAGTCAGCACATTTACACACAATGTTTCAGAAGCACAAAGACAATAACGCAAATAAGAAGACACGATGCAATGTTTCATGACAGGTACCTTGACTCTATTCCTGCCAACAAATTCTCTGTCCATTCGTCTACGTGCCTGTATGGCACTGCTGAGCTCAACAAATTGAATAAAGGCATAAGGATTGTTTCCAGTCTGTTTCTTGATATCAACATCCTACAACAGAGGAGGTTTCATAAGTCCTTGCTGCACCATTTTAATGTACAAAATGATTATTTTCTTCTTCATCTCATTTTATTCTTGACAAAAAATTCATAGGATTGCTGGAATGTTTCTATGTTATTTTTTAGTGCCTGGTTGCTCGGATGGTGGATAACACTATCCACTGCATATATCTCAAAATTTGTAACTGGGGGATAGCACAAGCGCAGTATGTTTAGTTAACACTCATCCACTGGACTGCATTATCAGCCCTTTAACAGCAAGGCTCAGGCTATTATTGTATTATCTTGCTTATGCCATCTTCGGCAGATATCCCAAAACATTCATTGAGTTAACATGGTAAACTTACCACAATTTCACCATATCTCTCAAATGCTTCCTTAAGATCAGAGTATGTTGTTGACTTTTCAATGTTCCCAACAAACAGAGTGCGAGTACAACCAGGATCAAACTCTTCATCCATCAAGGAACTAGCATGTGCGCGATGACGAGAGTGTTCACTGCTATCATAGCGCTCAGCTGGGAAAAGAAAAGTATTACAATCAAACTATTTCAATCCTCTTCTAGGCAAAACAAATGACAAAAAAGTAAACACATGTGTAGTAAGTCCAGTGAAATGTCAGATATTAGAATCAGAATCACACAACTCCATTCTTCTCCACTGAAAGATGATTTTATTCAGTGAATGCACAGGCATACTCAAAGAAAAGATCTATAAGGGCTCCCAATGGAATCAAAACTACGACATTCAGAGATGTAGTTTGTATACTCAACCACTGAGCTAAGGGAGACCAATAGTTGGCTAGGCCATTCTTGCCATAAGCAGAATGGATGAGACAACACATTCATAATGGTTGATGCTATAAAAAGTCTGATCCTAAAACTAACTTTGCCAATACTGAAGATCCATCTCAGAACCAAGGAACATCTTGCCACGGCAAGCTTCAAGACTTCTTTCAGCATCTTCAGGTCTAACAAAAATCAAAATGACAAAACTGTAAGTAAACCCTACATGATTGAATGGTTGGTTGAACAAGCTCTTTTTCCTTTTACTCCCCTGGGTGGCCAAGATAGAATTTCTCCTTACAATATCAATGCAATATAAAGCAAGCAAATTGATAAGAATAGAGAAAATATCAACAGGGGAACTAACATCATAAAGAATTGTGTCACAGACAGTAAGAAGAATTATTAAAGAAATTTTGGGATTGAAAGGGTTAAAAATCCACAATTTGTTAGTAAGGTTGATTTCCTCAACTAAAAGCATGATGGGTTCAGAAGCTTATTTAAATAGAAGTTTCATATGGAGAGTTCATTATTCACCTTCTAAATTGTACAATAGCATATCTGCTGGTTCCTTGCCCATTTACAGAAATACGTGTCACATCCCCATGCTTTTTAAACTCATGGTAAAGACCATCACGGACACCACTATCTACAAAATCAGAGAGGACAGATTAGCTCATTTAATTAAAACGATCCTAAAAATGTTATGATACTTAACAATTATTCACTAAACCGGAGAAGACCATAGGTGGATATTTACTAAACTGCAAAACAGGACCAATCACAGAGCAAAGTTTAGATATCATAAGGTGAAGTTGATGAGATTTAATAGATAGTACACCTTGTATGATTGAACAAAAGATAACATACAATTTGCCTTCCTTGTGAAACCATAAATTACTTAATACCTACCTCCAGATCTCAATGAAATATTCCTCAAACAAAGAGCCGATGTTCTGTTTGTACTCTGAGGTACTTCTGCCGGTGGTGCTGCATTTCCATGTGCACTTCCAGCCCTGCTATCTTCCTCACTGCTGCTACTGCCACTTGAACTGGCAGACTGACTCCCACTATGGCTGCTCTCACTTCCACTCTCACTGCCGCTGGTGCGATCTGGACTGGGCTCCTGATCACGATATGCTTCTAAACAAAGAATGATGATAGATGTGGTTTTGTTAACATTGGGTCATAATTCATTTTCTTTCTTTAATGCAAAGGCACAACTTTTACCAACTCTCACAGATCATTGTCAACTGTCCACAAACCACATCTACTAAACACAATCTACCTGACAACATTATGACTGCTTGCAAAAGGTGACATATTACATTTCACAGGATACAAGTACTATCATGCACATCAGCAGGAGCCATGCTCACTATTTCATGACATGCCTTCATGAACTCACCAGGTAACTTGTGAGTATTTCGGCGAGGTTCATGACTATAGGGTTGACGCCGATGATCTCCACTACTACGAGGTCTTGATCGGCTTGCAGTGCCTCCTCCTTTAGCAGAAACCCTAGAGGATCCAGTTTCATCTTCACTGTAATCATCTTGGTAAAAAGCTTGCGATCGACCATTGTAACGTCCATCAGGTCCACTACTGTGAAAAACAAACCTAAATTAACTTTGTTCAACTAAATAATAATAATAATAGTTTAGACAATAACTATTTGTGATTACAGTGTATTTTTTCATTATTTCCTCCATAATCTTTCACCCACCCCTCTTTTCAAGTGTTAGAAGTAAAGCTTCACATTTTAAGCTCACATAGTCAGCTCCAAGAATTACTCATTCCCAAAGGTGCCTAAAACAACACTGTTCTCTAAAAGTAATGATCAGGTCAACCAGGTGTATATTTGAATGAGTAAAATACTAACCTGATTGAATACAACCCTAACTGGGCTTCATGCCCAAGAACACCACACTTCACAAGAACTCTTCAATGCAAATATTTTTTTTAATTTAAGGTCATCCCCACTGAGATCCAATGGCCACAAAGAGATAACACTTACAACACATGAAGACCATAAAACTTTTAAGCCACAAAACACTCCCTACACTCCATACAATGATCGAGGCAATTTGAGATACTCAAAGGCTAGCATGGTTCTGTACAAAGATTTATTTCAATAGACTTTCACAAGTTAACTTGGTCTGATCCAAATAGGACATAGAAGATGGCGAAAATACTCAAAGACAATAATGATGTCAGACTGAGACAAGATCAAATAAGAGAGGCAGCAAGTCAGGTTTGCCAAGGATGGAATCCTGTTGTTTCACAGCCAAATACATTGATGGATTCAATGCCACTTTTCATGGAAAAACTTCACCACAGCTTTAATGTATGAGGAACTTTATTGTGTTGATAACCTCACATCCATGGAGGCTGTTTATCCAAGTTGCTTGAAAAAAATTCCATATTCCACAATCTCTTCCTTTATCCATACACATTTGGAGCCTCTCTAAAAACATCTGTAATCCAGAAAGAAGTTTGCATAAACCATGTTCTAAATCCTGAACTTCCCTCAATGTTTTCCACGTCATACTTTCTAGACCAAATGACAAAACATCTTTTGTGGAATTGCTAACGATCTTGGTTAAGGAGATTTTGGTAAAAACTCTAAGCAATTGTTGGAACTTAACAGTAACACTGATGAGTCATTCCTTATTGAACAAACAGGGTCAGTATTTTGGGAAATTTAAACATTTACAGACAAAGGTTACTTCACTAAGAGATGACCAGCTGAAACTGTGTTAAGACAGGGTATGACCATCAGTATAGAGCTGTGATTGAAACAGACATTCACGAAAAACAGCATGATCAGTTACTGGTGGCACCATCTGTAACAGACAAAAGAAAAGCCAGCAATCCAAACCTACAACTTGTGATCTATTAGATGCCTGGACAATTGGAATTGATAATCTTGCTTCATCTGTGGAATGGAACTTGACACCACACAAGATGAAAGCCACACAAATCAATGGCCAAACTTGGAAAAATTCATCCACAAACTTGAAATTAAAGCTGTAAGTTTGATGTAGTCTTGATCCACATAACTGACAGTTTTCTTCTCTTCCACAGAGATGCACTACTTTACCATACAATCTTGAAATGTTTCACTTGTTCCTTGTCCGACTAATTCAGGGAGTGTTATTGTAAATGTTGTACATGTAAAAATCTCTCCTCTAATGTTGTTAATCCAATAACATCAGGTAATCATAGATTAGAAATCACTTGTTGCTTTTCACATCCTTAAACCTTTCCAAGTTGACATCTCCACAAGGTGACATTTCTTTCAAGCTGTTGTCCTTGCAAACACACTTTCTTTTCCAAAAATTCCACATCATTTTATCTGAGTTGCAGTGACATCCTTGTTTTCCAGAAGTAAAATGCCAAGAGGGATGAGGCTACCAGATCTTGATCAATAATTATTTGAATTCTGTACACCACAATTCACCAGCATGTAGCCAAGTAAAGGAGTTAAAGCACTGTGAATGTGTTTCAATACAAATGTTTTGCTATCTTTGAGAAACCACACCATACCATAAACCATACAATGCATCTTGTCCCAAATACTTACAGTATTTTCCTCTAACACGCCAACGTTTTAACTATCCACACGAGGCCGCCATCACTAAAAAGCCCTTACACATATGAAATATCTCATGAACCTTTTCACTTACCCCTCCGGTCTTCTCTCAAATCGCCGTCTTTGTGCGGGCGATCCCGGGGCTGTGTTACCCGTAGGTCTCGAGGGAGGGTCCGTATGCCCGTGCAGCCGGGAGATATTACCCGCATTGCCCGGCTCGTTGTAATCAGTACGCATTTCGCGGTCACCGATTCGATTCACAGATTCGTGCGCTTTGGTAGCGCTTCGAATATCCACGAAATCTACAAAAGCTGCTCTTCCTCCTTCTGCGCTACGTTTTGGCAAGATTTTGACGCTTTCTACCCGGCCATATCTACGAGATAAAAAGAAGCGAAGAGATAGTTTAAGCAGCACAAAAAGAAAGCGAAACTAGCGTTTGATGACGTGGAACACGAAACTTCCGGGAAGCCAACGGGGCGGGTGTTAAAAGAAATTGAAAATCACTTTCCTAACTTCTCTTAAACTTTTCACAGGTGTATATCCACGTTTATTCTTTCAGAGACTCAATCCTGACGTCTCACTGCAATCCTATTTATTTACTTTGCAATACAACGCGAAAAACTCCCAAAATGACGGGATCAAAACAAGTAATTTTAACTTGTAAGCTACTACCGTTCCGACAACACCAGAACTTTCTATTATCATGTGGGGCATGTCAAACGCGAAGACGGAATTTCAAGCAATAATTAAAAGAAGCATTGTTTCATGTCTTGATCAATCTCAAAATAAAGTGGAGAAGATTAAAAGGCAATTTAAAGATCAACCGAGCTAAAACGTAGATAATCTTCTGGCGTTACTACAAGCCTTTAACATCACCTAAAACATAGAATATATTTTCCAAGCAACAGCTGGGCAAAAGAGAATAAAACCAAGCTTGTCGATTCACGATACGGTAAAATAACCCTCAAACGATAAAATTGAGTGGACGAGCGGCATCAACACGGCCAAGGTGCGAATTTTAGAACAAATAGGAGTAAGATGAACTCAAGCGCGCCAAAAGTCGACGATAAGAGTCTTACCGAGTGAAGTGCTTGACTATTTCTTCTTCTCTGATGTTTTCCGGAAGGTTTCCGACCCACAAATGGCGGGTTTCACGCACCATCCTGTTGAATAATATCTTCTGCTACTTTGTAAAGGCTATTCGATCATTATTACGCAAAAAAACAGTCATACAAAAACACATTTTCGTTAAACTTTCGAATCCTCAGGTAAAACAGATTGGTAGCGTTTTTTATTTGCAAAGGCTTCTGGGAGAGGCTGCAGTGGTATTATATAAAAACACCTCTGATTGGTTCATCTTAAGGTTACTGTTCTTTTGGCCAATAGTATCTTTTGCTTTATTTTTGGAGTATCGAAGTGTTCATTAGCCTCCACGCAAATGCTAGATTATTCACTTTGCCCCGTCAGTGAATCTTGGAAATAGGCTCTGTCAACGGTAAGTTTAATTTTTACTTTTTACATGTGTTCTTATTGACGAGCGTTTATGTCTATTACCGAAAGATTTTCACGGTAGGTCAGAATTTTTTGCATTTTCTTGGACAGTTTAAATGGGTGATTCCATTGACGCCTCAGAGCCCTCCCTGGGAACAATTTAAGTATTTCTTCGATCAGCTAAATAAATCCTTTTGTAGTCTTAACTGAAACACGAGTTTTTGTGTTGTCATTTAAATTGTCAACCTGCAGCTCAAGTGTACGTTCATGGAGCGTTCCATTTCCTCTTTGATCACAAGACAGAGATCACCTGATTCACTGCACGTTTACATTCCAAAACCCTTCATTGCTTTTATTTGTTTATTATACAAATAACTCTGACGTCTGCTCAGGGGCTTTGAATACAGTTTGTTCATTTTACTTTGCAAATTAAATTTATTTCATGTGTTCGCCACTCCCAAAAACCTTGGGATCTTGCGAAAAAACCGGATGATGTAACCTTTATCGGGAAATTGCAAAGCCATCCTAAATAACTTCCATTTATTTATACCTTTTCATTACTATCATTTTAGTGGAAGCTGCAGTCGACAAGATTATTCTTTTTCCAAGCTCAGTAGATATCATGATTGCAAATGATCTCAAATGTATTTAGTTCAAATCCCACTAACTATGATCATTGCACTTTTGGGAAAAGAAAAAGGAAAGAATTAAAAAACTGCAGAATCACTGAAGCTAATGGTGCAGAAATTACTTCTCCTCATATTTTAGATATGACAGATTGTAATTTTGAATCGAAAGATCCCCTTAAAAGTTACCTTATAAATCAGGTATACTCAAGAATACAGTTTGTTCATTTTTCTTTGCAAAGTTAAATTTATTTAATTTGTTCACCACTCCTTAAAACCTTAGGATCTTGCAAAAAATACTGGATGATGTAACCTTTATCAGGAAGTTACTAAGCCATACTAAATAGCTTCTATTTATTTACACCTTTTCATTTCTATCATTATTATGGATGCTGCAGTCGACAGGGTTATTCTTTCTCCAAGCTCAGGAAATAACATGATTGCAGATGATCTTAAATGTTTTTAATTCAAATCCCACTAACTGTGATCATTACACTTTTGGGAAAAGAAAAAGGAAAAAACAAAAACTGCAGAATCACTGAAGCTAGTGGTGCAGAAATTACTTTCTCTCCTATTTTAGATATTAAAGATTGTAATTTTGAATTGAAAGGTCTCCTTTAAAAGTTGTCATATAAATCAGGTGTATTTAATTAACTATAATTTGTGATGTGCTGTCTGAAAAAGCAGGGCCAAGTAAATCTTTCCAAGTCAGTGATATGTGTTATAGCAGAGCTTGCAGAACATAGCCCCATAATTATACAAAATAGTAGTAACCCATCAAGCCAAAAAAAATTTGGATGTATGACCCTCCGACCATACAAGGTGCTACTTTTAACATGCGTGGTTAAAGGAGAACTGAAGTCCAAATTCATGTAATTTTTTTCACCGTGTATCGTACATTTATGTATGATGGAACAAATTTCCGTCATTTTTTTTCCCTCGAACGACAGTTTTCATCCAGAAAACGAAGGGTTTTTAGTGATAATTGGCTCGACATTTGACTGTGGTACGTCGGCTCAGAACACGAATGTCAGCGGTTCTTTTTGTAGCGTGTGACGTAGGTTATGGGGATGAAGGTAAACACAGCAAGAAACAGGCAAGTTGAATTCAGGGCTGCGGCTTGCTCGCGGGAAAGAATTTGTGGTTTTCCAGGAGTAAAGATTGTGCAAGGTGAAGCGAAAAATGATTCAAGCGCCTCTCATATAAGAAAATTGGTCTTCTATCCAGGGATTGTGTAAGAGAAAAATATTTTGGCTTTCGTAACCCTGTGTCTCTGAAACGTAGTTACGTGTCCAGATCATGTGCGGCGCATCTTTTATACTTGGATTGACCTCGATGTTTTCGGAATAGGGTCTCCACTTTAATTTTTCTTAGATACTGGTAATTTAAGATATTTCATCTTCCATTCTGTTTCCCATATTTTGTTATTTACCTTTTTTAACATTAGTTTGCAACGCGTTTGTAGTCTGGATTTTGCAATGGCATGTACGATAACGCACGCTGTTAACAATGTCGCAAGAAGTCCAAAAGGAAATAAAATTTTGAAATTCGTGTTGAACCTTGGTTTATAAGTTCTCTATAATGGGTTAAATTCTTGGCTTACGCAAGAAAGGATGTACAAATACGGAAGCCCGAGTTATTTGAGTTTATTCTTCTATCTGTTCTTGGCGGTTGAGTAGCCCTCGTTGCTTTATTTACTTCGATTACTTTCGAGCTAAAAAATGGTATACTGCGCGGCGTTCGATTGTAACAACGACTCGAGGTACACAACTGGTATATCCTACCATTGCTTTCCGAGGGATGAAGCTCTACGATCACAGTGGCTGGCAAAGATCTCACGAGCGGATCTGGTCGTTTCGAAAAACTCCAGGCTGTGCTCAGAACATTTTACACCTGACTGCTACGAACGAGACTTGAAAGCAGAAATTCTTGGTTTGAAACCCAGATCTACGCTAAAACCAGGTGCAATACCCACGGTTTTTTCGCATAGGAGACCATCAAAAAGACCTCGACTTTCATCGGAGAAACGTTCAGAAGAGAAAGTCAGAAAAGAAGTAAGTGAATCGCGAATTACTCTCTTGTAACTGGGTTGGGTTGTTGCAAAGCTTGGGTTGTTGCAAAGCTTGGGTTGTTGCAAAGCTTGGGTTGTTGCAAACTCTTGAAGCTGCTCATCATTTATGCATGATTGATAAAAAAAAATTAAAAGGTGAATGCAGTTTGAGGGCAATAACAATTTATATCTTAAGGGATATCACCCGAATAGGTTCCATTGAGAAACATTAAATTGTCACAAAAAAGTATTTCTTCTCCTTACGCAAAAAACAATATCCTGCCATGGAATTCCTTCTAGTTTCATCATTTTTTTTTTTTTCTGAGTAATCTTTGTACTTCGTCTCTCCTGAAAATTTTTGACCAATAGGTAAACAAAATTAAATTGTTTCAGAATAAAGTGATTATTCTTTAATTCTAGGAACATTATACCTGTCCCTTGTTAACTAGCAGGTGAACAAAATTAGTACAAATAGACTATATATAAGTTGTGGATATTATTCTTTAAATAATGAATTCTTTTAACCTTCTTTACTTCTATGTGAATAAAAACTTAATACAACTGGAAATTCTAAGTTGAAACCAGTGCAGGCTTTCAACCAAAGGAGGGCAGGGTCAGGTGTTATATTTTCCAAGAAAATCCCATTGAATCATTGTGTAACCATATAGTAGCATAGTTTATCCCCCATACCTAAATTTTTATTCTCTCAAAGGGTCACTAACCCATACCATAACAGAGTTAATATTTTTTTTCTGTTATAGTATATAGCCTCTATCACTGCACAACCTAGTTGTGGAATCGAAGAACATGCAGCTTCAGCTTTAGAACAGCCTGCACCTGTTGATGTAGTGAATTGTGGAGCAAGTACATCAACCTCAGACAGCCCATTATATCCACTCCCACATGATTTAGGGCCTAAAAGCACGTTGGTTGAGTCACAAGCAGTGCAGGTGAATTTGCCAAACAAGGGTGTGGATTTTGGGATCCAAGTCAATCTTCGTGGTCTCCATTTAATGATGAAATCTACTGACACCCAAGTCGAGGTTGAGGTTTCAGAAAGCAGCACCCAGACTGAAGAGGTATTCCTTCCTGAAATTGAAGATAACAAAGAAGAAGCAACTGAAGCTGCTGCTTCCCCAGAAGTCTCTCCAAGAAAAGATAGCATCTACCTTCCCACAAAACAGGAAGATTCAGATGATTCGAACTTGTCAGGATCAGACAACGAACACCAAGGGGAAACAAAATGTGAAAAGCCACAGGATGATACCAAATACATTGTATTTAAACAAGAGCTATTTAAATTGTTTAAGTACTGTCCTGAGTGTGGTGCAGTTGTGATTAAGAGGAACCAATCCACATAAGGAAGCCAACTATTTGTCACCCTAGAATGTATGAATAATCATAAGTACTCCTGGCAAAGCCAGCCAATGCTTGAGGGGATGGAAGCTGGAAATTTGTTGCTGTCATCATCTATTATGCTCAGTGGCTCTACCTTTACAAAAGTAGCATCTTTAGCAGATATCTTAAATTTAAAAATTTTCAGTGAGAAAACATTTTATAACATTCAAAACAAGTACTTATTACCCGTAATCAATGAGTTCTGGCTTAAAGAACAAAATTCCACTTTTTCTGAGCTAGGGGGGCCAGATCTGTGGCTTTCAGGGGATGGGAGTTGTGACAGTCCTTGCCATAATGCAAATTATGGGACATATACCATGATTGATCAGAAAACTGATAAGATTGTTGACTCCAAGGTTGTTCAGGTCAGCGAAGTAAATAATAGCAATGCCATGGAAAAAGAGGGTTTTAAACGCTGTATGGAAAACATCTATGAAAAAGGGGGGAAAGTTATGGTTGTTGCAACTGACCGTCATGTGGGCATTAGGGCTGACATGAAAAGAAATTTCCCTGAAGTTGATCATCAATTTGATGTGTGGCACCTTTCCAAGAGTATAACTAAAAAGTTAGCCAAAAAAGCAAAGAAAAAAGAATGTGCTGATCTCTCTCGCTGGATCAGATCCATCTCAAACCACCTTTGGTGGTGTGCCAAAACTTATGGGGGAGACAAGGAGATGTTGAGAGAGAAGTGAATATCCATTGTCTAACACACTGCCAATATCCACTCCTGGGATTCAGCTGACCTGTATGAGGAATGTGCCCACCAACCAATCCCTCCAGCTATCGCAAGAACTAAAAGGTGGCTTAGGCCTGGCTCCTCTGCTCATAATGCATTGAAGGAGGTTGTATTCGATAAAAATCTGTTGAAGGACATTCAGCAACTAACACTAAGTTGTCATACTGGCAATTTAGAGGTGTACCATAGTGTGCAGACCAAATATGCACCCAAACGGCAGCACTTCTCTTATAATGGCATGGTTGCTCGAACTCAGTTGGCAGCACTAGACCATAATGCCAACACTGGTAGACAACAAGCCACTGTATCCAGGGGTGCCAACCAAGGGGAGCTGCAATATAAGGTAGTGTTTCCGAAAATAACAAAAGAATGGGTGGCAAAGCCCATATTTGAGAAGACAACCAATTATCATCTCAAGCCAATGCTTAATGCCATTGTAGAGAGAAAATGCTTAAAACCACAAGAGAGGAGTGCAACAGTCACAGCACCACACATTCCTGGAGACATTGCCAGCAAACCCCGGCCTCCTAAAGCAGATGTCATTGCTAATCATACTTCGAGATTTTCGAATAATTAAATACAACAACTTTGTCAATAACACAATCAAATGAAAATAAAAGCAATCATCGTAGCAAAAAAAGCAATCAAAGTTAGGTTTGAGGTTTATTTCATTCAGGCCACGCAGCTATCCCTGGCAATGTGGATAATTTAATAACTGCAGTAGGGATGACATTCGTTTGGCTCTGCATGGCTTTTTGACTGAATCACTATGCAGAAATGTGTTAGTAATTCATATCCTCGATAAGTAATTGTATATTTCACGCAAATTTTAGAAAGAAACCGTAACATAAGGAAAGAAGAGCCTCTGATGTTATACACGCAAAGGATATGTTACTAATCATTATTAAAGGACATTAAGGATAAAGTTCAAAGTTCCAGATCTGCTTCTCGAAACCCCACGTAATTACCACTCTCTTCTGGAAATGTTTTACGTATGGCCGTGACGACGCATGCTGGCACGATTCTCCGCCGGTTTTTTCCTAATACCCCATGTGCCCACCAAGTAAATTGTCTGTAGGCTGCCAAACGCCAAGTTCTAGAGAACAAGAGGATATAAAGTCACAAAAGCGATTGACTTAATTACGTGTACAAAATAAGAAAGAAAAAGACAGTTTACCTGTTGACGATAGGGTCGGGAATTGGATTGAGCCGCGCATTGTGGATTGCAACCAATGCCGTGCTCAAAACATCCGTGTCCAAGCACACAATACCAAATTTCGGATGTTCTGTTATACATCTAACACATATTAAGAAGAAAAAAGTCTTAACATTTTATTTCCCTCACTGTTTCAATAATTTTCATCCATCAGACCTTGTAATTGTAATTACAACTAAGATCGAGTTTGCAATTGTCCACCTTTTGTCACTCTTAGCAAAGAAGCGGTCGCTTCAAACAAAATACTCGTGAGAATAATCACATAATAAGTACAAACCTGAATTGTCGAACTTTTGATTAAGCTCCTCTAGTTCTTGGCAGCAGTAACATTCATTTGCCACCGGCATAAGCGCACAAGCGCCGCACAAACACCATTCGGTGTTTCCCATCCTCGAAGTATTGTCTTCTTCGTGGGCTTCTACCTCCTGTCCTACACTCTTTTCCTGAGGTGGTTCTTCTCCAGGCTGATATACTGGTTCGAACTGAAATGGTTCTATTCCGCTCATAACGAAGGGTCGACGAAGAAGCAATTTGTATTAAAACTTAGCTGAACGATAACACGTTCTAAAGTGATCCCCATAACATACGTCACAGGCTCTTTTGGAAGACCGCTGATTTAAAATTGGTGCCCACGGTTTGAAAGCCGAAACAGCGCGAAAATACAAACTTTAAAGAAATATTTCTCCAAGGTAAGACACATTTAGCACAAATAACGCCTGAAATCGAGAATTTCGTCACTTTGGCTATCGAAAGAAATTAACTCAATTTTTGGCTTCAGTTCTCCTTTAACCATACCTTGGGCACACCAATGCCACGGCTTTGTCCAGTAGTCCAGTGGTCAGTGCACTGGGATCCGAGTCGGATGATCCAGGTTCTAGTCCTGGCTGGAGCAATGCATTGTGCCCTTGAGACGTGCGGAAAAAAAAAAATGCGAGCTCCACTTTTAGGCTTGGCTAAATCTATATATTATATTTGATGTGGGTTATCTATTGAATAATGAATTTGTATTAATTAGTCAACATCAAGCAATCAATCATAGTGTTATCTGCTCTATATCTCTCTCTTGCATAATTTTTTTTTAGTTGGGAGGGGAGAGTTTGCAGCAGTATCAAGATAATTTCTTTTTGGATTTAGAGTTTGTACCCAAGTGTTTGTTGTGCTGAATGGAATGATTTTCCTAACATCCTCCCAGACCTTGGTGGGAAGAGTTGTATTATCCTCATGTCAACGTTACGCTTTGAGACATTGTTTATCCACCACCCCTGCCCTCGCTGGAGAAGGTGATTTCCTTTCACCCTTTTTAAAATTCTCCTCTCTCTCTGTTTTTGTGTGCTAACCCTTTGATGCTGGAATCACACATTAATGTCCCAAGAATTACGGTAATGATCACCAACTGAAGAAGCTCTGGATTGTTAAACAAATTCTCCTTGTCAGCACCTTAGGAAATGTGTAGAGAACAGTATAGAGAATATGCATATTGATGTTATGATGTCATGCTGTAAAGGGTTTGTCTCTTATTTTCCCATTTCCTCTATATTTTTTAGGTAATGATAAAAAAAAAAGTTTAATAATTTTTCTCTTTACAGCTAATGACATAATGACATATTTTAGGGTTTAAAAGAAAAACTTATCATGAATTTTTTTTTTGAAGGAAAAATGTCTGGTGTCAGCAAGATTTTTGCTCGTGAAATATTTGACAGTCGTGGAAACCCTAGTGTTGAGGTTGATATCACAACATCAAAAGGTGAATAATTATTGGGCAGTTGGTATGCATTTTTAAGTATTAGATACGAGTTATTTGTAACATAATTGGTTTTCTTCCCTGGAAGAACAGGTTTTCAATAGCAAGGGGGTAGCAAGTAGATCTATTGTGCTGGCTGCCCATTTTAGCCTTTGCACAAACATTACTGTACTCCTAATCTACATGTAGTTATTTTGGAATTTGTTCAAAGTGGTTGAGAATTTGAGGAACAACAAAGCAAGATAAATTTGGTGAGACCTCAAAGCACAACTGCAAGAGCATAGAACTTCAAAATTTCCCAGGGGAACCTAGACCTCTCCAATAATAAGAGTCTCTTCAGGCCTTCAAAACCATATGCCTGCCATTTTTATGTCATATTTTTATTGAATTTACCTCTGGTCTTGCTATTCAGATATATCATTGTGCAATAATAACCACCTGTAACTTTCCTGGCTGTAACATTCAGTATGCATTTTGCTAGGATGTTAATTAGGTAGCTTGGACAACAGAATTCTTCAGTTACTCATCAAGATTTTCTGACTAACTTTCAATGGTATAAGCTATTTTTTCTCAGATTTAGGAAATATCCTTTAATTTCTTTTTATACTACTCTCCCACAACTACATTTCTTGTCCGAAACCCTAATTTTGTAATAAACAAACATATAGACTTCCTTTGTCTTCTTCTTGCTTAAAACAAATAAATATTCCAGAGCTAATTGTACAAATGTGGTTGGTGAGAAGGCCCAATGAGCTCTGGATTCTGGTTTGAGAGGTCTGGGTTGGAGCCTCGGTTAGGTTCATTTTGGTGTGTTCTTATACCACAAACTTCCTCTCTGGTAGCTTCCCTTTACCCAGGTGTCTCTGTGGGTGGGCACCATTGTATCATCTTATTGTATAACATAGAGGAATGTAGGCAGAGAAACTAGCTCAGAGAGAAACACGAGTAGTCAACCATCTTCTTTGTTTACTTGGTTATATAAAAACAAGAAGCATCTCTTAATCAATATGTCTTGCAACACACAAAAGATACCTGCAAGCTGCCAGGGAAATTTGATGAGTTATCAGACACTGCAATAGGCCATTTTACAGTTGTGTACTTAGTTGCCAAACCTTTGATTTGGAGTGAGGCTGAAGGTGACATTGCTGTGATAGAGACTAGTATCTAGTTAGCACGATACCAAAGTAATTTGCATTTGAAAAGCAGCAAGGTTTGTATCATAACAAGGTCACCCATAGCCTCATTCCTGTTCAAAGGCTTGACAACCAAGCACAGTGTAGCCAGTGTAGTGCAGCAATACTCCTTCCTATTCACTTTATGATACAGAAGTTGTGATGAGCTCAAAGTTTAGTGGACCTCTTGGTTTGTGAGAGTTTATTTTACAAAATACGTGATACTTTTTTGTTGCAGGGCAGTTTCGTGCTGCTGTTCCATCTGGTGCATCCACTGGAGTGCATGAAGCTTTAGAGCTTCGTGACAAGGATCCAAAAAGATTTCTTGGAAAAGGTAAATTAACATTCAACAATATAAATGGTACAGTTGCAATACTACTAAGGGAAATTATTGTCATTGAAATATAAATCTGGTAATAGACATTTGTGGTGTAACTTATAATGACTATTAACGAGAATGATAAAAGTCTCTGTTTAGGCATGGGAACCATACCATCATAATTAGTGTGATGCTTGAGAAACTTTCAATTCTTGTCAATTAAAGATAAATTCGATATTTATGATTGATTTACAGTAACTATTATTTATATTTTTTTACAAGGTCTATTTTTACTATTCATGTTTTCAGTATTTGATCAATTGTTTTCTCTTAAATTCGTATTTTATTGGGAATCTGAATAATCAAAAAAAATTCTGTTTTTGTGTTAGGTGTTCTTAAAGCTGTTGAGAATGTCAATAGTATCATTGGGCCAGCACTTATTGCAAAGGTAATTTCATAGTAACAATAAATACATTTTAATTTTTTATGTTTTGTTACAATTTCAATGTCAGTATCTGAGGAACTGCATACCTACCCCTCCCCTAACCTGACAACAGTCAGGGGAGGGGTAAATGTGCAGTTGCTCAGATACTGACATTAATCCAAGATTCTCATAGTTCTAAAATTATCAATACTTAGAATGTGGATGTGACAAAGCAAGAGGATGTGGACAAGATAATGCTGGAGCTGGATGGAACTCCCAACAAATGTAAATATTGTTCACATATGATATTTGTATTGTTGTAAATGATTTTGATATGACTCGCTATCTTGTGAGTGTATCAATTGGGTTGTGTCTGTGTGTAATTACTCAGAAAATGGAGATATGCTATTTGTGGGAATGTGGTGATGAGAAAACACAAATAGTTGTATGAAAAGTACTTGTTAATACCATGGGGATTAAGAGTGCCAATTTGAAAGATAAACTAGAGTTTTGCGGGTTTCCAAACTGTGCAGATGTAAGGAAAGGCCACAAACCACCATATGCTACTCAGAATGACTAGGGAGATTAAAGTGTCTAGTGACTCAGTTGATAATACATGGTGTGAAATTAATTTTCTTTTCTGGTAGCCACTTGGCTCCTAAATTTTTCAAAGTGGTAGCCAATTCAAAAAAAGTTGGTTGCCATTTTTAAAGACAAATAAGACCTTTTTTAATGCTGTTAGCATTCTAGATAGACCCTCCAAAATTAAGTTAGGAAAAAGATCTTTAATGTGCAACAAATTGGACACTAGGATGTCCAATTTAATTCACTTTATCTCTAAGTAAGGTTATGATGAGGCATTCTAGTTGCCAATTTGGCGACTAATTTTCAGGATTTGGTCGCCAAAGTGAAAAATCTCACGCCCTGTAATACTCAATTATCCTGTTATACTCTCCCACCGACACAGCACCATAGTCATCACAGTTTCTTTAGAAATTTATATCTTGTGAGTGGTTTGTTTTTGTGATGCCTCCATCCTTATTCTGTAAACCATATTTTATAATTTTTAATGATTAGAAGTAAATTTCATTTGACCCATGGATGAAAATCATGCAGAGTAATGATTCTTGCAGGTATTAGCTGCAATTTTAGCAATTGCAGGAAGGAAGCCTGAAAAAATTCTGGCATTGATTGGGTTAAAACCTGTGTCTCTTAGATGCTACTTGGTGCTATCATCAACTGAGCTTTGAAACCACATGTTGGGAGCACATTTTCTAGAGGGAACTTCTCTCCCAGGGAGGATCTGGTCATAATTTATAATGAAGTTTATTTCATTACTTGACGAATCATATTGACTCTATTGCGTATTGATTTCAGCCAAGCTGGGTGCAAATGCAATCCTGGGAGTCTCACTGGCAATTTGCAAAGCAGGAGCAGTACACAAGGTCAGTAAAGAGCATCTGTCACTGTTGAGTATCCCTTTTTTCTTTGGAAAAGATAAATGTTAATTTACAATGTTCTATTTACAATTAAAAGCTGAAGCTAAGTCATGCAAGATCATTCTCAAAATGTATCCATGTTCCTGTGATTCTGAACCTTTTCACTGACAACTGGATTAAAAACAAATTGCTTTTTTTTTTTTTTTGCTTTTCTTACTGATGCAGAGAATGAAAAATTTATGAAGATTGAGTGAATTTTCAATGAAAGTTACCGGCCATGTTTCTAATCACAGTTAACAGACAAGTTATTAAATTCTTGCTGAAACATTTAAATGGACGTGAAGATGTTGTGGACTTGTCCACAGAAAGTCCAAAAATGCTTTCAGGATTTGTAGTCACCCTGTTTTGCATGTGGGCCCTCTCTCCATGACCAATATGAAGTTTGTAAGTTTCTTTTGTTAGGTGGTCCCTGTTAGCAAAGTTCATGGATACCTACCTACTAGAATAGGATTACTTAGCCCCTCACCCCTTGAGCTTATTAATTGGCAGTGAGTTTAACCAGGTGCTGTCCTTGTTTCAGGGGGTACCTCTGTATAAGCATATTGCAGACCTGGCAGGCAACAAGGAGGTGATTCTTCCTGTTCCAGCATTTAATGTTATCAATGGAGGAAGCCATGCTGGGAATAAACTTGCCATGCAGGAATTTATGCTGTTACCAACAGGTTAGACACTTACAGATTTTACAATCATGGCTCTCTTCCTGCAGGAGTATCAAAAGGTAGAATAAAATGTAAGGGAAACTTGTTGTATTCCCTGGTGGTACTTATTTGGAGCTATTAGTAGCTATTTTTTATGTACAGTGTTCTCCTTTTCATGTGGTAACTGGTAAAATTTATGGCCTTTAGTATTTCTTATTATCACCTAAAATTGTTCAGAACTCTTGAAGATTCAACAGGTGAAAGGATTGGTCAAGACTAATGGTTTGAAAATAACTGTTTTCTTGCTATACCTGAAGTAAGAGAGAACACTTCATGTTGCTTGAAAATTCTGTATCGCTTTTATTTTGGAATTTAATTACGATATTTTGTGTTTTGTGGGAATGACTCTTTGGAATCCAAGGTGGCTGAAATTTCTCCAGGGAGCTAATTTTTGCCATCTCTTCATTATGCTCTAGAACTTAATTTTCTTTTTATTTGTGGAGTTGTTTTCTGTGGGAAGTTATTTTGACACATAAAAGATTATCCAGTAAGTATTAAAATCAGCAAAATTTTCATGCAACATGGTAGTCTTAACTCAAGTAAAAGCCAGGGCAAGTGCTGGCATTTCATAATGGGTTTCAACTTAGAAAAGTTTAAGAATATGTATTTGGTGTTTTTTTAGGGGCCAGTAATTTTAAGGAAGCAATGAGAATGGGCGCAGAAATCTATCAGAACCTGAAAAGTGTGGTGAAGAAAAGATATGGAATTGATGGTGAGTAAGAAGAGCCCTCTGAAGATGGAAATTTGTATCTTTAACCAAGAGGTCCTTTGGAGAAAGAAGTGCATTTTCCATTAATTTAAGATGTTGAAAATTGTTTTAATCCTTTACACCTTAACATCAGAATCCACATTCTCCATACTATTTTCCATACTTTTCCTTTGGGACAGACAAAGGAGAGTTCATTGTTTAATCAAAGCATCTTAGGTTTTGTGATCATTTCCTTTATTCTCATGATCTCAATGACAGATTCAGCAGTATTTCTGTAAGGAGAAATTAGATGCTGATCATACTTAGGGTTTTTAGGGTTGAGAGGAGATATTACCTATTACTTTTCACATTGTTATCAACAATGATGGTAACAACTAAAGATTTAAACCACCTTTTGACACACTAATGTTTTTGTCCTCACAGCTGTTAATGTTGGTGACGAAGGAGGCTTTGCGCCAAACATTCAGGATAACAGAGAAGGTGAGAAAAGTTTCCCTCTCTCTCTCCCCCCCCACACTCCAAAAAAACAAAACCACATGCTTTATTTCAGTAATATTCCACCCAGTTATCCAGATATCAACCAGTCTTGTTTTTACCACTGAGCCTTAGACTCTATGGTGAGCAAGACCCATCAGGAATTCCTATATGACACATGTCCTGCATACTGCTGGGATCGGCAATTTCAATGTTTTGTAAACTGAACTAAAAAGATGGTGCATTTTTTGGCTTGGTAAAGAAATAGAGAACAATGTTTTGCATCTTATCATGAGCATGGAACAAAGAAAAAACTCTGAGGAATGGAACCTCTGAGGAATGAAACCTCAGACCTTCCTGTGACCTTCTTGGTTTTTATTTGATATTCATAGGTCTTGAGTTGCTCAACGTTGCCATTGCCCAGGCTGGTTACACTGGTAAGATCAAAATCGGCATGGATGTTGCTGCATCAGGTATGGTATAAAAACAGTTGTTGAAGTATGAAATGACCTTTTAATGGCAAATTCTGTTGCTACAAGTGTTTTAACTACCATGGCAAGTACAGGAAATGACAGAGGCCCGATTTTGGCAACTATTAGTATGCTTTAGTGTTTTTATTACTCCGGTTTTGTGGTCTGAGGGTAATGTGAGATAAACGTCTACCCACATTTGTATTTAATATTCAACCATTGTTTATTTTTAAAAAAAATAATCTTTCATGGTAGTTGTCTGAGTATCAATCCTTGAGCTTCCAAAACTAGTTACCAGCCATATTGCTTATTTCTAAAAATCCTCCATCTAACCCTAATCCTCACCCATTTATGGTTATTTAATATTATAAACTGATTTGGTAGCATAAACTGGCCACAAGAGTTTCAAAGCTGACATTTTGAGCGTCAGTCCTTCATCAGAGTAAACATCATGCAAGATTAAATTGCGTTATCCATGAACTGTACTTTTTAAGGGTAAATCCTTAAATATATATAATTTCTGCTAATACTATTTTAAGTTACACTATCTACAGTAATAGATCGCAGATGACATCAATATGCAGTAAGAACAGAAAAGTGGCACACACGGTGCAGCCGACTGTGTCACTGAGGTTCTTACTCCATTTTGATGTCTGTTGTGATCTGTTACTGTACAGACACATCACAGCATGGAATCTATTAAGTTTATATGATAATAAATTAAAATCTTAATGGTGATATCATCTATGCATCTGTCCACTAATATAACATATGTAAGAACCACTCAAAATGTTTGTATCATTCAGCTTATCATATAACTGAATAAATGATATTTTTTTAATCGAAAAGTTGAAGTGTAGTTTTCCCCTTCTTTTATAGAATTCTACAAGGAAGGAAAATATGATTTGGACTTCAAGAACCCAGAATCTGATCCCTCAAAATGGGTAGGTGTCATTGCATAGACTGAGGAGATCTTTCGCAACTATATCAGCAGGGGATATTCAGAATTGTTGACTTATTGAAGGAATAAATGTGTTTACATGGCTTGGCAAAGGATATTTTGCTCACTATTGAAATGCATTGTTCATTAACCCTATGCACCCTGACATCAATAGGCATTATTCTCCATGTATTTTCTTATACATTTCCTTTGACACTAACAGGAGGAATTCATTCAATGATCAAAGCTTCATAGGTCACTGATCATTTCCTTTATTTATACCCTTGCATCAATTCAGTTACCACATTCTGTATACCGATACTCTTCTCTGTACATTTGCACTGGTACCAGTAAGGAGAATTAATTTAACAATCAAAGCTTCCTAGGCTGGCAATCATTTCCGCTATTCACATCATGATCTTACTGAATGATTCAGCATTATTACAAGAGGGAGAAACTAGATTTTAGTCACTCTTGGGGTTAACGGGTTAAGAGTGTATTTTCATCCCGAGCCTTTTCTCTTTTATTTGCAGATATCTGGTGAAGAGTTGTGCAGTATGTATGAAGATTTTATTGCCAATTATCCAGGTAGACCTGTTACTCTGTTGTTTTTTTTTTCGTGAAAATAAACTTAAAAAGAAAAACCAATGCGTTATAAAAGCACTACAGAGAAATGGCTTCAAAACTACTCTCCATATTTTATGGGGCTTCCATTTTTTCCATGTTGTTCAGCATCACACAAATTGAATAATCAATTGTAGCATGCTGATTAAGATATCAGGCTATTTAAAAAATCTACACCCCCTAAATCTTAATGTATGAAATTCTAAGATTACTGCCAGTGAAAATACCAGTTATAGTAACTGCATCTTTTTTCACTAAGCTGTGAATTTATTTAATTTTTTTTCTCTTTTCCTCTTCAGTTGTGTCCATTGAAGATGCATTTGACCAGGACGATTGGGAGCATTGGAGTCAGTTGACAGGAAAAGTAGGCATTCAAATTGTTGGGTAAGTTTGCTCTATTGATGATTTCTCTGAACATAGCATTCAATAGTTCCTATGAGATAAAGGAGACTTTTTTTGAATAGTCAGTTACTAAGCAATTGGTTGGCAGTTTGATATCTACAAATACATTTAATTTAACTAGGGAAGGTCATCCTTAGCAATTTAACTCCCAGTAGGGATTAAGAATAATGTAGCTTCTCATGACAATCTTAATTCAGTATCCAGCAGTCAGGTGATGAGAATACTAAAACCTTATCAGGTAGAAGGTTTTGTCTGGATCAAACACCAAGTTCTCATAACTAATATACTAGTAAATATGTAACAGCTAGAGGGGAGAAGTAACAATCAAATATTGGATGTTTAAGGGTTGAAAGCTTTCTGTTAATTGAAAGCTGGGTTATTGGTTTAGCAAGAGTGAAGGTTGCACAAAATTCTGATTTGGTTTTGACTTATTAATATTTGTTTAAATTGTTGGCAAATCAAAACTAACCACCTTGATACTCAGCATTTTGTGTTTCTAAGAGTAAAATATTTCGTGTTAAGTAAAATTGTACATTTTTGTGCTTCTATCAGGGATGACTTGACAGTGACAAACCCAAAACGGTAAGTAAGCCTCAGTGATAAACAGCTCTGCAAGGCAGCATGGTTCACTATTTTTCACTGATATAAGAGTGAACAGCATTTAATTTCTGCTAACCCTAATACTGCCAAATCATTCATAAAGATCACAAGAATAAAGGATATGATAGCCAACCTAGAGAGCTTTGATTGTTAAATGAATTCTCATTGTCAGTACCAAAGCAAATATCTAGAGAAGAGTGTGGAGAATGTGGATACTGAGGGTGATGTGAACTACTGGTCTTGAGAATAAAGGCATATGACACAAGTTTAGGAGCTATCTTAAGTTTGGTTTCCCTTCTTATTTGCCACATTTGCAACTTTTATGAACTGGTGAAAAAATTAAACTGGTCAAATGTCATGACTTCATGAAATCTTTAACTCCCAGATGTGATCAACATGTAACTTCTGCCTGTAATATCCCTACATTATCCCACTAACTAAAATGAGAATATTCAAACTTATCAGGTAGAAGTCGTTATCTTGATGTAACACCAAATTCTGATGACTTATTTACCAGAAAATGTGTAGAAGCAAGTGGGGAGAATCAGATCTAGAGGTTTAAAAGGTTAATGACTGCTATCTTAGCATTGATCCGAATTTGCAAGATGTTCGATGTTGATATTTTGTTCCTTGACTGCAGCATCAAAATGGCTGTGGAGAAAAAAGCTTGTAACTGCCTTTTGCTGAAAGTGAACCAGATTGGCTCTGTCACAGAATCCATTGAGGCGTATGTATAGTAGCTCTTTTTATGTTTGTTGCATTTTTTTTGTTTGCTTGTTTGTCCAGTCTTTTTGTTATGCAACCAAAATTTTATTTCAGGTGACCATATTGTTGATTTTTTATTGCAAAATGGTGACTTTGAATAAAGTTGGGCTTGAAATCCCAATTGCCTCTCTTCACCCCGTGCTGTAAATGAGAACTAGCAGGTTTTCAAGAAAACCTGATTAAATGCAGTGACATAATCTGTGAAAGATGGTATCCATTCCATAAGAAGCATCAGTGCTAGTTGCTTCATGCTATGGAAATGGCAACCAGCCTAGGAGGAAGTGTAGAGAGCTAGGCTCATGTGAGAAATGTTGTTTTTGTCATCACCAGGTGCAAGCTTGCTCAGCAAAATGGCTGGGGTGTTATGGTGAGTCACCGCAGCGGAGAAACAGAAGATACTTTTATTGCTGATTTGGTTGTGGGTCTGTGCGCAGGACAGGTGAGATCACCAAATAGATTCCATTTTGTCTTCCTTCTGTTCAGTATTTGATTGCAGATGACATCAAAATGTGGTAAGAGTGAAACTGAAGCACACGAGGCACAACTGAGTGTGTCACTGATGTTCTTAGTTTATTTTGATGTCTTGTTTGATCTGTAAGTGAACAGACTCGCAGCTACATGGAATCTATTTGTTTTATTTGATAATGAAGCAAAAAAACTCTCAATAATGATGACATCTTTAGGTCTGTTCTCGAAGCAAGAGGCCAATCAAAATGTATGGGTAATTCAGCTGATTATGTAACATGAAGCAATCAAATCCAGATTCTAAGACAGCAATGAAACATTTGTTAAAATTGATGGGTAAAGTTTGATTCGTAGGTGTAACTCAACATATCTGTGGTCTCACAGTTCAGAGCCAGGGCTGTTAGTGTGTTTGAATGAAGAAGGCAAATAAGTATAGGAAGGTAGCTAGGTTTTTGTTGACACTGAGTTGTCTTGTGAGATTACATGCAAGACAGGTAGTTATTCAGTTAAAATTTTCCAAGCATTCTTCAACGTCAGCATGAACCTTCGGAAAAATTTTTAACATGAAATTGATTGACACATCTGAACCTGTTACTGGAGTATAAATGGGTTCTGGCAAATTGTCAGGTAAGCTTAACGAAAGCCTAACAAAATGCTGGTGGGGTATTTGGGATGAACTGGTATCCCAAACCCGGGGGAGGGGGGGGGGGAGGGTAATACCTCATTACTCCTAGTTACTTCATGCTATGGAAACCAGGATCAGTTCTGGCTGGATGGACCACTTGGCCTGGTTTCTTGAGCCTTCTGGCTTACCTACCATATTCAAACAATTTTATGCAATGATTTCATACAGACATAATCTTGCATAGACTTCAAAATAAGCTTTGACAATCTGGCTGATGTTTTGCCTTGCATTGTTTGTTTTTCTCTTTTTAGATCAAGACAGGGGCTCCATGCAGGTCTGAGCGATTGGCCAAATACAACCAGCTTCTCAGGTAACTGGTGTATATGTTTTCAGTGCAAGGTGTGACTAACGGAAATAAACAACATTTTGTGACAACATTCTTTTTTTTTCCCCCCAACTTTCTTAAGTTAACCAGACAAGAAACTAGTTGTCAAGTTGGGCAGTTAGTCTCTTTGGAGTACATTCCACCTGGGTCTCCAAATTTTGACCTCAGCTTAGAGTACATTTGCACCACCATGTTCTAGATGTTGTTCACTTTTTGATAGCGTTCAAGAAGTTCTGCATACCACGTGGGGTTCAACAGTTTGTTAAATAAATTTTCTATGATGGTGGGCAGTTCTCTTTGAACTTACAGTTTCTTGCTTTAGAATTTGAATGTGTAATCTTGCCAGCTTAGAGGATCCCCATTATTTGTAACAGTCCTGGGATTGGTAAGAATAATTATATGTTTTGTTGGTGTTTTGACAGAATTGAGGAGGAACTAGGAGCTGGTGCCAAGTACGCTGGAGAGAAATTTCGCAAACCTCTGGAATGAACCAAAAGGCAGGATGAGAGCAAATGAAGTGGGAATTGTGAAACTCTGTCAAGATGGCTTGCCAATGGCTGGAATGATAAATGTGGTAGACAATGTGTCAAATGACAAGCATTTTAAATAAAGTTAATAGAAGAGAAAACACAACAAATAAAATGTGTTCTGTACTGTTACTTCTTTTGTTTCATGATTTATCTTAACCCCCTTGACCCCAAATAGTGACTGGTATCTAATTTCTCCTTGCAATATCACCCCTGAATCAAACATTAAGGTAACAGGAATAAAGGAAATGATCACCACCTTAAGACTGAAGCTCTTGATTGTGAAACAAACCCCTGCTTTTCAGCACCTTAGAGAAGGTATAGAGAACAATATGGAGAATATGATTGCTAAGGGACTGGTCATTATTTATGACGAGGCAGGGGGGGGGGGGGGGGGGGAGGGGAAAGGGGAGAGGGTCCAGGCTATTTCAGATTGGCTAGAGGGGGGGGCGGCTATTTAACTTTTTAGAAAGAAGTTTAGAAGTAGTGCGAAATTGGGAAATTATTGTTAATTTGATTGTTTTCTTTCCTTTCTTACAACTAGGTGATTTTTAGCGAATGACAAAAATACTGCTTGCTCTCTAAACTCCATTGTCATCTTAAGTTCTAGTTATTAAAGAATCCAGACCCATCAGCTTTAATATTTAGTTAGACTTCAATAACCTAAGCAGTAATCAAACATGATATAACACCAAGAAATTAGTCCTTTCACAAATGTAGGAAAGTCATTTGAAGAGTATTTTTTTTTTTAACAGTTATGTTTTTGTTTACCATGAAGGCAAAATTTGTAAAAAATCTATCATTTTTCCAAATTCAAGAAATAGTTTCTTACATTTGAAAAAAAAAACACTTTAAGTAATTAAAAATACTGGTATGCTCAAGAGACACCAAGAAGTAGACAAAAAACTAGTGGCTGGTCTACACGATACGCCGATTTTGTTATGCAAAGTAATCATTTTATGATTGAATGACACGAATTTGATCAATATTAGGCATATGAGAAGAGACGTGTGGTGACGGGATGGGGATGCGGGATCCTCACGAAAATACCAAGTAAAGAAGGGAGGTCACTTTCTATTTACATGGCCTGGATGAGATGGCTTAAAGGAATTTGGATCTTTCCAACATATCCCCCCCCTCCCTCTACAAGAATAATGAACGGTTCCTAAAAAGATGTTATCTTACCCTCCAACTTCAGCAGGATGTTTATGAAGTATCTTCCAGTAATTGGGGAATTACCTGCCTACCATTCTGAGTTGTTGGACTCAAATTCAGTTTGAGTTACTATTGATAAACAAGCGGAAAGGGGTTATTGTGAAGAACAGCTCCAACCTCACAGTTGATTAATAGGTCACCATATGGTCAACATCGGGTTACCAGTCCGCGACATACCCGTGAACTACTAACGTCCGAAACAACATATTCTGGTGACGCATTCTTAATTTGAAGTACACCGACAGATCAACACCTGTCCACACACCTTTCTGTTGGTGAACAGGTGTGCTTATAATCGTCAGACCACGCTTTTCACGGCGTTATTCATAGAGATTACCTGGAAAGGAATATTACATTCCTCAACTATTTCATTCCGTAATGAAAACGCTGTATATGGAATAGAGGTCCTTTCACTGTGAGCAAGTTTTTATTGGGTGTACAAAGTAATTTGGGATTGGAACGTCGGAAAGAAGGAAACAAACGCAAGCATAGGAAGGAAGTTATCTCTCCAAACCTGTCTTAATAATAGCGTCGAGTCATAACAGACAACACATCACGTAGCCTCTCTCCTCTCGGTCGAACATACCCGACTGTTTTTCAGTCACGCAACGCGCCGCGTGACCAAGTTTACTTATCATCGACCAACACAGACTACATTGAAGTCTTCATCTTTATTGACTCACATTTCACAATGACAATATAAAGTCGGTTTTACGACCAGAATTACACTCTCTTGGCCTTCGACTGCTAACAGTTACAAACCCTATGATTTACTTAGCTATGGAGTGACTACAGCCACAAGCTGGAAGAATTGCACTGGAACTGTCCAACGAGCGCAGGTTACACCGAAAAAATGGTGCAGCCAGATTGAAATTAAAATTTTCCGTAACAAAATTGGAATCAAGTTTTTGAAGCGAAATAACCTTAAGAGTTAAAATTATTTTTGAAAGAGGAGTATTTTCTCACAACTGTCTTTTACAACATGACATAGTGCAGACAGCGAAAACTTCTTCCCACCGCTTGAAATTAACTGCATTCGTTAATTTCTGTTTCCTTTGAAAAATAGATATAATTTTATATGTATTGTGCATTGATTAAAGAAATAACGATAAATTTCAATGCAAAGTTAGAGTAAAACAGCCCAGTCCAACACTCCAGCTGGCTTGCCGCAAGCAGTTAAATCTTTTTTACACTTAAGCATCATGATACGTCAACACGATATGTCAATATTATTCACAATTACAGGAGCGACAAGCGCAGATACAAAGAAAAGTAAAGAGAAAAATGATACCAACACGTGCGCATTTTAGTACCCAGGAATATTTTTCGTAGTTTTCTTTTATAGACTTTTGTTTTAAAGTTTCATTCATATTGGCTTGGGGGGGGGGTAAAATTATTCAAGTAAAACCAAACACATAAATCACGACTTCTCTTTTATCCTATAGACTATTCTGCAACAATTTCTTTTTTTACACAGGTGATTCTGTTACAATGCGCAACTTTTGTGGCAAAAATCTATGCATTCTTTTGCGATCAAAGGTGGCCCCACGAGCCCCTCCCATGAGATGTAAGCAAAGTGTCACAAATCTGTTTCTTAAAGTGTAGGATCTAAAATACAATGACTTTAGTGGAGGGAGCAATGACAACATCGACAAGTGCACCTTTAAACTTGTGCACTGTCCAATAAGAACCACAACTTATATCACAATGTATAAAATATAACCACTAAAACTTTGCTCTCAGAGATAGGGAGAATAAGGAAGAAGGAAGAGGAGCTTAGTTCCAGATCTTCAAGAAACTGTCCCAACTACCGGTAGCAACAGCCATGCCATCATCAGTTACACCCAGACAACTGACACGGTTGTCATGCCCAGCAAGAACGCCTGCCCGCTCTCCTTTCAATGTGTCCCATACATTGCAGTTGAAATCATCATAACCAGCCAATAGCAGGCGACCACTCTTGGAGAAGGCCACGGAGGTGATGCCGCAGATTATGTTATCATGAGCATAAACCATGAGCTCCTATGATAGACCAAGTGAATTATTGTTTAGTTAATGAGATTTGTTAGACATCTTACAATAGATCAGCTGTCTTCAAAGGCTGGTTTTCATTTATGATGGTCATGATCATAAGCACAGAGCAATATGATCTAGTTAAAATAAAACCAACAAAATTGAAGAAAACCGTTGGTGCTGCTCACAGCTCTATTGCCTATGATCCACTGAAAACTGGATTGTCAGAGTTGAAAGCTTCAGAGTTCTTCCACTTCTGCTCGTGACTCCAACAATCTAGTTTTCACTAGATAATAAGCTTGGAAGTCATATGAGGAATCAAAAAAAAGAAAACCACAACACCCACCAAATACTTCAGATCCTTTACTAAGTTTCAAAAGGAACCTAAAGCATGATTAACCTGCATAGGCTAACTTGTCAATTAAGTTATTACCTGATCAGCTCGGATGTCAAACAGCCTACAAGTGGCATCGTCAGACCCTGTTGCAAATGCATATCCATTGGGAAAATACTGAAATGAACCAAAAACAAAATATTTACCTTTTCAATCCCAATATCTTAATAGTTATCTACCTTACTGTCTGCTGTTCATTTCTTTTACAGCTCTGGGAATTAAGTGTTGACCCATCTAATGATCCTCGTGTTACTTGGTTTTCCACTGGAAAGGCCCAAATCTAAGATTACCCTGCAATTATTGTTTATCTTCCAAAGAACTTCCAGCCTTATCTTGGCAAGCACTGATTAACAGGCTCTGACAATCTAAAAAACTGCGTGACCTCTAAAGACAAGAATAAGCCATTTATGGTTCTCTGAAGCAAACAAGCTAGTATTAGCTGTTATGTAAAGACTTTTGGCATGGTGCTCAACTTTGTCACAGGTATGACAAATGGCCCAAACCCTTGAGCCTAAGTGAAGGCACCTATGCCCTTTTGTAAACATTTGTCTTCATTCTTGTCACCTATCTACTTACTGCTGGGTCGACACTAAATGGAGAAATTAAGTTTTACAGTTACAAACTATCCCAGATTATTAAGTATGGCACTAAAACCAGAATTAACTTCAAAGAAGGCTAAAAAATTTGGTTTGAAACTTACTGCTACTGCATTGATATCTGATTCATGTCCTGTGAAAGTTTGTTTACACATGCCGTCCGGTATACTCCACAGCTGAAAGAACAAGAATGAAGTAATTTAGTTACAATTGGTGCCTGTTTATTGAATTTCTAACCTTCTGGTTGGCTGAGTGGAGCCATGCTATGATCTTGTAACCAAGCTCAGAGCTCATGACCTAACTCTGAAAAATATGGTCTAGTGTAGGTAAAACTAAATTGTGAAATCCATCAACCGTGCTTTTTAAGGGCTAGTGTTTAAAAAAATATCACAACAAGGCAGCCAAAAAAAAAAAAAACAAGGGAAAAAAAAAAAAAACTACTCAGACTGTGATACCTTTGCTGATGCATCACAAGCACCTGACACAAAAGATTTGCTATCTGGAGAGAGTGATAGGCTCATCACATCGCCTGTATGACCACTGAATGTGGTAGTTTGCTGTCCAGTCTCGATGTCCCACAAAGCACTGAAAACAAACATAAATTTCCTTGTAAATAATAATTCTGATTGGTATGTAGGGTTGTAGCTAAGAAGTTAAGCCGCCAGCTGAAATTTCAAGCAAAGTGACTCAAAGATGGCACCTCAAAGAAAGGCCTTGTGTAGTAACTACTTTTTGTTTCTTCTTTCAGTAGTTTGCAATCTTGCAAGATGTGGAACAAGTCTACTGGAATTATAGTTTGGAAGACTATTTACTTCTGAATTACACAGTCTTACCAGGTCATATCTCCTGAACTGGTGAGAATTTGGTTGTCATCAGTGAAACGACAACATGACAAGTAACCTGACAAAAGAAGAGGGAAAAAACCATGCATAAACTGAAAATGTTTTAACCCCTTCATAATTTTCATGGAAATTCTCTTTACAGTCTACAATTCATTTCTTAAAATGTCTGTTCAAAGAATTTGTTGTTGGATTAAACAAAAATTCTCTGGTTAATTTTTTCCTCCATTCTTGCGTCTCGGCTGCTTAACCCTTTCCACCCTAACATCAGTATGGATATTCTCCATACTGTTCTTCATACATTTCCAAAGAGGCTGACAAGGAGAATTTGTTTATCAATCAAGAGCTGCTTTAGTTGGTGATCATCTTCACTATTCTCATGACTTTCACGCTTGATTCAGGGATGATATAGTCAGGAGAAATTAGATGCTAGTCACTCTTAGGGGGCTTAAGGGTTAATACTATAGTGATACTAAGGATAATTTACATCTTGGTCACTCCCCTGAGTTGAAGGGTTAAAAACATAGCATATGGAGATTCTGGAAGGAGAGTGGTATAGATATTGTGAAACTCTCTGAATCGGCATGCAAAAAAAGTTGTGTCTTATGGCCTGGGGCCTGTGGATTTTTCACCCCTGTGACAAAATTCACACCACAGTTGTCTAACAGGTCGGTGGATTTTTTCTGGGACTCATTCTAATTGCAGATTCTATTTAAGTTGAGGACACCACTTGTTCTCAACTTCTGGTTAGATATAAGGGGAATGGAGTTCATTATTTAAGTCCCTCTTACAAAGTGAATTCTATTGATGCAAGACTTTCATTGAAAAAAGTCATCCAGCATCAAGAATCTGCTATGAAGGTGGACACTTACAAGGTTTTCAAATAGGAAAAAAGTATCAGGAGGAAATTGTAAAGTAGCCAGAGCACTATCTCATCGCAATAACGGCGGCCTTGTGGGATAAGGTGCTGGAACATGAAAAGTACCTGGCGCAAATGCTTGAAGTAGCTGGTGACTTGCACCACGTACCAGCAAAATTTGAAAACCCTGCATTTACAAAAACTGTAACAACAACACACCTGTGTGACCAGGCAACTCCCGACTGACTCTGACATTTCCTTCTCTTGTTTTCAAGCTGTATATGGAACAGATATTGTCCAGTCCACCTATTGATCAAACACAACCAAACATTAGTATAAAAAGGCTAAGCCTGTTTTAGAACAGAGACCCACACCACTTGAAGTGAAGAGGAGTACTGCCCCTTACTGAAAGACACCAGTCCAACACATGTTCACCTTAACTTCCAAGATCTGACTAACAATTCTCCCATCTTGCTGCTACAAATTTCCTTATAACTTAGTTCAAAGAATTAGGTGTTAGATAAATTTGAGTATTCTCATTATCTGTGTGCTGGGTAATACTAGGATACTATAGGAAGAAATTTCATGTTCATCACTTGTGCGAATTTAAGGGTGAACCCCCTCTCTCCCAAGCATGATCCAAATCTACTCAGTTCGAATCATAAACCTACTGCATTTTCTAATAACAACCCAGGGCATGCTGACCATGCCCAGGTGTCAAAGGCCAAGCTGTTTCTTCTTCTCCAAAACCCTAGTAAGATCCAATTCAAATTGCCTTCTTTCCTATTTCTGCGCTCCTGTTTGACTAAAACCAAATAATTGTATATTTTAAAAAAGGTGTACACTTTTAATCCCAAGATCTGTTGATTCTCCTTATTTGCTGCTGCATGATTCATTTGAAAATTAGTTGCAAGAGGAGTTAGATCAACCTCAGCCTAATAGGTTTGAGCACTATCATTACTTGATGGATAATTAATGGATATTAAATTAAAGGGAGAAGTTGCATGGTTATCACTTCTAGGGATTCAAGGGCAAACTCCTTTAATTTCTCTTTCGAAATACCCAAATGTCACTTCATATAAACAAGGCCTGCAATTAAATTGGCTCTGCATTACTTACCACATGCAACATAATTTCCTGAGGGAGCATATGCACATGTCATCACCCAACTGGATCGTAAAGGTATTGCATGTACCTAGAACATATTGAAAACAAGTCGATGTCTTCAGTTAAATGAGGCCATAAAAGGTAGGAAATGGTACGCACACAAATGTACTTCAAAGTTTAAGGATAAAAGTGATTTTCAGAACGTTCTCATAAATGCATTCAAACCCTGGTGCCACTTGACAACCTTTTAAAAACACAGTTAGTGACCAGAAGTCATAAGATGTGCTGACAGTCCATTCACTTTTTACTTACTACATTTGTAACAAAATCACTTCCTCACACAACTTTGCACACTCTAGGTGCACATTACCCACACTATCCAATGATTTGGAAATGAATGGACATTTTCCTCAAATTCATACGATAATTGTGATTGACAAATCAAAGTTAATGTAGTAGTAGTACTTAGAAAATTACTCTGTTCACAGTCTGCAGTCAATCTTAAATCCAGTCAGGCATTCATTTCATACATAATTTTGCTTTATCAACCAAGTTGATGATGTAAATTGGCCACCATTAAAAGTTTCTAAAGCAAACATTTTAAGCATTAGTCGTTCTTTTGTTGAGTATAAACTATCATGTGGGTGTAATAATTTACCTTGTTAGTTGTATATGAATCCCAAACAATAAGCTTTCCATCTTGTGAAGCACTAACTAAATTCCTGAAATTAAGAAAGCAGTGGTGAGAGGTATATCAGACTAAAAACAATTTTCAGCAGCGCTTAAACCTTTAACACCCTTACATCAGTATCTATATTCTCCACACTCTTCTCTACATTTTTCCTCTAGCACTGACAGGGAGAATTGCTGTAACAATCAAAGCTTTTTAGGTCTGTGATCATTTTCTTTATTCTCGTGATCTCTATGAATGACTTAGCAGTATTACTGTTGGGTGAAATTAAATGCTGATCACTCTTAGGAAGAGAATAAAGTGAGAAGTTGAAAAAGACAAGTAAAGAAAAGGAGCAGTAACTGTAATTCACAAAATATTTCAGTACTAAAAAAGGAAAAAAAAAAAACACTAAAAAAAAATAAGAGTTACAGGATTAATACTGACATACCTTGAATCAGTAGCCCAGTGCATTGCATATATTTTTGCAAGATGTCCTCGAAGTGTTCTTCTAGTTCTCATCTGTATTCTACCGACAGCTTCAATATTATGTGTTACCTGAAAAGTGAGAGTAATTCAACAAATTACACAACAAAGTCACAGGAAAAAAAGGTTATAACCAGATCATGGGTTATACAAAGAGCATAAGACATAGTATTTACTAAACTAAATCCAACTGCTTTTTGTTTTTTACACTGACTTACTTGTGTCAGGGATGTATCGCACACTGCTTTCCTTGCATCCTGTTGGAAAAAAAAGAGAAATAAATCTCACTGATGTATTGTGGGGCAGCTTAAAAGGTTCATATGTGATTCTTTGAACTGCATAAATGTTGGCGTTCCATGTAACACTTGGTTACCACGTAGAAAACATAAAAAATGTTCTTATCAGAGATACACAGGCTAGCAACTCAGAATAGGGTGAGATTTTTCTCAGTATCACCATGACATCTATATCAAAAGTAATTTATCTTTGATGTATTCACTGATATGAAGACTTGCATTACTACACAGAGAGCTCACCTACAGAATCACAAGCTTGCTTTTCGACATCAGCAATGACTATTGTAAGACTAAAATTACTTCTCGTCAAACACATCTTAATGTTTGGCACAAGGGTATAAACTGCGCTTACAAACATTAACAAATATGTGAGATTGCATTTTGTACAGAACGATCTCGACAGAAGTAATAAAATGTTCTCATTTAATCTTAAAGGTACAAAGTTCACATACGTAAATAAAGAGAAACAGCTCTTGTCAAGAGCGAATCATCTGCGAATGATAAGCCCTTGCGAGTTTAGAGATTTCAAGATGACCATGTTATGTTTGGTTGCATGCTGTTGAAAATAGGGCCAGTTATTGGGTTGAACTATCTATATATTACATTGAAAAAGGTCAAATGGCTCTCATCCACCTGTAACATCATGACTTAGTCTTTGATGAACTAACACCTGTATCAAAGTGGTAAAAATAAAACTTAATTTGAACAGTCTCACTCAGGCCCTGTGAGATATGCTTGAACACATTGCCCTTGGGCTTAAAAAGCCAGCATTTTTTGGATCATGAGCAAAGGATCAAATGTACATATAAATTTATTTCAAGGAAAGATAATTTCAATACAATCAAACAGACTGAAATTGAGCTTCTAGATTACAACCTGAACATTGAATTATAGCAACAGGGACTTCCAACCGGTTTGTTTACAGAAAATGCTCAACTTCTCCTTTTGAAAACAGAAATTGAAACTTACACAAAAGTTTACTTTCTGTATACAAGGAAACGTTTCGTTGAAAGTCTTTCTTCGTTGGTTTTATTGAAGCGATATATCTCTAGGAAGGAATGAAATATGCAGAACATCACGAAAAAGAAGAGTAACGAAAGTGCAATACGGAACGAACGAAATCGTGTCAGATAATATTTCCACATCAAAGATGCTCGTTCTTCAGTGATAAGGACACTGCAAAAGTGGTATTCTTTTCAGCAGCATCTCAGGAGCTTTCCTAAGAAAACAAATGTGTGTTTCACAGTTTCCATGGTGCGGTTTAAATGTTCGACTTCGTTCAAGATGGTCGCCCGTGGGGGCCATTGCAATCGAAACAAACGTCTGGATCGCTCGCAATTCGCCTGGTTTTTTGTAAAATGAAAACGCTCGTGGAAAAAGTTAGGGTAGATTGAAAAACATTGATTAAAACTATGACATAAAAAATATGATCAGGAACTTTACGGACACACCTCAACCCATTTTACGAACTGAGAAATGACTCGTTATCGTCGAAATATTCATAGCAATTCGACGTTTGTATCTTTTCTCGAGGAAAAGCATTGTTCAAGCGTTATATTTGAGCCTTTGCTGACTTGGCTTTAATTTCATTCGCTGTAGAATCTCTTATAAAAGTGATATTGCCCGAAAAAGATGGCAAGAGAGAGTTCGAAAGGTAAAGCTTCCGTTTTGAGTTGACTTTAGGAAGCAAAGAGAGTCAGTCTTTCAATTTCGAACATTACACCATTGAACTTGTAGGCACAAAACACAACTCGCAATTTAATCGGCACAACCGCAAAAGCTCCCCATAGTTGATACTCCTTTCGACAAGAATTGCTGAAAGCTATCCAAAGAACAACAGACGGAGCGAAAATCGAGGAGCATTGGAAAAGAACTCCGCAGCAACGATGAAACTAGACGAACTTTCAATGGCTTATCCATTTCAAGAAATGTAGTTCATTTCCTTTTTAAATTCCCAATCTTTACTCAATTTTGCCACGGTCATAACGAAAAATCAATAAAAACTATGGCTCAAGCATCATTTCTGAAACATCTCTGTTTTTTTTTTCTGTTTAATGATCTCGCTGCTTCGAATCATAGAGATGACGGTGCTAACTTGCTATGGTCGACATTATATTCCGACCACAAAATGCGACTTGCAAAATTTACCTCCCAGTTCATTTAGTTAAGAATGCTAGTTTTCCTCACATTAACAGACGAGGAACAAGACCTTTGGAGCCTTTTTCTGGTAGCGATCTCAAGCGTAATGAATGCAATATTCGTAAGGAACATGGAAATGGTCTCTTGCAACATCTGCCAGTGTGTACTATAAATATAAATACTGAAGCGAGAGAAAACTTTCCTCTGAAATATCTCGCTCCTAGACAGAAGATCACATCGGAAAGACGAAACATGGAAGGGAATGGTGGAAAATATTTCACATCTCGTCAAAATACTGATTGCCTTTGACAATATCGAACGACAATGCTGAAATATTGTCAGAGCTCGCGTGGCACTTCGCCGCGAGAATCTAATGGCGACCTCCACAGAACGAAGAACAAATTTCGCGATCACTAACAACAAAGCGGTCTCAAAAGAACATATTTTGGATCACATCAAGGTGAAACCGATACAAGGCTCGCGTATGATCTTTTTGGCAACTTAGATCATCGATGTCCTGCTTCTCAAACCATAAATACCACGGTTTTGAAAGCGATCAATGTGTTATCCGTTCGTTCAGTGGGTTCACCCACTTGCTAGCCGGTTGGCCGGTTGTTATGGAGTGGTAACACAAATACTTACCCTGATCTGTGCTTTCAATACTTCTGCTTCTTGCCTAAGACTTTCGAGGTCACCCGCGCCATGGCTTTGGTTCTGCTGCATTCTGAATCGATTTTTGGTTGAAAGTTGCGCCGAAAGTTACAAGGCAAATTGGGCTCAGTCGTCCGCAAACGCCTGTAGCCGCTTCCAATCCTTCCAAACGCCGCTAATTCAAAATCACCACCGGCCCAGAAAACTGCATGTACTGTTTAAACGGCGTCCACAACTTTCTTTCGTCGAAAACCCCGTTTATAACATGTAGGAGAATCACTCGCTACAATCGTTGGGAGTGGTTCCTTTTCGGCGGCGGCGGACCCTGAAATCTTACTGAGGCCCTCCCATATATAAACCGCGACCGCGATGAGTCATGGACTACAAAATTCTCATTTTTCTGATTTCTTCTCCTTCCATTGCTTCCGTTTCCCCCCTCCGTTTCATTTTCATGAAAGTGGGAAAAACTACAATAAATCAATTCTTCCCACCAAAGTCGCACTTAAATTATCCTGATATAGTTGCAAGGTTTCATTTTGAATATCTGGAAATATCGAACATTTGGGCTTAGTTGCATTAACAGCAAAAATGAATTCTGTTTACATTAATCCTTCGTTCTACCCCTAAACAAATTCTTTTCAAGACCTATGCACATATATTCATTTTGATTGAACACGGACAGGAAGAAGTTCATATTTTGCCAATTGCTGTTTGCTGTAAAAGTCCGGTCTGACCAGATATGAGATACAAGAAAAATGCACATGACTGCCTTTGTGCGCTAAGTTTTGAGGTCAACAAACTCCTACTCTTCAAAATGAGTTGAAAAGGAAAATCTTCCTCTTAAAAAAATAGTTCTTGTCGCAAGGAATAATGAAAAATTATTTCACTGTCGCCATTTCTTTCACCTTTTCTGTCGTTTTCTCTGAAAAAAACTGCAAATTGATGCATCAGTCTTTATTTTCGCGCCGAAATTTCTCACCTTTTTCGAGCTTACGAACGAAGTAAAGTCTTCTTACTCCCCGTGTAAGACAGAGGCTCGGGACTCTCGGAAATGGCTCATTCATTATCAAATTTTTCTCTTTCATGCGTGCTCAGCTCATCTTTGATTCGAAAGTTGTCTTGTCTTCCTTTGTATTAGACGTCCTTATTTGGACAAATCCTCCGCCTTTCCCAGGGCTCAAAGCTTGAAAACGACGTGATTTCATGCGACCTTGGACAACAAACATTACAAAATAACTGACCTAAGTCAATGACTTATTGATAACTCAAAGGAAATTGAAATATTTACGTTTATTTCATAAAAGCAATAGACTAAAGAGTAAGAGAATATCAAAATTTATTCGTATTTGTGGGGAAAAATGACTGGAATGCAACGAAGCATAAGGTCCTCTTAGGGGGATCTGGGTATTTCCAGTCAATATGAGAATTTCCTGTATCTCCTTTAACCTTTATTTCCTGACATCACAATGCGTGTTTACCACGTTGGCTCTACAAATTTCCGGTTATTGACGGGGAGAGTCTATTTAAAGACAAAGAATTTCTTTAGTTGGTGATCATTTTTTTTTACTCTCATAAACGACTTTTAATGATGAATTCAGGCGTGATGTCGCAAGGAGAAATTAGCTGATAGTCAGTCTTTGGGGTTAAAGGGTTAATTGCATCGTTTTGCCTCAATGACGAGGACGTTTTCTGTCATTTTCATCCACTTCCGGTTCCTTTTCGGGGTTCGACCAGTCCTCAACAGAAACCAAAAATTTGAAGAGGATGACAATAGATATGTAAACATGCAGTATATCAATATTGCTACCAGTAATGTTAAAGGTATTGTTCTGACCCTCTTTTTAAACAGAATCTTCATCAATGATTCGTTCCATTTTTTTCTTTTTTTGAGCTGGGTAGTATTGAATATTGCTGTATCCCATATGCATTTAACCGTTCTTCTGTGACTCTGAGGAAGCTGTCACATATCCGGTTTTCTAGCGAGAAATTGGACAAATTCAATGGCAAACGAAAATTACTCTTTATTTTTTTTCTATTGTGTCTATTTTAGTCTGTCTTTCGTTCAGTCTTATTTAGTACATTATACCTTTCTGAAGAGCTTTTTTTCCAGTAATTCACATGTCCTTCCAAAAAAAGCGGGAAATCTTGGCGCGAAAACGAGAGCGGATACCACTTTACTGCACAGTGTCGTCAGAGAAAAAGAAAAAAAAGAGCGAAGGAAGTGTCTACAGTGTACTTTAATCTGCCCTAAAATAACGTCTGCGTTTAACATGCAGACCTCAGAATTCAATTCCCCTTTCATTCCTCAACACCTCCTCTCACAGCCCCAGCAGTGCTCACCTGGAATTGATCAGCTTATTCAAAACGCAGGTGAAAAATTTTTTAAGATCTTTATCAAAAACCTGTCTGACTGTCGGGCATGTAGACAATGCGTAAGTCGTATAAAAATAACTCCTTAGAAATTGCTATCATTTCGTGACAAAAGAGAAATGAAAGTTTTTTGTTAACGTGTTTGAGAGATAATCTAAGATAATCTTGTGGTAGACGAATGATCTGCATGTCTCCAAGTAGTGAAAATAAAGCTTAAAAAACTAAAACATATTTGCAGAACACTTCACACATTTTCTACATCGTGCTTCGTAATTTTTGAGCGGTGTTTGTTTTATCGAAACTTCTCCTCGAAACAGAGTTGGAAAATTCTGAACAAGTCCGCCTTATCGAGACAGAGAAACAGCGATATGCAGGTAATAAAATATAATAATGGCACGTCGCAAACTCGTAAATCTTCTCTAAAATTTATACCGGAAATTTGAAATCATTTTGTAGTTAGATTTAGAGGGGCTAGAATGAAGGGGAAAATTAGGTGTTAAAATAAAATAGTTAATGGGATTTCACAGGATTAAGAAAAACCAAGAAGAAAATATTTCAAAACATCTTTATGCAAGAGTTATTTTTAAATAAATTGTATTTTAATTTTTAAAAAAAATAGTATTGGATAAAGTATAAGGGGTTTCACAGATTGCAACTCCTCTTCACAAAAATTGAAAGTCAAGTAAATTCCCTTTTCATTTACAGCCTCTACAATCCATCCTGAATTATATTTTAGTTTTTGTATCAATTCTGCTGCACAAGAGTTTGGTACACAAGTGTTAACTCTTATCAAATATTTAGCTCTCTTGAAGCAGTTAGAGGGGAAAATTCAGAAAACTGAAGAATTAGAAAAGTCTACCACACAACTTGATGAAGAAGCTAAGCAGCTGCACAAACAATTTACACAAAACAAGGAGATATGTGCGAGGTAAAGAGTAACATCATGGTTTCCATAAAAAACAGTAGAGGTGCTCTAGGGGTGCAAATGCTCAGCTCTTGGTCATTGTTTTAATATGTTAGACTTACTACAGAAAATCTGATCGGTCGGGAGTATTCACTCAAGACACAATGGCATGTGAAGTTGACATAATATGGCAATATCTGCAGCAGATATGCATTCATCACATTGAATTCAAAGTCTGCCTAGTTTCCTACCCTTTAGTCCATGCAGTGTTCTCAACCTTTGCAAACTCAGAGAAAAGTATCTTCCTCTGTGGATTGTTTAAAAAATGTATAACAAAACAATTATTGAATTCAGTTTTTTTTTTTTGCATTATATGGATTACCTAACCTTGTTCCTGTGTTATCTACCTCTGCCTGCGGCTTTAGTTGATAACACTTATCTTGGTTTTAGTGATTCATGTTATCATGCTCAAACTCATCCAACAATTGCATATAGTTGTTTTGCAACTTCTAATCTGAAAACTTTAAAAAGATTAACCTTGAATGCCCTTGACCTTCAACTTACCAAACTGTGTATCACCCATTCAGAACAAAGTATATCAACCAGTTGCTATCAGATATCTCCCTCCCACCCTGAAAAACACATAAAATAGCTAGAAAATGTTTGGAAGTTGACAACAGCTAATTCTTTTGTTTCACCTGCAGCTTGAAACGAACCAATTGTGTTCTACAAGAACATGAAAAAGCCATGGAGAAAAAGAAGGAAATGGTGGTTGATAAACTTGAGAAAGCCAGGTGAGAGTAATAATAATAATTCCAAGTGGTGTAAATCATTTACAATTTGCTTCAGCTACAACTGTTCTATCTGGAATTTCATCCTAACCTTAATTTTTATTTAGGTCCAACAACCAAAGCATCCTCAACAAGTATGAGGCAATATGGGACAGATATAAGAAGCATTATGAAAGTAAAGAAAATGCTCAGGAGCTCACAAAGATAAAGAAAAACACCATGGAAATCAAAGAAGAATGTAAGTTTCTAGTGATAGTCATGTCATTTATCTACTTCCAGTGATTATAGAAATGTTGGAAGATACCATGTTGCAGTTGCAAATTGTTAATTTGTTGGTAACATTTCATTTTACTTAGTGCAGACAATACGATCCAGTATCCAGCAAACAGAAGAAGGTATTTCCTGCATGGAAAAAGAAAATAAGAACATTGAAGGTATCATATATGGGTCATTTCCTAATGTTATTGTTAGGATAATTCATCAACCTTAAAACCATGCTGATTTAGCTTTCTAACCACTAAGAGTGATTAGAATCTAATTTCTCCCAATAGTACCATTGCTGAATCAAAAACTTCTGTCATGAGAACAAAGGAAATTATTATCCCCTAGAAAAACTCTTATCTGCTAAACAAATTCTTCTTGTCAGTACCATAGATTATGAGGAATGGTATACTGTAAACAGATGTTAGGGACCAAAGGATTAAACAGACTTAACCAAACATCTTTATCAATCTAATTTCAGAATCACTAAAGAAAGGAATCACATCTGCTATTCCACTTATGATCCAACTGTATCCTTCAAACACTTCACATTAATGAGAAATTTTGATCAATTACTCGCAGTTGAATTAATCAGAATCAGCCCATCTTATTACATCAGCTGAAAATCAACTATCAGTATAAGAGTTTGTGTTATTGCAGAGTCTATCAGTGAAAAGTATAGTCACTTTGGAGGGCTCAGATTTAAAGTTATATTCTTTGACAGTGTAAAGAGCTCAGCTGAATATTGAGAGAAGAACAACTGAAGACTACATAGAGAGGATCAGATCCAAAATAGCCAACACCAAACAAGCAGACTTCAGCAAATGTGTGAATGAAGGTCATCAAGAGAAAAATTCCCTAGATGAAAATACTTCTCAACCTCACACCCCAATGATGATGTCACAGCAAGTTGAACGCTCAGGTTTTGAACAGTCCTCAAAACAAGAGAACATTGTGTTAAATATGGAAGTGGAGTCATGTGAAGACCAAAATGTGCCAATCCAGCAAAAAGAGGCTGTACCAATGGAGAGATATTCTCCTGAGCAGTTATCAGACACTCTATATCAGCAGAGAAGGCATTACACAGATGATCAAACAAGTTCAGCTCATGAGCAGAGCTGTACAGACCCACACCTTCAGTCTTTAGGTGATAAATTGGCAAATAGAGAGTGCTGTAATATTTCAATCCCCCATATACAAAGTACTACAATATATATTATGGCAACAGGACTGAGTGGAGTCCAATTTGGTCTGTGATTGTAAGTGTATACAAAATTGGACAATCTCGAAGTGGGAGTCTAATTTGTCAATCACAAGTTTGATTACAGACTGAAATGGATGACAAAAAGTCCTAATACCAATTGCTCATAACCATTACATTTTCCATTTATTTGAGAAAATATCTCTAGTAGAGAAATTGTCTAAAGTAAAAATTCCTCCATTTTGGAAACTCCTCAGTTTTGTAGGGTAAGCAGTTGTTGCTATGGTTATTGTAATAAATTCTGTGATTTGTGGATCTGGTTTAAAGGACTTAGTGTCATTGGCTGCTCTAAATATCTGATTATATGTGTCTGATTACAGCCAATTGTCCAATTACACTGACCAATTTCAACTCTACAAAATACAGAGTTGAATATAATTACTGCAAAAATTGCTTTCATATTCAGAATATTAAATACAATTGAGGAATTTGGAATTGGTTATGATTAAGATTGTTATAACCATAAGAAATGTACTGGATAAGTGTTTGAATTTCTGCAACTATTAAATTCCAAAAAATGGTTGACAGACATCAACGTAACCGATTAAAATATTCTCCATCAATTTTTTTAACTCTTCTTTAGCTTAATGTTTAATCCAGTTGAATATAGTCAAAAGTATTCATATTTCATACAAAACAGCTGTAGCTGAAACTACATCAACTTCTCCAAATGACGACGAGGAACAGACAGTCCTTCCTACAACACCAACATCAACAGGACAGCCAAACTGTGGTTCCATTTCAACCAAAGAAGTTGTCAAAAGTCCATTTAACTTTGAAGTGCACTCAGATATGATCCTACAGCTCACCAAATCACCTGGGGATGGTTTTCTGTTTCATAATCGTCCAATGTTTGACCATAGCTCTGTGGATCCAGAAAACAATCAGGTATTAAACCTTTACAACCTAACATCAGTATGCACATCCTCCATACTGTTATCTACACTTTTCCTAGGGTGCTGACCAGGAGAATTTGTTTCACAATCAAGGACTTTCTTAGTTGGTGATCATTTCTGTTATTCTCATGATCTCAAATGAATGATTCAGCAGTATAATTGTCAGGAAAAACTAGATGCTGGTCACTCCTAGGGTTTAAAGGGTAAGAGCGAAAAGAAATGACAAAGAGTTACTAATTTGAGTGTGTTTCAATTGAGTGTTGAAAGGAATCCAGGATTGTATCAGTTCTGCTCTACTGTGCTCTAGGTTGATCTAGAAAAGATATGCCACTTCTAAAGCATAAAGATGTATTTTTTTTTTAATCAAAACCACTCACAACTCTATAACATTTATTTTACAATGCTTTGGAAGTTTGCATGTTTCTTCTTTTAATTCTAATTGAATTCTTATGTTTTTTCCTGAGTTCTGATTGGTTATTGTCAGTGATTACTCTAGTTGTGGTTTTAATACACTCAATGAAAACTATGAGAACTATGCATTCTCAATATTCCTGATTTAGGGTTTAAACATAAGCAATAAAGACTTAATCTATATAATCTATAACTACAAGTTTGTATATAAGTTAAGATCAATAATCATTAATGATTGATGAAATTGTCAAAGCATCAAACCGTAACCAGGAAACAAAATTTCTGTCTCACAAATTTTTATTTTAGCCCAGTGCAGATAGTACACCTTTTACATTCAACATGCAAGGGACAAGGAATACCTCAGGATCAGTTGGTAAGTAATTCAAAGAGTGTTAGGATTGTACTCATGACAGAAATGATAGATGAGTCTGATTGCATGAGATTTTACTGCTATTATTTTTGCACTGCGTGACATTGCTAAGCATTTCCTGCTGAAAGTTCAGCAAGATTTAGGATTAAAAAAACATATTTCTTGATATTTGGTGTCACCAGGGGATTTATCATGATAATAAGAAGACACTTGGTGAACACAGTAATATGGATATCTGCTGTATCAAGGCAAATTATGTGGCAAATGAAATACATCTTCCTAATAAGAATTATCATACCAGTGAATATCTGATCCCTTCAGCAATCAATGTTTATTTTAGCTTGTTTTAAAAATTCTTAAAAATTGATGACAGTTTCATTTGAAAGGAATTTCAAAAGTTAAAATTATGTGTTTTTTTTTTAATACTCTTAGATCATTTGATAATCATGACCAAAAAGTTTGCAGAGGAAGAATAAAACTTAACACAAAACTGTCCTATTTTTTATACTCTGATTAATTGGTAAATACTGGAACAAGAAAGAAGGAAAGAAAGAAAGATAGGTCATCGGAATGTAATTTTCACATGTAAATGGACTCTTCTACATTCAGAGATTAAACCAGATCTCAGCCAGAGAACAATGACCTAAAGGTTTTAATTAAAAACAAACAATAAAATGATTTTTTTGCATTGTGAAAGGCTGACTAAGGGTTAATATGATTAGCAAAGCTGTTTTCTTATAAAATATTGTAACAATGTCTTGGTGTAATCAAGGCAAGCTGGTTACCTGTTGATGTTGTGCCAAAAGAGGAAGTTTGTAATTTGTTATAACTACTAGTAAACACTGCTAGATAAGATCAAAAAGTTATCATGCTTTATTTCTAGTGTGAAAACATCACATCAGAATTATTCACACATGCTATACAAACAGTTTTTCCATATATATTCTCCTCCTAGTAATTCACAATTGCTTTAAAGTGGACTATAACCATAGAAACGACAATAACTATTGGCTTACTTCCATGCCTGTTGTAAAGTTCAAACCCTTGCTACAACATCTGTTTCCAGAGCAATTTTCATTTATCTTTCTTCTCTTTTTGCAGGGTCAGTTGGTGAGTTTGATTTAGGAAGGCCTGCTGTAAACCTCTTTGAACCATCAGCAACCACAGAAAGTAGAAGTAGCATGGGTCTCTTTGGCACAAGCATGTCACCTGTAGTAAGTGGCTGTTCAATCTTTGGAGATGTAGATTCTACCTGCCGATCAAAAAGCCCAGAGGCCTTCACTTTCTCTTTTGGGACAACTTCCCAATCTGGCATTACCAAAAGCCCAAACAGACCTGCATTCAGCTTGTTTTAAATCTGAAAAAATACAAAAAAAATGGGGATGAGAAATTTTAAAATTGTTTGTAACGTTTTATCAGTCTCTATTTTACCAGAGGTGAAAGAGTAATAAAAATTTTGCATTGCAAACTGTATTTTTCTGTACTTTTGGAAAAGAGGCTATAGCCCAGATTTATCATTTACCTAACAATTAGCCTTGCTAACCACAAATTATCCCTGAAGTGTAATGCAATTTAATAAGCAAATGAGTGTTGTCAAGAAGCTGGTCCTAAGGAAATTGGGGGATGTGGAGAAGGAGGGATAGATAACTGTCTGTGGGGTCAACTTGGCCTGAGGCATTTTATCCATCTAGGGAAATTACTCATTCAAAATCAACGGCTTTTTGCCAAAGAATGTTTGCCCTATGTTGGGAATTTAACCTTCCCAAAGACGCAGTCACACCCTGATCAACAGTAACGACCAGTTTCAGCCCAGATTTTGAATCAAACTAGTAGGACGTATCGAAAATCTCTTTCAAAATAACGCTTTCAATTTGAAATGACTGATGGAATCCCCTTAGAAGTAAACAGGTGTCTACGTTTAAACTTTTCATTGAAATTTTGGGTTCCAGACAGTTCCTGTGTGGTATCATCCAACAGGAAACCGGCTCGCGATTAGTATCTTAGATGCAACGTAATCGGATCAATTGACCTCAAAAACCAAGCCGTGACGAAGTTTGTATTGTGTTGATTTAATTTTCTCTAGTACTCAACTTAACTTTAAGTTAACACGCTAGGATAAATACGCCGATGTGGGAGGGTTTGCGTTTGTTTCACAACCTTCAGTAAATAAACACACATCTGTGGTATTTTAGAAGTGTTTATTTTATTTTGAGGACTTACCAGAGAGTAACAAATACCAAAGATTTCTTCACTGACAGATTCCTGTTTCTCGTCTTTATGATGTATGATCAGAGACAAGCTTTAACCGCGCCGTAATGCTATTAAATTCATTAAACCCGTAAAACTTGCTCATTCACATATCCAATCATGCGTGAAGCTAGTGTTGTGAATCACTGATCTTTGCGGCATTTTGACTTTAAACTGAAAACGGCGGTCGGAAGTCCTTTGTGCGGAAACTACTAAGAGCGGAAAGAGTCACTCGAGTAGGCGAGTAGAGTAGATTTCTCAATCATTTGGTAAGAGCAATTTTACGTGTACAGTACTTACCATCAGCTTGATCGACAGATTTCACACGAGTTCTGAAGATCTTTACTCTCCAAGATCTACCTTTTTACCAATGATTCGCGCGAATATTATTGTTATTTTCTTTTTGGTGATCTTTTGTGATGAATGTGTTGTTGTCTAACTGGATTGTGTCTCGCCGCTCTTTGATTGGCCGACATTACCCATGTGACCCAACAGTGATTGATGTGCCAGCCATGCAATAGGACTTCTTGTTCATGTTGGTGTGGTGAAGAGTGTCTTGATCAAAATGGACGAAACAAAAGTTATATACCACATCGACGACGAAGATACGCCGTACCTTGTAAAGCTACCTAAAAGTCCTTCAGAGGTTACTCTATCGGACTTTAAAAATGTCCTCAATCGACCGAGTTACAAGTTCTTTTTCAAAAGTATGGATGACGATTTCGGGTGAGTTGATGTGTACCTACTGTACGCTGTATGTAGATTGCTTTCATAGCAGTGTTTACGTTGTCTCTTGCTCTAAAGTCATTTCCCTAGCGGAACACCTTTGATTTTCAAAAGAGTTCATATTTGTATAGCATATTCTGAAATGCGTTTGTTTTGAAAAAAACACTGGAATCCTTTCGAATGCTACGAGCTCCAGAATATTGCTGTCAAATATTCCCGGCTTCTCATACTTGCTAGTGTTCAAGGTGTAAGCTTACAGTAGCGCTGCGATTAGAGACTCGATGTGTTTATCGCCTGTACATGCCTACCGCTTGTTCAAACAATTTTCCATTATTTCTAACTACTCGAGGCGAAGTCTTTTTGTCGCTTCTCCGCGCAGATTTTATGCATTCCAGCCAAACTCTTGATAGCGCTTTGCCTGTAACCGATATCTTTAGTTGATAATTTCTAATTCCTATTGCAGTGTGGTCAAAGAAGAGATAAGCGATGAAGAGATGAATTTGCCTTGCTTTAATGGACGGGTAGTTGCTTGGGTAAGCCGTCTGTCATTGAATTTTTTTAAAAAAACATAACCTGCCGATGGATTACCGATCGAAGCCAGCCAAAAGAGCTAGTGTGTTGATGTATTTTCGTAGCAGGGAACACAATTTATCTTAGATTGTAACTTGATCATGATCGTGCATAGCAGGCAATTGCCTTTTTTAACTCTTATTTTAGCCGGGGAACCTTTTTTCCTTTTTTTCCCGTGCATTTTCCCTCCTCGACAGCATGATTTGAGGACGCATATCCGTCTGGCGCCTGACGCTGTGTTTATACACTTCTTAGTATGATCTTGTTTTACGGTTATTATTTGGAACGCTATCGAACGACATAAAGTGAGTCTTCAATATAAACACATTTCGACTTGGATTTGTCACCCTATCTTTGAAGTTTTTGTGGAAATCGTCGCACTACAACATCCAAACCTCAAATGTCGCTCGTCGTATTTTATCTTCAGAAAGATATTGGCTTGTCGATTGTCCCTCAGTAATCAGGTTTTCTTGATTGTACAAAACCTCATTTTTAATTTATATCACACTGAGTTCCTACTGAGTCAATTGTTTGGAACCAAGATTTAATCTTGATTATACGGAAGAACTAGTAACTGTTCCTTAGATGTAAACAGTTTGCTCTTTTGCCATATAGCTATGCGAACGATTTTTTGTTCGATCGCGTTACAACCTTCACTTAGTCCCACGCGTATAGCAGCCGCTAATTTACATTCCTATGTTTAGCAAAAAAAGCATAGTAATTTACTCAAGTTAAGTCTTAAACCAGTGCTCGAGAAGCTCTGCGTTATTTAAAGCGAAGTGCTGTTACAAGATTTGCAATTAGAAAACCATCTATCAACTTAGAGGGGTTTTTTTTACTTCGTTACTCATCAAATCTTCGCACTGTCCAAGATTTTTCTTCTCCCAGTTCTCGTGAATTCTCGCTCTTTTTTTCCTTGGAAGCACTCTCTTTTCATATAAATCCATTATAGTTAAACTTCTGTGGTTTTAATCGTATGAACCATTTCGAGATCAATTTTATATATTACTATGCTACAAGATGAAAAGCCAAGCAATGGAATAAGCGCGCCAAATAGGATGCCCTTTCTCGTTTGTTCTTAATTTGTATCGCCTAAATGGGTTTTTTTGTGTTTTCGTTCGGAATCGCGGCTGACTGGCCACCCAGCGATTGACTGATAACAGCATAAGTGATGTGATGGCAAGTAAAACACATTTAAGACAGATGTTTTGGTAAGACAACTCATTACCAATATTGAAGACTCACAATTCACGCTCACATCACATGGAATGCCAGGATTAAGCATGGATTAGTCAGTTCACAGCAGTGATTGGTATTTTAGTACTTTAGACACCTTATAAATACTCAAGGTTTGGTTTCTTTTCTGTTCCATATGACACGGTTCTTTTTTGTGGCATATTAAGTTGAAATTTTATCCAGCTGGTTTTGTTCGGTTAACTGTCAGTTTCGCTTTGTCATAAAGTCCAGGTATTTCATTCATAGATGGACGTGCTAATGGTCTTGTTGGCATACCTCATTAGCATCCTTTTGAGAGATTAAAACAATTAAGCTTTATTTTGGACAAATGATGGTAGCCTGTAGGATTAAAAAAATATTTGTTCGTCAACTGGTTAGGTGTGCCATTAAAATATCTATTTTAGCTTACATTTTGAGTCTAAGGTATCAAAAAAATTTATTTCTAACATTCATTCCTGGTTGATTGCAAAAATATAATTGATTGTTCTTAGGAGGCTTCATCATAAGTTCATTAAATCTCTGGATAATAATATCGCAAGAAGGAAAGTGAAAAATGTTCAGTTATGCTTTTTTCCTATTTTTAAATATTTAGGCTTTGCTCCACAATCCTCATGGTTTTAGCTCTTTGTTAAGGAGCTTTACTCTTTGCTTTGTTAATAAATCCAATTTGTGTGGTGGCTTTTTAATCATGGAAAGGCAAACCACTGAATGATCAACTATAATATTTTAAACAAGCACAAAATATCTTACTGCCTATGTATTGTTCATCAAGTGATTTAATTGCTTTCTTGTGACAATAATAAAAGCTCTTAAACTGACAAGGCCAGCCTTAAATGATATTGTTAATTGCTGAAGTCTGCCTGAGAGGAATTGTTCTAATATTTTCCTTCTGATTTGTCATAAAGGAAATCACACAGTAGGCATTTTCTTGTTTTGAATTGTATGCAAAGTTTGTTTACAGGTTGAAGAAACCTAAATTTTGTATTCACTCCCTGGAGGCATGTCATTAATAGGATAAAATCTGTCTCTAGTTGCAAAGAATGTGCTGTATGTAAGGATTACATTTGTATCCTGGACCAAAAGAAATCACTGATTACAAATCTAATTAGTTTATCAGCTGTCAGATTTGGGCTCTTTGGGTGTAGATTTCTCCATAGAAATGCAATTTCCTGAAACTTTTATGGCAATGTAATTAATTATTGAAGAAGTTTGAAAAATGGTTGAATTAAGAGGTTAATCACATACAAGAATCAAGAATCTCTCAAAATCTGTTCTCAAATTGGTGGGTAATAGGATTGGTGATATTAAGAGAAAATTAAAATTTTTGTAGTTGATGAAGAGAAGGCAGCCATGGTGTAAAAGTGTCATTTCTTTCATACAATTTTCATTCATTGTGCAAGCATAGATCTTTGTCAGCTCTTCTCAAAATAGTAGTCTTACTCAAACATACATTGTTACTCATTCTTTACTTTTTTGATATGATTCAGTTCCACTTATTAACCTCTGGACCCCCTACGTGCCTAGCATCTAATTTTTCCTTCCAAAATCACCCCTGAATCATGCACTAAGGTCACAAGAATAAAGAAAATGACCTCAACTAAAGAAGATCTTGATTGTTAAACAATTCTCCTAGTCAGTGCAGTAGGAAAGGTTTAGAGAACATGATGAAGAATTTGTAAACTGATTTTGAGTGTAAAAGGTTAAAATCTTAACCCTTTAACTCCCAGAAGTGATTAACATAAAACTTCTCCTTACAACATCCATACACTCTTCAGCAAACAGGTAATGAGAATATTCAAACTTATCAGGTAGAAGCTGCTGTCTTGATCTAGCACCAAGTTCTCTTAACTAATTTAAAAGGAAATGTGTAGCAACTACAAAGGAGAATTAACAATCAGATCTTGGGAGTTAATGGGTTGAGTTAGTTCCTTCTTCTAAAATGTTGTGCTAAAGAAAGGGGCACAAAATAATTAGCACTCCCCTTGAAATGCATGAAATTGTGACAAATACTCAGTGATATACAAAAGAGATGATATGGACTGGACCATGAAAGAAAACCCCAAAAAAAAAACATGGAAAGGTTCATTTTCTGGGTACAAGTCAGCAGAAAATGACTAAAGATCAAGTATTGTTGTGAATTTAACTTAGTATAGAACATGAGTAACAATTTCTGACATCAAAACTTAACTAAGAATGCGTAAATGCAAGTCTGATCAGTAATCATAAATTTTTGTTGCAGCTTGTCACATCAGACACAAGTAGTGTGTCAGACACAGGCAGAGATGATCAGCAGTCAGTTATATCAGCATCATCTGATATGCACCCTCCAATGCCCAGAACAGTTGGTATTGGAGACTCCAGACCACCTTCTTTCCAGTAAGTTAAACTTATACTCATCTGTTCTCACCTAATGTCTGAATATTAATCCAAGACTTGTCATACCCCCTACTGATGCAGCACCACAGTTTCTAAAGGAACTCACCACTTTATTGGTTTGTTAGTTGTTGCTCAGTTAGGAAGCATCAGTGTTTGAATTGTAATGTGGACACAAATTATCTGTTTTCCCTCTCTTGTGGCAATTTTCCTCACATCTTTTATTATTTTTCTGTTATTTATGTTTAGTCCCCATGGAGGGCACTCAACAGCAGGCGATTTTGACTCAGAGGTAGATTCCACAGTTAGTTCCAGAAGAGGGTCAAGAAGGAGGGACAAACATATCAACAGAAATGAAGGTAACCAGAATTTTTTTATTTCCACACTGCTGTTTGTGTTTTGTGCCCACTTATGACCTTTTCTGTTGCGCACCAGCTGTTGTGATCACTGTCATTACTTAATGTGACTCTATAAACTTTCCATCACAAAGACTTCAATTGATAGACTATGCTATCTGCTGTCTATTCTATCTTAATGGGTTCCAGGTTGCCATGCATCTGTTTAATAATACATTGCAGATGATGTCGAACTGTGTTAAGAACAAAAAAAAAGTGGCAGCCAAGTGTGTCACTCATGTTCTTACTCCATTTTGACATCATTTGCAATCTATTACTGTACACACTGGTGGTAAATTGGAATTTACTTGATTCACTTGATTGAAAAGCAAAATGTTGTTAAAAGTGAGGTCATCTATCTGTCTGTCCTCTGATAAATCATAAGTAGGAACCAATCAAAATTCCTGTGTAATTTGGCTTAATTACTTAACTCTAGATTGACAATGAGTTGAGTGAATACCATAACAGTATGTGGCTGTAAACAAAATGGAACAAAAACATGAGCTGGTCTTGTTCCTAAGTGTTTTACAACCAGAAAAATCATGCTCAAAGTTAATATTATTTAACCTGCTCTATGCGAAAAAGTTGATTTGGTCTTTGGCCTCATCAACCATCAAGTGCATCAAATCTTGAGATCATCTGATCTTTTAATGTGGGAAATGTGTTTGTGTTTCAGTGGTGCATGGAAGACATAGACAAGGAGGAAGACATGAAGGTGATCGGTATGAGAGTGCTTCCATGATGAGTAGTGATATTGAATCAACAAGCTATATGGATTCTTCAGATGATCAAAGCAGGTGAGTGCAAAATATGATAAGTTGTTTCTCTGTCTGGTCTTAAGCATAGGACTAAGTAGATATGCTGAATTTCCACAAGGAATCTAACCTCAGATTTAAAGATTCTGTGCTATGATGCTCTCCTATTGAGCCACAGAGACTACATATGTTGAGCAAGGCCTTTACAAGGTTGATATGGAACATGCATTGTGCATACTGCAAGGATCCTTAAAACTTTAACTCCCAAGATCTGATTGTTAATTCTCATCTCTAGCTGCTACTGATTTCCATGTAAATTAGTAACAAGAATTTGGTGTTAGGTCAAGACAACAACTTCTACTCAATAGGTTTGAGTAATTTCAATATCTGTTTGGAGGATAGTGTATGGATATCATAGGGTGAGGTTATGTGGGTTAATGTTGAAAAGTGTCATGTGGATGAATATTATATGAAGGAATTGACTCATGAAAATGTGTTTGCAGTGTTTCAAGGTTCTCCAGTACAACTGAAGGTTCTCAACTTCTTAGAGGAAGACATAGAAGGCGGAGAAGACGACCAAGGATGCCAAGAGTGCAAAGGGTGAGTATCTTAGCCTTTGTCTTCATTTTTTCCCTAGTGTAAAGCAACCTCTCAGTGGTGAGAATGACTTATTTATGTTAACCTTAAAGATAACAACAAAGGAAAGTTCTCCATTAAGTTACTAAGGAGTTAACCAACTCCTTGGATCCACTCATGATGAATTTCCTGTTAGTATTTGCTTGTGTAACAATTTTTGGAATTCAATAAGCACTTGACAGACTGTGTAGTGTTCAAGAACAGTGTAATATTGCTGAAACATGAAGAATTATATTACATATTTTTCATCTGATACTATGCGACAAACCCTAATAACCACTGAAAATATTTGAATTGCGATGACTCTGTCAAATTATGCAAACATACCCTCGTGTTTTTTTTAAATATTTTGAATTTTTTGCCTAAACTGTACTTGTTGTCTTTACAGTGTTCATCATTTAGTACCATAACAGAGTCAACCATGTCACTCAACATTATAACAGTCACACTTAATATGGGTAAGACTTCCCACAGGGACAGTTTGCTTTTTTATTGTTAACATTTTGTTTCTTTTATTTTGCTGTACAGAAGAGAAAAGGGAAAAAATCATAAGACGCCATTATATTTTTCTTTTTCAGAAAAAGTAAATTTTCTAGGAATAAGTATAGTAGGTCAGAGCAACAAAAGAGGAGATGGAGGAATTTATGTTGGTTCTATCATGAAAGGGTGAGTTTCACTTGGACAAAACTACATTATGTTAACTACCTCAAACTATTTCTTTCAGTTGGAGAAAAGAGCAAATCTTGTCCTTAAAGCAATTTTGCAAGAATCATCTTAAGAATGTGTTCCCTATTTTGTAATTTGAAATAGTACTTTAAGAAAATTGATAAAAATTTGTCATTGCAGAGGAAAGTAATTTCACCCTATCTGTTTTTCTCTTTGACAGTGGTGCTGTGGATTTGGATGGAAGGATAGAACCTGGAGATATGTTGTTGCAAGTATGTGAAATATATCTTAGGATCTAAATCATAGTGCTCCAGATCTTTTGGTCCTTCTCTTCCACTAAAGCTTCCATCAAACTTTATCACTTTGCAAAACTTTCTGGGCTTATTCTGGTCTTTATTGTTAATAGGTTAATGATGTAAATTTTGAAAATATGAGCAATGATGATGCAGTGCGGGTTTTGAGAGAAATGGTCCATAAACCTGGGTAAGAATGTCTCTTTTACTTTTTAGTAGTAATTAGTCAATGCAGTTAAAATTTTTTATGAAGGGTTGAAATAACTTGCCATTTGAAGTATTTACTTGGTTATAATCAGGTTTGCATTGTGTCAATGTGAAAGCTACAAGTCGTAATGTTCATCTGTTCCAGATGCTTCTTTTTAATGTCATAAACATTGACATTGTACATATTTATGGCTTAGAAATCCCTTGAAATTCACTGTCTTGTAAAGGCCTCCCAACCAATAGATTATGCAGTGAAATTTCAAACAGAGTAAATGGCTTAGATAGCCAAGAAATCATAGAGTTTGAAGTCACTTCCCTTGCTTTTATCTATAAATAGCTCTGAGTTATTGCATTCTATGTTGGTGGTATCAGACATGTAGATATAAAACTAATTATAAACGTATTAAGACTATATATTACCATGATTAAATTATTCATAGTATGTGTGTAATTGTGTGATTATCAATTTCAGTCCCATTACTTTAACTGTTGCCAAATGCTGGGATCCTACACCAAAAGGATACTTCACATTACCTCCTAGTAAGTATAATTATCATAGTTTTTCCTTAGAAAATGGCAAACATTCATCATCCCCTCAAATAAGGTCATCATTAGTGCTTGATCAGATTTGGTTTTTTCATTAAACATTAATCAGTGTTTAAAACAGTGATACTTCATAGCACTAATTTGTGTACAAGGCAGTACAAGTTTCATTTGTTTTTGGTAGTTTCAGAAACGGAACTTCATCAATACTGCAAAGTTCTCTGCAATCAATTTGATTTTTCTTAAGGTCCACAAGATTGGTACTGTGCTAAAGATATTTAAAGGTTAAGACTCTCTGGTTTGAAAGAATTTTAAGAATGGGCCATGGAATTTTAAAGAGGTTGCCATAAATATGTAACCAAATACTTTCTTTTTCATAAATCACTTAATGCCTAAAGGCTCTTGTTGCCTAAATCCAGGGTGTCCAGTTATTTAAAGCATTCATAACAGCAAAGTCATTTGAGTTGCACGAAGGCAAATGTTAGGTGCATGCGGCATCTGGGCCCTATAAGAGGATGGTCCCAGACAACTTTTCATTTTAGGTTCTCATGAAAGAAAACACATTAGTTTTGTGTTCGTGGTTGTAATTGTAATTTAAAAATTTCATGTCCAGGTGAACCTGTGCGTCCAATTGATACCTCAGCATGGGTACAACACACCACAGCAATGACTCGTAAGTATACATCAGCCTTTTTTAAAAGGTCATCTATTTAACTTGTAGTATTGCATATTGTTATGATTTCAAGATGTACTGTTGTTAAAAACATTTTCAATTACTTATTCTAGAGTTTGGACCAACTGCACAATATGGAAAACAACCAAACAGTCAGTCACTCACAACAATGACATCAACCAGCTCATCAATGACAAGTTCTCTACCGGAATCAGACAGTGAGTTGCTATGTGGGACACTTAATCCCAATTTCTTATTTCCTCGGATAATAACTGAGAAAAATTTTCCCATTGAGTGTGAAACAATATATGAAACAGATGTAGTTAGTGAGTAACTAGGTGTATGAGAGAGTGATTATCGACCTAGTCTGTTTAAATTTAGTCCATTCAGTGTCATTGGAGTGCAGTTGACTTTATTTAGCTCTTCTTTTCACATCCTGTTATAGGATATACTGAACTTCAAGAAGGTGAAGGACTCTCAGTAACCTCAGACATGACCTCGATAGTTAAAACAATGGCAGCTCCAGATTCTGGCCTTGATATCAGAGACAGAATGTGGCTCAAGATTACCATCCCCAATGCATTTATAGGTAATTGTAGCGAGAAAAAATGCGCTGCAGCCATCAATGTCACTTTGTTGACTGTTTTGACTTAATACCAAGAACTCATAATAAAAGTGTTGATTTCAGTATGGGTACTGACATTATTTCAAGTGCAACTTGGGTTTAAAAAGCATGAGTAAATTTTTTAAAGGCAACAAAATTGCACGAGCCTGTAAGTGCAATATGTCGTCTTTAAAACATTTACAAGTGCGCGTTACACCAAATTTTAAGAGAAAACGTGTTATTACTTGTTAAAAACGTACATGAAAATACATCACAGAAAGTTAAGAAAGACAGAATTTTGAAGGCGTGTGTGCGCTATTTGTAATTAGCACTCGCGTTATAACTTTGCACTCATGAGAAGAAACTCATTTTTAGCCAATCAGAAGGGCGTAATTTTTTCATGTACATTATTAAGTGTTATTTTCTTTTGCATCACAGGATCTGATGTGGTAGACTGGCTGTATTCACATGTAGAAGGTTTTCAAGACAGACGCGAAGCAAGAAAATATGCTTGCAATCTTTTGAAGGTAAATGCCCTTTTCGAACTTGTGTGCCATGTACTCAGACTAAATCGTTCCTTGTTGCTGCTGCTGTCTTTTTTTTGGTTTTTTGATTTTTTTTTTTGTGATGTTTTATTTGCATCTCACATTTGTCTGTATATGGTTGTTTATCAGGCTGGTTTCATTCGACACACAGTTAACAAGATTACTTTCTCAGAGCAGTGCTATTATGTGTTTGGCGATCTTTGTGGAAGTAAGTCTTAATTTCTCTTGTTGCCCCCATGTAATTTCGTAGAGGGTTTGGGGAGCTGACGGCTCCTCTTTGTTTTTATTGTAGGTGTTATTATCTTGAGTCAACTAGGACAAATTTCCCTTTTGCTCTGTTGCTATCGAATGACTGAAATACTTTGTAAAATGACAAGGCTTGAAGAAAGATGTTATTCATCTTAGGACGAGCGTGCGATGAAAACGAGGCTTGTTCAACATGGAGTTGAGAATGTTTACTTTTTGAAACTGGGGTTTTTCTTAAATCCGGCCCTGGCAATTCCACTTCTCTGTTCCCGGCCCTCAGTCAGAGGAGACGAGCGTATAAGTGGGCGCGAAAAAATAGCATTCACGAGATAATCGGATGCACGAAGAGAAATACAACCGCCGGGTCTGTTGCCGTTTACTGACAGTGATTTCGCTCGTCTTAAGTCACTCAGATCCTGTCCAGACTTCATATCCACTGGAATTTGTTTTTAAGTGTTTACTTGGGGTTTCAGTTTCCATCATTCCAATAATTTCTGCTATGTGTTTTGTGTTGATAGATATGGCGGCTCTTACGATTAACGAACATGAGGGCGATGGCGACCAAGACACTTTGGGACCCCTCCCAACACATCAAGCTATCTCGTGGATAGCAGGTCCACCAAGTTACGGATATCATCAAATGCCTTCTTACCCGGGCCCTCCTCCTCAAGCCATAGTGGACACACAGACACCTGGGTACGCTCAGTCATTCTACAGCGCACACAGTGGCAGCCAAAGTCCCCACAGCGCTAGTGGCAGCTCACGGAAGAGCGGAGGAGGAGGCGACCGCGCTGATGGTGACCATCGGAGTAGTGGTGGAAGCAGTAGCGAGAAGAGCAGTAGCAGCAAAGGTAAAAGCAAGGAGCGTGAGGCTCGAAGCGTCGAAGGATCAGCTCAGCTCGTTCAAGGACCTCTCCCTGCGGGAGTTCCCATGCCCGGAGGTCCCCCAATGCCGGGTATTGCTATGATGCCCCGGCCTCTTGATCAGGTTCCCGAGAACATTTCAGCGAGTAGGAACAGTTTTAGAATGGCGATGGGTAATCCTTGCGAGTTCTTTGTAGATGTGATGTAAACAGTAGACAGATGTCATCCGCCTATCACAAGCTACTGGACTTACTGGTGAGCTTTACTAACAGACGGCTCTAAGGGCAGCTCCCGAAACAGCTTAGCGCCTGGCTGACGATGCGCGTTGTCGCCATATTCGCTCTGTTGACTTCACAAGTTGCAAACAGACTGACGTTTTTGTTTCTAGTGTATCAGTTGAACAGAGTTACACAGGTTATCGAGATTTACGCGCGGTGCTTATTGCTGACCAAGTTGATCGTCGCACTGGTGAATTTGCCAGAATTTTCGGAGCCAAGACGTTAATAATCATTGTTAGTTATAACTTGCATTTGTACATAGTGTGGAAATTGGTGCTTTCGAGAGGTTAGGTCTGTACAGAAATCCAGCTTGAGTTATTTTATTGGCAAAGAGAACTTCATTTTTATTGTAGTCTTTACAAGTCAATTTGACGCGCGATTTCATTTTGCGCCCAAAATTGTAATTTATAATTCTCAGTCTCCAGCACATACGGTATTGATCTCAGGCCAGTTTTATCCTCTGTGACAAATAAAGCTCGTTCGGTTTCGCCTGAAGAATATAATAGTTGGGTTGTCACTGTAGCACAACAGTACATGGATATCTGTTAACGATTTCTCGTGTTCCTTGCCTCGCACGTGTGATTTCAAGGTTAAATATTCTTGACAGGTCATCTAATTTTTATTTTTTTTCGTAAACTAAGCGTGCTTTAGTAACAAGTGCGAGACAGATACTTACCATAGAATGTATAAATCAATTATTCTTGAATGAAGCAATTTTATTGAGCGCAGTTTTGCACTATCAAAAGAACAGTGGGATGTTATCTTACTCTTCTTGGGAGATAAATATCTTTTGCCAACAACCAAATAAAGAATACAGTATGATACGAGATGTGGACTCGATATTGTTTTCTTCAATTTGGGTGTCGTATCCTTACCATAACATTTTCGACGCGTTCTTCAGGAGAGCTTGATAGTGGAATTTTTACCCGAGAAGAGAATTGACACTTGATTCGACCCTTTATACACCACCCCTAAAATTTTTGTTTAGGAAGACTTAAAACGCCTTTTTTTCGAAGGGGAAGGTGGAGCAATCAAAATATACTTTAGGAAATGGAAGCGGGGGGGAGGCAATCAAATTGTACTTATGGGGAATTGGGGGGCGGAGGGTGGGGCAATTAAAATGTACTTTGGGGAGTACTTGGTTAAAGGCGAATCGAGGCTAAACATGAGTTCCCTTAATCCGTAAGTTTCAGAATGAGTCCAGATGCACGTTCTTGCCTAAAATGCCCTTTTCTATGGCCTCATCTTGAAAGTGAGGGTTTTAAAAACTCAGAGATGACCAAATAGTCATTTTCTAACAATGGCTTCACGCTTGCTTACGTTAACGAACAGCGGCCTGAGAAATCTCAAACGATTAATTTCTCCCGTTCGTTACCTGAAAATTATCACGGCAGAAAACCGTCAGAAAAGAAAATCCTAGGGATGCTTCGCTTACAGACAATACAGGCACGGGAAGTAGAAAATCTGACTTGACAAAGACATCCTTTCATCTTTAATTTCCACTTTTTGATGAAATATCTTGAACTCTGAAGGATAATCAATACTTTACCATTCATGACCATCTCTTACTGACTGAGGCTTTCAGTTGTAAAAAATTCAAAATCATAGACTGTTACGCTACTTGATGTGTAATGGGACTTTCTGACCGGTTCCAGCCCCATGTACAAAATGTCTTTTAGCTTAATTAGAAAATAACATCTTCAAATATTTTAGTTTCTCAAAAAATACTTTTTCAGATAGCAGCATTATACCGATTATGATACCAACGAGAACAACCTAATTTTGAATCACTTTTTACTGACTCCAGCAAAAATTCAATCAACAGTTTGGTGGTGCCAATATTTTGGCCATGTTACTAAAGGAATACACATAAAAATTATCTATTTGCACTCCACTGTTAATTCATCAGACAAATTAACGTCTTGATGTAATCAAGATGTATTTTCTATTACGGGGTTTTATATAGTAAAGACGAACTTTAAAACAAGTTCTGGCTTACAAAATATTCAACTAGGAGAGAGTGGGGGGAGGATTTTGGGTTTGCGGCTCCTTCATTTTAAACTACAACATCTTCAATGAACGAAGAACACAAAACAACTTTTAGCCAGCCTTGCAGCCTGCATTAACTCTGTTACTCAATTTTCTTTAAGACTTTCTGAACCAATCACCCTCAAGGGCTACTTCTAAAAAAGAAAAGGGAGACGAGTTTACCCTGAGGAATTTGTGATCAAATGTGTGGGCTCAGCAGGGGGGGGGGAGATCTATCTTAAAGGCTAACATGATCCTATCAAAATACACCTGAAGATAATAATAATAGTAGTAATGATAATGATAGTAATAATATCAATAATGATAAGAATAAAAGTAACAATAGTAGTAATAGTTAAAAGCTCTGATTGTTGGCGATTCAAAAGTCTCTTACAAACCCTGACCGCGTGAAATACATCGTCTCTTTAAATAATCTCCTCATAATTTACACCTTGAATCCTAAGTGTTCATAATTTAGCAATAACTCGCGAAAAATTGTTTTAAGCTATTTTTAATGCTATGTTGGCTCAATATTTATAAGCAGAGCGGTCAAGACTACAGAGCCTTGGTTCTCTAAATACCATTCCAGATTTTCTGTGCCAAGATTTTCATCGAGCAGCTCGTTTGCGTCAACATCACGGTGACTCCGACCTGTTCTGTAATTACCAGGCTTCACGAGAACTTGTAAAGCCACTCGGACATGATAGACTTTTCCTGTTGTACTATCTCTGTATCTGTAACACGACGGAAAGAAAAAAATAAACAAACAATATTAACTCGTTATTGACAGTCACATCAAGGTAATTACAGGTAAAAATATTCCTAAGAGACGAGAAAAAGCAGCCGAAGATAGGCGCTGCATCGACTGGTCACGGAATTCACCAAGCGCCGCGACGCTCAGTAAAGTTAATGCAATATCCTATTAGGCGTGAGAAAAAAGCAAAAACAAATTACGTGCGGCATTGACTAGTAGAAAAACATTGTTGAAGTAAAAAGCGCCGCCGCGCTATTTCAACCAAATGCGGTTTTTGGAAACATATTATTGAAGTAATTGGTAAAAGTTCAACTCTCCCATCAAAAACATCACAAACACCAAATTTTCCACTAAGTTGTTACCCATTGTTAAGACTGCCATTGTGCTTGGCAACGAATATCATCACTGATATCAGTTACTTACTCCTGTCTTTTAGCTTGGGCTTCGTACGCGCAAATGATTGTGGGTGACACACAGAGCTGGGGGACTTCATTTTCTTTGTTTGATGAGCCCCTCCGCCGCTGACCACTACAGACTGACAAATACGAGACAAGTATCAGTAAAACCTACATTTGTCCAAACGATAAGAAAATTATAGTTAGTTAGAAGAACAGTGCTGTTTACCTTGCAGTGGAATATCACCAAGATCAAGCATTCTTCTAAGTCGCCCAATAGGAGTTCCGTAAAATGCCACGTGCCATTTGTCGAACAAGTGATATTCTTCGACTCGTGGAGGAATTCTAAACGAGATAAAAAAATGTACATGATGATTTTTCAGATCTTAGACCCACATCAACCTACCTAGTTACGAACGAATTGAAACGAATGGTTCGAATCCGCGCATGCTCACCTTAGCGCAAACTGACACCATCCCAAAGGTAGCGCATACCGACAAGGTGGGTCACCGCTGATAGCATAACGTTTTTCACCTCGGGCTTCGTGGCACGCCTGGCAATAGCAGACGTTGGATTTGCAGTCTGTATTAAAATATTCATCTGTGGATTGCAGTAAAATATACATGAAACGAGTTCAAGTACCATCATAGCGCCAACAATGAAATTTTCCATTGAACGAAAATCCTGCTTTGTTAAAACAAGAAACAAAACTGAAGTAATGCTGTACTTTTCAATGAAAAGGATACACATACTTGCATTGGTAACTCAATAATCGAGAACCCAAAAAAATAAGTTCAGTTAACTCATTTAAACCTCTAGAGTAACCAGCATCTGATTTTTCCGTACACTAAAACTTTTGAATCAGTCATTAAGATCATGAGAACAATAGAAACGGTCGCCAACCTAAAAAGCTTTGATTGCTAAATGAATTCTCCTTGTTTGTACAAAAGGACATGTATAGTTAAGAGTATGGAGAATATAGATACTGATGCCAGGGTGTCAAGGGTTGACAACTAGATACGAGCACAAATGTCTTATTTCTATTTGCCTTCCTCGACCCTTTGAGTAGTTTTAGAGTAATTCTCACCTGGTATTGCCAAACTAGCACGGAATCGATCACAAAGTTGTCTGTAATCACACGGGCCTTTACTGTGTTCACCTGGAAACGTATATGACAGCAAGAAGGCAATCATTTTATTGTAAGGAAACAAAGACAACGGCAAAAAACAATCAAAATTTTTTAATGAAGAGGCAGGCGTTCACAGAAATAGTAAGATTGACAAAAAATTACGTCCTTAATTACCCGAGCTTCTCTCGATCTTGGTTTCCTCCATAGAAACACGCCCGCGTTCACCATGATCAGCAGTTACGATAGACACTTCCTCGCAGCAACCATACAAGTCCAGCACTGCAAATCGTCTGGCGGGGATGGCCTGGGCAATCGGTCCCAGGTCCTCTCCGTTAATAAGCAGGTGCAACCTGCTTTTCTTATCGATCAAAACTCCAAGGGTGTCTCCTTCCTGAAGACTGTCAAGACTTCGCCGTAGATTGTCGTTTACCTACGAAACGAAAATACAAACAACGTGAAAACCGCATTCATAAAGTAGGAAGACAGAGGTCGAAGAAACTACGTCAGCGAGGGACAACATTTTAACTACCCCACCATAGCATGAATTCTTACCTTGTTCCCGTTAACATACACTGCGTTATTGACAACAATCCAAGGACAGATCTTGATGCTGTTAGCCGTGCTTGGAAGGCTGGTGAGGGAGTCTGGATCCTGAGCCGTGACGCCGATCATAACAGAGCCAGTCCAGCGACTATTCAACTTTCTGATACATACCTAGAGTTAGAAGAGGTAATATTAAGGGCTAAGTATAATCTAATCATGCATTCTTTACGTCGTGGAATGTGGAGCTTAAAGTTCAAGTGTGCCATTTGGGATCTGATTTAGTATCTTCCATTCCTTAACTAGCCTTGTTCCTGTGTGGTGAATTCTTACTCTTTGAGAGTTTGTACTCTTTAGCAATAATAACAAAGATGCAGCTATATAGCGCACTCCCCTTGTATATGTGCACTGATGCGCTTTAAAACACTTTGTTGGAAACTTCAGCCAGACCGTATTTGGTAGTTTACGATTTTTTGAAAGAAAATTTTGCAGGTGCCCTTAACTTTGGAATATTTTGGAAACAAGGACAGACTACACCACTGGGAGATACGTTCCCTGTTCGTTAATTAACGTTCCCTACTAACCAGAAGAGAGAAGATACAGGAGACGGGGCATACCAGGCTTGAGGTGCTTATCCGAGAAAGGAGGAACGTCTAATCATTTGCAGATTCATGGCAAAGGCAGCACATTCTCCACTGTTACATTAAGACCCCAGGGTGTTGGTTCGGTCTCAGACCCCAGGCTGGGCTCGAACCCCACCCATCCCATCCCTCCCCTACCTCGCGGTAAAGCAAGGATCTAGTGTTGAGTGGGAAAAACAGAAGTGGGTAGAAAAAGCAGGAAAAAGTGAAACCGGCGGAGAGTAGGTGCAAAATAATGAATAGAATCCCTTGATTTGTTGAAACCAGACCTGAAATAAGTGGTTATCTGGTAGAGGTGTTTCACTCAACACTACTCCATGATTGTAACTGTCAACTCTTCTCGCTGTTGTTCGGTTACTATCCAGTGAAATGAATTGACCGCAGTTTTTATGGAAAAGAAATCTGCCGGAAAAATAATGAACTGAATATTTAGTACAACACTCTTCAGTAGATTTATACAGTGGATAACGTTGAAGGTGCGTTCTGATTGCTTACTCAAATTACGAATATCTTTTGCTATTAACCTCTGAGCATTTGCGCGCAGGATTTGCGCCACAAAATGTTGAAATCGTTGCAGGAATAAAATAGTTAAAATCAAGTTTTTGTGCTTTATTATTTAACTGTTTTAGTATATACTAACACAACTATTCACATTTGGAAAGAGTGTTTAGACCAACTTTTCCAGGGTACCCACGGGAAATCTACATTACACGACGAGAGCAAGTTGTTTTAGTATATACTAAACCAACTTTTTATATCTGGAAAGAATGTTTAGCCCAACCTTTCCAGGGTACCCATGAGAGATCTACATTACGCGACAAGAGCAAGCTGGCGACAGCGACATGTTCACAGGGTAACCACTTACTTTTTAAATATTTTTATTGCCTCTCTTGTATCTTCTTCGACTTGATCTGATGTCTGGAAAACATACGCGAGGCCAAAAAAAGATGAATGTGACAACCTTATCTTTACACTTTAACATCAGTATGCATATTCTACATACTGCTTTCTATACATTTCCTAAGGTGCTGAGAGGGAGATTTTGTTTGACAATCAAAAGCTTCATGGTTGGTGATCATTTCCTTCATTCTCTTGAAACTAATGTGTGATTTGGGTGTGGTTTTGTAAGGAGAAATTAGATTCTAGTCACTCTTGGGGGTCAAAGGGTTCGGAAGAATGTGTCAGTTTTTAAGCCCCACTCTACTACTCCCAAAACTGAGATTTCATTATACGGCTCCAGGCCCCTAATATTACCGGAACTTTCGCGTAACGGACCCCTGTATCAACAAGGTATAATAAGCATATCCCAGTTATTCCTGCCACGTGGTATAAAATCCCCTTCCCCCCAACCCCTATTAATAACGGCTGTAGTCAAATTTACTGTCTTACCTCGGTGTCAGGAGAAACGGACGATTGTGGTTCGCCATCCACCAGTTCACTGGCAGGCAAAGTTCTATCGACTGAAAGGAGAGAAATTTTGGTAAAGATCCGGGTATTCAAACAAACCTCAGTACCAAGAAAACCATAAACTTAAACCTTAATATAAATGAAAATATTGGTGGATGAAAAAGATTATCAGACTGATTCTCAATCTCGGACAACATACAGAACGGATCAATGTCTGTATCTGAGCAGCTGCGCACCTACCCCTCCCTTAATCCAACATTAACACTAACCTTTTTTTATTAGTTGAGTGTTGTTGGGTTAAGGAAGGGGTAGGTGTGCAGTTATTCGCATACTGATATAAATCCATAAGAACATACCGGTAGTCGGACTCGATATAGAGATAAGTTGCGCCATGCCATAGACATCAACTACTGCATGAACAACCTGAAAGAAAATCATTACATAGCTTATCACTCAAACAAATCGTGTTCGATCCTCAAGTTGCATGCTTTTAAATTTATATCGTCCCTCTGTATGGCCAATAAAAAGCGACGTTAGTATCAAACGGGTGAGAACGTCTGATAATCACGTGCTGATCACATGCTGGTGACATACGAGTGGGTTTGTTTCTTTTTGGACAGACTGACATGCTAACAAACCAATCATAAAAGTACCAGGTGGTAATAAAACCATCTTCCTAAGCCAAGTCAGTGATGCTTTGTACATAAACTTACCTGAGGAACATCCACAGCTGCGACTCCCTGATCCTCCCCATTTACGAACACATGAAAAGTCCCATCTCTACGCCTTTGCATTCCTATTCTTGTTTCAGCCTGTGGTGTAAGTTTTATATAAGCTTAGGAACGCTCTCAGCTTCGAAGTTACCATAAAAGTTATAGAAACGAGTTCCTCCAAGGAACTTAATACTCAGAGCTAAGAAGCAAGGCGCAAATAGGGAAATCATCAAGATTTTGGGACCTTCTTGTACGAGGGTTATACCTGAATTACACTTGCACTTTTTTTAGTTCTTACTTACGATAAATTGGAGGAAAGGCAGATAGTTTTGCCTCTTTATTACATAACACATCGAAAAAGATTCCATATTGTCGTGGGTCTGCTCAGTAATAGATCACAGATGACGTCAAAATGTGGTAAGATCGTCATAGACATCGGGCTGCCACTTGTGCGCCACTTTTTTTGTTCTTACCACGTGTGTGGCGTCATGTGTGATGTTTTAATGAATAGACCCACCGCACCATGGAATCGAATTGTTCGCCTGATGATTTTCGAAAGGAAAAAAAAAAGGAAATACGTGGCCACTTCGCGGTTCATCTGGCTCGTTCACCATAAGTGAGTGTCAGTTTGCAACAGTTCAGCTGAAACATACCTGTAGTCTGTCCAAACTGTGTCCATAGTTCTCTTTTACAATCGCACTGTCTTTCATGACACAGGATCCGGTCATCAGCCAAGTCCCATCTCGCAGGTCCAGTGCTGAGGCAGGAACAGTCACTAGCGGTATGGTTTTTGTTGTGATACCAACTGTTAAAGATCCTGACCAGTCATTGCCTGTAACTTTGTCGATGACAATCTGTGAAGTAAAAGATCAGTCAAAGCCCCTTTACATAGGCAACTCCCCGCACAGCTGGGGTTTCCAAAAGCGGTTACCGGCGGTAAAATAGGCGGCTGTGCCAGGAAAGAGGTCTTACAGGTGTCGGTATACTGCCAGTAACTAGCTTTTATTGAGACCCTGCGCTTACATACCCTCTGGGGACAGACACTGTTTACAAGTGGACACCTAACAGGAAAGACAGTTATCATGGACAGGCATACATTTGTCACGAGTGAGTACCTCTTGTCGACATACATCAATAGTTGAAATGTAGTAATTTCACACAACTCCATCATGCTATTGGTTTTCTCGAGAGACAACTGCACGTACAAATTTATCACGAACTAATACTGATGCTTGTGGGGGCGGGGAGCACAGGCTACTCAACGTAATCACAGGCACACCAAACATTATCACTGACTAACTAGCACACAACACATAATAACTGCTTTGTGTCTGTTACCTCAAATATTTCATCTTCTTCCAAAGGTTTTGCACTGAACACCAGACCTTGATTAAATCCACTGCATCTATACGCAGTCATTTTATTGTTCACAAGTCGAATGTTTCTTCCACAACAGGAATGAAATCCGCATGTCACTTTACCTGGTCAAGATCAGGTCACACAACGAGTCAAAAGTAGATAAAGCAGTCCTTGGTTGATCTATCATAGAGTTCTCATTGAAGAAAAATAATTTTGAAATGGTTTTCGAAAGTAGACCAAGATTGCATTGGTATTGCGTTCCTTCACTTAATGGAGCGTAGTTCGATTAACTGATGTAAAACGAAAACTTAAGTATTTACGACAGCCAATCAGAAGAAAGGAAAATACTTTTAAGAGCCAATGAGAACTCAGAGTAAAAACAACCACTCTACCAAGAGCGCGGGAAAACGCGGGTGACCAAGTCGTGGTTGGCTTTAATTTTGCATCTGATTGGTTGAGAGAATGGCGCGAGTTTTCTGGACCAATCACAGCGAAGTAAGGCAAAACCAATGCAATCTGGGATAAATTTCGTAATGGTAACAAAACGCAGGCAGTTATCTTGCTGTTGGCCTCCAACACAATTTTTTTTTTCAATTTTCATTCATACACGAAACCTTCTTAACCAAAAAATTGCAAACTAAAAGTAATTTCGAATTTGTCACTTGCACTACTCTACTCTTCAAACCGTTTACTAGTTCTTAATTTGAGTTCTGGCTCCTGATGACATTCTCCTCTGTTCCGATCGGCCATTGTGATTGCTGTTTTAGTCTTTTACCATGCTCAGTCAAAATGCACCAATGGAAATTTAACGCAGACATACTTGCTGGCCCTTCTGTAATTATAGGGCTGGCCTCTGTCTCTCTCTGTTCAGCAGGGACTGGAATCGTCTCTTGAGATTCAGTGTAATCTGCATCATATATAGAGATCTGGACGCACTGGCCATACAGGTCAATCATAGCATAGATTCCTGTCGGGAAACGCAGGAAAGTTAGTTTCGTTTGCTTAACCTTATAGCAAATGATTTGAGCCGAGTAGTAACAGTTGCATATCTGTTGTGATCGCTCGGTAAACCATGGCAGTAGAAGATGCCAAGCGTCTTATTTGTAGCGCCATCTTTGAGCTGCCTCACTTGAAAATTCAGCCGCCAGTCATACTACCTAACTATAACTTTGTCTCTACTGGGTAGCTTCCTGTTACGAGACTCTTTCAACACCGCGTTCATTACCTGATGGAACACTAGAAGCAGCAACTCCACAGTCTTGCCCATTGACAAAGAAATGTAGTGATCCACTCGATTTACGCATTATTCCAAGACGGGACCCTTCCTCTAATTTGTCCAAGTCACAGGCATACCCATTCATGGATGTGCTACCATTCTGTAGCACAGACGATCCAGACACCATCCATGCCCCACTAACGAGGTCAGTCATGGTATGAGGGAACTTGAGCTGATCAGGAGAGACTGTAGTTACTCCTGTTCAAACAAAATAACCACAAAAAAAGTCAAACTTGGTAAAAAAAAAAAAGGCAATCACACTGCAGAAATTAACTCATATGGCTCATTTTTTTGGTACTCGAAGAAAGCAGTATTTTTGGTAAAGCGCGTGGGCCACAAATCCGAGTGAGAAAAAAAGAAAAAAAAAACCGAGGTTCTATACCTTGCAGTATGGACCAAGAAAACGAGGTTAGGAAGATGCTTACTTTATATCTGGGTTCAAATAAAGGGGGGACATCTCAATTCAAACAAACTTTTGAATTAGCAGGCCGTACAGTGAAATACAGCCCTCTAAATTGACCAATCATAGCGCCCGTATCAACTGAGAGATGTAATAAGTTGAGTATGCTACGTCGGTGGGAGAGTATAACAAGGTAATTTGGTATTATCAACTGAGTTGATAACGTACATTGGTCCTTCGTCAGAGCGAATTATTCGTGAAGGGCTAACGCTCGAAACATGCGCCCGACACTGCCTTTTTTTCCATTACAAATTCAAGGTTTTGGTAGAATTAAATTTTAAAATCAAATTAGGAATCTTCATTAATGTGAACCACTCTAATCTCTAATTTTTTTGCTTGCCATGAGCAATGGGATTTGATATTTTTCCCTACTCACTTTGAAAGCACTAGGTAAGAACTACAATGTCTGAGGCTGTGTAGTGCAAATGTAATTTCTTCATGACATTTACATAGCCGAGAAAACTTCAAGTTTCCTATTCCTCCGTGCTTTACACTTGTGCAATCTTATGACACAAATGCCTAAAATGGAGGTTAAGCCTTGAAAAACCAAGAAACAATTTCACTGACTGAGAAAAGAGGAGGATGGTTTTTTCTTAAGATGTTAAAGTTCTCCTTCCTTCTAAAAAAAATATATTTCTGTTCATTCTAGAAAAGGTAATACCATGATTTCGAGCGCAATTTGGTATTAATAAGCACGAGTAAATTATTCAAAGACAACAAAATTGCATGAGCTCGTAGTATAATTTACACGAAAAAAACCCACAGAAAAGGAAGACAGACGAAAGTGTGAAAGGCCGTTTTTATGCTAGAGACGTTAAAGTTGTCTAAGGCGTTAAAGTCGTGTCGAGACGACTTTAACGTCTTAGACAACTTTAACGTCTCTAGCTTAAATGCATCTAAAGCACGGGCGCGCTATTTGCAATTTGCACTCGTGTTACAACTTTGCCATCGTGTTACATGAGAAGGCACTCGTTTTCAGCCAATCAGCAGCGCGTAATTTTTTCATGAACATTATTATGAACGTATACAAAACCTGCTTCCATCGAGCCAGACCATCGACTCACAAGCTTTTCCACAATAACTTCAAACAGCTCGTTGTCTCTTAAAGGCCTGTGGCTCATCACAATAGCATTGTTAAATTCACACAGCGGATTAATGCGAACTGCACTGCGACAATTGTGACTGACAGCTACTTGTCCGCCATGAAAAGAACTGAATTTGAAAAAACCCTCATTCGATTCTGCCATGATTTCCTGCGATGGAGGTGACTCTACAGGTTGTTGTGGTTCTGGCGTAATAATAGTTATTTCTGAAACGTCTGCAACACAAATGTATGAGAAATAAATGAATCATTCGACAAAATTTCACAACAATAGTTCGAAAATTACAGCGGGCGTGTTGCTCTTGTGATTCAAGCTTTTCAAGTTAATTCACTAAGCTTGGTCAAGTGCCGAAAATCAAGTTAGATTGGTCTAAGTGACTGAGGCAGCAAGCACCAAGGTAATTACATTTATATTAAATTTACTTATTTTATCCCGAACTTTCTAACATTATTTTTTGCAGTTTTATTTTCATTATTTAAAAATTGTGAAATGAAAGTTTGTTGAAAGCAAATTGTACGCAACATCGTTTTTCCTTACTTAATTTAATAAATTTTACATTTCTTTTTAGCGACTTTAAAAGTGTATGGATTTTAATTGTATTGTGCTATTTTATTTATTCGTTTGTAATTTAATTGCACCCGTTATCTTAATTCTCTCAGTGTCTAATTAAGATTTACTTTCTATTGAGTCAATAAAACAGCAGTTCTGTGAACATGTTGTGACTCGATTCACTGGAGCAATACATGTAGGCTGTGATAGCAAAAGAATTCTCTGGGTTCTTACCATTCAGTGAGTTTGTTAAATCAACCTCTCCATTTTCCTGAGTCCCAGAGACAATAGTCACTTGAGCGCATTGACCAAACAAGTCGACCACTCCATAAACATCAGCTGGCACACCATGTGCTGCGCAACCAAGATCAGTGCTATTTACAAAGAAGTGTAATGAGCCATCTTCTTTGCGTATCACTCCAACTGTATCACCAACCTGTTAGGATAGTAACAAAATGACTGAAAATGAAATCTTAGAAATAGAAGCGTTTTCCATCCTGTAATCACCTTTCACCTCAGTGAAAGCGAACGTTTAAACCCTTTCATTAACTGCTAGAAGTGATTAACATGCAACTTCTCCCTAAAAATATACATACATTATCCAGCAAACAGTTAATGAGAAAGCTCAAAGTTATCAAGTCGTTCTCTTGATCTAACACCTAATTCTTGTAGTGTATCTACAAGGAAATGTGTAGCACCTAGAGGGGAGAATTAACAATCAGATCTTGGGAGTTAAAGGTTAAATTCTATTATGACATTTAGCAAAATAGTTCATGGCCTGATTTCATGGCCTAAATATCTCCTAACATTCCACAAGTTTCAGTTTCTGCCATTTTCAGTTAGAAAGCAAGAAAGTGAAATAACAGTTCAGTAGCACTTCCTTTAAAAAAAAATAGAATACTGCCATTCCAAATGCTTAAAACTCTAAGCAGAGTGTCTCTCTTATGAGTGACCAAGACAAAATTTCTCGTTACAATATCAATACAATATCAATCAGACAAGGGATGGAATAAAGAAAAATAACAATTTTATCCAATACCAATTTCTCCAAACTAGCATCATAAGAGTTGTATGGCAGACAGTAAGGAGAATTGCCTATGTGATCTTACAAGTGAAAGAGTTACGTTAAATGAGAGGAATTTCCTACAGCACGACATGACCTTATTTCTTTGACATGCTTTTACAGTAATGTTTACCTGAGACAAAGTTCTGCATTGTATCAAATTATTTTGAAAGCTGAAAGTAGTGAAGCCCAATGTAGAATAGATGATATCTTAGAATTACAGTTATATTTTACCTACAAAGAGAGTCTCGTTTACGTCATCTTCCAAGGGAGTCAGTTCAATGCCAAACTCAACCTTTCATAACAGATCTTTTTTTTTCTTTTCACAATTCAACAACAGATTAAAACAGTAAAAAATGAAGACCAATGCATTTCTACCTTGATTTCATCCAATGTTGGACCATAGTTTTCAATGACAGTAACACCATCACACACAATGCTCCCCCCTGACATCATCCAGGTACCAGGTGGCTGTACATTAGTCATTGTTGAAGGAAAATCTAATTTTTCAGGATCATGGGTGGTGACTCCAATCTCAAGAGACCCTGCCCACTTTGTCATTTGGATATCGACTCGCACCTCGAGGAGTTCATTGGGTTTCAAGTACCGACTTGTTAAAACAACAGCATTATTGAATTCTTCGCTGGCCCTGAAGGTGTCAGAAAGAAAAGCAAACATACCTTATTACAGTTACCAAAAGCTATAAGGTAAAAAGCTTTAGCACCTATCAGTGGTTTGCCCCAGAATGGGTAGGGGGTGTAACCCAAGAGAATTTGACATTTTCAGTTCCTATTCTTGGGTATCAGTTGTATGTAAAAGTTCTAACCCTGGAGACCAAAGACATTGTATACCAATTTCATTACACAAATTTCGTTAAGTGACTTCCAAGCAGATACCCATTTCTACAGTCATGTGGTCTTCAGAGATGGTGGCCAGGTCAAATTCCCTACAGAGAGAGGGAGGTCCTCTCAGTCAATTTCTGGTAGATATCCTCCCCCTCCCCCTCCCCCCCTCTCCCATCCCATCCTAGGGTAAACCATTAATAGGTAAATGAAAAGAGGGGGTAAGTTTCTAAAGAAACTGTGGTGCTGTTTCAGTGGGTGAGTATAACTGGGTAATTTAGTGTTATCAACGGAGTTGAAAACATGTTTCAAGCTTTAGCCCTTTGTCAGAGTGATTGATGAAGAGCTAACACTCAAAACACCAGCCTTTAAACTCTTTACAGTGGCTAATTCACATTTTCGACTCAGTTGATAACACTAAATTACATTAATAGGTACATTAGCCTGTATTTGAGGGAAGCAGCCCATCTAGTGAGAGCTTATCCAGGTTTCTGTCTCATGAAGAAACAGTGAGTAATGCTTCTCCCCCTGAAAAATGCTGGTCCATCACATTTTAACCCCCACTTCCAACATTTCATAAAATATTCCTAACAGTTCACCAATACCCATTCATACTCCTGGGTGGAGAGAAGCATTTCTTGATCAGCAACACCACACAATGACACAGCCAGGTCTCAGACCTGGACCCTTTAACCTTGAGACCAGTGTGCTCACTGTTAGGCCACTGCATTTCTACACAGAAGGTGGTGGGGGTGAAATGAAGGGGAAGGATAGAACCACTTCCATCAAGAATTTTTCAAATTCCTAGCTTATGTTTCACCATCATGCATCAGCTAATTTTGTCCCTTAACGAATTTCTAGCTTACTACAAATGTGAAGGTAAGAATACACACAAAACATACCTTGGTCTGTGAGCACTAAGAAAGCCATTAAACAATGAGACAGAGGAGCCACAGCGAGGATGAAACACAAGTGCATTGCCACTTGCATTGATTACACTTTCATCTGAAGGAGAAGTTAATAAACAATCAGCTGTAAATTTTCCTTGTTCCCAACATGCGGCTCTCTTGCCCAGTTGGTAGTGGTGCCCAACAAGGGTTGAGGGGGCACAAGTTCCCATGTCGTGATACCTTTTTCTTTTTTTTGAGCTGTCTCCTTACAATTTCTTTAATCCTTTAACTCCCAGAAGTGATTAAGAAGTAACCTCTCCCTACAATACCCATACACTATCTAGCAAACAGTTAATGAGAATGCTCAAATGTATCAGGTAGAAGTTGTTATCTTGATCTAACACCAAATTCTTGTAACTTATTTACAATGAAATGTGTAGCAGCTAGAGGGGAGAATTAACAATCAGATCTTGGGAGTTAGAGGGTCATTGCAGGTCACCTGAAAGGATCATTTGTTTATTTGCCACTGTAAATAACTGGGTTATATTTTTAGAAATCTGAATACTTACTTATTAACTGACCAGAGTCTTGCTCTTGTTCTATATGAGGAACTGATATAATAGACACTTTGACTGCAGCTCCATAAATATCTACAGCCCCATAAACATTACTAGGCAGATTGCTGGCTGCTTCACCCTGGTCTTGTCCATTGATCAAGAAGTGAAGAGAGCCTGTGCTCTTTTTCAAAATTCCAATTGTGTCTCCTGCCTAAGAAGAGATTAAAGACTTTTTTAAATAAATTTGATCATAATCATAATATTGATATTAGAGGACAAGTTGTCAAAGAAAAGGGAGAGGTATATGTCAGTTCCCAAAAAGAGATTGAAAAGACGAAAAGCCAATTGACCCACCTTACTAGATCTATCATCTAGGGGATATCAAATTCTCAGAACTTGAATTATATGATATGTTTGGCAAACAGAAAGGAGAGTTGGTATATAGATCTTAGGAGTGAAAACGTCGAGGTTCCCCATGAATTATTTACAACCTGGGGAGGGAGAAGTATTGCTCTGTACCCTCAGACATTTTTGGAAGGCCAAGGTGCCCTGACAATCTGTGTACTGAACTCTCCATCAATTTGTCTGGATTTGAATCCTGGCTGGGTTATTTTGCTATGTTTATTTGAATTTTGTTGAATTGTTTATCTTTACTTGTTGAATAATCTATGGAGCTTTGCAGTGATTGGTCTAAACCAGGGGGTAACATTTGATTGTGTAGTCTGATTGTCTTGGTCAGGGTAGTCTTGAAGGAATATCATCAGTAGTGGTGACTGTTTTGACATCCTGAGCAGAAGTCATTATCAGAGTCTTCAGATGACTTCCATGCAGGTTGTCAAAACATCAGTCACCACCACCAACAACGGTCCTTCTCAAGAGTACAACACAATCGAATGCAGTTATACTACCCCCCTTTAGGAAAATAAAGCTTACTCCATTTCACCATAGTACCTGTAGTGTTTCTAAATTAATACTTGAGTAGTCTCTTTTCACTTCCTTGCCATCAACAATAATTGATGCTCCACTCAGCATCCAAGTCCCCGTTGGCATGCTGGTCATGGTCGGTAACAAAACAATATCATCTGGATTGTGACTTGTGACACCAACTTCTATTGAGCCTGCCCATAAATCAGTGACACACTCTAACCGAACCTAGAAAATTTGAAACACATTTGAACTTGTATTAATTAAGCAGCACCACATTACGCAGTCATCTGGTACTGAGCTGTCAGTTGTCAAAGTCCTGAAATTTCCCCCTTAGCTATTGTAATCCACACCTCTGTTAAGGAGTCACCTCTATGAACCCTTTATCCCCTAAGAGTGACTAGCATCTAATTTCTCCTTACAATATCACCCTTGAATCAAACATTGAGGTACTGAGAATAGAGGAAATGATCACCAACTAAAGCAGTTCTTGATTACCAAACAAATTCTCCTTGTCAGCACCATTGGACATGTATGGTGAATAGTATGAAGAATATCAATACTGATGTTAGGGGGATAAAGAGCTAAGCAGTGAGTCTCAACAGCCTGTTTGTATCATCTCCATCTCTACTGAAGGTTCACTTAAAGCAGAACCTCACAAATAAAACTAAGAATTATTTCTCAAGTAAATTTATTCCATGTTTATCACTCACAACCGATGTTAATGCTTTGAGTTCAAATGTTCTCAGCATAAGCTTAGCTATGTGGGCCTCTTGGCCTGAATACACAATGTTGCTTCAATGCATTCACCCTAATTTCTTTGTTAGGGATAAAAATCAAATTTACTTGATGGCATGATAGTATAATTGAATTACTGAAAAAAATCACCTTTAAAAATAAAATTTTGTGTCACACTTACTTCAAACGCTTCATCATTTTGTAGTGGTATATTTGTCAGAGTTACAGCATTCTTAAACTCTTCTGTTGGTCGTTGTCGTTCTGCAGTTCTGTTACTATTAGAGAGTTTTATTAGTGATCCACAATGAGGGTGAAAGCAAACTGATGCTGTTGAAGGACCTGTATTAACAGAAATTTCAGTTAAATGAAGCCCTGATGTGAATTGTGATTCTTCATACTACTAACTATACACTACCTTCTAAAATTTTAGAGAGAAGTTATTGTAATATCAGTAGACAGCCTTCTTCTAAGTTGGTCAATTGGATGATGTACTGTTACCATTGGGAAAACTTAGAACAAGTTATTTATATGAACATAATATTCCCTAAGGGTCTGCTTAACCTTTTTACCCCAAACAGTGACCAGCATCTAATTTCTCTTTGCAATATCACCCCTGAGTCAAACATTAAGGTCACAAGAATAAAAGAAATGGTCACCAGTTAAAGAGGCTCTTGATTGTTTCATAAATTCTTCTCATCAGCACCTTAGACAATGCATAGAGAACAGTAGGGAGAATATGCTAACTGATATTACACTGTAAAGAGTTAACCCTTTTACTCTCAATAGTAATTCTCTTTACTGTCTGCTATACAATTCTTGTAATGTTAGTTTGGAGAATTTGGTATTGGATCAACTAATAATTCCCTGGTTGATATTTGTATTTATTCTCATCACTTTTCTGCATGATACTGTATTGATATTGTAAGGAGAAGTTCTGGCTTGGTCACTCATGGGAGTTAAAGGGTTAACTCCAGTGATGTTTTTTACATTTATACTTATTATGTAAAAGTATTGCACACAGTTAAGGATGTTTTTAAAGGTATTTTTTTAATTGGTAAGTAATACAATATTGAAGGGAAAGTGATGACCTGATTGAATCATTTACATATTACTTGAATTTTCGGCTGATGCCAATATCAACACTGTACCAGTCAAATGATTCTGGTGATGCTACTTTTTTTTTAAAAAATATGATTACTACCGGAGTATCTCATCAATAGAATAAAATTCATATTCTATCGTTTATCGAAAAGTTTTTTCTTTGTAATAGAAAGAAGCAGTTGATCACAAAAATCTTGCCACAACAAAAAAGCAATATATAAAATACTTATAGTGTGGTAACAGTTGATTCCTCTCAAGTGTCTATTTAAATCTTTAATTAGAATCATTACTACAAAAGATACAGAAAAGAAAACCTATATTAAGGGGTTCAATTGAAGACACATCTTTTTATGGCCAAGTAAATATCTGAAGGACTATCTGAGATCAGTAAACAATTAAATATTGCAAGGTTTGATATGCCTAATGAGACCTATAGAAAAAACGTATTCCGTAAGTTCTAAATGGCTGGAGTCACTTACCAGATACACGATTGAAAGGTTTGTAAATTGATATCTCAACACATCTTCCGTACAAGTCTACAACAGCAAAAACATTTTGAGGAATATCTGTAGCCGCAACTCCCAAATCAACTCCATTGACAAAGAAATGTAAACTTCCATGGGCTGTCCTTTCAACACCTATCCTGTCTCCCTCTTTGAGCTCGTCGAGGTCTTGACCATATTCTTCCACAAAAGAAGAACCGTCCTTTAGAATAGACATTCCAGACATGACCCAAGAGCCATTTTTTAGGCCCGTTGAACTCGATGGAATTTCCATAACGCTGGGATCGCCGGCTGTCACGCCGATCGCCCAGGATCCTGACCAGTTTCCAATTTTACGGTCCAGTCGTACCTCAAATCGTTCATTGTCCTTCATTGGGCTCTTACTAAATATCAGACCATTATTAAATTCTGCGGCGGAGCTTCGTCTTCGAGCACTGCGGTTACCATTGCTTAAAAATACCAAAGTTCCATGACACTCGTGAAACTCCGCCATGTTTTGTTAACACAAACTTTTTGCTGTTCTCATGGAGTTTACCACTGACCGCAAGAAACGTAAATTTTCTTTCTGACCTCATTATAAAACGTTCTATGGTTGGTTCTGAAGTCTTCACAGTTAATCAACCAATTAAAAAACCCCATAGAGACGCCTAGTTTTTCAACGAGTACTAGGGACTTATCGACTTTTTCACATGTTCCGAAGCGTCAGCGACCGGACGGAAGATCCCGAAAACAGGCTATACTGTCAATTGTGTCGAGAAGAAGCATTTAAAAATAAAAAAAGCGCCCGAAATTGGACGGAAGAGTTCGAGCAAGGACGACAACGTCCGAATTAGAAGGAAGCATACGAAGTCGGTCAATAGCGTCCGAACTTGAACGATAGTGTCTGAGACTGAGAGCGAACGCAGGTGTTGGTAATCGGAGGGAGGTGTCCAACTCTGGACAAATTAACTGTCCGATATCAGACATGAGATGATCGCTGTTGATACAGTTTCTGTTCCCCTTTTTGGAAATAAACTTGACGTTTATCTCGTTTTATCTTTTCAGAAAATTCCTTCAAGAAACTGGCCTTATTCGTCTGAGTATGGTTGGCACTTTCGGCATCTTGTATGCGCCATATCCTTCCAGAAATTAAACAGCTTTTCTTTCCATTTTCTGATGTCGGATTGTCTTTTAAACAGTTAAATCAACTTTTCCCTTCAAAGATGTTATCATGGCTTCTATTCATCGGAGAGTATCCAAAATCATAAACCAAATTGTCCGATTCTAAACGGAATCGACAGAACTATGACGAAAACGCACGATATAAGACTGTGCCCTCGGGAATCGAGCAGCGCCCAAGAACTGTTGGCATAATACAGAGATCTGAAATCTATCATTCATATCGCTTGTTCATAATGTTGGACAGTAACGTGTACCAAACCCTTTCATTTCTATTGACAAATCTGGAAAATGCTCCAATGCTCTTCATGTCTTTTTTTATCGTGAAGATTCTATGTGAGATCAAATGTAGCCGCTCTATTTCTCTTGCCAATTAAAACACGGTCAGATTCACAGGGTGATAAGCAGAAAAACCAATGATGTATACGTGTTGTAGGACTTTTACGAGGCTTAATCAGCTCGTGAAAAGGAGCCACCCTTAACACTAATTCCTTACAAGGCTTCCTCGCGTGTCTGCTCGTTCGCGCGCACCGCTCAGAATTACTCATCCGATTAATCAGAATTTGTTGCTCAGTCCAAAAGTTTTATTTTTCCATGCAATTGGTCCTTCTATGCCGGATATTTCAGTGCTTTGTTTTACTTGTGGCGCTCTCCAATTTACTTATGACAAATTTCTGCGTTGCTTTTACTTTTTCGTGTGTTGTAGAGCGCTTTTTGATTGAGCGTCGTAAAACCAAAGCCAAAGGAATCACAATGGCCAATCAGAACAGAAGGAATTAATATCTTAAGAGGCGACAGGAATAAAATATAAAACCGGCCAAACAACTCAAAGTACTTGAAAACGCGGGTGACCGTGAAGTCATGATTAGTTTTGATTTTACATTTTATTGGCTGACAGAGTGACACAAGTTTTCAGGACCAATCACAAAACATGGTAGAACGAGACAAAAGCAATTCCGGATTACTTAGGACACCCCATTTAAAATTGTTCCACAAAGAAGAGTGTTTGGTCAAGATTTTGTAGCGTAACGGCAAAGAGAAAAATATTGGACTGTGTGAATACCACCTTCAGGATCTAACTCCCTTTAGGGATTTTATTTTTCTTGTTCACAACGTATCCAATTTTTTTTTTCATTTCAGCGTACAAGCGATTCAAACATGCGGCGAATTATTTCTGTTTTTGACGTTTTTCGCGAAAGTTGTGCGTAACCTTTCCAATAACTCTTATCCTCAAAACAGAAACTTCTTGCTCGATAAAAAAGAAAAAAATTATAAAAAAAAAGAAGGAAAAAGAAGAAAGTAAACCAATCCTCTTTAGGCAGGACCAATCGTTATTTGGCCCGTGGGGGGAGGGAGTGAAGGAATTTTTTTGGAGGGGTCACATGATTTTAAGGTAACGAAGGGGGGATCAATCGTCGCTAACAAAGTATTAAGGGGGTACTATGGATAATTGCCTGCCTAAGGGGAGGGGGGGCGATCAGGTGAATTTTTAAGTTGACACAATCAAAATCCTACAACCCTCAGGCGATAAATGATGACTGGTCTCGAGAAACGAAAAATAAAATAGTAAAAATAAAATCATAGATGCATTCAAAGCACGAAGAAGATTTCACAATATCATGAAGTTTATGTCGCAATTCGTGCACTGAAGCGTTTCACCGGAACTCTGCAATGCTAACCTCATTGACCCTTCTCTGACGTCACACGAGTGACTTCGTGTCAGACATATTGACATTCACATAACAGGCCTTGATTACAGAAAATTAACTGTTTATTAACCTTCTTGAAACAAAGAAAGCTCTCTTGCGTGAATATCTTTTCTAAAGTAGAGAGAAAGCATGCGCAAATATTTTAGTAGCTTTTCAAAACTTTATTGATATTAGATGCTACAGAATTCCGATATAGTAGGAAGGAAATCTACACATACGTGCGACTGAAGACCTAGAGTCAAGTCTGAAGTGCTACGGAATTTTCGGTATTCCTAGTTTTCGAGTCTTTCATAATTCCATGGTCGTCAGGGACAAAGTTATTTAGAGACTAAAGAATATTTAAAAATTTTCTATAAAGTGCACAATTTCCATTCAATTTAATTTTTTGCGTGGGTTTTCAACTAATACAAAAGATTTTCATCTACGGCACCATTTCATGTGCCCAAAAGATATGTGTTAAATTTAGAGATAAATGCAGAAGGATATAATCTTCAATGTGCCTCTTTGAACTTTACAAAGGCGTCGAAGTTTCTTATTGTATCGCACTAAGTAGGCAGGTAAGCCAGGTTATCAAAACACAATAACAGGGTCTTAGCATGCAATAATAAATTGAATGAGACCATATAACGCTCTATGAGGGCCTCGATATTGCATAAATCCAATTAAGTTTATCGCAGTTCTCCACGAAACATCGACGTGTAAAGGATGTTTCATAACGAATTGTTACATAACCACAATTTCTACTCATCAATTTTATCCATTTCCCCGACACTACCTTTGTTAAAAACTGACAAAAGAGGTGGCGGAGTTGGCTCATCTCGAAATCTCAGATAGCGTATTTTCCGCATTTCTTCCTTCGATGGTAATTCTTCTTGCAGCTTTCGCAAGCGTTGATCAATAACCTCGTTGAAATCCATGAATCCAAGACTGGATAAATCTGGCATTGATCGCGTAAGACCGTCATCTCGATCAGCTCTTAAGAGTAACGAGTTTCTGAATAGTTCTTCGTCTGACAAAAATCCATGATCGTGTTTATGTGCGCCTTGATTTTCTTCTTCGGAGTTTGCTTCGAGTTCCCAGTCGCAAGGTTCACTTTGATCTTCGATATTAATCGTTGGAATTGCGTCACTTCCCTCCTTTTTTGGTTCATTTTCTTCCCGTTTTCCTCGCTCGCCCGATCTCGTATTAGGTCTCTTTAAGAAATCACTTACACGATCATTAAGCTCCAATGATGTGGTTGAAAATTCATCAGAACTTCGACTCACCAACTTTTCATCGGAATTTTCAAGTGGCCGAACGTTAGTTCCTCTACCTGAATCAGGACGTGGCTGGCTTGTGGCTTTGCTGCGTTCTAATTTTGCGACTAAATTTGGTGATGATTTTGGTCTGTATAGATTACTTGATGATAAGTCATTATCAGATGATAGCCCCCGCGTACGTCGGGAGCCTGCAGGACTACTCGATGAGTTCGGTCTGGTTTCGATACCGAAATCCCGTTTGACAACCAAAGCTGTGTTTTTCGTGCTGATTTGAGGCAAAAATGGTTTTGAAAATTCTTTACTACTGCCCTGTATCGTGAGGGGCGAAACCATTCGAGGTCCCGAACGATCTTGACGGCTTTTACTTTGTCTAGGATCGCCTACCGTTCTCCCAAAAGATCCTTTCGGTCGCTGATGTCTGGCGGGTAACATTCCTTTACGCGATTGCTTTAAGTCCAAAATCTCGGCCTGCATATTGACAAGATTCTGTTGTAGCTGAAGATCGAGATGTTGAAGATGTCCTGCCAGTCTTCGATTCTCGCTGGCATTTCTCAGAGTCATTCCTCGACTTAAATCGCTCACTCGATAGCTGCCCGCGTTTAGCGACATCTTGCATCTCTCTTCAACTCTACTTCCCAGCGTATCGTTTGCCAAATTGATTGTCACATAAAATTAAGTCTCTGTCAATTAATGTCGACAGTTCTTGAACGTGTTGTTCCGGTAAGATACAGCCAAAACAATTACACGCGCCAGGTCACATTTTGTCCGCATTCTAATTACGTCACGCTCTTTCGAGCATTGTCACGCTTTGTCACACACTCCTGAAGAGATTGCCTTTTTAGTTCGCGCACGAAACGCGTTAAAACAAACCTTTTCATGAGTCTCTTTGTCGGAAGACACTGTAAGAAATTTCAATGCGCATAGAATTAGGTCGTGAATTTTGAATGATGCTCTGAATAATCTTTATTGGCATTCAGAACAAGCGTCATATTCTGCGAGACACGCGCGTGTCTCGCCACTTGCGCCCGACTCGCGCTTGATGCACGCTAAATGAAAACCTGTACTGCAAGCTAACTTTAGCAATTTTTCATGTCCAGTTTGTGTCCTCATCTCTCAGTGAGGGGAAACTAGCGTGTGTTTGATGGTTCCCTGCCCCCTCACAAGTTCGGGGCAATTAGAAACTCAAGTCTCCGATGCTCGAAGAAAAATTCAGGGAGGATAAATTATCGAGGTCCCTGTTTCAGAGTCAGCTTTGTGTGCAGCAATACTCTGAAAAACTCGGGAAAAGGCAAAAGTGGTAAATAGTAACCGGTCTCACAAAGTACCTGAGCCTGCGAAAATCCAGCTGCCCGCCTGCCGATGCGTGCGCATAGCGCGGGAATAAGAAAATTATATCCAAGATGGCGCGTCGAACAACAAATCGGAAACAACAGGGAACTGTTCTGAAGCAAGCATGGGAATGGGCTGATTACACTGAACCAGAAAATGTCATCAATGATAACGTTGAAAGCGCCTATAGAATAAATACTGCCGCCTGTTCTCCGGGAAATTGCAGGTGAGAAGCTGGCTTTTATTTGCTTTTATCGATGGAAATCCATTTGAACTGAGTCTGAATTTGAAATTAACATGGAGATATTTGACTTTGTGAATCAAAAAGGGACGTTCGATATTGTTGACGAATCCGAAAGGTATGACCTTTACTTTGATTGAAACCCAAAGATCACCGTTTCAAATTAACGAAAGCGCTGTGCGCAATTTTTTCTTTGTTTTGAAAAATAAATTAAACGGAAGCCGAGAACAATCATTATGATCAATTTCTATTTAATGTCGTATACCTCTTTAAGGTCAGTACTCTGTTTTTACAATATTGCGGCTATGTATTACAACTACTGATATTAGTGCTAATTTCTATTTGAGATACTAACAATCTTAATTAACTGTTAGCAACCTTCCAATCATGATGACAACAACTGGAAGACAGTAGTATTTTGAAAACTGGATTGGTCCTTTATTGATAAGAGCTTGGGAATTTCGAAAATTGTATACTCTGCTTCTGTGTTAGACATCAGCTTGGACAATACTTCTAGAAGCCATTGTTAGCCATCTCTGGGACAAGAAACAACATAAAATTAAAAGAAATGTCAAATGCCTCGACTATATGAATGGGGATTGTAGGCACAAGATCCACATACTTCAAACTCAAATTTATTTCACTTAGCCTGAATCTCAAGGTTTTTCACAATTGACTGAAGTGTCACAGATTCTTGGTAATCCATCCCAACTTACTATATCCAAAGGTAGACTAAACTTACAGATCATGTGTACTTAGGGCATCTGCTGGTAAATGCTATTGGTTCACATATTGTTTGAGAGTCTACCAACTGTCGGTCACCTTGTTATTCAAGTTGGAAAACCATCAGTTGCCACTATCGGTGCATAGTTGGTTGGTATGTTGGTTGACACTTGGCTGACACCTTGACTGTTACATTGCGATCAACAGTTGACAGCATATCAGTCAAGTGTCAGTGGTGTATCGGTGGATTGTTGGTGGTAGATAAGTATTTTTAACCATAGTTTTGCTGGGATGACAACAGTCTCCTAGCCCTTTTCCCTTACCTACTGGGGAGGAGAAAAAGGAGTCTCTATCACCTATGCTCATATATGACAGAGGGGGATACAGCTTAAACTGCTTTCATTTCGAATATTTAAGTTTAAAACAAGAAAGAAAACTTAAACTGAAAAAACAGTTTTTGACATTGATGAATATGGCTGGCTGGCATGAAAGGTCAAGAATGGACATTGTCTTGCGAAGGCTAGAGAATGTAAGTTAATGTGTGAATGGAGAAGATAGGGTCCACCAAGTGTTAGTAAAGTATCACCAGCTTGTTGAAAGAGTATCTTCTGACATGCATGTTGCTTGAGAGGTGACTGATGTTGTTTGACATGTCAGCTGACTATCAGCTGAAGTCTGAACTGAGTAATGGCCAATATATCCATAAACACTCGACTTTTAATACTGACTGATACTCAACTAACAGATGCCTTAAGTACATATGATCCAAACTTCCTTTTGCAATGCACAGTTGCCTACCAGCCTGTAGAAAACCTTCAAGATATCATTTGTAAATTACATTTGGAAAAAGCTGTATCAAGGCTGTTAACATAAAATGATTTGTGTATTTCATAGGAGGAACTGCAAAGCAAATCCAAACTGTTTTAATTGCCTTGGAGAAAGATTTTGGCTCAGCGAAATTAAAGGTATTAATAATTAAGAATATTTAATGATAGATATTTAATAAGTAAATTATGCAACAAACTGTATTTACAGGAGACTGCAAAGTTGTATTTCATAGGAGCAACTCTCAGTTTGTATTTATTCTTTTCAGACAGTTACTGGTTAAATTGTGAAGACCCAGAAAATGAGAGACGCCCAGAGGTATGAGATGATCATGATCTTTTCTCCTTACACTATCAGTACAATATCAAGCAGACAAGTAATGAAATAGAGAGAAATATCAGTTAGGGAATCATTGGTTGATCCAATTCCAAATTCTCTAAACTAAATTCATATGAATTGTATGGTAGACAGTAAGGAGAATTGCTAATGAGATCGTGGGAGTTCAAGGTATAAGCACCAACCCTCCCCTCCCCCCTAAAAATGGAAGTGCACAAGAGGAATATTGGAAATTATTTCTTAAGTTTACTGGGTTAAAATCTCTAAATTCACAGTCTGGTATATCTTCATATTTTGTTGTTATTTATTGTTTTGTGGCAAAATGAACTTTTAACTTGCTGAAAATGATGAAAATTTAGTGCTCATCTCAAGTAAGCACTCATTCTCAAGGTTCATGAAGGTAATAACTACCTATTTGAATTAATACAGTACCTAAATTTTAGAATTTACTTGTCTTTTGTCATATTAAAAATATGTTATGAAATAAAACAGAATATAACCCTTGTTCTAATTTGGCTGTCTTATGCACCAATCTGTCTCCTCATTTCATTTTTCATTTTTTCACATTTGGCTTTTCAGAATGCTTTTGTTGGGCTTAAGAACCTTGGAGCTACATGTTATGTGAATACATTTTTACAGGTGAGACAATTCACAGCTGACATGAATAAAAGTAGACCATCATTTTGCTTGAGGGCTATTTGTTTCTGCCACAGGTTTGGTTTCATAATCCAGTGTTTCGTTCAGCTATGTACAAGTACATCTCTCCTACAAGCGGAAGACCAGAGCAAGAGGTCAAAAGAGGTGAGAATTATTGTAATTAGAGAATTATGTTTAACATTTAGAACAAGCATAGTCTGTGCTCAAGTCAAGTGGCCCATCCAGCTAGAAATTATCCTGGTTTCCTCAGCAGGAAGTGACTAGATATATTGCTACTCTTCCCTGGATAGGAGGCCAGTCCAGCGCAAAGGTTGATAATGTAACTTGGCCACCATAAAGAGTTTCACAATGACATTTCAAGCATTAGCTCTTTGTCAGCTTCAAAACTCTTTATGGTGGCCAGTTTACATTATAAACTCATTGGATCATGTGTACTATAGGTGGCCTCGGTCGACATATCGGCTGATACATCGGCTGATATATCAGTTGACTATCAACCGACTATAGGTCGACTATCGGTTGACAGTCAACCGACTATCGGTCAATAGTCGACCGATAGATCGGTCAACAGTGGACTGATATATCAGCTAACAGTCGACCGATAAATGTACACATATTGGCTGATGCATCGGCCGACAGTCGGTCAATATATTGGTCGACTATCGGTCAACTATCGGTCGACTATCAACCGATAGTTGGTCGATTGTCGACCGATAGTCGACCGATAAATGTGTACATATCGGGTGATGCATTGGTCAACTATCGGTCTATATATTGGTCGACTGTCGGTCGACTGTCGGTTGACTATTGGTCGACTGTCAACCGATAGTCGGTCGATTGCAGACCGATAGTCAACCAATAGTCGACCGATATATCAGTTGATTGTCGGCCTATATGTCGACCGAGGCCACCTATAGTACACATGATCCAACTCATTTGATAATACTAAATTACCCTGTTATACACTCTAACCAATGCAGCACCAGTTTCTTTAGAAATTTACCCACTTTATTCATCACAAAGCTTACCCCTTACCACTTCATCAGACTTCCCTAAAAATTCACCAGTGAGAGACACTGCGAGGATTTAGTGTCTTGCCCAAGAACACAACACAATGACCTGACCAGGTCCTAAGTGGCCAACTCTTTTCCTTAGTCCTGAGTAATAACCAGAAGGCCACATTGTCTCCTATGGAACAAGCATGGGGCAACAAAAAATTCTGAGTTTCTTGTGAGGGATCAGACTTCAGCCCATTTACAAAATTTTTTCTTTTTATGTTTGTACAAGTGAGAGATAAACAGCCTGTTCTCGAGGTAACTGGACTCCAGATCAAGAGGTCTGGGTTTGAGACGGGTCAATGTGTTGTGTTCTTGGAAATACACTTTACTGTAACGGTGCCTCTCTCTGTCCAGGACTGTAAATGGGTATGGGGAAATTGTCAGGGAACCTGATGAAATGCTGGGGGTAACCTTTCAAAAGATTAGCATCCCATCTAGTGATACTCCTAGTTGCTTCAAACCGGGCTAAGCTCAGGCTGGGTGGGCCACAGGGATCGAGTACAGGCTTTGCCTTCTCAAGTCAATTGGTTTACCCAGTCCTACTCTATCCTGGTTCCTCAGAATAATGCTACTCACCCCTGGTCTCCCTGATAGGTCATCAGTACTCAGTTATAAATAATGTTGAGCTGTGAGAGGCACTGGGAAAGTAAAGTGTCTTGTCTAAGAACAAATCATAATGACACAGCCAGATCTCATTCTAGGATTCCTTGACCCAGAGTTCAACACCCTTTTTGTTGGACAACCATGTCTTCCACATGCTTATATACGTGCTCATTCCTAATGGTTACCTGCTATTCTTTCCAAATTGTCAGCTGTAAATGGCTTGTCAACATCAGAAGCTTTATCAAGCAGCCCAAATAACTCTGAGGTGACTAATCATAGCAGTCATAATGGTGAAACCTCAAATAAACCTGCCAAAGATTCTTCTAAATTGAAGCATCACAGTAGTGAGAATGGGGGATCCCTGGATAAACCTCTAAATGTGCCAACAACTCCCAGTAAGGTGTCGGCTGTTGAGCAGGTTCCGTTGCTTCCCTCTACTACTATACTGAACTCAGATGAAGCACCAACGACTGTTTGTGGACACCTTCAGTTGCTGTTTGCTCAGTTGCAGTACAGTTTTCGAAGGTACAGTATAAAATTTAGGCTGTTATTGATTAACACTTTCACTCCAAGATCTCATCAATAACTCTCCCCACTGAGTGCCATACAATTTTTATGATGTTGGTTTGGAGAATTTGGTATTGGATCAACGGATAATCCTGAAATTGATGATTTTCTTTGTTTTCATCACTTGTCTGCTTATAATATTGTATCAATATTGCAAGGAGATATTCTGTCATGGTCACTCATGGACTAAACTTGGGTGGTGAAATGGGGTTTTTCCAAATTTCTAGATATTTGTTAGCTAACAGCTTGGTGGAAAACCATACTAAATGGAAAGTATTATTAATTGCTTGAATTTTTTTTTGTAGTCTTCAAATTTATAGAAAACATTGTCTAGAAGTGTTTTTGGTGGGGCCTGTATTTGAGAATTTTTTCTGGGAGGGGGGGGAGGGGTGAAAGGAAAAAGAAACCTTTTGTTTCACTGAATAAACCCAAACATCAAAAACTGATTGGTTGCTTGTTAAGAAGAAACTTTGGTAACCATGTAAAATTTCAGAAATGAGAGTGGGCGTGGAAATTTGAAGAAAGCTTTTAATTATTTTTGTAGGTACATTGATCCAAGTCCTTTTGTAGACAGTTTAGGACTTGACACTGCACAACAGCAGGTATTTTAGCATGAATTAATTTTTGTTGCCCTTGAACAAGTGAAAATTTCTTAGTTCAAATTGTCCACAATTTTACACATTTCCTGTGGTATTATCAACTAAGAGAATCTGTCAAACAATCAAGAGCTTATTTAGTTAGCCATCCTTTCCATTATTCGCATGACCTCAATATTTGAATCAGTGGTGATTCTGTAAGGAGAATTAGATGGTAGTCACTCTTAGTGGTCTAGGATTAATAGTGCAACATAACGTTGTTGAAAATTAATGTTTTAGGTATTGTCATTTTCCTTTTTTTTTTTAGTTTTGGTAAGTTGCTTAGAAATGTGTTTTATGTTCTAGGATGCTCAAGAATTTAGCAAACTATTTACCTCACTACTTGAAGAAACTTTCTCAAAGCAGGTTGGTTTACCAAGATTGTATTGTTTGTGACAGAAATTATTACAGTCAAGCTTGCTCTTGTGGTCACCTCTCTAAGATGGACAACTTCCTCTGTTGTTCAGATGGCTCTTATAGAGAGGTGTGACCATATTTTACACTTTGAACCACAGAAAAAAATTAAATCTCTACTTGAACCAAGTGGGTCATCTGTCTGGAGCTTGTTCTGGTTTCCATAGTGTCAAGGAGTATTGTAGACATCTCCCGCCTGGATGGAATACCACTCAATCACAAGTTGATCCCCCAGGGGTAAACTTGTAATTGAGTAGGTTTTCATCAGGTTTTCGTGACAATAGCCAGTACCCATTTATATTCCTGGGTGGTGAGAGATACTGTGGAAGTCAAGTGTTTTGCCAAAGAACAGAACACAATGACCCTATGTCAGTTCTTGAACCCAGACCTCCTGACTTGGAGTCCAGCACACTAACTTACTAACCTACTCATACCATAGAATGAAAAAGACACAGCTTATTGTTCTGCATCATTACACTCCTTTTTTTTTGTAGGCTGAGCCTGAGGTGCAGAATATTGTTCAGTCTCAGTTTGGAGGGGAGTACTTTTATGTCACAGAGTAAGTAAAACACATTCTGAATATTAACCTATTCTTTCCCAAGATCTTAGCATGAAAATTCTGAAAGTTCTTTGCTGCTGATGAAAACTTGATCTCTTAGATGTCTGAGGTGTGGGAATAAATCCAAGAGGCTTTCTCGTTTTTATGAACTGGACCTTAACATACAAGGCCACTCATCACTGAACCAGTGTATCAAGGAGTTTTTGAAGGTGATGCAGGATTTACATTTTTATTGTCGCACTTGGTTAGCTCATGTTGTAGAATGCAGTACTGCCTGCAGAAGGGTAGGGGTTTAAGCCCAGACAGGACCAAAACTCAGGGCCTTAAAATAACTGAGGAGAATGTGCTGCCTTCATATGACATCTGCAAATGGTTTTGAAATAAGGTTGGATAGGATGATAAACAATAAGCTCCATCTCCTGCATCTTCTCTGCATGTGTTAGCAGGTGATGTTAAAGAACCCACTCACTTCTTGCAAAAAGTAGCAAACATGGCCCCTGGTATTGTGGTCTAGCCTTGTTCTTGTTTATACAGGCTAACATTTAACCCTTTAACTCCCACAAGTGACCAAGACAGAATTTCTCCTTACAATATCAATACAATATCAAGCAGACAAGTGATGAGAATAGAGAAAAATCTTAATAAGGGGATTATTAGTTGATCCAATACCAAATTCTTCAAGCTAACATCAGAAGAGCTATGTGACAGATAGTGAGGAGAATTAGTAATGAGATCTTGGGAGTTAAAGGGTTAAGCCAGCTTTTAAACTGAAGTGAGCCATCCTGTTTAAATGTTGCTAATATATAAATAAAATTTTTATTGTTGTCACTTTGTTTGATAATCCCTTAGCAAATCAAGTGGAATCTTTTTTTGTAAACAGGAAGAAAAGTTGGATGGTGACAATCAGTATTATTGCACTCAGTGTAACAGCAAACAGAATGCGGCACGTTACATTGAACTGCACTCCCTCCCTCCTGTACTCAATCTGCAACTGTTAAGATTTGTGTTTGACAGGTAAGGTTAATATTGCAGTAAGAGTGAAAACTGTGGACCCTCTGTTTTCTGTACATTTTTTAAGGTGCTGACAAGAAGAATTTGTCCAACAGTAGAGCCTACTTAGTTGGTGTTCATTTTCTTTGTTCTTGTCACCTCAATTTGTGATTCAGGGGTGATATTGCAAGGAGAAATTAGACCCTTAGGTGTTAATGGGCCAAGAATTGAAAGATAAGAGTGGGGGGAGGAGTAAGGAGTGAGTTTTTAAGGGTGGAGGGTAAGTTATGAACATTTGATATGAATGGCACTACACTTTTTAGGAAAGAAAAGTGAGTTGATTACAACAGGAACCCAACCAACGAAAGGCAAGCTACTGTCCCTGGTTTGCTTCTAGCAGTCATTCTTCAGCTAGGAGTAGTGAGGATCATTCTACTCCCATCCCTTCCCCCCCCCCCCCCGGCCTGTTTGGCCTGTTTTAGAAATATTGGTCATCATAAGAGGTAGCTTAAGGTCAGGATGTAGTTGTTTGATGTTAGACAGCTGATTAGGGTTAAATTGTACTCCAGGTTTCTCTATTCCTTCGTTCAAAAGCCATTTTCAAATAATTTTTCTCTATTATTTTTAGAGATTCCAATCATCAAATTGTAGACCAAAAAAAATTATACTAAATTTTCTTTTAAACCTTTCAGATCAGAAATCAGATTTCAAAGTAACCTTGGATTATCTGACCCCAGCTTTGAATAACCTGGCCCATATCCGTATACTTATTTATCAGTGTTGTTTTTTTGTATACAGGAAAACAGGATACAAAAAGAAATTGAACTCATTCATTCAGTTTCCAGATAATCTTGATATGACAGAACATGTCAAGAGTGGAGGCTCTGGTAAGTAACTTGATGCACATTTTTTCAGAATTTTTTTTTTTAATTCCAATAACAGTTAGTACTGGTTTACGTTCATTGTTGTTGTTTTTTTTTTTAGGGATAGGATCTAACCATGAGTATGAGCTGAGTGCAGTTTTGATGCATTTTGGAGTCAGTGCGTATTCAGGACACTATGTAGCACACATTAGAGACAAGAAGGTTTGTAAGTCCTTTTGCAAATCATCTAGCACTGCAGCATGAATGGCAAAGACATCAAGATTTCAGACAGTGAGTGAAGTGATCATGTACAAGGTCTGTGGGTGGTCTGCCAAACCTCCTGTAGACTTCTTGCATGCTTGCTTTACATGCCCACTTGTGTTGTAGTGCCAGTGCAAGCATGCTCTCAGCCTGCAAATTATCCTACACTCCAAAACTGACCTGCAAGGTGCTGTAATCTCAAGAACAGGCTTAACTGTTGATGTTATGTTGCAGCACCACTGGTATACATGGGAAAGGAGGGTTAGTTGGTTTGTGTTCAGCTGGAGGTTTTGCCTGAGTATGAATATAATACAACACAATGTTTTGTATCAATAGTCTGGATCATGGTACAAGTTCAATGATGAAGACATTGTTAAGATGCAAGGAAAGTTGAAGCTTTCTCAGGATGAAGACTCAACAGGTTTTTGTTTCCAGTTCTTAACTTCTAAAACTAACAGGAAGGGTTTCTTTTGAATTTTTTTAGCATGGTTCAGTTTCCTTCAATATGACAAACTGATTGCTCAGTCATTCCATAATTTTACTTTGATTTTCTGCATTTAACCTTTCAAATCCCAGAAGTGATTAACATGTAGTTTCTCCCCATAATATCCATATATTATACAGCAAACAGGTAATGGGAATACTCAAACTTATCAGGTAGAAGTTGGTCTCTTAAATGAACATTACATTCAAGGAAATTTATAGCAGCTAGAAGGGAGAATTGATAATTAAATCATTGAGGGTTAAAGAGTAAACAGGTTTACTTGTAATAACTGTTGATGCACAGAATTAATTTTTATCTTCCCTGGTTTTTGATAGTAGATTAGGCAAGTACCAAACATGTACTGAATACTCTAAACCACAGTAAGTTATTATCTTGATCTTTAATCTTTCATTTGTTTGTTTAAGATATATATATTTTTTCTCCCTTTCAGACACCAGCCCTAAGCCTGCTAAAAGGCCAAAATGTGCTCAAGGATTTCATGTGTCAAAAAATGCATACACTCTGGTGTACTCTTTGAAAGGGCATAAAGGTGTAGGTAAGATGCTGCAACTGGTGTTAAAAGTAGATCTTCCTTTGTAAAGCTCAGAGGTTTCAGATTTTTGGTTACAAGTTAAGGGGGTTTTAAATATTCATTTTATTGAACTGATTTGTAAAATTATTTAGGTCAAACATGCAGTCTAGTTGAAATTCTTCTTGAGGTTTTTCATTTTGTCTATTCATACAAACTTGTGACAATCTTGGTATGAAATAATGCAAAAAGTTTATTTCTATGCAACATTGATATCGTCTTTCAGTATGGAATAATTACAGTTATTATTAATATACTACTGCGTTAATATCAAATTATTATTAAATTGTTGTAATTGTCATTATTATCATTATTATCGTTATTAAAGGAAGTGAAGATGATGATGTCGAAGTCCCACCTCACGTACTTGAGTTAGTTGCCATGGACAACAGTTTATTTGAACACTGGGTTACGCAGGTCAAGACATTTCGTGTAAGAAAATATTACGTGTATTGTGCGCCCATATTGTAAATCAGAGCAATTTTTCTCTCTTTCTGTTTTGCAAAGGCCTGGAGACACTGTTGTTACTTATGGACTAAACAAATATAGAGCAATTTTCAATTGAGTTTCGGAAGTAATCTGGAATTGCTTTTACTTTGCTTTACTTCGCTATGGGATTAGTCCAGAAAACTCATGCCACCTTCTCAACCAATCAGATTCAAAAGTAAAACTAATCACGACTTAGCTGCTGCCATTTTCCCGCGCTTTTGGTCGTTTACTTGTTTTTACTGAGTTCTCGTTGGCTTCTCTCGATATTTTCCTCTGTTCTGATTGGCTCTTGTGATTACATTGGTTTCGGTTTACGACACTCAATCTAAATGCGTTCTATCACAAAATTACAAAGCCCACAGCTATTGAATACCTTAACAAAGAAGACTTGGGATGGGAAATTTTCCATAAATAACTTTGGGACATTTTTCTTTAGCAAAAGTTGATTGCCAAAGGACAAGAAAGCCAAGCTGAAATAAGGAGACTTTATTTAGAAATTCCGGTATCTTCAGGTAAGATCATTTTTATTCAAGATAACAATTGACCTGATAAGTGTATTTCATAGATGAGATACGTTGTGAAGGGCTGGACTCCAATTGACCTCTTAACCCCTAAGAGTGACTGGCTTCTAATTTCTCCTTACAATATCACCTTTGAATCAAACATTTTTGTCTATGAGTGTAAAGGAAATGATCACCACTTTAGGAAGCTCCTGATCGTCAAACGAATTCTCCTCGTCAGTAGCATAGGAAATGTAAAGAGGACAGTGCAGAGTATATCAATGTTGGGGGAGTAAAGGGAAAAACGCGATTTAAGAGCAATTTTTTTTAAACTGAGATTCGACAAAATCCTCGTCTTCATTTGTTTTCTGTCTCTTCGCTTAGTGATTGGTTAAAAAAAACTTGCCCGCCCCATCAATCAAACAGACGTGAAACTGTAACTAACCAGCGCGCTGTGTTCACTTTGAGTTTTCACTGGATTCTTCTGAAATCGTCTTTTTTACTGACTGACCATTTTTTTCGTCTCTCAGAAAAAGACTATGAATGGATTTCTACCAAATGGCTGAAGGACTGGATGAATGAAAAAACTGTGACTCCGCCAGTGGACAATTCCTCTTTATTGTGTTCTCATGGAAAGTAAGTCGAATCGCGTAGTGTATGTTGTAGTGTTGTATTTCTGTCCTCAAAAGAGCTCTCCTTTGGAGTGGAGCAATTTTCATTTAAGTATCGAAAGCGATCCGGATTGCATCAATTAGGCTTTACTTCACTCTGAAGCGCCTCTCTCAACCAATCAGATGCGAAACTGACACCAAGCGCGTCTTGGTCACTCGTGTTTTCCCGCGCTTCAGACAGTTTGTTCACGTGCGTTTTCCCGCCCTTCAAACAGTGTTTGTGTTCTAAATTTGAGTTCTCATTGGCTTCTGGTGATAATTTCCTTTCTTCTGATTGGCTATCGTGATTTTTCTAGTTTCGGTCTTACGATACCTAGTCGAAAAGCGCTCTAAGTTTTATCTGATCTATTCCTTGACCTGTTGCTTTGTTTATATTACGACAGGCTTGATCCCAATCAAGCGCTTAATGCCAAGAGGATCAACATCAAAGCTGTAAGTTGCCAATTATTTGAAAATACTCTCAATGATTTCTTTTCCACTGCTTGTAGTTAGCGAGCATTCTCAGAAGACAATTTGGGAATTAAATGCAGCTTGTTGTTATTTATTTCTTCTTGTCTTCGTAGGCTGACGAAATATTCAGAAATTACGGTGGACTGCCTAGACTTCAAAGGTGTGCTTTTGGGATATTTTTGTTTAACTTTCAGCCGAAACAAATTTTGTTACAATAAATCGAATGTTATTTTAGCCCGCTCTTGTCATTGTTCAGACTGTTTCCCTGTCATTTTTTCAATTTTTTATTTCTCCATGCCCTTCAAAGTGATAATGACAGTAATACAGTACATACTCTTTTAACCCTCGCCTAGTAGCTCGGGCTTAAATCACTCTGAGTCAGGCATGAATTACATTTATGCCCGCGAATATAAACTCTATTGTTTTATACCTGAGGCGCGGGAAAACGCGAGTGACCGAGTCCTGTTTGGTTAGAGGTTTGCATCTGATTGGTTGACAGGGTGGCTCATGTTTTCTTAACCTATCACTGAGCGACGCAAAGCAAAACTAATGGAATCTCAGAGTCTCTCGACTCTCATTTAAAAATTTACCTTATACAATAGAGTATGTAACTAAATCACCTTCACAACCTTAAAATTTACTTTTTCTTCATCCAGTGATTCTATGTGTATCAAATGTGTGCAAGAACAGTGTAGGAGAATACGGTTCGAAACTCGGCTGTCTGAAGACTACAAGTTTGTGTCAGACACTTTGAAGTCTCAACAATCCAACAGGTAACTTCTTCTATTTCTTGTGTCGCATAGTAGAAATAAATCAATTTCAAGGGCCACTAAGAAATAAGAACTTAAAGAAAATACACGTAACCAGCGCATAGCGCGGGAAAATTGCCTTCGTCGCTATCACAAAATTTCGTAGTGCTCGGGCGCAGTGCTACTATAAGTTACTTCTAGTTTTCACCGTAATGTTCTCGGTGTTTCTCTGTTTAGCTGTAGCTTTCCTTTCATTCTCAGTGCAAATTATTTTTGGGTTGGTCGGCGGTCGCTTCTTCGATGGAAAGTTTTGGCGAATTACCAAGAGGAGGCACGGCAGAGTTTGATGGACAGTTGTCGAGTTACAGCCAATCACGAAACAGAAGACGAAGACGAAGATAAAGCCAGACAGCATGAGAGTAATGATATGACCATGACAGAAGAGGGAGGGAAACCACAGACATTGGACGGAGATCTACAGGACCCTGGCGAACAGGAGGAGGAAGACGAAGGAAATTCTGAATTTAATGAAGATTTGCTTTGTGAACATGGTGAGAAAATATCAAGACAATATGATGTAGCCCACTAGAAGGTCCTCATAATTGGCGTCTCAGCACAAGTGTTTCTTCGTTCGCAGGAAACTATGAGGGCTTGAGCAATGCGAGCCAGCGAGAGGCCTGGAACGGATCTAGCACTGACAATCAATATTAATGCCAGACCCCGGGTAAACCTCTCCCTTTTTGATTTTAAATCTTCCCGCGGGGGGGTGGGGGGCAGGTACTGCAGCGCTAATAATAATAATAATAATGTATAAGCAATAAGTGTACTGGTGTGGGCTACAAAACAGTTACGTCACGCTGCCATGACAGTGATTCACCTCAGTCTGTTACCAAAGAGACCAACTTTAACCAAGATTTTTTTTGCGAATTATTTGACAGGCGGCCTCTCCTCTGACGAATCCTGTCGGCGCCTTGTGCCAGATGAAGTGTGGCAGAGGTTGAGATATTACTTTCCTTCCGCTTCTGAATTCCCAGCTGCTCATTCAGCATGTAGAGCTTGCCAGGTATTTGAGTTCAATTCTCGCTGGCTCTAGTTTACAATGACACTGATCTACCTGCTTTAAATCCTCAATCGCAGTTATCAGGGTTGTCACTCAGTGTTGTGTCACGTAGGCTCAAACTGCGTTTGGGAAATGAGCCTGCGCTTATCCCGGGGTGTTTTTCTCGGTAGGATCGAAGACAGGACTCGAGAAGACGGTGGAAATTGAGCCTTAGTGTGACATTTTAACAAATAAGTACTGCTTTTTTCGCTTTTTAATTTTTTCTCTTTCTTACGCAGGCAGATGATGAAGAAGAGCGTCAGAAGAATGAGCTTCACAAACTACTTGCATCAGAGCAGAGAACTGTTTTGAGTCAATTGTATCTCGATAGGAACCGGCCGTCATTTGATAACGGCGTAAGTTTGGAAGCCTTTACACCCTTTCATTGATATGCATATTCTCCATACTATTATCTAAATATTTCCTATGAACCAACAGGGAGAATTTAATTGATAATCAAGAGCTTCCTCAGTCGTTTCCTATATTCTCATATCCTTAAAGTGTGGTGCAAGAGTGATACTGAAATGATGATAGTCACTCTTAGGGATTAAAGGGTTAAGTATAACTGTAAAAGTACCTTAACTGGCATTTGTCAATTCAAAGCCGAACTAATGGCAGAAAAAAGGAGCTGCGCTGCTACGATCTTCCCACGCTGAGTTTGGTACAAGACAGCGCGAAAACATGGCGGTAAAAAATTAGATGCCTGTTTCTTTATGGCAGACGCGAAATTCTCAGTCTCTCGATTGGTTGTATTCTCGAAAAATTTGGAAAAAGAAATGCAATGATTCCCTTTCTTACAGTTTGGGACTTTGCCATTTTGGCGTTGTATACTTGTTTGTCCTAAATCTTGTAATGAAAAACACCTTTCCTTCTTTCCATCAGGATCCGTTCGTTGCTTGTGCAGTATCAAAAGATTTTATCGATCGATGGAGGCAGTTCTTAAGGTAATAACTTGCAGAGTTTGTAAAAAAACATTTTAAACGTGGCACTCAGCAACTAAGATAACAGAAGATGTAATTTCACAGATTGCTTGGCACGAGAATCGGAGAAGGAAATAACATCTAGCCTGCGAACAAACTTGCATTATTAGCTCTTCAGTGCGAGCGATTTTCCCCCGCGAATAGTTCTGGCACCTTGAGTAACGCTAGTCAGCGAGAGGTCTGCAAAGGGTCTAGCACTGATAATCCATTACCAGTGCCAGATCCCTTGCAGACTGCTTACTGGCTCGTTATACTCAAGGGTTGGTCCTGTAGCACTACTATTGAAGGCTTGCCTGTAAGCTAAGACAGAATATCGTTTCATCGCTGATTTACCAAAATCGGCACTTTGTTTTGACTCCAAGTTGACTATAAACAGCCGAAACATTCCTTGCGATTACCCGATGGAATGTGTGCCATATATACGTACTCGGAGAGGTTTGCCAACATCAAAGAATATGTCATAATCTAGACACTGATTAAAAAAAGCTGTTGATAATCAAGACACAAATAAAACCGCAATTCTGTTTTGCTAGGTACCCCATAAGGAATGTTCCTCCGGAAAGAATTACAAATGCACTTTTGCTTTGCCCACATGAAAAGTTCCATTTTAATCCTGGCTGCGAAGATGACGTTGATGGTGCGAGCGAAATGTAAGTTGTTTGGTTTGTTTGCGATCTAAGGTATGAATGACATCGCAGCGGTTCATTGTAAAGAGTAACGGTATCTCCTCACCCACCCTTCCTTATTTCAGGTTGCACTATGTTTGGCAACAAGAGTGGAACATGCTTACCCGAAGCTATCCATACGATCACGTGATCACCGTCACGAAAACGGTAACAGAAGACGATGTGAGAGAACTGGTGACTACCCCTGGCAAGTCTCTCATTTTATTATGTTTTCCATAGATTAAGATCATATAGGCTTAAAGCGGTTAAAGGGGGCAGTGTACGATCTCTGTGCTAAAATAAGTAAGATTCTTTAAATATATTTCTTTATATATTGCATTTGATTCTATAGCTTTCCTCGGTATTTGTTCCTCGGGGAGAGCGCGAGCTCGTTTCTTGAACAGCAGCTGGCAGAAACCTCTTTCCGCCCTGATTAATCCCCTAGAACGTGCCCGACGTCGGACGGATGTGTCGCCTTAGCCTCCTAACCACTAGGAAACGAACAACTTTTCGTGCGGTTTGTCACTACATGACTACTTCGACCGGTCAGCACGCTGGACTGTCTGAATTGGCCACGTGAGCGCTAGGAAAACATCAAGAAGTCATTCATTATTTAATCAAGAATATGAACAGAGAACGTAATATTCTCCAATTTCCATTTCAGAAATATGCACAGATTGTTGCTTTGCGCGCATACAGGAGAGAGCTCAGCACGTAGAAAACTATCGCTATGGTACAATCTTCGTGCGGAAAATCACCAAAGATCACAGCGAGAAGGACATTGAGCAAGTAGTGAACAGTGTAAGAATTCTGCCTTTTTAGCTGGAGGAGGGGGGGTGGGGGGCTTTAATGAAATTTAAATGTAGAAGAAACTTACCATCTCTAGGGAAGGTCAGGCTGCCACCTGGTTAGTTCAGGTTGTAGAGTGCCAGACTGGCAGGAGGTCAAGGGCTCAAGCCCCAGACCGGACCAACACTCAGGGTCTTAAAATAACTGTGGATGATGTGTTGCCTTTGCTGTGACTGCTGCAAATGTTAAGACGTTCTAGTCTTTTCGATTAATTAAGGACGATTAACCGTAGGCCACATCTCCTGCATCTTCTTTGTACTGATTAGTGGGCGATATCAAAGAACCCACGCACTTCTGGCAAAGTAGGGAACGTAGCCCCCGGTGTTATGATCTGGTCTTGTTTCAAAAAATTTCCTCTCAGAAAACTGTAGTGCTTATTGCAGTCTGACCATAGTATCCCACAATGCGTTGTAAAGCGTATGAGAGCATTAGTATGGAGAATGCTTGTTATAAATGCCACATCATCATCATTATCAGGAAGGTTTGTTTTAATTTATCTGGTGTGGTTGCTGTTTGACAGACTCCTTCCAGCAAAGACGGTTACTGTTTCGACCCAGACTTCCAGGTTGGGGAAATTCTTTTATTTTGATCCGTTAGACATTTTAGACTTTATTCCTCCCAGATTAGATCTTATTATACTGTGGTTTTCAATAGAACATGAGCTCGCCGGAGCATGTGAATATAACGTGCATTCCTCACCAGTCCTCTCTCTATTTGCAGTCTCCACCGGACAGCAAGAAACAAAAACTTAACCGCGACCCGAAGGCGCGAAGAAGCTCCAGGTATTTATGTTTAGTTTTACGTCTTCTTTATTTCTTTTCTTTGGGATTTCATCATCATTGCGTTCATTACAGGCATCGTAAACAACGGGGAGAAGTGTCACTGACTGTTGGATCATCCGAGACCTTACGAGATGTCAAAGTACAGGTGAAGCAAATCTTTTTTTTAGTAACATATCCTCGGGGGACGGGTACCTGGATCAATTTTGCTGGATATGTGCCTCTCAGAACCCCTACCCATTGTATTCTATTCTGTGGCCAACTATAGACCCAATCTTGGTCGGGAAAGGGCGAAAAAAAGAGAAACTGAGAACGAGGGTGGCAAGTATGTTTGACTTTTCCAACAAACTACGTAAAGAACATTTTTGGAATTTTAAGTGGGGGAAGGTACCTGGCCCAGACCGATATTCGATGACTACCCCCCCCCCTCCCTTCCGCAATGTTTCAAAACGCTATGCCTCCTCAGGATGTTAATAGCCGATGAGACCACTTTGGTTATGGTTTTGCGACACTAAATCGAAGCGCTTGAAACACGATCCTAGTTAATCAAGCTATAAACTTAAAACATGTTTTTGGTTTTTACAGTTGATGAAGAGTTTCTCGGTGATGCCGATGGACCAACACCTCACCTTAAATGGCATCCCTCTCACTGACAATACAGCTACGCTTCGTTCATTGGGAATTAGACCAGGTTCCTTATTACTGCTTAAGGTCTGTGTATAACACGAGAATATCCTGTGACAGTTACATAGATTATCCTCCTTCAGATAATCTTAGCACCATTTTATTCTTAATATCATAGAAGATTGCCAGTTAAATTCTTCAATCATTAATAAATTTCAATCTCTCAGGTAACGAGAAAGTATCAGTCTAAAGGCAATGAACAGGTGTCCTAAAGACTTTTAGGTAATAAACTAGTTATGTTCATTATCAAACTCTTCTTACAGATTGATGAACCTCAAGGTGCCATATCACAAGAGGCTCTCCCAGGTACACAAATGATGAAATCTTCTCATTAATAGACAGCTTACAATACTGTAATACTTTCAATCACTTTTTCGTAACAAATTCTTTTGTTTTTCAGTGAACAATGCCCCTGAGGAAGGTTTCAAAGGTAAGCCTTTTGTAACATGTAAAGTTACCTGTAGATCTGCCGTTACATGGAGAAAATTTTAGTTGAGTGGAAGGTAATGGGCTCTCTGATTGGTCCAGAAAACTCGTGTTATATCAACCAATTGGATCCCAACTTCAACAAATTGTGACCTAATCACATGTGTTTTCCCGTGCTTGGAGCTACTTCGAGTTCCTATTGGCTACTTGATATGATTACTTCTGCTCTGATTGGCTGTCAGTTTTTTAATTATGGATTAAGACTACAAATTTTCGCACATTTTTGTGACTTTGTGCAATTCATAACCGTCCGTGTTTCATTTCCAGGAACTGGTCTGCTTGGTAACTCATAAAATGTGTTGCTTAGAAGTGGAAAAGGAATCACGACACAGCTAGACAACAGTGGCGAGATAATATGCCTCAAAGCAAATCCTATTTCGTAAAGAAACTAGAGATAACTCTATAGAAATGTTTTGAAATGTCAAGAACGGACCAGAGAGAGTTTACTTTGGAGACTGCATCTTACAACATGACCTTACTCATAAGCTTATTCCACGGAAGTTATCTGGATCACTTCGAATCCGTAAATGCCACTAGGGTCCTTGATCAGGTTGTGAGACAGGCGTCATTTTCTGATGTTTTTCAGGCCCACTAAGGCAAGTGCGAGACATAAAGCGAGCGTGAAGGGCGAGTCATGCACGGGAAAAGGAGCGTGCAAAACTCAACAGTTGTGGTTTTTGTGCTCCTCCATTTGCGCATTTCAACTCTCGCGCTTTCCTCGCACTCGCCACGCGCCTACCTGCGCACGCCTGAAAAACGCATGCATACACATGTAAACAAAACACCCTGAGTTTCCTTCCGCGCTGAACTATTAGGCCGTCTATGGTCATTTTTCGCGGAAACACAAGTAACGCGCAAGGTTCACCTTCCTCATTCTCGAGGGACTGGATACCTCCAATTAAAAAATTACTTGAGGATTACCTTGTAACAAGACCCGAACTGCATTTGTTTTATCTTTGGTTATTCGTTCATTGACGTAGCCTGCGACGCAAGGTGGCCAGCGCGAAGCGCGAGTTATAGGCTCGAAGAGCGAAAAAGAAAATCAAAGAAACAGCATTCGCGCTTTCCTCGTGCTTTTCTTGCGCTCTCCTTTGCTCGTGTGATGAACACAAAATAGGAAGGAAAAAACCCTGAGCTGCAGGCTACTCTTAACAAAGATCATTTTTATACAATCTATGTTAGCGCTGTGCACAAACTGGCTTTCTTACAGGATTCTCTCAAATGTCAAACGATAACTATGGGATTAGTTGAAATTCAATTTCAAGGTGTAAAATAGTAAATTTATAGTTGTGAATTTAAATTGAAATATATCTATAGTTTAGTTACTATGCACAAGTTCAAGGGAAAATTGTTCAGTTGAACAATAAACATATTTGAAACTTGATTTCTGAATGGTGGTTTCTCATACGCTTCATTGCCAACAGCTTTTTTACTTTGTATCATAAAAAAGACATAAAAAAGACCTTGACAACTCAAAATGAACATCGCGGCTGCTGCAGTAAACAAGAAGCTGTTGATTTGTCAAAATCAAAAGAAATCGTTGTAGCCAGTAAAATCTCGCTTTTCACCCTTTCACTCCCACGTGTGACCAAGACAGAATTTCTCCTTACACTATAAATTACAATATCAAGCATACAGGTGATGAGAATAACGGAAAATACCAATAAGGGGTTTATCAGTTGATCCAATAACAAATTCTCCAAACTCTCATCATGAGAACTATATGGCAATTAGTAACGAGAATTACTAATGAGATCTTGGGAGTGGAAGGGTTCGAGTTCCACTTGTAATTCCTAAACAACAGATTTCCTTTAATACAGATTTGGAACAAGATAACAAGAAGTCCGTTTGCTTTTAAACTATTTTTATCGGCCTTTCCATAAAAAAGTTTCTAAATGACCAATCAAAAGCAAGTACTGTGGAAAGAAAATGTAAAATACGAATTTGGTATACGAATGGCTTAATCGAGTCAGTCAGTCTTCGTCGAAATCTTCGTTTGATGCACGCGGTTCTCCTTCGTAGGGCTGAACCCTAAGCAACTTCCATTTCTTCTTTGCCACTTAAGTACGATGTATCACAACTCTCGTTAGAGCTTGCCGGAGGTAGGTATACATCGCTATCGGTCATAATTTCAAGGGTATTTCAACGCTGACTGATACAAAATTACAAGAGATGTGAGAGATTTGTAAGTGTCAACCGAGAGTTTTCACAGTTTTCTTACGTTATCACCCGCTAATTCGTTACCATTCCACGGGACACTTTTAAGACAAAATAAGAGCACTTTATGGCTCGAAAAACCGTGTTTTGGGCTTTTTGAAATTTTTCTTCTATCGGAATTGGTTTTTACATATGATAAGCTAAATATTTACGCAAAAAAAAAAAATTCGTGTCATAGGCACTTTAACCTGGGTAACGGTCTTTTTGTAATTAGCAGGCTCAAGAGGTTCTTATGAAAAGTAAAAGAAAAATTTTAGCTTACTTGATCTTATTCCACCATTTGATTTACATGCTATGACGGTGTAAGAATGCACCATTTATGATATAATGTATCCACTAGATTGTTGTTGTTTAGCTAAAAGAAAGAAAATTTTTGAGTACTTAAGCCATCCACCAGAGCCTGTGACCAATAAATAAATACTCCTAGCGACATCAACACACTGGAAACAAAAATATTAACCATTGGTGACAGGTATAGTTTTATTTAATATCAAATTCCCAGAGCTGAAATTGTAAGAAATGTGTGGCAGGAAGTAGGGAGAATTGGTTTTGAGATCTTTAGAGCCAAAGGGTCAAGTCATAGTGCTTTTTTGTGTATTATCAGTTTTTAGTCGGCGTAGTCTATAGCCATCTTCATTGTCTTTCTCTGTTGCGTTTACTGGCGTATTTGTTTTGTTTTTCGAAGGGGTCGGGAAGGATCATTACGTCTATTTTGAGGTTCTGGTCAATATGTAAGCATGCTATGAGTCTAGGCCCGAATTCTCTGGTTCCTTTTTACAGCGTTAAGTGATTTGTGTGGTGCTGAATACGGAGTGTAATACCCATTTGACTGTACAGAATAGTAGGATCGAAAAGAATTGGAACAATGAAGACCTGTAAACCAGTAAATAAAATAAAAGGCTTGACATTGTTTGTTTTGCTGGTACCAAATATTTCTGTAAAGTTTATTTCAAACTTTGCGCTGAGTTAGGGCTTTTTCGATGAATTCGCGACGAAATTTTTGTTCCTTCACTAAAAGAATATTCCATCTCGTAACCCTCTCGAATATGATGTGTAATAGTTTGACTGACAGTGTGTCAGTTACAATTACACAATTACAATTACAATACTTTAATCAAGAGAAGGAAAATGAAAAATTGTAAAAGTATCTATCGAAAGGGGATATTCTAGAGGTTAACCCTATACAAAAGATTCCCCGAATAAAAAGACCAAAACATTATATACAGATAATAAAAAACTGTTTACCATCATCTCAATCAATATTCATGTAAATCTTTAGTCTGTTACGAAATAAAGTCAATGATCCTGCGTGTACAATATCTTTAGGCAAATTATTCCACATATTAACGATCCGCACAAAAAAAGAAAATTTGTAGCAATTTACGATAGCTATTTTTACGTAGAGCTTATAATCGTGATTGGCTCTAGTTCGATTACATTTAGTAAGTTCAAAAAAGGTCGAAAAAGGAAGACTATCTATTCCCAGAACTATCTTGTAGCACTGGATCAGAGATAAAAACTCTCTTCGTTTCTCCAAAGTTTGCCAATTCAGTAGGCGGCAGCGGTCTTCATAGCTCATTTCTCCGCGTTTTTGCTTTAACGCCAACCGAGATGCCCTTCTTTGGACTTTTTCCAAGGATTCGATATCCCTTTTTTGGTAGGGGCTCCAGACGGGGACAGCGTATTCTAGTATAGGTCTTACTAACGACTTAAAGAGGCAGGAAAACGCATAGCGATTATCGTTTCCAAGTGATCGCCTAATTATACCTAACACTTTGTTCGCCTTGTTTACTATGTAGGAAACGTGTTTACCCCAAGATAGATCGTAGTTTATTGTGACCCCTAGGTCCTTGGCACTGTCGACAGATTTTAGTTGCGTACCAAGGGAATAACTTGGCTTGGATCTGTCTCTACTGTGCGTTACACGCATAACTTCACATTCTTCAGGATTAAAGTGTAACTGCCACTTGTTAGCTCAATCGCTTAATTTGTTCAAGTCCAGCTGTAAGGCTGGTATATCCTTATCAGGCTCCATGATCTTGCGATAGATTTTAGTATCATCAGCGTAGATTTTCACGGTTGATGTAATGTTTGCCGAAATATAATTTATATAAATAATAGATAGGATTGGGCCGAGTTAGGGAACAGATGTCACCGAATATGAAGAAATGTTTCCAAGCAAATGCTTCCTCTTTGCTGGCCTCTATTTGAGGAAAGATGGGCGTGGAATTAAAAATATCCCAAAGGTTTTGACAACATGCTTTGAAACTTAAACTGTTGTGGTATCCTCTTCAATTCATTAAATAAATATAAGATAACTAGATCTAAAACTAGTCGCCGAATCCAGAGAAAATCAACAAAATCCCCCCAACCCCTCCCCGGACAGGCAGCTGCTTTCGTTACCATCAGTGCACGAAAACGTCAACAATAACACAAGTTAAAAAATCTACCGCCTACAGATCAATTTTTTTACGCTAATCTCAAACGTGGTCACTCTCTTACAACAGGTTAGGGGCACTTGAGTCTACCCAAACCAAATGTCAAATTTGAACCTGGATATTAAAATTAGCAGTCTCATGCAAAAACAAATAAGAGAAATGTGCTGACGAGTTTCGAATTCAAAATTAATCTTTAAATAGTCGGTTATTTATTACGAGTTCCACATAATTTGCAATGTAAGCAAATTCAACAGCAGGACCTACGGCATTAAGAGCTACTGCTCTGGGTTGGGACAATCAATTTTACTACATCAGCAATCAGTCAATTCATATATCACTTTCGAAATATATAGTCTTGCACCTTCCCTTTATCTAGTTGCCGTGTGGACACAGGAAGGAAATACAATGAGATTGGGAACAAGTAAAATGAGTTTCTAATGACCCAGACCAATTTACTCTTGAAGGCAAATTGAAAGAAAAACAAACAAACGAAGTAAAATATATATCATTTTGGGAGTCATATTTCATTGACGGCCAGTATCAGATTGGGCTTCACACTTCAACATAGGAATCGGACCCATTCCTTTTAAGCCATAAATGTGGTCACTTCTATGATTTAACTGTCGACCAGGAGCCGTTAACAATTTGAGTACCAAAATTTGCAAACGTTCTCGTAACCATCTTGTCACTAAAAGCAGTTGCATCTTGAGAGACACTTTTATGTTAATTTAGGGTTTTTATTTTCCAAAAGATCAATCATAGCGGTGATGCTTTTTAACGATAGCGAGAAGGAGAAGAGCAGAAGCCATTTTGAACTGGTTACTAAGGAAAAAATTACTCGAAGCTCTCTCATTAATTTCCTTCTACTTTGTCGTAGCTTTTTGTCACAGACATTTACAATCGTGGCAGGAACGATGCTCTCTGTCATTTAGTTGCTACAGTCCGTCAAACGATTTTAAACCACTTTCAATTCGTGCGACTGATCGCAGAAACAAAATTCAATCGCAGTGACAAAGATTTCATAAAACCCATCCTGTCGCGCAAGAAGACACTTAAGCACTTTATTTCAGGTCACGTCAGCGCATTGAAAGTGCGAAAGTTCGCCAGTCTCTCTCGTAGATAATTTTTAGATCCAAACTGTAAAAACATTCATTATAAAACATTTTTCTTTATACATCATTTATTGTTATAATTAGCGAAAAATTTATGCTCGGTGGCAAAAATTTGACAAGGGCAAAGTTATTTGTCATAAATCAAGTCTGACTGACCTAAAAAGAGTATTTGTATTATTTCCGTTTGAGCATCGACTGTTTACTAGTATGACGGGCACCAAGGTTTGATGAAGTAAAAGCGATTGCCCCAACCCAAGGCCATATATGTTATCTAATTTCACCATTGTTACACAGCAGGTTTGCTTCAAAATTATAAAAGTTAACCAGCAGCATAACTAAACTGGGCATCTATCATCTGGTGCCAGATCTCCAATATTTTTGCCTGTAT